TCTCTCAACAATTACTCTCATCCTACACTCACCTGACCATCACATTCTATCACCACCACTATCATCCACCACCACCACCACCAGCAACAACACACTCACCTCACCACCAACAATTGCAAAATAAAAAAACAAGAACAACAAGAAGCGTATCTTCAGTTCACCCGCGTCTGACCGAGAAGCATTGGCCTACATAACTGGTGGTGGTGGTAGTGTGTGTGGTGGTGGTAGGTGGTGGTGGTGGTGGTGGTAGTGTGGTGGTAGTGTGTGGTGGTAGTTGTGATGGTCTGTGGTGGTGGTGATGGTGTGTGGTGGTGGTGATGGTGTGTGGTGGTGGTGATGGTGTGTGGTGGTGGTGGTGGTGGTGTGGTGTGTGGTGGTTGTGATGGTCTGTGGTGGTGGTGATGGTGTGTGGTAGTTGTGGTGGTGGTGGTAGTGATGGTGTGTGTGGTAGTTGTGGTGGTGGTGGTGGTGTGTGGTGGTGGTGATGGTGTGTGGTAGTTGTGGTGGTGGTGGTAGTGATGGTGTGTGGTGGTGGTGATGGTGTGTGGTAGTTGTGTGGTGGTGGTAGTGATGGTGTGTGGTGGTAGTTGTGGTGGTGGTGTGTGGTGGTGGTGATGGTGTGTGGTGGTGGTGATGGTGTGGTGGTGGTGATGGTGTGTGGTGGTGGTGGTGTGTGTGGTGGTAGTTGTGATGGTCTGTGGTGGTGGTGTGATGGTCTGTGGTGGTGGTGATGGTGTGTGGTGGTGGTGATGGTGTGTGTGTTGTGGTGGTGGTGGTGGTGTGTGTGGTGTGGTGATGGTGTGTGTGGTGGTGATGGTGTGTGGTGGTGGTGATGGTGTGTGGTGGTGGTGATGGTGTGTGGTGTTGTGGTGGTGGTGGTGGTGGTGTGTGTGGTAGTTGTGGTGGTGGTGGTGGCGCTTTTAGACAGTCAGCTGAGTTGGGTTACAGGGTTGTGAGTTGTGACATCACGGGGGTGGAATATAAACATTCACTCAGCCCCCGAATATAAACACAGTCACTCAGCCCCTATAAACACAGAATATAAGCACAGTCACTCAGCCCCGAATATAAACACAGTCACCAGCCCCTGAATAAAACACAGTCACTCAACCCCGAATATAAACATAATCACTCATCCCCCAAATATAAACACAGTCACTCAGCCCCGAATAATATTACCTCGTAACTTCACTTATTGATGCCTAAAGATAGTAATTTTGATTTCCGCTTATATATTTATAGATCAATTTACTGTCTCTCTGTTTCTTTCTGTCTATATCTGTATCATTCTATCTTTCTCTCTGTCTATCTCTCTTTTTCTCTTAACACACACACACACACACACACACACACACACACGTTATAACACCATCTGTGAGGGACACCCGTGAGGCCCCTCATAACACCATCTGTAAGGGAATTACTACACCACGTGAGGCCCCTCATAACACCATCTGTGAGGGAATTACTACACCACGTGAGGCCCCTCATAACACCATCTGTGAGGGAACTACTACACCACGTGAGGTCCCTCCTAACACCATCTGGGAGGGAGTTACTACACTACGTTTTTGCTGTTCAACACTTACATTAATCTGTATGTTCACTGTATGTTCCTTCACCTTTCTCTAATGAAGGCTTTTGTTAAACCACCAATGTATGTAATAAGTCATTTATGCCCAATGTATATTTTCAGCCTTCGGGCTGCAGAACTTTTTCAATAAACCGTTAATTATTATTATTATTATTATTATACACACACACACACACCCCATCTGTCAGACAAAGAAAGACGCGTTTAACCACATTCATCAACCAGCAGACAGGGAGACGGAACATCTGTCAACTTGAAATGCATTAATAGAGAGCTGCTGTGGTAATGACTGCAGGTAGTAATGACGTTCAGGTGAGCTTGTGCTGACTGACGGACGGACGAGGAATCTTGAATGTTGTCGTGTTAAGTTTTTTTTTCTGATGAATGGTCACTAGGTTAGGAGGTCGGCGCTATCTTTGGGTGACCTTTGGAGGACCTGTGTGTGTGTGTGTGTGTGTGTGTTGGGGAAGGGGGGAAGGAGCAGGTAGTTAGTGTGGACGGAAGGGGTGTTGTTGAGGTGATGATTATAATAATATAGTGTGAAGTTCCTGGTCCTTCCTCTTCAGCGTGAAAATTGAGGCTGTTAGAGCAGACTTGTGTAAGTATTGTGGTAGAAAGTGTGGCGCTATAGTGTGTATGTACTGTACCTGTGTTGGTGCAGGAGGATACACTGTGTGGTGACGGTACACATGGTGAGTGCCAGTATTCATTACCACACACACACACACGTACACTAACAAATACAACTCTCTCTCTCTCTCTCTCTCTCTCTCTCTCTCTCTGTTTCTTCTATTCTCTCTGTCACACACACGGTCGCCTCTACTGAAAGTCCTGTGCGTGCTGAGATTATACCGCGCTGAAAATGTTCTGATCATCCGCGGTTCAATCTAAGCCTAACCTAACCAAATCTAACCTAACCTAACCTAACCTAACCTAACCTCACGCAGAACATTTTCAGCCCTGTATTAGAAGGTCGTTAGAGGTCAGTCAGTTTCTCCCTCTCACTCTTCCTTCTTCCCGCGTTAATTTTTTGTTCACTATGCCAAAGTTTCTCTCAAAAAAAATAACTCGTCAAGGATGAGGATTTCACAACACAAATAACATGGAGAGCTCAGGTTCTCAACAGGCTCAGCCATGTTAATATTGTTATTATTATCCACTCTGTATCTGTGTTTTTCTGGTTAAATAAACTGTTTCAATTCAATTCAAAATGACGTGTTTACATGGTGTCACAAATCAAATATTCTATAGGCTAGGTGAGGATATAGGCTACGTGAGGATATAGGCTACGTGAGGATATAGGCTACGTGAGGATATAGGCTACGTGAGGATATAGGTCAGGTGAGGATATAGGTCAGGTGAGGATATAGGCTACGTGAGGATATAGGCTACGTGAAGGTTATAGGCTACGTGAGGATATAGGCTAGGTGAGGATATACGTAGGCTAGGTGAGGATATAGGCTACGTGAGGATATAGGCCTACGTGAGGTTATAGGAGGATATAGGTCAGGTGAGGATATAGGCACGTGAGGATATAGGCTACGCGAGGATATAGGTCAGGTGAGGATATAGGCTACGTGGGAGGATATAGGCTACGTGAGGTTATAGGCTACGTGAGGATATACGTAGGCTAGGTGAGGATATAGGCTAGGTGAGGATATAGGCTAGGTGAGGATATAGGCTAGGGGAGGTTAGTTAGGTGAGGTTATAGAGGAGGATATAGGCTAGGTGAGGTTATAGGTTACGTGAGGATATAGGCTAGGTGAGGATATAGGCTACGTGAGGATATAGGCTAGGTGAGGTTATAGGCTAGGTGAGGATATGGGAACAGTAAAATGACGTCACGAGTGTGGGATTTCTCGTGTCGGTAGCATTAGGCCAGCTGATACTAACAACAATAAGGCTATCTCTAATGGCCTTGTTGTTCGTGGTGTTGTTGTTGGTATGGATGTGACAGTAGTTGCTCTGGTGGTGGTGAGTGACAGTCCACCACAAAACCATGGGATCTCATTTAGCAACAAGTGGCACTGGGTAGGAATAAATCGACAGTGGCACTCAGCGGTAATAATATATAAAGTGTCGTCAGTGTTGGTGTGTGGTTTATGCTGCACTGACAGCTTTTAACACTGACAGCTGTTGTGAGTTTGTCAAGACTATTTTGCAATGTTTATAATTTTACTATTTACCCTCTGACAGTTTTTATTTATATTTTTTTTTCTTATTGTCGCTTCTGAGTTTTAATGTTCATATCTTTCAGGGTAGAGCGTCTAGGTGTGTGTGTGTGTGTGTGTGTGTGTTGCAGTCATCAGCACGGGGCGGGGTGAGGGAGGACAAAGTTATATGAGGTCGTTTCCCTTCTCACCTTCCGCACTTCTCCAAATCCTTCCCTTTCTTCACCCCCTACTCCCCCCCCCCCTCAGTCCCCTTCCCTCACCCCCTCCCCAGAACAACGTCTATGGAGTAACTAAACCCCCTCAGGTAATGACGTCACACATCTCAGTTACCCGGATGCCGCGGGTGAAAGTCCAGGATGAGAAAGTGGTGCCTGTTGGGGGTGTCGGTCACCAGATGTCAGGGCGCGCGTCTTCACTAATTTACCTTCATTCACCAGGAAATGTTTGGTCTAAACTCATACTAATTTGTTGGGGTAATATACATGCAACACCTTGACGTCACGAGTTTAACTCCTGCTTGAAGATTTTGCGAAACCTGAAAATTTGAGTAAAATATCACGTGTTACTTCAGCAACATTGTTTTAGGATCGCGATGTTGACACCCCTGTTCTGTATCGTCACTTGCTAATACTGTAATGTCTTCCTGAATGTTAATATCTTGTATAAGTTTTGTTTGTCCATGTACTTTTATTAGGCCACATTGGGCCGCAGCTCACTCAGGCATTTCAAGTTTTTTTTTACAGAAGGCCACAAGCTCAAGGTCGGGCGGGAAACGTGCCACCACCCTGTAAACAAAGTGACACCCACACACACTGGTGACTCGGGTGACGATGTAAACAAAAGCGAGGCTGTTTAGAAGTAAGGGGATTGTCACTGAGTCTTGAAATTGGGAGAGAGAGAGAGGAGGGGGGAGGGGGGGGGGAAGAATTTAGAATAATACAAACTACTGTGAAGAACAAATACGGAAATATGTTAAACAATCTCTCTTTTTTCCTCTCCTCAAACTGTCCTTCTTTATCTTTCTTCTTATCTTTCTCTACCTGTTTCTCTCTCCCTCTTTATCTGTTTTACTCTACATTTTTCTCATTCATTATACATCTACCACCTTTTTCCTACTTTCTCTCCAATGTCCCATGTCATACCGTGCTCCCAGGCAGAACCTCAGTGACACACACACACACACAAGTAGGGTGCCAGATGGAAGAATTAAACCCAGTTTCTTCCCTCGGCAGGAGTCATGGGGAGCCCCTTCGGTGCAGGGGAGGTGAGCGAGGTGCTGGGTGAGGACGACTACGTCTGCACACTGCCAATGGAGGTCAGGAAGCTGGCCGCCAGGGACCTCATCGAGGACGACAACACCCGCACTGCCGCCCTCCAGCAGATGAGACTGTTCGTGAGGAGGAATCAAGCCATCACCAAGTGTCGACTGGGTTAGCACCGGGGACTGTACTGTATTACATTAACACAGACACACGGTCAAACATGCTATATAAACATCTCTAAAAGTACAAAATTACGTGCAAATACAAGTTAAGAAAATTCCCTGCGATAACAATGATAACAGAAAGATTACTCAGAACGTCTTTTCAAGCTTACTGTACTGTACTTCCAGGTATCAACTACAGGTTCAGTAATCCTCACGTGTTGACTGGTAAATTAAACTAGAAGCCAAATTTGACTGAAAAACTAAATTATATTAAAGACAAATAATCCCTAAGTATCGGTAACAGTTTAATAATAATTTCCCTCCAGCTTAACGTCAATCTTCACTAAGCTTTGACTCATTATAAGCTTAATATTCATTCTTAATCCTTCTATTTTTTTCATTCCACACACTTCATTCTCCACCCCATTAATGACAATAAATTATTTTACTCAAATCCACCACAAAAATTTTTTTCATTGGTATACACAAGATTCTAAAGGTTAGGTTAGGAAATTTCGTATATATTACAGTATATGCTTAGCTGTTGCCCATTAACTAAGGCTCTTATGGCACAAACAATGTATTTAAACGTTTGCATCATGTCGACTTCTCTCAATCTATGTAGAGTCGTGTGTGCGTGCATATGTGTGTGTGTCTGTGTGTGTGTGTGTCTGTGTGTGTCTGTGTGTGTGTGTGTGTGTGTGTGTGATTATATATGCTGTATATTAAGATATTGGATCACCTGTAGGTTAGGCACCCTACTCTTAAGCTATACTTGGGAGGTTAGGTTAGGAGTGGTTTGGATGGAGTAGGTTAGTTTGGGTTAGGTTAGGTTAAGTAAGATTAGGTTAGGTTAAATGAGGTTGGTTAGGTTAGGTTATCGTAACTAGGTCGGGTGTAACCTAGAGAGAGAGGAGTACCACCAAGGTTGTCTTAAACAGCAGTCGTGTTGATCAACCTTCAGTGTCTCTTGTTTGTTTCACCTTTCTCTCTCCTACACCGCCCCCTCACCTTCTACATCACCACCTACACCACCACCCTCACCACCTACACCACCACCCTCACCACCTACACCACCACCCTCACCACCTACACCACCCCCCTCACTCCTACACCACCACCCTCACCACCACCTACACCACCTACACCGCCACCCTCACCACCTACACCATCACCCTCACCACCTACACCGCCACCCACATCACCTATACAGCCACCCACACCACCTACACCGCCACCCACACCACCTACACCACTACCCTCACCTACAACACCGCCACCCACACCGCCATACGCGTTACCTAGCAATTAAATATTATAATGTTTAAAGGCACTAGGTCCTTCCCTACTCTCCCCATAACACTACTTACAGCTGCTTATTGTTTACAGACGGGAACTTCCTGCTGCGGTTTCTGCGGATGAAGAAATTTCGATTGCGGGAGTCACAAGAGCTGTTGGAAAAGTACCTTAAAATGCGGGTCGACCAACCACACTGGTTTACTCGCCTCGACGTCCGCGACCCGACCCTTGACCGGCTCATATCCACCGGCTACTTCTTCGCCTTGCCCGAGAGGGACGACTCCGGCCGCAGGGTCTTCTTCAGCGTCGCTGGTGAGACTTAATATTATGTCTACTGGGCACAAGTGCCTCTGCCGGACCACTAACCTAACTTAACAACATTGAAACAAAATTCAAGCTTACTGTGTCGAACACATACAGTGTGCAGATCTGAGTACAGTGTACTCCTGCAGGCAGGCGGGACATTGCACTCACTGCAATTCCTGTAGCTGCTTTTTTTTGTACCTTCCTAAGATATCATAATGATTAAAGTAGTGTAGAGCGGCCATGATTCATGGTGTGTTGGTAACTCCACAGGCAAGATGGATCCCACGCAGTTCACTACGTCAGACCAGATGCGATCTATGCAGATTGGGTTTGAATCCCTTTTAGAAGACGAAGAGAATCAAGTACGAGGCTTCACTTATATCTTTGACGAGAAGGACGTTGGACTCTCCTTAATAACACTTTGGTCACCTTCTGATGTCACGAAGGCCTTCCAGTGCTGCGAGGTAAGTGTTAATGACGTAAAGTAGATTACGTGATGCACATTTACAAGGGATGAGTTCCATATTTACGAGTGGGGGGAAGAAGAGTAAGATGCCGGAGGTGTGAGGTGGACACGTCATGACTTACTACACTCAGAAGTAAGTTATGGTAAGCAGATGATGTTCTGTCACTCGCTTTTCATCAAAAACTGTAGAATAAATCAATTTTATGACGACTTGCAAAATACTCCCAATAAGAAGGTGTCACAAAAGATTGAGATGAACATTACAAAGTTGGGAAAGTGAAGGTGGTGGAGTGTAGTGGTGGAGTGTAGTGTACAGGTAGCAGTGGAGTGTAAAGGTAGTAGTGGAGTGTAGTACCGAATACCTTACTTCCAATGACAATATTTAACACCTAACACACTGTCTCTCCCTCAACAGAAGACCATCCCGATGCGTCACAAAGAGATCCACATCCTCAACCTGCCCACCGCTCTCTTCGCTGTGTTTGAGTTCGCCAAGACGCTCCTCTCTGACAAGATCAAGAACAGATTCCAGGTAAAGCTTGAGCTCTGATAGTGTAAGAGGACTCATAATATATTAATGACCCCTTAAAGCTGTCATGAGAAAAGTGCATCGTTGTGATGAACTGGAAAAAGTCACATTATAAAAATAAACATAAAATAACACATTGAAGGAATAGTTTTTTTAGGGATAATTAATTAGTAAAAAATTCCACATTAATTAATTTAATGTTATTTTGATTCATTTTAAACGCACAAACATTCATACACTCCAAAGAGTATCTTTACATAGAGGGCCGATGAATTTCAAAGTGAACACCGCGACTCCTGAGCCGTTGTGTCATATTGTCTAACACCATATCGCAAAGATACTTTTTAGAGCGTGTGTTTGTATATGTTGTTTTTTTCAAGATGTTGTTGTTGTGACAGATACACAGTGACGAGGCGAGGCTGAGGAAGAATGTCCCGTTGAGGATCTTGCCCAAAGAATACGGCGGCACCGTCCCTATGGCTGACATGATCCGTAAGTGAGAGCAGCGAAAGACGGAGAGGGAGAGGAGGAGGAACAAAGGCTGGAGAATGGGGAGGATCAAAGGAGGGAGAGGGAGAGGAGGAGGAACAAAGGCTGGAGAATGGGGAGGATCAAAGGAGGGAGAGGAGGAGGAGGAACAAAGGGTGGAGAGGAGGAAGGGGAGTAAGAGGAGGAGAAACAGAACATAGGTAGAGAGAAGGGGGCCCAAGGAATGGTGTAGATGAGGATGACAATACAAAGAAAGATTGAGAAGCATATTAACTGATTTGACTTTACGGTTTGTGACACTGGTTTGGTTAGGTTAGGTTAGGAGGATTGATCTTGAAATGTAATCAGTAAGTTCAGAAGCAAGCAATTGGTGTGATCTGTCAGCTTTATGTCTTCCACTTTGCTATAGTTACAGACAACAACACATCTGGTCTGATACCTCCGTTTTCTTTGTTCAATGAAACCACAGACTATTCGACCAGAAGTAATTGTTGATATATATTATTCTTGCTAATGGGATATTGTCATTTCTTAATAAGAGTTGAATATGAAAGAAAATTATATTTTTAGTCATATAATCTTTTTTTTTCTTTTAATATTTAGCGTGTACTTGTCTTAGTTAATATTTTCTTACTCAAGTTTAGAAGATTGTCTGTCGGATTATTTACTTTATATACAGTGTGTTCTTTTCGACGAATGATTTTGTTTGTCTCGTAACTCACACAATAAAACTCTGCAGAAATGTACAAGAAGGAGCTCCTGGCAGTTCGTGGTCGAGTCCTCATGTTGGATCACATGAACATCAACAAAAAGCCCAAGACCAAGAAGATTGAGAAAGCCATCAACACCATCCAGCGTAACTTTAGGAAGCTCGACATTGACTAGGTGATCCTTGACGCCCATAGTGTACTTGTCATCCATTCAGCTCAAGTGATTCACAAGAGTTCCACAGCTGGGATAAACAATACAAAGGGTACATTGCTTTACTGAGGTAATCAACACAACAGTGGGAGGTCGTGCAATGTCCAGAACAGTTCACAAAAAGCCGAACATTAAACACAGACTGGAACAAATCTAAACTATAAGACTTTGTGTATTGATGAATGAGTTTTTTGTATTTACTTAACTACTCATATTCTCTAACTAGACCTGAGAAACGTTGTAAATGATCACTAAAGTAACCAATGACCTGTACAGTCTTGTGAAAACTCTCGCTATGTTGTGACGAAAGCAACAAAAGAGCATTAGAGGCTACATAACAATACAACCGTAAATAAAGTTCAAAGTAGCTCAACGAAATCCTTTACTAATATCTTTGAATCACGGTGACAAGTTAAAATCTTTGCATTCTTCTCCTAGACTAACGAAATGACATTAGCAGTAAGAGTTAAGTGAGGATAACATGAACAACACAGTACAGCTTCCATGGTGTTCTACTCTGGCTAGAAAGTTTGGAAGTTGTTTCTACTGTGACGATAATGCAGATTTGTTCGTCTGTTTTTTCATGACATAAAAGTTGATAATTTATGGACTAGATAACTATGCTAATTTATTACTGATATAAGAATTGTAAAATGTAAATAGAATTTGAGGCATTGATGATATGTTCACGTAGAAGGTGGAGCTGTAATATATGTTCAGTGTTGAGATCTTTTGAGTGTTGCAGACGATGTGTGCCTAAGTAGGGGGGCCAACTTGGCTTCTCTTTATTGAGAGACAAATTACCTTAAGTTTGGCTCAACCCTCAGCGATAACTGTCAGTGTGTCTGTGTGACTTGTGGCAACACAGGAAAATATTTGTTAGAATATATATATATATTGTATATATATTACAGACATGTTTCTTAATGTCTGTGTCTGTGATGACTGAGAGAGAACTAATGCCCCAGTTTATAGTATTTTGAGGCCTGACTCCTCTTGTGGATACTTTTGGATAGAAAGTTTTATGACGATGCCTTTTATTATTTATATATGTTGAAGCTCACAGCTCACACTTCCTGGTCTCCTACACAGAAACTCTCAGGGTTATCTCAATCTGTTTGAAAAAAGTGCCATGATCTGCTATCTTGTTAAACCCATTCAACGTCGACTATAGATAAATTAAGTGTGATTAAAACAGAAATAAGGCGTTTGTAATGACCACGAACCTAACAGAGGGTGTATGCGTGTGTCACTATGTCTTTCATAGAGTTGCCACCAACAATCATACTGTAAGTACACATTTCATTATCATTAACGAACTCTAGTCATACTGTAGGAGTTCTTCCCCACTCAACGTTGTAGAGTACATCCTGAATGGTCACACTCTAGGCACTGAACGCACACGGTCTTCGTATATGATTAATCTTTTATGATGTGATTAACTTCGTGTAATCTTTTTGGTATGGTTGTTAAAGCCACTTCCACCACTATTTATTATTGTTCTTGATGTCTCAGTGGATGAATGGATGATGTGCGCTTCTGTCTTGTCGTAGAGAGGTGTGTGAATGAAGTGGTGAAATATGTACTTTATTTTTCATGACAATAAATGTTTTTTAACTGATCGATTGTTTGATTTCGGAAATGTGAATATGAACATAAAAAAGCCATACCCCGTAGCCACAGTTAACGAGATACTGTAATTGATATGTGTGTATTCGTGCAGGGAAAACCGTACACTGTCTATAGTCAACTATAATGATTGCCCCTCGTGTAACGAGGATGGCCGGCACAAGGGCCACCTTGGCGTGAATTTGTTTAAGGTGTAGAAGCTGTCGCCAACACGACAAACACACCCTGAGCTATAGTAGGATCGGGGACGCTAGGGAGCTTCAAGACGAAGTTGGATAGGCACATGGAAGTGCTGGGATGGGTGTGAAAGGGATCTGCCCTGTATGGGCCAGTCGGCCTCCTGCAGTATCCCACTTTCTTATGTTCTTATGTTCTTATGTTCTTATGATCCAGTGTCAAGGAATAGTTCGAGAAGACCGAACAACTCGCCAACTGCACTGGCTAACCATTACCCCGGAACACAATCCGCAAATTAATTAACACCCAGGTCCTCAATTACTGCTGGGTAGACAGAGGCAAATGGCGTAAAGATACTTGCCCATAGTTTCACCCTGCCCGGGGACCGAACCCGGGTCCGCTCGCTTGCGAGGCGAGCATGCTGACCATCACACACACACACACTACTGACGTAATTACTTCCGTAATTACTTCTGCGTTGCTCTTATGCGCATTGTACACCCAGCCAAGGCAGTCAGCTAATTCACCTAAAAACATTAACAAACACTTATATTCCACAGACTTAGGTTAACCTTTACATGACCTGTAACATTGCAATTAGGTTATTCCTCTCTATCCTATTTTTTTGACACTGGGGCCTCAGCACTAACAACCCTTCAGACAAAGCACAACACGGCAGATCTCATTAAAACATTTCAAATCTTGCAAGGGATGGAAAACGTGAACCCGGAACATTCTTTGTGGTTTCACGTTCCACCAACACGAAGGGACATAACTAGAAGCTCGCTAAACTATCAAGCAAAACGAACATAGGAAATACTTTTTCATACAGAGGGCAGTAGACCTATGGAACAGTCTACCAGCCCAAGCTGTGAAATCAAGAGCAGTGCTGTACTGGACTTCAAAATAATCTTAGACAAGACTATCAAGAACAATGGAGGGGTACTACACTGGCCTCTTTCCCTCGGCACGGGCACCTCTAGTGTTAAGGCTGAAATGCTTGTAATATAGAAATTAATAGAACTATATTAATAAGATGCTGTTTTTTTCAAGGCTCCTCCCCTTTTGCCCAAGGTCACAGTAACACGTACAGCTTTAGCAGACAAGTGTGATGTGTTTTGTGTGAGCCGCCAAGACGATCAGTTACGGCCTGACTACTGTTAAGTGCCGTTTCTCTCTCTCTTGGTCGATTGTAACTTGGGAGTGTATTTTTGTAGTTTGCTAAAGAACTTCGTTATACCTAATATAATGTACCACTTCCAATATTCTTATGTGTGGTTATGGCGTGGTTGTGGCCTGGATGTGAATGTTGTAATCTGAATTTGCTGATTATGTTACGGGTATAATAATTGGGTCTTGGCAATGATGGTCTGCCTGTCTGTCTCTGTCCTCTTTGTTTTGTTATCGTTCAATACGCACCAGCAGCAGATGATTACACTCGGCTTAACGACACAATAACATACAATTAATGCGATTTGGTTGAGGTAAACACTGGTCGGTCTCTCTCTCTCTCTCTCTCTCTCTCTCTCTCTCTCTCTCTCTCTCTCTCTCTCTCTCCAGTTTCACACGCCTTGTCATCCTTCCTTTACTTTCTAGAACGATTGTAAGTTCACGGCATCTTTGGTCGTCATTGTTCAGAGGGGCGTCACCCTTGCCTCACCTTCACCTACTCGTACATCATCCTTTAAGAATGTTGGGTCTTGCCCCTTCCCGCGCCCCCTTACACCCCGTCTAGTCTGTCTTGGTAAATTCCATCGATTTTGCGTGACTGCAATCAGGCTTTCAAAAGAAGTAGATAAAATGTGCAAATTCAAAGAGACGTGTAACTCGCTCACCAGGCATGTAACCTTTAGCATCGAACCAATCTGAGTTTAAAAACTGCGCTTTGATATCATACGTCTCACTCGCTGAGGGTGAATACGTCCTGTGTTCGACCTAAAGATATGGGTCTGTCAGCCCATCGAAAAATATAATTCAGATGACCACTAAGTGAACCATGATAAAAAAAAAAAAAAGATTTTATTACTCCTCAACTCGCCATAATCTGTGTGCACCAGACCACTAGCATTCGTAAGGCTGCCAGCGTGACTTCCATGTTAATGTGACCACGTATGACAGCTTTACGATCGTTGCTGTCCTTGACAACAATATTGCACATGGCATCCTCGCATGCATATAAAACAATCACTACAAGATAATGATGATCTTCCCCTGTGAATTCGTAATGCGATCATGCTGCAGCAAAATTTTGTATACATTAGGAGTTTTGGATGACGTGCCTTGGACAGTGTTAGTCATGGTTAGTGGGTTAGTAGATGCCTGAAGCGTTACTGAATAGTTAGCAGGTGAAGTAGAATAATGGGTTTATCCGTAGAATTATGAAAAGGAACACTGTTTTGAGTTTTGGTGTCTTAAGAACGACCAGACCTTAGTTATGTACGGTTTAAATCGTCAAATGTAAAAGTCAATCAATCTTTCACCATTCAATTCAAGTGTGTACTTGTAAATCAGTTTGTGATTCACGCACTTACGTAAAGGTAACAGTATCACTGATAGTGTCAGCTATGGCAGCAGGCAATGCGTCAGAATTTATCGAGTTTTCTGACTCACCTGAGTTAGTAGATAAATCCTCTACTAACTTTTAAATTCTTTGGTTGGTTAACTTCAGTAAATCCTCCATATATGATGAAGTATATATAAAAAATAAATACACAATATCCTTGTCAATCAATTTACAATAAATACATTATTTAAATCATATGTTAACCGGTAAAAAAAGATAATTACGTAAGCAATACTTAAATGCAAGGGACTTTCAGTGAAAACTCCCTATCGCAATGCCTAACGTATGATGGTATTGTAGCGTAGTGTATGTGGCCAGTTGTCTAATTTCTCATTGTGTTTGTCTATTTTCTCTTTATTAAGCTCATATACATACGTACAGTACCTGAGATATGGTGTATTAATGTCCCTTGGATTGCTGTTTTAGCTCACCTGGAAAAAGAAAACGAAAAATCCAGTTAAGATTACCTACCGTCTATCCCACACACACACACCTATATGAATATTCACACTTAACGTACAGGAACAACTACGGCAGAACCTTTGATCTTAAGCATTAGTTTATGCCAAATGGATGACTTAAGTGAACTTGTTCAATATGTCAAGAACACAACAGTAGTATTATTTGTAGTTACCTTGTGCTGGTGGATGCGGAAGCCCTGCCACCATACAGGGTCATCTCCTGGCACCGTTTTGACACTTATGATACCTTATGGCCCTTGGCGACACCTTACGACATTAATAACACTTTACGACACTTAAAAATATTAGTAGCACTTTATTGACACTTTACGACACTTTGAGACTTCACAGCACATTACGACACTTTTCGACGCGGTATAATGTTATTGTATATCGCTTGGACACTTTATAATTATTCGGGACTTCGAGGGTTTATGACACTTTATGGCACTATTTAACTATATGGCTTTTTACGGTACTTTAGAACACTGGCACTTTAGGACACTTAATGGCACTTTAAGCCACTGACACTTTAGGACACTTTAGAACACTTCCTGACACTTTAGGACACTTTAGAACACTTCCTGACACTTTAGGACACTTTAGAACACTTCCTGACACTTTAGGACATTTTGACATCTTAAGACACTTCATGACACTCCTGACACTTCATAGTACTTTTTCATTGTGCACCACATCTCGCATTATACACTTATTAGAGTTAATGGCACTTTATCAGACCTACTTTTTAAAACAAAACCACTTTGAAACGCTTACGGTATAAGTACTTAACAACACTTCTAAACACTTTGTGACACTTGATACACTTCACGATACTTACAAACACTTGCCGATACTTTTCAGTCCTCGTTAATTTAAGTCTCTTCACCTCACTGGCTAAGTGTTTGTCAGGAGCCTTCTTGTACTTATAACTGTTTTACGACACTTATAAACACTTTGGGACACTTGCAAACACTTTACTACGCTGACGAACACTTTACGATACTTAGTAAACCTCCTCAATTCCAGTCTCTTCACCTCACTGGTTGTATACTCCATACACTTCATACAACACTGTTTCACTGCTTCCTTGTCAGGCCTTTGTTGCATTTTCATGAATCCGAAACCACGAGACGAGGCAAATTCAAGACTTGAGCGAACCCGCTAAACCTCGTCCCAGTACTATAACAGATCGAGTTTGGTCGTGTTTTACTCATTCGTTTCTCCACATATGTACCTTAAGAGATCTTTGTCTTTATATTTTCTAAATATAAAGTATAATATTATATGCCAATATTTTAGCTCGTATAATGGCTCGTTTTTGGATGATTGAGTCGGATGTATCGAAAAGCTGTTCCTGAACCCTGGAAACATTTACGACATCAATGTCTGAAAGTGCTGTCACTCAACTGGTGACAAAATGTATGAGTTGTTTTTATTGTTTATTCCGCCTTATTTGCTCATTACAAAAAATAAATAAACGGGGAACAAATGGAGCTAAGATATATCTGTATTGAACTTAACAAGTAACAATATAACACATTCCAAATTATTTTCTTATTCCGAAAGTCAAGGCTTTCGAAGACGGTTGTGTTGTCTCAGGAAGAACAACCCAGACCACGACTAAACCACAGCTAACAACCAGGGCCGGATTCAGGAGTGGGCAAAGTGGGCAGCTGCCCAGGGCCTCCACATATTACAGTATTTTATTTATTTGTTTATTCATTTGGATTATTTTTATTTTCATTCCTTAAAATTCATGTTTATCTATTCCATCACGTAAAACTATGTTCAGCAAGAAGCGTGATAGAAATTAAGCTAGCTACTTGAAATTCACGAATAATACAAAGAATCATCTCTCTGTAATAACTAATAATATATTCTTTTCTGTGAAGACGCTTGAAAATTTTTGACATGCGCGGTAGTAGCTATATCAGGGCTGGTCGACTTGCAACCACATGAATGACTCCAGTCATGTCTCACTTTTGTGTGTGTGTGTGTGTGTTGGGAATTTGTACACTGTCAATAAATATACAGTTAATTAAAAATTTCTCAATGTTCTAATTTCCTCAATATAACTGCATATAGCTTCAAAATTCTCCAAAGAAGTGTTCAAATTTCAAATGTTTCCCGGGGGGCTTACACCGCCCCCCGGAACTCTCAGATGTTTAGGATCGCTTCACTCGCCACCCCACCCACCCTCTTGGGTAGTTATAATGAGGGGGCCTCCACAAAGAGGCTGCCCATTTGCCTCCACAGGTCTAAATCCAGCACTGCTAACAACAGACTTCACACCTACCTTTGGCAATTGTCAATAAAATATTTCAGTTTCAATTTCATTAGGCAAGCGAAAGGAAGCAAACACCCCTAAATGGGACAATTGAGCAGTAACATACATAACAGCTTTCAGATAATAATAATTCATGAGGAAGAGTATAGATACAAAAATTCAGTTTTCTGAATATCATATGAACGATACCTTTCTTCCATTTTAATGACACTTAATAACCACAACCTTCTCATGTCCTTACAGCTTGGGAAAAAATGTAAGAACAATTTGATGGAACAACAAAAGATCTTATACGTGACTGCCAGAGAGCGTTTCAGTCAGGAGATAATCACACACCCAGACGCGGCCCATCATCACAGCACCATTCCCGACTCACGAGAAACGAAAGTGACTTTTTGTAAACGCTCTTCAGGGCAACATCAACTCTCATGTTTCTAAGGATATGTATATAAGTTAAGACTCCATCATAAACAGGAGGCAGTTGATAAATATATAAACATACATGTTGAGGAGGTTCTAAGCCGTAAAACCAGAAGGCAGCACAATGCTCTCAGTCTGGCCACGATTTCATTTTTGTTGTTGTACCACTCGAAGTTTTGGTGATACTTTAACATGTTCCATTACGTAAACACACCTTACGTACGTACTATTATGTCCCCAAATGAAACACTAGAAATATACCTTTAAATAATGGCAAAAAAGATGATTATGGGGTCGCGTAAAGTGATTTGTTATTTGTGTCAGCAAGAACGAGCTGTCTTCTTCTTCTTTCTTCTTCTTCTTCAACCTTTTTCTTTTTCTACCTTCTTCTAATAATAATAATGCTTATAATATTAGTCTGAGAAGGTTGATTTATCACAACCCCGACCAAGCAGTTGGGCAGGGAGACTGTACAAAAAAAGAACCACAGGAAGTAAAGACGTTATCGAAGTTAATGAGACAAATCTATACGTCTTCACCAACATAAAAGAAAATCTAAAAGAAATAATAATAATAATAATAATAAACTGAGGAAAGACAGAATAAATGATGAGACAATGTGGAAGGGAATGTAACGTGAAATGAAAAATTACTTTGTGAAATATGAAAAACGGACAGGATGGTTGGTATGACACACACTGATGCTTCTCCAACTCGTATATATCTTAAAGAAAACTATTTACACATGTAGTAGTGTACTTATTAAGTAGTCGTGTATTTATGTATTTGAGTACATAAAGAGACGTAAATAATGTGGTGGAGGCAGTACACTACCATGATATAATGTAGTGGATTATGGCACTATACAAGGCCTCGCCCGATTCCTCTGAGATCACACAGGTGAAAGTACCAACGAGTGTCGTCAGAGCAACATCACGCCGAAACTGCGAGTGTTATCTAAGAACAACTTGGATATTGGGTCGTGTTGTCTCTTGCCGTAAATATTTTAAATTCATATTTACGTAATAATGACAAAAAATAAAATAAAATTAATGGTTCCTTCATCTTGGGAACCGAGAATGGCCAAAAAAATCCATCCATAATTCACACTTAGAGACGATGCTTTATAATTTAGTGTTTTTTTTAAATATGTGATATAATCGCCATACAAGACACACGTCACGAAGAGGTAAAGTTCAAGGCCTCGCCCACAGATGGCACTACCAACGGTAGCTTCACTTTTGATAAATACTGATGTGTTAAGAACCTTTCACCTTTCAAGCTGCTTTCATGACACCGTATGACATTTAATGGCACTGGAATTTGAATCTCCTTAAATAAATGAGAATGACTTATATCGTAGCTCCGTCAGGCAGTCAATCAGTCATTTCATAATACAGGTATACCGTGTAGTGCATTTCATTCCATGCTGTTTAATTTGTACTACACTATAATCCGTATCACACTGTATTCATCCTACGCTGTATTTCTTGGCATATTTTATTTCATGGGAGAATATTTCACACCACACCATGTGCGACAGACCACATCTATATCAAGCAAGACCAACTGGGAGCCACACAAGACCAGCTGAGACACTTGAGACTAACCGATCATGAGTGTCCAGGTTAGGTTAGGTGAGACCTTTACTTTGTTTCCACAATCTTTTATCAGGAGTCTCTGCATCACACAGTAGGAGAGATAGACCGCGCTGCCTCACTTTCCACGTATGGGATGGCGTGTGTTGCGACACCTGGAGTCCTACCAACCTCTGTTGCTGTCTACATTGTTGTTACTTCAACTTTGTCTCCTTATACACTATTTAAAAAAAATTTCTAGCTACAATTTTTGTAGGTCCTGTACTTGATGAAAATATAGGGAAGCAGGTGGTGATACATGCCACAAGACAAGGTCATTGTGGGTCATCTTCAGGAAGACACTTCCTCTCTAACCCATTCTTCTCTCCCGGATATTCCTGTTTGGGTCGGTTGGCTGAAGGTATATAAGGGCGGAGAAGAGGTAGATGGGCATCAGTCACCATTATTTCTTCCCCCCGACAGCAACACAATGAGGCACCTTCAGCTTGGTAAGATCAGTTGTAAAGATAAGAGAAATCTGTCGTCTAGTGTTTAAGTTTTTATAAACTGATATAAAGAGGAAAGTTCTCCTGTTATTCTAAAACTTTCAGACACTGTTATCATTAGTACACTCCGGGTTTCAACATCTTAAAATATCAAACTTACGTCGCGTGTTAGTAAAAATCAAAATAATAACGAAGAAAACTATGATGAACGTTAAAGATTCGGTTTTCTTGGGGTTCTTGTTGGTTTATCAACAGAAGAAATCTATCCAGAATATAGATACAAACTGGGTTAAGTCAGTGAACGAGACATGTCACTGTTGGAGGTGTGTAGAAGCGACGAAAATCATCATTGGCTTGGTAACGTTTCTCGCTGTCTTGTAGGGCACCGCTGGTTGGCTCACCTCAACACTAATAATTATCATGTTATAATATTTCCTTGATTATACTGTATCTGTCGTAGCTCCTAACTGTCTAGGCTCATTCTCCAACAGTCAATACTCAAGTACTGTACTTCTCACCAATCAACATACCCATACAGCTACAGCCCACAATGTCTTCTCTGCTTTCATATATAATAACAAAATAGAATCCTAAATTCTTTGGTACTGAAAAAGTCTGTCATATGTTTGTTTTTTTGTTTGTCTTCAATTATCTTTAAGGTTTCATGTTCTCTACGGCAGTGATTGTTGTGCTGGTGGGCCTGGCAAATGCCCTGCCCCGCCTCGTCAAGAGAGATTCCTCTTCCTTTGCCTATGAATTACCTTCCAACGCCTCCGCCATTGTCGGTCCCATCGTCACAGGTTTCGAGTATGTACTCGTATGTTTAATGGTAATATCAATGGGCTTTGTCTGCAATAAGATGAATACAGTAACGAGTTCTTTAGTGCTATTAAAGAATAACTTTTTAAGTGTCCACACATGTCTTCTGTGGTTTACTTGGTTGTATACCTTCCGGAGTCCTCCTTCCCTACACATTGTATGACACGACTCATGTCTCCCCCAGCTGCTCTAATCGAAGTTACGGCTACTACGCTGACCCAGCCAACGGGTGTGCCATCTTCCATGTCTGTTACCCGTATGTAGACCCGGAGGGAAACTTCAACATGCGAATGTTCTCTCTCTTGTGTGGAGAGGGAACCATCTTCGATCAGGTCGGAACTACTGTTCTTCTTAGTTTATATTACTATTATATGCACCTAGAGAGATACTCTTTACATATAATTAACTAAAACCAGTAACAAGCACGTGTAAACTGCAATGAATGGATTTTTTCCCAGTTGACTTTGGTTTCTTCTTAGGCTATTCTCCTCACGGCTTTCTTGTACGTAAATAAAGGAGCATAACGTTGTCGGCTATTCAACTACACAAATCGTGTCCCTCCACCACACCACTCTAGACACTCACACTTACCTCCGCCCTCACAGTCGACGCTGACGTGCAACTTCCCGGAGTACGCCTTGCCCTGTGACGCTGCCGCCAGCCTCTATAACATCAACGATTACTTCGGCCGCGACGACCGCCAGTTCCGGGATGGACTCAACGGCATCTTCTAGACGCTCACTGAACCTCGACTCAACTGTCGTCTCAACTATACTTCACTCACCCAACCTAGAGAATTCCTCGGGCATCTTTCTTTCTAGAAAGATGACACCTGTTGGATGGTCGACCTCTCAGGCTGGAGTCTTCTGTTTACTGCTTGTATAGTCGAACTCCTCAACCAATTTGTTAACCATTTATTTGGCAGTTCGCACCATACATACTTCTTATATTTAGCAGTACTGTATCATTACAGCACTCTGATGCTAACCAATGCTTCTAAGTATATCTAGCAATTCAATATTTTTCCTTTATACCAGTAACTTTTGTGTTACTCAGACACTAACACAACCGTGTGTGTAATTTCGGTGTTGGTAGCGGCATGTCCGGGAAGACGACGGAGCTTCGAGGCGTAAGTGTGGAAATAACAAAGCCAATTTGTCCTTCGAGTATTTCACGTTTTCATATCATGCATAAATGTAAATAAAAGACTCGGAGTTTGTTTAAGAGTTTATTAATGACCTCAAGTAAACGAACCTTCTTGATATTTATCATGCCCAGTACTTGCCAACAATGGGTAACAGAGACGTTGCAGATCGCCCAAGCGGCTAACGAGCCGATCAGTGGTGAAGAGGATAAAAGTAAAGTATCGGGAAATCAAGAACAAAGTGGACTCCTGAGATTCAATGTTACGAAGTGTAAGAGAATGCACCTGGGACGTACCAACGGTAAGGAGGCGTATCATATGTCCCAACGGGATGAAGAAACTGCACTATTTGAGACTGAATGTGAGAAGGACCTAGGTGTGTATGTTGACAATGAGCTGAAATTCTCTGGCCATTGCGAGAAGAAGGTAAATCAAGCAAATAAATTATTGCGTCTTATAAGAAGGTCGTTTAGATATCTAGCCGGTCCGTCCCTCGTAACGATCTTCAAGAGTAAAATGCTTCCCCATCTGCAGTACTGTCACCCTGTCTGGTCCCCGAGATATGCTAGGGACTGTCAGTTGGTTGAAAATGTTCAAAGGAGGGCCACCAGACTGGTGCCTGCACTTCGGCACCTCAGCTACCCTGAGAGATTGGAGCGCCTGAACTTGCCTAGCTTATATTACAGACGGGCAAGGGGCGACCTAATTGAGGTGTATAAGCATCTCAAGGGGCACTACTCAGTCGAGTGACCTTACTTGCAGCTGGCGGACGCTCGCCCCACAAGGGGTCACAGCTCAAGATTGAAGAAGCCGCAAGTCCAGAAAACTGTAAGGGCAAACTTTTTCGGATTGAGAATTGTGAACTCTTGGAACAATCTACCAGAGAGTGTTGTGACGGCACCGAGTGTAAGCTCTTTCAAGACAAGACTTGACCAACACTGGAGCAGGTTTAGGTACATTCAGGAGCCGGTGCATGTCCAGTACTTACCAACAGTGCGTAACAGAGACGTGACCGATCATTTGGTGAAGAGGATAAAAGAAAAAGAAAAGTAACAGAGACGTGACCGATCATTTGGTGAAGAGGATAAAAGAAAAAGAAAAGTAACAGAGACGTGACCGATCGCCCAAGCAGCTAACGAGCCGATCAGTGGTGAAGAGGATAAAAGGAAAAGGAAAAGGAAAAGTAAGGGGGAAACTGTGGCTGTTTACTTTAGTTACACCTTATGTCATTACACTCTTCCTATTTCACAGAAAACAGTCACAATGTAAGGGGTAACTGCAGTTTTTTTTTTTTTTTTTTAAGGAAAACTTGTCTAAAAATAAAAGAACTCTTCCCTCACTAAATATACTTTTGATAAAACCAATACATTTTAAGAATATACAATAAACCTACAATAAAACAAAGGGCCAACCTTTCTAAAAACATAAGTTCGATCGACTTCGTTTCTGGATACTGTATTGTTGCTTTTCTGCTCGTGAGGGACTCCGTGATGCACATCTCCAAAGGGAATACAATTAAACTGGTAGGAGGGCGAGGCTCTAGAACCTGGGCTCAGCGAAGACTTTGAACTCTGGAGGTCCGAGAGTGAACCCAAACTTGCCCTCCGTGTTATGCACAGGGACTTTGGGGTCCAGGGCGAAGGTGAAGCGTTGGGAGAGAGCTGCGAACAGCATGAAGGACGTCATCCTGGCCAGGGACTCTCCTGGACATATACGACGGCCTGCAGGATACAGGTAAGGTGAGAGATACGTGGTGATACAGGTAAGGTGAGAGATATGTGGTGATACAGGTAAAGTGAGAGATATGTGGTGATACAGGTAAGGTGAGAGATATGTGGTGATACAGGTAAGGTGAGAGATATGTGGTGATACAGGTAAAGTGAGAGATACGTGGTGATACAGGTAAGGTGAGAGATATGTGGTGATACAGGTAAAGTGAGAGATACGTGGTGATACAGGTAAGGTGAGAGATATGTGGTGATACAGGTAAAGTGAGAGATACGTGGTGATACAGGTAAGGTGAGAGATATGTGGTGATACTGGTAAGGTGAGATACGTGGTAATACAGGTAAGGTGAGAGATACGTGGTGATACAGGTAAGGTGAGAGATATGTAGTGATACAGGTAAGATGAGAGATACGTGGTGATACATGGTGAAACAAGAGAACACTTGTAACAAAGCATGAAGAGTTGTTTAATGTACACCAGAAACAACACGAACGGGATATGAAACTCTTAACAGTAATAATATTCCATTTTTTGATCAAGATTACGGGATCCTGAACAAAACCATTACTTAAAGACATCAGCAGTCACAAATTATACCTCGAGAACTAATACCTTTGCCGAAGGGAATGAGACGCTCATCCTTGCGCAGTGAGCCGTCAGGGTTGATGAACCGCTCCGGCCGGAAGAGGTGAGGGTCGTCCCAGTAGTGAGGGTCCATGTGCACGCTGTACAGGTTGTTCATCACCATTGTGTTGGCCGGGATCTGGTGGCCCTGTGTAGCATCAGTAACCATCATACAGTACGTTAATACACGTCTTAACGACCGGGAACTTCCACTCACTAAAACTTACACGGGAGATGTATCCAAATTCCCGCCAAAATGCTGTATACAGTAAATAGCCTCCCGCCCCATGGTGCGCCTCACCGAGAGAACTAACCTTCCTTTCTTTGACTTACGTGACCCACTGACGTCATAGGCTTTCCAACTGGTTTCATTGGCACAGGTGGAGGGATAAACTTATGAAAAAGTCTTGATGTGGATTGTTTAGTGTTTATGTATGCATGCCTCTCGTATGGGTTGCGTCGATCCACACACGTGGATGGTGAGATTTGGTGGTGGATCACTGTGGGACACCACACTTTCCATATGACCATGTTAACACGCCACGAGTGACGTGGTACTAACGGAAGCAGACTGGCTAGCGACCATAATCATCTTTATTCAAAATTTTATGGTTTCACCAAGCAAGCTATTATCTGGGCACCGAGCCTATACATCTCTTGGCGCCTCACACATTTGGGTGTATAAGAGGCCTGAGGCCCTCAGACAGAGCACTACTCTTTCTGACGACCCCCTGTAAGTGACAGGCGAGCTGATGAACCTCAGTGAACCAAGCAGTGTTAGAGTTCTGAACTACATTACTCAGGTGTTTGTTGTCTACGACGAGCAGAGAGACAGCTGATGTTACAGCCTCTGAACCTCACCTGACGTAGTTCAGGGATACAACCGATTTTTAAATAAATCTTTAAAAATTTTGTCTGTTCATACATTTTATACTTTGTTAAACATTAATGAGACAGAACAAAGACTACAATCATGAATGAGGACACAATGATACAAAGTGAGGACACTAGTGTAAGGACACTAATCTCAGAATAAGAGCAGTGAGAGCTAACATGGCGGCAGCGAGAATTTGTGGAAAGAAATCTTAAATTGTCGAGAGAGAGGGAGAGATAGAGAGGGAGAAACACTTACCATCAGTGTGGTGTTCCTCAGGGCCTTGTGAGGAATGGTGAGAGGCGCTGCCCCGCTATGGCGGAATGCCTCCATCAGCGTCGCTTCCGTGTACACCAGTCTGGGTAAACACATGTTATCATCATTTTGTGCATTACAGTTCGTTTATGTACAAGTCATTAACTTAACGTTCAGTAGTCTTTATACACACACACTTGTGTCTTGATCACCACGGTGTGAAAACGTCCTGTCGCCGCTTTCTTGTAGCTGCCAGAAGTAATCAGGTTGAGTCCTTCCCAACTCTCCCCCCCCCTCACTTCCTCTCCACCCAGGAATCAGTCCAAGGATTGGTGACCACTAAGCTCAACAAGGTCATTCATAACAGTCAGTCGTGCTGTACAGTACGTGCTGAACAAGTCTCATTATCTTGCCAGGCCACAACGTGATGCAGACCAGAATTAGTCAGTTGTATGGGAACCTGAGGGAATTAAGCAACTTGAACATAAAAACGAACTCCCTACTCCCCCTCAGTCATCTCGCCAGCGATGACACAGCTCAACAATATCCTTAGCACTACATGTCAGAAGCTTCTTCAACCTAACCTAACTGATAGTCTCCCAGTTTACCCCCTGTTACCGTCACCCATTAACTTGGTGAGGGAATTAGAAGTCGCCAGACGTTAGACAGTATTAGAGCTAAGTGTTACAACGCTCCCATTCACTTAATTAAAAGGTTAATGTTCAGACCATGGAGGAGGGGGGGGGGGGTGGCTGCCTCACTACTACTAAGAATGAAATGAATTGTAAGAGACTCACGTATTGCGGTCGTCCATGGAAGGAAAGCGGTCTTGACCCAAAACACTGTCTAGTTCCTGCTGCATGTTGTGCATTACGTGTGGATGAAGGATCGTCAGCAGCACTGCGAAGGACACAGTTGAGGAGCCCGTCTCTACTCCAGCGCCGAACACGTCAGTACACAATGCCGATAACTGTTCCTCTGGGAGAAGAAGAGGAATAGAAAGGTGTGGTTGACGAAGTACTGTACTGTATAAACTTGTATATATATTAATCTGTCCCACAGAGAGCAAAATAAACGCATCTAACATACCTGTGAATGAAATGTCGGGATTATGTTGATTTTTGTATATTTCATTGATGTAAATATCAATGAAATCACGGGGGTTGTCAGGGTCGAGGGTGGCCTTGTGCTCCTCCACAGCCTTCTGTTGGTGTACACACCCCAGGTTACTCCCTTATCAGATACAATACTGTATAACACGTTTGGTATACAACACGACTCTTGAGATGCAGTATATGTCATAATCATTCCAAAATTAATTCAGTAATCAGACATCTGAAAAGTTGTAAATGAATAAACTTATTTTGGGTGTATGAACCGTCTTTTCAGTTGGATGTTTCTAGTAAATAAAATAATGAGAAAAATATGTAGTTTTCTAAACATTGGTGCCTTTTCTTCACACATGAATAGAAGAATACTATACAATGATGCATGCAGGCAAAGTTTACACTGTATATCCATCTTACTGACACCGTCAGGAAAAATGCATTTAGTGAATACTGTACTAACTCTCACGAAATCAAGGACAAGCCGCCGGGCGTCGACAACAGTATAGAAATTGGAGTCTCGGGGCCAAACGTGAAGCAAAAATGGGAGAGCGTTGACCAGGCCCCCGCCAAGCTGCCGAGAAAACACAGCATCTGTAATACCTTTAGTGTTTCACCGTCACTCCACACACACAATTGGATTCAAGAAAATTACACATCTCATACTTCTTACATTGCCCAAGGTACATTATGAACACAAACTTATTCTCATCTTTTTATGTAATAATCTCACCGTCTGGATTAAGATCCAAGAAAAATTACTTAAACTTATTATATCAAACAGCTTACTTCACCAGCACGAAACATCTTGTGGACCTTGTTGACCAAGTCCAGGAGGTGCTCATCCTTCCTGCCAAACCTGGTGCCGCCCATCACCGCCCACAGGATGTTGACGAGCGATACTCCGAGCAGCTCCTGAGTCACACATACATGTAGGTAGGTATTAAAGAATTATCTTTATCACACACAAAGACCAAGATTCGAAATAATTAAGATCATAAAAATAATTAAATTAAAAAAAGACCCAATATCACCACCTTATTCAGTACATATATTTCAACCTACAGTACACACAACTCATGCGTGCCATCCCATCTACTATACAACCATCTATCCCACTCCCCTCTCAAGCAGTCCGTCCATCATCATTGATTTTTGATAAAATTTACCCCCCCCCCCATAGCGATCCACACTGTTCCAATGATTAACACCGTAGTGACTCAAGACTATACCAAGAGGATGCCACGGCTCGACTTAACCAAATTACACAAATTGTCACTACTCTGTCTCTCACCTGAAGTGATACACTGCCGTCAGCATCCTGCATCTCCTGGATTAATTCTCTGGCTTCCTCCTGGATGATGTTCTCGTGTGACCTTTTACTGAAGCCTAAGTTACGAAACTGGTGGAGTGTGAACCGTCGCTGTTCTTTCCACAGATCTTCCTCCACATACATCATACCTGCGGGAAGGTGCGTTAATATTCTATGCTGGAGAAAACTAAATTTTAAATGTTTTAAACTTAATGTTTTCCTAAGACAGATTTACAACAGAATATAAATAATAATAGATGTGCAGTAATTAATTTTAACAAAGACGATGATCTGAGACCAACAGTTTGGTTTTAGTTTTAACTGTAATATAATCTCTAACTTTTTCACCTTTCACACCGTTGTATGCAAGATGGAGATAAAGATTAAAAGGTCGACCATTTAAATCTTCGTTGTTGAGTGACTCTTTCACGGCCTCCCACCCGTTAACGATGACGGTGGCTTGGGGGCCAAAGTAGACCCCGACGACGGGGCCGTAGGTGCAGGAGAGCCGCCACATGTGCTTGAAGGTTAAGTGTGTCTCCAGGAACGGTGAGAAGCCCACAAGAGGCAGCCGAGCTGGTCCTGGGAAATCAGTATAAATATTTGCATTTGTGTTTGTATTTTTTTTTTTTTTGCGAATATTAATGTATTAATAATCATATGTGACTCAAGCGGAATTAAACTAGGAATATAATCAGGAGTTTTCACGATATATCACTAAGATTTCCTAATGGGCCTCAAGAGATGAAGGGCTGGCTCCCCCTGGTTCACACACAAGGCGAAATGTAAATTATGGAAAATAAAGAAATCAAAATGGTGTTAAGGTGACACTGTCCAGCTGAAAATAAGTTACCTGGGGGGAAGCCTCGTGGTTTACGAGAAGCCAAGTAAAGGAGCAGGAGCAGCAGCGCCACACTCACCAGAAACATTCTTCAAGTCTCTGTTGGTCGAAAATACAATGCAAATCATTAATAGACACTTGTACTCTTGTGCAGAATAACTCGATATTATTCAACTCGTCATTGTGTGGTGGATTGTGATGAATTTTAGCTTTATAACTTAAGATTCTCAGATTGTTGACATCGACTATACAAGTTCATATTCAGTTACCAAGGCAACACAGGGGCACTCCCTTGATGATGTTGTAATGAGTGGTGTACTCATCATGAAGATACAGTAAGAATCGAGAGGTTGTGGTCTTCAGCTTCTTGGTGATGTTGCTAGCTAAGAGTATATCGACATCCTTCTCGGTCAAGCAGAGGGCGATGAAGTAGTCCTTGGTGGTGATAAGATTGGAGATCATGATTGAGATCCTGATTCCGAGTGCTGCGTTGAGGAGTCTTGCTAGTTCCGTTTTCCGTTCGTCAGACACGCCCGCATCATAGGAGCGTATCCGAACCCGATGTGCCCTCATATCAGATAGGACGTGGTGGACAAGCCACTGTTACGACAAAAAAAAAAGCAAACAAAAACAGACAACCTACCTATTCCAGGAGAGCGACCCATCAAAGGAATTACAGCACTCCCCACCGCCACTTGTTCATAGTGATGTTCCTGTGACTCTCTTCCTGACTTTCTTGTAGCCCCCCACTTTTATTGGGGGGAGTTCAGGGTCACGTCCTGATAACGGCCGCTATTGCCATGAGCTTGGAAGTTATGGGGTCCGGTGTACCGTCATAGCAGGCCTGTCGGTGGCGCCTCCTAATCATTACTCATATGCGTGTGGCTGGCTTTTGTCCCTTGTTATCACGTGCTTCGCTCACCTGGCCTGGCTAACTTTTTTCTGACAAACTCTATATTAACCAAGGTGTCTTAAGACTTGAAGAAACGTCATACCTTAATAACCATCAGCGAGTCGCTTCACGGTAAAAACAAAACTTTAATACCAATAACCAATGACGCAGTTTCACAACAGCGATGTGTGTTCAGTTTACGAAGTTAAGCAACGTGCGTTTGGTTAGTATGTGGATGGGAACACCAAATGTTTGTTGGCAAAAGGACCTTGGCCAAACTGACTAAATACTAATTATTGTTATTATTAATCAAAATTCAAGACGTCGCTACACGGTACTTGGCTTTGGTGCAGGCGGTAATGTGGCAACGTAGGTGAAATTATTAAACATCCATTTTTTTTTTCAATTTCCTTTACATATTGTGTGTGGTTTAGTTTTAATAAATTTTTCAAAATAAACTCGAGAACGCTTTGACTACTCTAGATTATGTATATACAGTACTGTATTTTCGTTACACCAGCATAAATGTACCTTATGAGGGGCAAATCTAGCGGGTTGAATTCCTCTAAAATGTACAATAGCTAAAATAACTATCTGTGCATACTTTGTGGGTAACAATATGAGACCATGGACGATAAATTTTGGTATATGGGGGCTGTCACTAGTCACATGAAAAATTTCGGTGCATATCGACCCGTCTACCTGCACAGATAGTTGTTTTAGCTTCTATACCTCTGTTTCTGCTTTCACTCAGTACTTCAAAAGGAGCGGCGCTACAACTACTAAAAAGGAACTCTGCTACGTATCGCTGCTACTCCCAACATTGCTACCGACACAAAAACACTATACGATGGAACACAGCAAGAAAACACAACTTCGAATTAGTAACTACCAATAAACACTTTTTTTTTTTCCACCAAACCAACGGAAGTCTTTCCAAAAATTTTAGTTGTCTTGAACGCCTTTTACAACGAGTACACTTATAAGCTGATGATATTTGTGTCACTGAAACCTGGTTGTCTGAAAAATTTAAAAAATAATTCAATCTACAATGGTTTCCCAGATTTGATATATCAAGGCGTGATAAACGTAGAGGGGGAACATTTTGGCCCCAGGGCGCATGCTTACTGTGCCTATTGGATAATCCGGCTCTCCTTTATCCTAACTCACCCCTTACCTCAAAATTCCTTATCACATTTTCTCTATTTGACAAATATAGGTTGAGTAAACGATATACAGAGTTGTCTGTGAGTTCCTGTACTTGTATATGTGAAAAGTCCCTTGGAGCAATTAGTAATACTTTATACTCAGTGAACTGAAATAAGCAACAATTTACCTTATGGTGAAGTTACAGTATGTTAGCAGAGAAAGGAACTGTGGTCGTCAAGTTAGTCCGGGGCTGCAAACAACGCTGTTGGACCTGGAGTGATGGAGTGAGCCAAGTGGTAGTCCCAGTCACTCAGTCAGACCTTGGGGGTGGGGGGAGGGGTGGGCAGGGAGCTAAAATACTAAATCAAGATCAGCGATGCCACCCTAGCCATACTGACTGTGGAAGCACGTGCCCAACTGCTGCGTGCAACGACAGCCATCGAGTTTCACACGCATGTAAGATTTTGTGTGGCTTAAGGTCCAGAAAAGTTTGGGTAAGTTTAAGTTCATATTTCCTTTTGGCACTATGGGAAAAGTGTGTATAAATATTTCTGTTTAGGTTTTTGTAATGTCGTGGTAGATATTTTACCGATTCTGATGTACATAAGTGAATGCTATAACAAATATACATTTATTTTAATATATAAAATTTTATTCTTTGATGAAGTGGCACATGTATGAATATGTAACATAATATAAGATATTAAATAAAGCAGCCATATAATATCTTACAATAATATTTATTAAAATTTCAATGTAGAATAAAGATTATTTTGATTTGTAGAATTTATGAAAAATGGGCGTAGAATGTCTAGACTCTAGAACGTGGCCTTATGGTGACTAACTGGCAACTAAAAAGCCACGTTACTTGCCAAAGGTCACTAGACCACAATTCGGCAACGCTGCTCAAGATAGGAAACCTCCAGCTAAAATAGATATGAAATGTGTGTACAATATAGTTGCCAGATACCTTAATAATAGCGCTGTAAGGGCTGTAACGAGCGAGATGGTTGTCCGCCACTCGTTTGTAGCCCAGCTAGGGGAAGATGGAGGTCAGAAGGTTGCTGCTGCTTAGTCACACATCATGCACTACCCAGCCAGAGTATAGGTTGTTCATGTAAGCACCTACAGGTACGTTGGTCTACCTGTGTGAGCCACTACCAGCGCCACCACCTCTGCTGTTGCCGCCAACGAACGAGGCCCCTCCAGTCCCTGACCCACGGCCTCAAAGGAGCCTCTGTCAGGGTCCTACGCCTCATGTACATTGCTATCGTCAGAGCTGTCATAGATTATGCCTCCCCTGTCCTTGTAGTTGCCTCCCAACGCGAGAAACAAAGCATAGAGAAAATCCAAAACAGAGCGATGAGACTCATCCTCGGCTGCCCTATGACCACCAGAATAGAAGTCATGCAGCGTGAACTGATCCTTCTTCCAGTCTGCGATCGAATTACTGCTCTCAATGCCATCCTAGGTGTTAAACTCCTTCGCAGTGAGAAACCGACTCCCCTGTCCCGCTCACTGAACTCACATCTTGACTCCCTCCTGCGCCGGCCTGCCCCCATTACCTCTCCCTCCCAACACTGGCCCGTCCACACTGCTGCTGACATCCTGCGTTATCACCTCTACACCCCCTCGACCTCTCTCCCTCCCGAGTACACTCATCCGCCTCTACCGCCGTGGACCTCCCCGAGTGTTGATGCTGTCGTCCACACCTTCCCTGGTCGTAAATCCACCCAACTGCGGTATATGCTCAAACTTAACTGCCTTGAGCAGATTGATGAGGTCGCCTCTTCTCTTACGACCTCCCTCCCTCCTATGCTCGTCTACTGTGATGGGTCTGTCACCACGCTGGGCAGCGCTGGGGCAGCTGTGTGGATTCCTGAGCGCCAGGCCCGCAAGAAAATCAGGGTCCACGACTGGGCCTCCTCCACTGACACTGAAAGCATAGTCATCCTCGCGGGCATTCATGAGGGGGGCGACCTATGCTCGCACTGAACGCCGGAACCTCCTGTGTGGTGGTGCGGAAGGTACACTGTGTGGTGGTGGCGGGAGGTACACTGTGTGGTGGTGCAGGGTGTGGTGGTGCAGGGTGCACTGTGTGGTGGTGCAGGAGGTACACTGTGTGGTGGTGCAGGAGGTACACTGTGTGGTGGTGGGGGTGGGACACTGTGTGTGGTGGTGCAGAGGTACACTGTGTGGTGGTGCGGAGGTACACTGTGTGGTGGTGCGGGAGGCACACTGTGTGGTGGTGGGTACACTGTGTGGTGGTGCAGGAGGTACACTGTGGTGGTGTGTGGTGGTGCAGGAGGTACACTGTGTGGTGGTGCAGGAGGTACACTGTGTGGTGGTGCAGAGGTACACTGTGTGGTGGTGCAGGACAGGTACACTGTGGTGGTGCGGGAGGTACACTGTGTGGTGGTGCAGGAGGTACACTGTGTGGTACACTGTGTGGTGGTGCAGGAGGTACACTGTGGTGGTGCAGGAGGTACACTGTGTGGTGGTGCAGGAGGTACACTGTGTGGTGGTGCAGGAGGTACACTGTGTGGTGGTGCAGGAGGTACACTGTGTGGTGGTGCAGGAGGTACACTGTGTGGTGGTGTGGGAGGTACACTGTGTGGTGGTGTGTACACTGTGTGGTGGTGCAGGAGGTACACTGTGTGGTGGTGCACACTGTGTGGTGGTGGGGAGGTACACTGTGTGGTGGTGCAGGAGGTACACTGTGGTGGTGGTGGGAGGTACACTGTGTGGTGGTGCAGGTACACTGTGTGGTGGTGCAGGAGGTACACTGTGTGGTGGTGCAGGAGGTACACTGTGTGGTGGTGCAGGAGGCATGTGGTGGTGCAGGAGGTACATTGTGTGGTGGTGCAGGAGGTACACTGTGTGGTGGTGCAGGAGGTACAGTGTGTGGTGGTGCAGAAGGTACACTGTGTGGTGGTGCAGGAGGTACACTGTGTGGTGGTGCAGGAGGTACACTGTGTGGTGGTGCAGGAGGTACAGTGTGGTGGTGCAGGAGGTACAGTGTGTGGTGGTGCAGAAGGTACACTGTGTGGTGGTGCAGGAGGTACACTGTGGTGGTGCAGGAGGTACACTGTGTGGTGGTGCAGGAGGTACAGTGTGTGGTGGTGCAGGAGGTACAGTGTGTGGTGGTGCAGGAGGTACACTACAACATACAAATAGTGACAATAAAACAACAGTCAATATTATTTAATATTGAAATATATTATATATTTTGTCAAATACATACAGCATATATATATCTATATACATCATTGTGTTTCAAGTTTCTTCCTTCATCCTAAAAGTGTGTCCTGATTTTCCATAAAATAAAACAATCTTATATAAACCATTAAAAACCTAAAACTACTCGCATTCCCGTTCATAAATATGTCATAAACCCCAGAAATAAAAGAAAGCACTAGATTCACCAAAATATAATTCACGCCACTTATCCAACAAGGACAGTACTGCTTAAACATCTAATCAACAAAATTTTTATTACAATTTGTTTACAATATCAAGATCATTAGTCTATGTATTTGAAGAGATTCTACACTTGTGGCAAGTCAGAGTGAAAGAGAGTGAAGGAGTGTGACTGCTGCCACCAGCATCAACCCCAAGGCTGGTGCAGCTCCACCAGATGGCTCGCTCTTTGCCTCTTCCCTTGGCAGCTCCGATGTACATAACACTTCGTCTGTCGAGATTAAATCCAATCTAAGTAAACTGTAAATTTGTTATAATGTGACAAAATTAAAGCATATCCAGACTAATACCGAGTATACAAATGAAATATATTACACATATATTTACAACCCACATGTATATACGGTCATTATTCTGGAGGGGAAGCAATCATACGCTTTGTTCACTGTGCATATGGCGACTGAACACTTTAAACATTTCTAGACAAAATCTTTCAAAGACTAATAAGCATGGAGGTTATACACGTAGTAAACCACCCACACACCAACTGAAATTGGAGATATCGAGCATTACTTCTGCTTTTCTTTCTTTCTGGGCCATTAATAAGACTTACCCCATTAATTGTCTCTGTATTCAGCCGTCAAAAGACTCGCCCCCATGTACAGTATATACTGTAGTAATGCTAAGTAGTGTTAGTACCCCTGTACACACTCATGAAAGTGGTAGTACAGGAGGCGGGAAATAACCAGTGCATTTTATTAGTATGTCTACATCTTTACCAAATACTACTGACGGAAGATCTGGTGAAGTGCAGGAAACAAAGAAAATCTCAGTAACTACAACAACAAAAATAATGTTTACACTAAACAATACATTCTAATCTTTTTTGTTAGCTTGTGGGAATCAATGAAAGCAATACCACAGTTACAGTCTACTGAGTGGTAATGACTAGTCCTACTTCCAGTGGTATTAACATGGTGCGGATTTTAATACAAGTGTAGCTAAAGTACTTGCTGCACGGTTTACCTACAGCCATTGATATCCACTTGTCATTTCACCTTCAATCAATATCTTCACAGTGATGATAATTTATATCCACATGGTCAATCTAATCTTGGGGTAAGCTTGTGTCTGGATCTCTCTTCACTTATCATTGATTCTATAAGAGTTGACAGGTTTAGGTTCGCTGTATTAAACACAGCATACATGAATATTCTCCCTAAGCCAGGCTAGTGATCTCCGATAAGAAGGGTTACCTAGATTCAGGAAGTTCATAGAACACAATGATCATCTTGTAACACACACACACACACACACACACACACACACACACACACAAGCAGTTTCCTCACCACACTTGAACATTATCGAACCCGTCTTCCTTACATCCGGAAGTTGCAGTGTTCCCAACTAACATATAACATTATTCAACTCAAAAAGAAATGAAAAATTATAAAACACACAGAACTGGAATGGCATGAAAAGCGATTGGGACACAGAGCTGGGCTGCCATGACAAACGCATTAGTCACAGACACTTACCAGTTTCCCAACCAACGAATTCTCCATGGCGCTCATTGTCTTTCTTCAGCCAATTCTCAAGTGGCTTAAAGTATTCCCTGATAACAGAAGCATCCATCCTGCGACCACCTGTTAGTGCTTCCATTGCCTCGGGCCACTCCTTGGATGAACCCAACTGTAGCATTTTCCTGTCAGATGAGAAAAAGGAATGTCAGAATATCTCCTTTTTTTATTATAATGAGACTGTATATTAGATACCACGTTGTTTATACATGTAGAGTACAGTCGCGAACCAAAGTTTTGCCGCCTCTTCTTCATGTTGCTCTCCAAACCCCGAGATTTAGACTCTTGAAATCGAAGTAGTAGACACCGATGCATTATTCTGTCCATAAATGAATCAGCTTCACGAATCTGAATCTCGGGGTTACACACTGTTGGGAAGTACTGGGCAGGTACTGGCAAGGTGGGGCAAGTTACATCTTAATTGAGTTAATAAAAAAAAAACTAACTGCATATTTATAACATAAAATTTACATTAAAATCACTCATAATGGCAACAACAAATCCAGCTAGCACTTTCCCACTGACCCAAGCAAGTTGCCAGCATCAGTAGACTGGTAGATGTCACACTTGTGGAGAGGCTTGGCTGGGTTGAGGGGGTCGTACTCCCCAGCCTTCATACACAGTGCCTTGTGGAACTGGAACTGTACCACAAAGCTCACGAAGTATCTGGAAATAGTCATACCCTTCTTTTAACTACCATAATTAGTTAATCACTACAAAGTTTACATCTTATTTTTGCCATAAATTGTTTCAACACATTTATAGATTTATATTAAGCAGTTGTCAACAGATTTCATTATGTAATGCTCTACGTTAGCGTATATAGTATATTGTATTTACACGTTAAAATACACGTGCCTCTCAAACATCTACTGTGTTCAATCTCAGTTACCATCAGCCAAATGTGGAACAAGTCTTACGGCTGATGTCTTTCCTATAACCAACTTATTTCTACTAAGTGAGAACTGGGCATTACAGTACTACATGTACTATGTAGGACTTCCAAGTGCCCTCTAAGAAAAACGTTACCAAATAATGCAGACTCACTCATTAAAACACTAAATACATTTCCTTGACTGGACATATGAAAATTCGTTCACCTTGGCTCAGAAACAATTGCCTTCATGTATACGGACTTGTACTGTATGTAGAATGTATTCAATAACCTTTTTATAACCAAGTAAACTACCTGATATACGGGACATTTGCTGGGATGTGATACTTCGCTCCGGGGTCAAAGTCATATTCAGATCTCTGTACTGGAGGCTTAATTCCCTGTAATTTGAACCTGAAATATTATATAAAAGAGAAAAAATAATAAATAATAGTTGCAACATTAGCAGACACAATGAACAGTAACAAATAATCTTCAACATTATGCATGATGTTAAATATATATACAGTATATCAAAATTCATACGCAAAATATAATATGACAAATTTACTCACACAGATAATGAACATCTGATTTATGTACCAAATTGCATCTTTATGTCAGATGAATAAATTCAACCAAACAGTGAGTGTATGGCAGTGTATCTCTCACCTCAGGTCCCACCAAGCACAGTTCCAGTTATCCTCGTGAGTTTTGCCGCTAAACACATCCCAGCGCCACAGGTCCATCAGGTACCCAAATGGTAGGAAAGTTATTTTCTCCAATGCCATTTTTAAGAGGAAGTTAATGTCCTCCTCTTGGTCATCATGGACCTCCTGCAGTAAACCAATCTTTTGCAGGTGCTTGGGTGTGGCCACACTCAGGGCCAGCACGTCTCCCACAGCCTCGTGGAATCCTGTGAAGAAAATATTTCATTTATTTATTAAAAAAAAAAAAATACAAATTAATATTACTCGTTCTGTAAAGCTTCAAATCTTAAAGTAAGTTCACTAAAAATTCCCTTCATAATACTATACAGCACACTGGCAATGCAAATAATCTGTCCAATAACTTTACTGAATACTGTTAATTCATCCAAATGTGGGTTAACCTGGGTCAGGTACTTTTAATCATAATTTGGACTCTAGCAAAAGTGACCGTCGCCACCCAACACCACATGAGGTCACTACCGGAGCCTCTCAAGTTTCAGTTATCTTGTATACTGTATTATCATCTCTTATACCTTTACTTATCCTTCCTCCCTCATCGTTTCTACTTCCTTATTTTAGCTGATTATCATCCTGTGCACATATAGATGCATTATTTATTTGTGGAATAAAGGGCAACTGTTTCAATCCTGTCATTGCCAAAACCCAAAAAAAAGAAATGTATTCCAAGCATAATGTCTCATCCAACGGATCCTCCAAACCTCCAGCATGAGGAACATCACCTGGGTTGGCTCCACTTCGAAACACTCCTGGGAGGTGCTTGTACTGCAGGTAGTATTCTATGTGACCCATTTCATGATGGACTGTAAGCAGGTCACTCATAGTCACATCCGTACACTGTTTGATCCTGAGGAACCAAGTTATAATAGCAGTGATTCTCATTAGTAAAGGAGCTCGGACATCGCTCACTACAGGTTGTAACTAAAGCATATCACCTCTACCTTCAAGTATTAGTGAGATGCCTTATGATTGCCTCGGCCACATAACATACATTACAGACACAAGGTAATGGCAGTGTGACATTCATTTGTGTTGTAATATATATTTATCATCACATTTGACTGATCTACACCTCCTTTGAGGAACATAAAATAAAACACTGAAAACTTAATGATACACTAGACACAAATGAGACCAGTGGCCGAGACGTGTACAACCAGAGTTATTATTGCTCAGATATCCTTTCCACTTCCTGGAGAATGAGCAGAAGAGCGTACAACATGTAGCTAGTGCAGTCATACTTCATCCCTTAGCCTAATAACTCCTTACCTGGATTAGAACCCTCACGGAACACTCTAGGAAGGTTCTTGTACTGAAGGAAGTACTCAACATGTCCCATCTCGTGGTGTACCGTGATCAGGTCATTCATGGTCACATCCGTACACTGCTTTATTCTTAAACAATCAGGGCACTATCTTAATAGGTTTCTATATAGTATAACAATTGTGGAGTCTATACATAAATTATACAAGACAAAGTAATTAGCTCTTAAGTTTGGGACAGTAAACAAAAAAGAGGCGTGCAGTCTCAAGTGTCTCATGATTCAAGAATGAAGTTTGTTTGTCAGGGAGTTGAATCACAAGAGGAGGAACAGCGATGGGAAGAGAAGATAACAGCTTTAAATTACATACAGCACTTATTTATATAAAACAGAATACAGAAGTACTTGTTGAACATCAAAAGAGGTGGAAAAAGGTCAGATTGAAGGGAGTCAAATAATCGCTACAAATTAATCTACAGTACAACAGAAAGTAAAGTAACGATACTTCTAATGTACAGATTTTTCTACAGTTTCTTACCGAAAAATGGGATAAAAGTACATAAACGGACAAACAAACTCTTCCATAAAAAAGAACATCAAATACTGTACATGACAAATGTAATACTACAAGATATTATACAAATATTTGAATACATTAATGAATATAGAAGCTGCATCACCTAATACAAGAAAGTACTGATACACTACATATCTCTATCATTTCTCAGTAGATTTAAATTACTAATAAAAGTAAAATACTAAGATCAACCATTAGTACACAGCTAAGTAACCCTGCAGTAAGAGAACAATACTCTACAGAATATTTAACACACTTGAATGTATATTGTACAGTATTATAATACTGTTAATAGGTAAATCAAGTTTCAGTTGTACATTTGGTTAATTAAACTCGCATTTACAGTATATACAGAAATTACAGGTATTAGTGCATTGTCTACCTCTCTGAGAGAGTATTTAACTTTTAATGAAACTAAACAGGCGAGTCGGATGCTAGTCAAGAATGAAGGGATTTGATTTTGGAACCAGGACAGTAGGTGAAGGGTTAATGAAGAGGGTCAAGGTCACAAGGTCATAGGTCATCCCCAAAGAAAACGGCCAGAACAAAAATTAATAAGATTAGTTTTAATGAAAGCTTTTGGAAGGCAAGTTAGTTTATTGGCTAAAAGATAAAGCCTATCACTATCTTGGCGCCATACTTGTTCATGGTTGAAGACGTTGATGAAGAAGAGTGAAAAATTTCTTACAAGAGGATAACAAACATTGATTAAATTTTACCCCAAGTCCTGAATATTGGTTGGGAAAATATACTGTACTCTTATATAGGACTCTGGGTCAAAGGTCAGAGGTCATGGGAGGGAGGTTTGTACTCTTCTGACCTGTTACATACGCCGACACAGTAACATTTGTGAGTGTGTTAAATTGTACTGAGAGAGATGTGAATTTTGAGAGGAAAGGAAAATTGTTAGATTTTCATTAGATTAACAGAAATAAATGTATAAAATAATTAATAGAGAACCAGAGAGCAATATTGAGAACCATTCACTACCAAACAAATAATTAATAGAGAACCAGAGAGCAATATTGAGAACCATTCACTACCAAACAAATCACACCAACCAACCAAACGAGAGGATATTCCTAACCTATATCACTTAACACTTCTTATAAAGGTGTTCATCCTACACAAGAGATCGAAAAATTCTTAAAACAATGAGAGAGAGAGAGAGAGAGAGAGAGACATTTTAACCGCATATGATTGGCTACAGTACACACACACACTACTTTCACTATGATGCTAATTTGAGCCGACAGGATAGTTTGCGTAAAGGTTAATACATATTAAAGTGATTCTACTGTACATGATCCCAAGCCATTCTTCTATAATGACTAATATAACAACTCACTAATTCACCTACTGATACATAGTCTCTCTCTCTCTCTCTCTCTCTCTCTCTCTCAACCTTCAGAAACTTATATAAATTTACTAAAAAAATTCACTTCTTAACTATTCTTCCCTATGTATCTCCCTCTGTACTATGCATTCTCTTGTATCTAAAACAAAGTGCAGTTCAGTATTTCAGTTCACCATACCTGAAATCTTTGCCATTACAGAAGTCCCAGGCAGATGCATGGCAAACCAAGTCGCGACCTTGTGGCTTCTCTATGATGGAATGTTCCCAAAACTCAGAGGGCATCCTGGTCAAGTTAAGGGAGGCGAAGAACTCCTCAGACAGCTCAAACATCCTCCGAGGTGTGTAGCCCTTAACAGAAGTAAACATTGCCAACAGTCAATAAATATCCAAATCAATGGAAATTTTAACGTAAATTCTGTTTCAAGGCAACGTAGTTCATTTATGAGAAAATTAATGTTTATGAAATATTAGTACATGAACAGTAAAACTTTTATTTAATGGACTACTGTATATGGAAAGGAGAATCTGTAATACTATATAAAAAGGAGAATCTATTATATCAAGGGTCCCTTAGATGTGAAACCCAGTACAGGTATACAGTATATAGAGAAGCCCGTTATATGAAGGTTTCACTGCACTGTAAACTCATCATATATCTTCATCATACATGTCAGCCTTTACCGACACAAATAAAGTTTTACCATTGACACCATCTGAGGAGTGACGTCAATAGAGGCCTTGCCAGGGAAGGGGACGGCCAGGTCGTTCACTTCGCTCCAGTCCTGAGACCACATGTTGCCCATCAGGTGAGCCGGGATAGGACCACGGCGGCTGATACGGCGTTCCCCATATTTCTGCAGATAACCATTCAATGTTTATAAAGTCTTTTCTCTCAAAGTTTTCTATTAAGTGGAAAAAAAATTAAATAAAAAACAAAATTGGATAAAATTTGGAATATAAATTCGTATCGCATTTAATCCTTCGAGTCCTAAAGGGTTAAATCATGATTTTCCAAAGGGTTAAACACAAGTGCTATGTTATGGTGTGTTAGTTTTCCTTAACCCCTTCACTCCGGGGACGCCAGTTTTAACACATTATTTGGGTCAGGCCAGACGAGTATATTCAGCTCAGATGGGACCCTGTACACAAGGGGTTGGTAGACTATCTCCACTAAAACCCAAGTTACAGTACCTCCACCTAGGTCACCTTACCTCTCTCAGCTTCCTCCTGACGTAGGCATGTAGCTGCTGGTAAAGAGGCTTCAGCTGTTCCCACAACTCTGCCAAGTCAGCACGGAATGTTTCAGACTCGTATGGATACACCCACATTTCTCCCATGTTATCAAAGCCTGTAGGGAAATACCGTATATAGCGCACACTGTATCATACATTAACTATCATTTACTCGGTAAGCCAAGCCTAAAGATCGATAGAATACTGTTACTATACCTATCATCAGGGGCGTTAATTACTATCTGTAATGGGCAGGTGATAGTGATGGGGAAGGTAGTGGTGGTGCGAGTGAAAGAAACAGACACATACGAAGGAAAATATTTGAAATACAGTAGTTATAATGAATCAGTAATAATCTGTAATGTAAATATACTGTACAGTACTTTTCACTTGACAAAAAACAACAATGCATACCAGTCTGTAAGGTGATGTTATATCCGTAAAGTTATAGCGTGTGTGTGTATGTGTGTGTGTGTATGTGTGTGTGTATTGTGATTGTACAAGATAAACATACCATTGAGTTTGGCAGCCTTGTTAGCCAATCTGACGAAGAGCTTGTAGTGATCTCGAATGCGGCGGCCAGAGCTGTAGCGCCACATCTTCCACACATGTTCAAGCTCGCCATAGTCCCGGCTCGTACGGAGGATGCGGGTCAGATCTAGAAATAGAGCCAACAACACTTTTTACAATAATTATAATAGTCTATACAACATTCGGGTTTCAGTCTTGTGGTTAGATGGTCTCTCTTAACACGTCTCCGTCCCATATATACATACAATAACATACATACTCCCTGCTTCTACCTTCTGCCACACCTTATTGACTCTTTACATTCACTCTCCCTGACCTCACTACCAACACCTGTAGTCAATCTCTATGTATAAGCTTCATCATCACTACACTTCCATCTCTGCTCTTCCCTCACCTGCTCTTCCCTCACCTGCCCTTCCCTCACCTGCCCTTCCCTCACCTGCCCTGACCTACCTCACCCCGCCTTGGGATAGCACATATTCAGGACGCGACCCTCGCTGCCCGCCTAGTTAGCGTGTCACCACCAAAGGCGAAAGTTGCAGAACCATCAAAGCTCAGGTCAAGGTTGTGTACTTTAGTAATACAAACCTGTGCTTTAAACAGGAAACTTATTGAGATATAATTCTCTTGACTACAAGGATTACAGACATTGGAGTATAGAGTAGAAACAGATATTTATAATAGTCCTTTGGTTAACTAGGGAAGTATTCTGTCATACAAACCCGTCTGTCCTTCACCACTTAGTGCCTTATGAAAGGTATATGACATCTTGTCCCTACCTTTGACCTACTTCCTCTTAAAATCATCATAAAACCGCTTGAGTCTCCACCCCAGCTTATTTCACTTAAAGATTAACCAACCTCACCTAATCCCCCCCCCCCAAATAATATTAGGGTAGTTAATCTTTAGATGAAATAAGCTGGGGTGGAGATTCTTCAAGTGATTCATTTATAAATTTCCTTAGAGTACGTCTGTGGGTCGATAAGGGTGCACGTAAGAGGAGAAAGGCAGACAGTATCAAGAACCAGTAGGTGACCTGGTAAACAACTTTCACATCATATACCATCACCACCCATCTACCTCTCCCTATATCAGTTTCCTTCATATTATCAAGTTACCCATAAATGGGTTTTACCGGACCCACCTCAACACCTCGGTCTATAGAGTCGCGCACCACTATATTTATTCTTTACAAAATCATTATAAACCGGTTATAAAGATGCATTACAGTGAAACCTCCATTTAACGGACTTATCTCACCATGTAATCCGTTAAATGCGAGTTTCACACATAACAGACCCTCTCTCTTTGTTTTGTCGGGTTACTTGGGGAGGCGTGTGTATGTCTAACAGCTCACCCCTCAACACACCTCACGCGGCTCTCCCTCCAAGGTTCCCGACTATAAACATGACCAGCAGCGGAGGGACCCTAACACGTAGCTTCGTAAATACCAAATCACATACATTTAACCATATACTGTACTGATAATTTCTTGATTATACATCACCTTAATATATTTTATATACAAGAGCTTTAACATTTTGTAATTATAACCGGAAATTGCTTAAGAATATAGGTCACAGAATAGTCAAAAGTCCTGCAAATGTTACAAGTAGAGAAAATATCAACAGCCAGTTATAAACACTTCACTGCAGCAATCGCCTCCGTAGTACCCCAGATGTCGAACAGGTTTTTTTTAAATGTTTATCGATGAGGAACCGCGCACGACATTTCAGCGTGTGGTGTAGAGCCTCAGTGTGATGTAAGTAGGACAGTCAACACACAACGGCAGTAATGTCAAGAAACACTTTCACTCTCAATTATATTCCTATCCTTAGTGACCCAACAGGTAGGTCAAGGCAGAAATAGTGTGGTGTAAAATTGGTCCCTGTACAAGGTGGGGACTCCCTGGCTAGCTTTTATGGTCAATATTTTATACATCTGTAAGTGGGATGAGAGGCACTTTGTTTACTGTACGTGGGATGGTCCTAGTCTTCTACAAGTGGGTGTGAAATGGTAGTCTCATGCATAAGCTAGAAATCTCCAGCTACTGATAAATAACCTCCACACACACACACACACACACTCGAGTTCCCGACACAAAATGTAAACTAACAAACGCCCGCTACACACTTACTTTTTACTTTTATCCTCCACCACTGATCGGCTCGTTAGCCGCATGGGCGATCGGTCACGTCTCTGTTACGCACTGTTGACAAGTACTGGGCATGCATCGGCTCCTGAATGTACCTGAACCCGCTCCAGTGTTGGTCAAGTCTGGTCTTGAAAGAGCTCACACTCGGTGCCGTCAACACTTTCTGGTAGATTGTTCCAAGAGTTCACAACTCTCACTCCGAAAAAGTTTGCCCTCACGGTTTTCTGGACCTGCGGCTCCACAAACCAAAACAAAAGTCCCCACAACACAAGCATCAAGACAAGGGTCAGAAGGACTGGTTTACACACACACATGCATGCATGCATGCATTCATAAGGCCCTGAGATCACCGTACGCTTGAGTGGTGTGAAGGAGAGGGACGGTGTGAGGGAGGGGGCGGTGTGAGGGAGGGGGCGGTGTGAGGGAGGGGGCGGTGTGAGGGAGGGGGCGGTGTGAGGGAGGGGGCGGTGTGAGGGAGGAGCGGCACGAAAATGGAGGCAGTAGAAATATCGTGTTATATTTAAGCACAGAAACAATATGACTACTTTTACACTATACAGAAGCTACTCCATTCGTCCTGGGGTCTAAGTAGAAGTCAGTTAAAGCTGCTGTTAGGAGAGAATTCAATAGGAAGGATGGGAGGAATCCTTTGGTGGCGGTGTGTAAATCTCGAATGTTTTGAAAAGAACTAAAGCCTGCGAAAAACACCTGTTCTTTGTACTCACACTTGTCACACAGTCTTCCTACTCCCCCTGCCTCTCTCTCACACCATCATTCTTTACCTCTTTCCTTCTTGCTTTCTACCCCATCCCTAGTCCCTACCCTTTTCTATCCAACCCCATTGCTTTCTCTAATTGTTTTCTTTCCCTTTCTTAATCTCCTCCTTTCTCCTCCTCCCTACCCTCATCCCTTCTCCCCATACTCTTTCACCCCCATTTTCACGCCTTTTCCCCTCCTCCTGACCCTCCCAGCCACTCCTACCATCCACGTACGCCACAGTACTCCTCCCTCCCTCCTCCAACACACTACCCTCCTCCTCCTCCACCAACACACTACCCTCCTCCTCCTCCACCAACACACTTCCCTCCTCCTCCTCCAACACACTACCACCCTCCTCCTCCAACACACTACCCTCCTCCTCCAACACACTACAGCGGAAAAAGTTCTGCCGATGCTGTCACTTTTTTTAATCGTGAGAAAAGGTCAAAGTGTACAGAGTGTGTGTATGTGTGTGCGCGCGTGTGTATGTGTTTGTGTGCGTGTATTTCATTCTACCAGTCTGTTTGGATGTGGATATGCATGTGTGTATCCTTGTATGTGGATATGTATGTGTGTATCCTTGTATGTGGATATGTATGTAAGTATCCGTGTTGTACGTATATGGGGAGGAGTCCGTGTAATCAATTCGACACACATATGTACACCTGCACCACCAACACCTGCATCACCAACACCTGTGTACCTGAGAAGGAAGAGTAGGTGTGGAGCAGGAGGGAGGTGGAGTAAATTAGTAAAAACTGAGTGAAAGAAGAGCGAAAACAAGAAGCAGAATGAAAGAATAAGGAGTAAAAAAAAAAGGAGTTAGGAGGGAAGGAGGAACAAGAGACAGTAGGACGAGGAAGAGGAGAAAAGAAAATAATGATCAAGAAACAGATGAAAGAAGAAAACAAGTAAACGGTGGAGAAAGAAGGAGGGAGGGAGAAAGAAGAGGAGGAAGAAGCGGCGTTACGAAGCAAGATTACTGGTCGGGGCAGGAGATGTAGGTTTGGGGTGAGGGAGGCAGAGGAGGAGGTGAGACTGCAGCAGCTTTCCCCCACCTGCCCACACATCATTACTACCCTAACCACCAACTCTCACCACTAACCTAACTTAACAAGATCCATAACACTCGTCCATCATTAAATACTATGTCAGGGTTTACGAAAAATATTCAGTCTCTTTAAGGTCCGATTTACTGAATATACCTGTTCCCTCTATCTATGTAAACGAACTCAACCCGATGTGTGTGTGTGTGTGTGTGTGTGTGACTTCCCCCGTTGGTGGTAAGTACAAGGGACAGTGTACAGCCGGAGGGAGGAAGTAGTCCATTAAATACTTGGAACAATGTATACAGTCTTAACAACATCAACCTAGAGAAGTCGACTTGTGAGAGAGACCTAGGGGTACTTGTAAGCCCGGACCTACGGCCTAGAAAACAGTGCGTTAATGTTCGAAATAAGGCAAACAGAGAATTAGGTTTTATATCTAGAAGTGTAAGTAATAAGAGTGCAAAGGTCATATTACAATTATATCTTGCGCTAGTCAGGCCGCACCTCGATTATGCGGTTCAGTTCTGGTGCCCTTATTATAGAATGGATATCATTTCACTGGAGTCGGTGCAGCGAAGAATGACGAAAATGATTCCGGGACTTAGAAACCTTCCATATCAGGATAGGTTAAAGAAACTTAACTTGCATTCCCTAGAACGACGAAGAGTGCGGGGAGATATGATAGAAGTATTTAAGCGGGTGAAAGGAATCAATAAAGGCGATATAGATAAAGTTCTTATAATATCCGAGCAGGACAGGACTCGGAGCAACGGATTTAAGTTGGATATGTTTAGGTTTAGGAGGGAGATGGGAAGAAACTGGTTCACAAATAGGATGGTGGACGAGTGGAACAAGCTTAGCAACTTTGTAGGAAGTGCTGAAACGCTGTAAAGTTTTAAAAAGAGGCTAGATAGATTCATGGATGATAGAGAGTGATTGCAACTATAGACAAGAGCCGTCATGCACAGACCAACCGGCCTATTGCAGACTCGTTATTTTCTTATGCGCTCGCTCTCTCTCTCTCACACACACACAGGGAGGGTGGTTGGGGATGTGAGAGAGAGAGAGAGAGAGAGAGAGAGAGAGAGAGAGAGAGAAACGCAATACAGCATCTGGTGACTTACATATATATACATCACCGGGTAACATCAGCAGGTAACATCAGCAGGTAACATCGCAGGTAACATCAATAAAAAACCAAACCAAATAACACCGTAGCTTCCATTACACAAACCGGAAATCTAGAGGTTGGTGGTGAGGCTACGGGGCGTCACCTGAGGGACTAACGAGCAGGTGGTCTTCCCATACCTGAACTGTCACCTGGTAGCCTTCCTAATCACCTGGTAGCCTTCCTAGTCACCAGGTAGCCTTCCTAGTCACGAATACCTGAACAGTCACCAGGTAGCCTTCCTAGTCACCAGGTAGCCTCCCAGTCACCGTAAACATAGTCACAACACATTAGCTCAAGGTTAGTGTGTGTGTGTGTGTGTGTGTGTGTGGATATTTCCGACTGCATTAAGGTGACGTTTCGCTGCAACATCTGTCTACTGACCCAATAACCTCACTCATGTGTACACCCAGTAAGCTGTTTCATGTGCACACCCATTAAGCTTTCATGTGCACACCCATTAAGCTCTCATGTGCACATCTAGTAACCTCACTCATGTAAACATACAGTATAAAACCATTTGCAGGTACACAGATACAAACCCACTTTCACTGACCTTCAATTCTGTAAACATTTACCGAATAACCAATAGACACATAAAAAAGGTTCACGTGACTGCTTCCCGCTGCACACCAATGAGAGAGCCCGATACAAAATATGTTATCGACCGTAACTGAAGCACTGTAGTTACGTCACCTATAAATACTTCCTGATCCGGCGCTGCAGAAGTTTGTGGTGATTCTTGGACGCCATAACAGTCCCTCAGTGTATAGTACTAGAGGGAATGATCTTTTTATCTTGCTTGTCTTTATGTCTAGTGCCTGCAGTCTTTCATCATTAACTATACGTATTTCTACTTTTCCTTCCATCCACATTAGTTTGATCTATACACCGTGATTTCCATATCATCTGCACGGGCCAATGTATCCATGTTCTCATTCACAACCCTGAGTCTCGAACTCCAAGTTAAATACTAAGGAGGACAGTCAACAACCTAATGTTAACTTCGTAAGCATCTACCTGACCAGCTACTCTAATTCAGCCTTATTTTTCAGACATATCGTGTGTTTGTTTAATCTGTGTTTTTACTCCCTCAACTGATGCTCACTAAACATTATCTTCACCGAAGGGTCTTACTCAGTGTACAAGCGGGACCTCACTTTAGTTTTTTTTACCTAAGTTTATTTTCTATAAATACCACACAATGATTTTTGATGCAAATGTTATTAAACTTTCTACTTCCTAATTTTAAAACTCTTTATCTTCCTTCTCGTATTTTATCAGTCAACTACCACTTGTTTCTGAAAATAATCTTCCACTCCGTCGTTCTTTACTGGGGCTGCATGGCCCAGACATGGACTGCATGGCCCGGACAAGGACAACTTGGCCATGACTGCAGCGTTACTTGTGAAAAAATTAAAACAGGTTTGTAGCCGATGCTCTCTGACGTCGCCCTTTAGTTTCAACTTTCACCAAGTAAAACCTGTGTGTGTGTTCTATATACCGTACACACAAACAGGTACTCGTGTTCACTTATACACACCAGAGATACAGAGTTATGTCCCTCAAGAAATATTTCCAAGTATCTTCCAACTGTACCACTATAACTACTCTCGGGGGGCATGTCACCACCGAGTACAGGTTATAGTCTTAACTGTACTGTGACCTATACCTACCTACCTCTCTTTATAAACTCGTAGCTCGCTCGCTCGCCACCATCAACAACACGAACCTGCTAGCCTCAAGTTTCCTGTATAGGATATGATATCCAAGGTATCCACCTCATTGCTCTTTGTTTGCAAGTCACCAATGTGTCATCTAGCTCATGTTTGCAGGGCTTCTTTGTTTAGATTATCTTGTTTTTTTCCAACATAAAGAAATTAAAATATGTTGTTTAAATGTTTTATTGATCAATCATCTCTTAAAATAGCGTGTTTCATCCTTCCGTTGTTTATTGGTGAGCTGTACTGTCGATGTAGTTGGGGAATGTCACGTAATCCGTAAAATGTTCAGGAATTTCTTGTAATCGCACGAAGCTGTCAACTAACCTAGCTTAACTTCAAATGATTAGAGGTTAAGTTAGGCTAGGTTATATATCCTCAAAAATTACTAATGTATAACACTCATTCCAAGAAAAAAGTATGTTATGATTTTGGTGTGAGGCAATATGACACAACGGACGAAGGATTTTGACAACCCTAACGAGACAACAGGAGTCCAAGTGTTCATTCTGAAATACATGACTCCCGCCGTGAACAGACTGTTTGGTGAGAGTTATACAAGTCCCGTACATCATCTCATACTCTGTCAACACTCACTTTCACCGCCTCTATGTACACACCTCACTCATGAGTACTACTAACCTTCATTACCCTTTATCATGTACAATCGGCCGCAAGAATAAATATATGCCTACGGTTCGTGTTTGAGACAAAATATCTGGGAACACTGTCCTGAACAGACAAAATTATAAAATGATCTGTAATTTATGTTTTATTCCTACATACGAATATATGTTATAAATACATTTGTTGTGAATGTTTTACTAGTGTCTTATGTTTATATTACAAGTAATATATTGTATCCAATGGTAGTAAACTTGTTGCCGAATGGGATTGCAGTTATCGTACAGCTCCCTCCTCCTCCCCCACTTTTTCTCTTACCCTACTTTTTTTTACTGATGTTTGGATTAGTAAAGGAAGGAAGAGGAGTAAATAGAAGAATAAAAATGAGAAACAGATAACAGGTGGGGGGGGAGCCGAATATCATCATGCGTCTGGATGCGCAGTTTCAACGTTACCAGACCATTTTCAGACCTTACTCACTACCCCACCCCTCCTACCTTTTACTCCCCATCTCACTCCTCCCCATTACTCCCCACCCCACCCCACCCCTCGTAAACACTTTCCATCCTGGACTGTGGGTATGTTGGCCCCGGTTGACTAAAGTGATGGGCGAAGTAATACGCCAAGTTATGGATAGCACTGAACTTTCACCAGCACTCATCTGCACCAACCCTCCCTGTTTGGTCACTACCCCTGCAGACGTCGTTACTATCATCACCACAACAGCCAACGCCATCTTCATCACCACCACAACAGCCAACTCCATCTTCATCACCACCACAACAGCCAACGCCATCTTCATCACAACAGCCAACGCCATCTTCATCACCACCAGCAGGTTAAGTCTCCACCTCTGACCCGCCGAGCGTGTAGTTTCCCAGAGTGTAGGGGAAAATCATATATACGCCCAATAATCATGCCTTCCACACACACTGTTTATATTCCTCAAGCCAATAAAATCGTAGATACTCTTACAACTGGGAGGGAATATCATTGTTGTTTTTAGTAAGCATTATTCAGCTGTTTGAGAGTGGAGTGTTTATGGTGATAACAAGAAGGCTTCAGGATGTTGTGGTGTCTCAGTGATGAAATGATGGTTAGTGGTTAAGGATATTGACTCCTAGTGGGATGATGGTGTGCTCTATCTTGTTTGTGTGTGCTTGTGTGTGTGTGTGTGTGTGTGTGTGTGTTCGTAAAATACCAACCAGTAGGAATGATGCCACAATCACAACACGGGCTACTAGACACACACGCACACAGACTTGCACTACCTGCAGCAACAACCACTACAGCAGAAACAAAAACCAATTGATCCTCCGACATATTACACAACTCGTCACAAAATACTCCTAACCTAACCTAAGACGATCCTCTCTCCCTTTTAGTCTGATGTCCACCTCGTACAAGACTTGAAACCTTCTTCCACAAAACTGACTCCTGCGGTGGTGGTGGTTGGATAGGTGTGTTGCGTGGTGGATGGACAGGCGTGGTGGATGGACAGGCGTGGTGGATGGACAGGCGTGGTGGATGGACAGGCGTGGTGGATGGACAGGCGTGGTGGATGGACAGGCGTGGTGGATGGACAGGCGTGGTGGATGGACAGGCGTGGTGGATGGACAGGCGTGGTGGATGGACAGGTGTATTTTTAAAGTCCACGACCAGCCTCACAGTAAACTTGCATCACTTGAAAGTGAGAGGTAAGACCTGGCCAGCAACTGGTTCCTGCAGGAGACAAGGTAACTACCACACAAAACACTCAGGTCTCTGGTTCTCAGGATCCTGTGTTTATAAGTGACTCCAGACCATTCTGAGATCTGGAACCATAAGCTACTTGAGGACTGAGACAGGTGATGGATGTACCAACTGGAAACACAGTTAAGTTCCCCCATACATTAGTAGGAACAGGACTGACCACTGACCTGGCTCTAGCTCCAGTTTGCAGCTCTTGGGATCCTTGTACTGGCAGACCTTTGCAGTGCTGTAAATCGTGGACATCTCCGTCACCAGGTTATTGTACTGTCACAGAAACGTTACATTAAGGAAAGTATTTCCAAAGCATTGTAAAATTCATCTAGACTGAGGTTTGGCACAAAATACCTGCAGTGAAAGATGAAATATTCTCACCTTCTCGAGGTCTTGTTTCGGAAGGGCGGCGGTGCCCAGGACGGACATAAACTTGAACTGCCTCCTGAGGAATGGGTCACTAAGGGTTTCCCACTTGCCGTTCCATTTCCTCACCCTCCCCCACGCCTCCTTCTCCCACGCTGCATACTTCAGCTGTGCAGCCGCCTAGGACAACATTTTACATAAATTAATGGAAATGACCCAAAATGTAAGAGATATTAGTCATCCTAAGGACTGTAAAAAAAAATCCTAATCACCGACTTGACGCTCTAGAGTGAGTGTACACCTTCGCTTTAGCTGTCTTGGGATAAACACAAACGGCATGAATGGTAATACATAATGTGTTTCCATGCTGCGGAATGTTTGACATTTGATAAGAATTGAGGATCTGTGCCATTAAGAAATGTGCCAACAGCATCTACAGTCTTGAAAGGGCGACACAAAGGGTGTGTGAGTTGCACAAACATTGCCAGTGAAATGGGAACTGCTGTGTAGAGTCTCAGGCGTGACCCAATAGAGGAGACACGTGGGATGACTTGAGAACTGACCAACAAAAAAGGTTCGCGAAAGACCCTTCTTCCCTTTTGTAACAGAGAATTATTACAAGCTACAATACTCACCTTCTCCTCTCTGTGTTCCTCTGTGATGTCGGAGGCGTACTTCCAGTTGGACATAGTGGCCTCTGTACACTCCTGCGACCCCCGTGCGTCCAACTCGTTCAGGAAGTTCCTCGCATCCTCCTCCAGCTGCTCAGACTCTGCCCGAGCTTGACCTGCACACACACATCATATATATAATACGCTTTAATCAACCAGTGAGTATTGTCGCAAATATTAAAAGGACACTTGAACAGAGTCTACCAAGGGGTGTGGGGGGGGGGGTGCGAGGCATGCAACTCCTTCACACCAGATTGATCATTCTCTTGGCCTTGGTAGAGGAGTGTTCATACTATTGCCACCAGACACTCTAATAAAACCCTAGAGAGATAATTACAATAATAATCCTTAATGGTGCAAAAGGTTATCAAGATTACAAATAAAGACACACTTAACTAAATGACATACAAGAATCTACAGTATACTCTTTGAAGCTGCCATCGCAACCCTAGAGATATACAGGTAGTGAGTGACATGACAACTGAAGGTGATAAAGAATTCCCTTGTATCTGGCAACAGTAATAACAGTGTGGTTATAATGCTGGAGGCCCTCATACATAACACCAGTGGTTATGATGCAGAACACACACACACACACACACACACACACACATCAATGTATATAACTCGTACTCAAATATTTATGCTATTTTACCAGCCTCATCCACGTTCTTTCAGACCTGTGAGTGACAACACACTCCGTTTTATTGCTTTTTTTTTCATACATATTTATTTACACTTGCGCAGTTATGCATTCACAACTTATACACATAGAATGACGCACATAGTCAGAGATAGTCATACATAACACACGCACGGATACGGACAGGTACTACAACATTGTCAACATTACACGTGTTAGAGCATTCACATGTAACATTAAGACATGGTAGAACAATATAATTAACATTCTGGTTGGTAATAGTCGGCTCTAAGACGCTTGCAAAATAGCATAGAACAACACCTGAAACTACTAGTAATTATTGTACACGACGATTATATCGCATCAGAAAATACGGGACTCCTTTTCTAATGTAAACAATGTTGTGAACGCCACTAACGGTATGACCGTGATCGTGCTGCCACCACAAACATTACCCAGGGGAATTAATACTGGCCAAGGTCTGTTGTGTATGTGACAGTTCGGAGAATAAGAGCTTCGAGGAGCCGCGTGGAGTCTCCGAATAACGGTTATAAGCTGGAGTGAGTCTTGCTGGTACTCTCTGTGACCTGGGGAGTAAGATCATATCCACCGTAATAGGCGAGTGTCATAACCTGTTCCTGCTGCATTATCTTAAAATTCCATCACTACTGCGTGCTTTGTTCCATGCATGTACAGTACTTTTCTTATTCCCTATGTTAACTTTCTCCCTATAAACCGTGGAAGTTTACTGGCGATGGGGCTTTATATATTTATTGCTGATAGACAATTTCCGAGAAGAAAAAAATCCTGAAGGTGTCACGAGTCTTAAATAAAACCTTAAACACTGGATACATTATTTAATTCGTTTTTTATGACAGTAGAGTGAGCGAGTGGAGGCAGAAGCAGCGACTCAGGAGGGAATAAGGTGTGGTCAGACAGCCTGTCGGGGTGGTGACGTGCTCTGTCAACTCTGTGAACTTGTAGGTCGTTCACCTTGCATATCAAATGTTATAATATGAGAATAAACTAATTTGTAGCAGTTTTGAACGGATTATTTTCGATAATTTTAAATGAAATTTTAATTTAGACTCCAGTCAGGTAAATTATCAGTCTAAGTCACTGCCCATGGTAATGCGAGCATTAGTGTAAACATAATTTATTTGGGGTTTCCTTTTGATTTTCATTTTACGGGGAATTTAGTGCAAGTCCACATTCAAAATCCTCTTCATCGATGATGGTGCCAACGTTGTGATCGTCTTCTGAACGCTTATCTGATGCTTCTCGCCACAGACCTTCTTGCCTCTGTGTCTCTCCTAGACCGGACTGTCTCCATCCTCCAGATTTTTCTTTATTCTCATTATTGGCGAGCATAAATTCTTCCACATCAAGAGTACGAACGAAGAATTTAACTTTCTACTATATGCTTTTATGAAACGATAGTTTGGACTAACAGGTCAACCGACGGTAGTCTGGCCAACAAAACACTACTGCCAGCAGACACTCGAGTGAAAGGCATACCTTTACGAGAAACAGGTACAGTGTCGCCTTGTACACACTTTCCAATAATCAGCAAGATTCTATATTTCTTAAATGAACGCTGGAAGAGACTTATGTAACTTAGCACGACAAAACTCCCCTTCAAGACAAACAATATAAACAAGATGACCGTAACACGAGGTATCTGTGCCATGAAAAATATCAAAGGCTCACGGTGCAGACTCGGGCTAAATTGAACACCACTGTTTAAAATGGTAATAAAAACAAGTTTCAACGCAAAACTGGCACTCCAACGCTGCAAGGGACATTATCACAAGAGATGTTTAGTTTTGTCTGAAGACATATCTAAAGTACCCGAATGCAAGTCAGGAGGTGACCATGAATACGTCATGTTTCTCTCAAATAATGTATGAAACAAGTTGAAGACTGAGTGTAGAGGATCAGGAATGGTCTCTATTGTCCATGTATACACACATGTGGCACCTCGCCTCCTCCAACCTATACCTCTATGCACACAGCCCCGCCCTCTATCAAAGCACTACTTTTACAATGTACTATAGTCTTCACAGGGTGGGCGGCATACTCCAGTAAACTACACTTTATGGTAGAAAGCATACCCAGCCAGTTGAGCGGTAAACCGTGAGGCAGCGTACTCGATGACTGGCCTCGGGTTGTCCACATACCACAACACACACGAACAGGTTTGGAAACTACCCTCTCCTATCACGTGTTCCCAGCCTCCAGTTATGGTACCATTCACGATTCACGTACTGTTACACCTATGTAACAAGTATATAACAAAACAAAATTAGGAAATAATAACAGCCAGCAATATTCTCGAAAATGAATAATTCGAAGTTGATTTGTATTCGATAAAAAGATCAAATCAGTTCGTCGAAAAGAACTGTAGAAATTGAACGCAACCAACTCTGAAAATAATAAGTACTTTAATTCACTCGGCCCGCCTCACCTTTCAGTCGACAAGGGAACTTCTATCATCTACCAGGAAAACCAGTTCTGCGCCTACCATAGCCAACCCACCCTGCACATAACATAATCCAATCACTCTGCCCATACCAATACCATAGCCAACCCACTCTGCACATATCTTAGCTAAATTTACACACTAAAGACCCATTTGACCCCTGATCTAGACTACATAACCTCAAGACTAAGAATATACACTTGGCCAACTTAACACCTGTGGTTGTTGCAGTGCGAGTCGAGAGTCTAGAGGACCGGTTGGCTGCTGATACAAGGAAGCGCAGAGTACTCACAGCAGAGACACTTGGCAGCTACCTAGGAGATTACAGCGGTAGCCACAGCTTTAATTCGTTAATTTTTTACTCTTATTAAAGTACTTCTATATTCACTAAGTGTCGCATTGTCATTCAACCATGCATGGGTGTTGTATTAGCGTATATCCATAGACGTATATGGGTACTATAATAAGCGCGCGCGCGCGCACACACACACACGAACACACACACACACACACACACACACACACACACAAACAAACATACACAAAAATACACACGTATCTTGAGTTGTGTAGCCAGCTCCCGGTATCCCGTAAATTTTCCTTGTATGTAACCTTGAATTTAATTATATTTCGAAATCGTACATGTCGAGCTATTCAGGAAATCATTCATTACGATGTGACTTATGTAATATTAGTTCACTTGAAAATGCTCTAGTACTGTGAATACAACATACTGCTTTGAAATTTTCCTTCCGCCTCCCGTGAATTAGTTACAAACTTAACCTATTTAGAATTCGTAAACAAACCTCTTTTTTTTTTTAATTAATTAAGTCCACGAAATTATAACCAGATTACTTTTACTTACCTGTTGATGAAGTTGAGGTTCAAGTACAGTATCCCTGTATAGCCAATAGAGCTTAAGTAACTGTATCAACGAACAAACTTAGCACAAACGTACCATAATTACTGTAGTTACAGTTTGGTTAAATAAATGTACATACAGCATTCCCTTGACGCCCATTAGTGGCGATTTTAATGCACAGGTGATTTCCCTGACATTCACAGTAACACAATACCAAGAACATATTGGATTTTAAATGGTTCCTACATCTTGCTAGTTTTCACCAATATACTAAGTTCCTTTTAAACACTTTCATATTTGTTTAAGTTAGCCCGTTCACAATAACACACACGCACGCACTAATGTCAGTGAAGATGAGCCATATACCGTTACCGTATCAGAATGTTTCCACAAGTCTGGCACAACTCCCGTGTCTAATGATTTTGTAAATAAATTTACGAGGGGTCCGCTAATCTGTTCCTTACACTCTTTCAAGACTCGAGGAAAAATTTCATCCGGCCCTGGGGATTTTGTGTTCTTTAATTTATTTATCTTCTTAAGAACATCCTCTTTTCTGATAGTGATATTCTTTAATTTCTCTTCTTCATTTCCCCTAAATATCAGTTCCACCACTGGCATTTCCTCGTGAATTTCTTCAGTGAAAACTGATAAAAAGTCATGAAGGTTCGATGCAGTAAATTTAAATTATTAATACTGTACAGAAGTTTGAGGAATACGGGTTGTGATTATCCAAACAACTACTAGAAATTATGAACAATACACCTCTATATAATGGTGTTATACTGTATTGTCCTAAAACATTATCTATCTACATCTAGAAGCACATCATAATCACCAGTGTCAACAAAATATTTTAATCATTAGATGTTAGAAATATATTTTAGAGCTTCCTTTTTAATGACGCAGTGAATGGTTCAGTAATTAGAGAAATGCACACCAATCTTAATTCAGATAAATACTGTAAAGTAGGTTGAAATAATATTTTTCAAGGCACTACAAATATATGTCCGAACCATTACTGAAGTCTTGCTAATAATCAGGGCCGGATTCAGGAGTGGGCACAGTGGGCAGCTGCCCATGGGCCTCCACAATCTGGGGGCCTCCACACATTACAATATGTTCTAATTTCCTCAATATAACTGCATATGGCTTCAAAATTCTCCAAAGAAGTGTTCAAATTTCAAAATTTTCCCGGGGGGGGGCTTACACCGCCCCCCGGAACTCCCCGATGTTTAGGCTCGTTTCACTCGCCACCCCACCCACCCTCTTGGGTAGTTATAATGAGGGGGCCTCCACAGGTCTAAATCCGGCACTGCTAATAATGCACACTTTATATAAATATTGTAATATACTTCACACGCAACGTACGAGTAAATACTTCGTTCTTACCTGCCAGGTGTGCAGGTGACTCCTGCGGGTTAGCAGTAACGCCGTACACAAAACAAAACCACAGTATTAACATCACGGAGAGGAACTGACATGCTGGGTCGTCCTGCTTACCGGTTATATACGTAGCGCCGGCGGCTTCACGTGTGCGCATGCGCGGCACACCATCCTATTTTTGGAAATTAATAATGACATTGTGGTCTTTTATAAAAATAAATCTCATAGATGAAACGCATTACACAGATGCTATTGCCAACTCTATCTTTGAATTAAACTGTATGGTGTACCTTTAGTTAATGAACGATAGAGACTTTAAATTTTTAGTGTGTGAGGTTACAGCAGCACCTGAGTTGCCCCACCACAAGACTGGGGCTAGCTCGTGTCAGCTAAACTTTCCAATTAAGTGATCTGTCATTGCCAAGCACCAGTGACTATTAATAGATGTATTTGTGTTCTGTTATTATCTATGAATACTATTATGCACACGAATATACATACAAAGGATGCCTACAAGACTACAGCCATGATAATATCAATGTACTGTACTGTACAATTAAATCTGAAGAGGAAACCGAAAAATTACAATAATACCTAAACAAACTTTTTGTATGGACTGAAAAATGGCAGATACAATTTAATATAGAAAAATGTAAAGTTTTGCGGAATGGACACACCCGAGTGTGACGGTCTGTGACCCTACCAGATAATATGAAGTTTCCTCCAGACTAACATTGGGCAATAATGGCCATGACAAAGTATCAGAACAAATCAACCACCCTAAAGTAAAGAACGGTTAGTAATTATGCTGACAAGTGGTGATAAGCTAAAATATTATCCTATTTCTTTCATCTTTCTTTGGGTAAAATAACATTCATGGCAAGTTTGACTCTTGGTAGTTCTTTTAATCCTACTCCTTTGTGGGTTTTTTATTACCCTACTGGTACATTAAATAATAATACCCCCTTCTTCATGACATAAATATAATAACATTTATACCAGATGCGGCGGTCAGGCCAAAAACTTGCCTACGAAAGATGAGAAAGCGACTATCCCGACCATTATATAAGATGTGCGCATCACTCTACGGAGCATCATTTTAACGGTTGCTAACGTGCCAATTTTTCATAAGAAATATGCTCAAGACATGTTAATATAACCAATTTTATATTTTCTCCATAAAACACACGTAAAATGTATAAATTAGTCGTTCACCTTGCTATGTTATATCAAGTTACTGAAGAATTGTTACTCCCTTTAATTTTCATTCATGTTTGGAACATATTTTTACATATTTTATGTGTGAATCATATAAATATCCTATTTCATGTATTCATTTTAGTCAACTGAATGCCAACTCATTTTATATGCTTTAGAATATAAAATATTACATTGGTTTTTTTCGGATCATAAGTAACAGTCAGTATGAGATTGTGTAGTGGATTCCTCCCCTACAAGCACCAAACCTTCTCGAATGCCCCAGCCTACGCCTCCAGTGCCGCCTACGGAGCGGGGGTCAACTATCAACCCATGCCAACCCCCGCCTTATAAGGCCTGACACCACTGTGACCACCTTCTTTCTACCCAGTGCCACAAGCAAGCAACACCTCCTCTGCGCCAGCCTGGCGGCTCCCGCTCCCGCCGGCGTCCGAGGCGTCCCTCAAGCCGCGTGCCCTCACTCTGGGCACCCTCACCGCCCAGCTCTCTCTACTCAACGCTTATTACCAGGGCCGGCGCTACCCACTAGGCGAACTAGGCGATCGCCTAGGGCGCCAACATCTGGGGGCGCCACAAATTCAGGGCAAACTTGGATAAAATTAAAAATGAAGGGAAAACTGTGGTGGACACTGTGGTGGAGCCGTGGAGGGTCGGAGCAGGATGTTAGAAGGGTGGGGGGTCGGAGGGAGGCGAGGGTAGGTAGACGGTAGCCGACTGTGTTTTCTTTTTTAATATTATTCGTTAACCCCCCGGAGGGACTAACCCGGGTCCTTATCTTTGGCGGCCTGGAGAACTGTCGAGCAGTGACCTGAAGGCTGACATCTGAGGAACCCTTCTCCCAACCCCACCATCCCCTCCCCTCCCTTACTGCCAGGGCGGCTGAGCCGCCCCTTCCCTGTCTTTGTCGGGATGAGGCAAGGTTACCTGACCTCTGAAGTTTACGTCAAGGATTTATTGACTTAATGTAATAACAATAATTGGTTATTTGCATGGGTGAAGTAATAAAGCCACAAGATGAAAGACTGTAGTAATGGGTTACTGTACCTACATTAGCTTATCAAAACTTTCAAGGGGGCGCACATCTAAAGGCTTGCCTAGGGCGCCAAATCATCTTGCACCGGCCCTGCTTATTACCATGCTGCCTTCCCAGCAACAAGCTGCATTGTACATCCAATACAATATGTATACAGTGAGCACATTGTGAGTTTCCTTTCTCCATCCCATCCTGAGTGTGAACCAATATCTCATACCTCTACAATTGTGAGATTGAGTACTGTAGCGTACTGTATGTGGCCAGTTGTCAATTCTCTTTAGTTGTCTATTATCTCTTTGTATGGGCACACAAACGTACGTACATGTAAGATATCTCCACTACAATTGGTGACCCCTGGAGCTGTGAACACCACACTCCTTTCTGCTGCCTTACTACTGGAGCTGAGAAGATCGTCCTGCCTGCTGCCAGCCTAGGCCAACCGCCTACCTGCACCACCCACTACTCCACAACGACACCATCTCACGACCGTAAGGTTTATAACGCATTAGTCTGTTCTCCCCACTGGCGGTGTGAGTGACCCACATCACAGCTGGGGAGCAACTATTGTGCGATATTCCAAACGTGGTTTGAGCTCTTTTGCCTATTCTCCTATTTTTCTTTTGTTTTTTTAGTTCTGGCCTAAGGACCTGCACCCTAAAAAGTGTATTCGTCCCGAAGTCCCCCCTGCAACTGTTCACCTCCCTCCCAGGAGATTGTGAAGACGGAAGGGGGTCGGAACAAGCACCCATCCCTCATCCTTCCCTAACAGGTGTGATATACTCCGGCAAGAATGGACGGACGGATCTCTCTACCGACCTTCAACCACAACGTAGAGGACTGGTTAGTTCATGTCGAAGCAGCTCTCATCGGCTCTACAGCTACAGACGGGCAAAAGTACGGCGCCCTGCTCTGCTCCTTGCCCACTGAAGTCGCCACACAAGTCTCACAGACCATCTCCAACCCTCCAGAGAACAACAAATTCGCCACTCTGCGGGATGCCTTAAAAACGCATTACCAACGGACCCGCTCCAATCTCCTGCAGAACCTATCTTCTATCCCCCTTGGAAACTCAACTCCGGGATTTCTCTGGGAAGAGATGTGCAAGGTGAACTCCCGGTACACAGACAGACTTCCTGACTCTATCCTGCGCCAGCTTCACGCACAAAAGCTACCCACACAAGTACGCAACATCCTGTCAGCAGTAGATTACTCTACGACACTAGAACTGTATGCAACCGCGGCAGACAGAATTTTCAACGAGTGAGCTGCTGCGCCCCTTGCCGCCACGGTCACACCAGTACCTACCACCGAACTTGTAAGCCGGGTCAACACCCCTCAGCCGAGCAATACCTCACAAGACATCAGGGATCTGTTGCAAACTTTGAACCGCAGGATGGACACCATTGAGCAGTTCTGCTCCTCCATACCCGCTGCTGTGCCAGTGCCTGACTCACGCACCACGCTCTACAAGTTCCGACGCACAGCAGCCAGCCCCCAGCACAACAAATATACCCTCTGCTGGTATCACCGGACTTTCGGCCGCAATGCTCAAAACTGTGAGCCCTATTGCACCTATTCGGGAAACGGCAACACCGGAGGCTGGTAGACGCCTCAGCCCCGGTCCCTTCAGGCGTCTCATTACTGCACGTCACCGACTGCACCTCCGGCAAGAAGTTCCTCATCGACACAGGTTCATCGGTCAGCCTCATCCCTCCCTCACTACAAGACAAGTCAAAGCAACCCTCTTATGACCTGTTCGCTGCCAACGGTACCCCCATCGCCTCCTACGGCGTACGCACCCTCGCCTTAGACCTCGGTCTGCCCAAGACTCTGCGTTGGTTATTCGTGATACCAGACGTGTCTCAACCCATCCTTGGTTTCGACTTCCTCACCTCCCACAAGCTCGGCGTCAAACCAAGTCATCTATGCCTCATCCATGAGCCTACAGCACGCAAGATCCAGGGTTCTCGTGCCAGACACACCGACACTATCACCTGTCTTGCGCCTTCCAACGAGTTCTCCTCCCTGCTCGACGAATTCAAGGAGCTTTTCTCACCCCGAGTCTCCCTACCCCCACCACCTACATCGGGAATTTTCCACCACATCGAAACCAAAGGACCACCAGACTTTTCACGCCCTCGCCGCCTGCGCCCTGAGCTCCTGAACACAGCCAAAGTAGAATTCAACAAACTACTGCAAGACGGCATCATTCGCACCGACTCTATACAGAGATAGCGAAGAAAATAAATTAAGCAAGATAATTGTGACTAGTAACGATGTTAGTAAGCAAATAGACAAACTAAAGCCTAATAAGTCACCAGGTCTCGATGAGATATTTGCCAGAGTATTAAAGGAATGTAAGGAAGAGCTTAGTATGCCCTTAGCAAAGTTGTTTAACATGTCCTTAAAAACGGGTGTAGTACCAGAATCCTGGAGGATAGCGAATGCAATACCGATTTTCAAGAAGGGAGATAGATCACTGTCCTCTAACTACCGACCAATCAGTCTTACATCAATTGTAGACAAATTACTGGAAGCAATCATTTCAAACTTTATTAGAAATCACCTGGAGAAGCACAAGTTGATCAATGATCCCCAACATGACTTCACAAGCCGGCGTTCATGTCTAACTAATCTATTAACATTCTTTTCATCTGTTTTCGAATCAGTGGACGAGGGGCACAATTATGATGTGGTATATCTCGACTTTAGCAAAGCCTTCGACAGAGTCTTCCACGAAAGACTAATAAGAAAGGTGGAGGCTCATGGCATTAAAGGAGATATTCTAAAATGGATTAGGGTGTGGTTACAGGACAGGAAACAGCTAGTGAGCATTAACGACACTAAATCCAATTGGAGCAACGTTACTAGTGGAGTTCCCCAAGGCTCAGTACTTGGACCATTATTATTTATTATATACATAAACGACATAGATATCGGCGTAGACAGGAGCATAAGTAAATTTGCTGATGACACTAAAATAGGACGTGTTATTAAATCTGACGAGGACTCCGCAAAACTACAGGAAGATCTAAACAAATTTTTCGAATGGTCTGAAAAATGGCAGATGAGATTCAATGTGGACAAATGTAAAGTACTCAGTATAGGAGATGTAAACAGGGAAACCAGATACCAGATGAACAACGATGTTATTGAGAAATCCGACTGCGAGAAAGATTTAGGAGTATAATGATGAGTAGGAATCTTAAGCCAAGTAAACAAGGCTATTATAGAGTACTTGGGTTCATACAGAGGAGTGTTAAATACAAGACTAGCGAGGTCATCTTAAAATTATAACCTGGGCTTGTGAGACCCCACTTGGATTAAGCAGTTCAATTCTGGTCACAGTATTAAAGAATGGATATAGAGTCCTCAGAAAGAATTCAGAGGAGAATGACAAGACTAATCCAGGGCATTAGGAACCTTTTGTACAGAGACAGGTTAAAGCTTCTTAATTTGCACTCCCTCGAGAGACGTAGAGTGAGGGGCGACCTGATAGAGGTGTATAAGTGGAAGTCAGAGCTGAACAAAGAGGACATTACAAAGGTACTCAAACTATCCAACCAGGAGGGAACTCGTAACAATGGTTTTAAATTAGACAAATTTAGATATAGGCGCGAAATAGGTAAACATCGGTTTGGAAATAGAGTAGTGGATTAGTGGAACAAGTTACCAAATATCATTAACTCGAATACGCTGGATAGCTTCAAACATAGTTGGATGGATATATGAGCAATAGGGGTTGGGTGTAAATGGGACTGCCCAGTATGTGGCAATAAGCCCGCTGCAGTTTCCTCCATTCTTGTGTTCTTATAACACGCACGGGTGTCCTCTTGCTGCCATTTTGACAGTAAATGAATTTCGCGGCCACGTAACATACTCAAACTATAATCTTTGCAGACGACACGATTTGTACACTGCCGCCATCTATTCTTTTGGCTCAGCACTTTTTAAGACCCAATGTGCACAACATTTCGGTCCGCTTTCCGATCTTTCGTATATAGTCTTTGGTCAGGGTTCGAGCAAAGATTCTGAGGAAGGAATATCTCGTTTAAATGCAAAAAAATAAATGTAAACAACACAGACGATGTTCGCACCATACAGCGACAGTAACGCTATCACATTATCGTGTTGACCAACTAAACAGAAGCCAAATGTCGTCTTTGGGGGGGGGGGCTCTTCAAAAGCTGAGAGTAATGCTTCCTAACTATATATTTCTTGATTCTGAGACTCGAAGAGGATAGTTCACTGAATCCTTGGTTTGGGTTAAAGAATGTTTGTGTACTGTACTTGGTTCGGGTATTACGGCTAATGAATCTGTGGAAATTCCTCCTCACCATAGGTATATAATATATCCCATACTTATATAGACCTTCCAATAAATTCGTATGATTATATGGTAATAATCAAGAATAATACAAATATCATAAAGCACGAGGATACCAAAGTTTAATTACTATGAACTTTGTGTTGAACGACGAGGGTTCAGGGTTCATGGAGATGCTCGACATCTTATTGGTTGAAAAGTTTATATAGAGTTGATTGTCTGAGCCACTGATTGGTTCTTTAAATTGTGTGGGACCTTTAAGCCAACACTGACATGGGTCATTTCATAACACGTTACTTGCTCCTTCTCTACTGATCCAACTCTTCTTCTGCATTAATGTACTTGGAAAATGGAGCCAGCAGATGCAGGTATTATTCAATACAGTATTGTATTTGTGACACGTGATATATTGTTTAATAAAAACACATTAATCTGAAAGTTTTACATGTTTTCAAATATATATATATATTGTAATGACGCAATGAATGGTTCAGTAATTAGAGAAATGCACACCAATCTTAATTCAGATAAATACTGTAAAGTAGGTTGAAATAATATTTTGTGTACGAACCTTTGTCCTGCATGGCAGTGAACAGTAACATTACCCACATGAATCTGACCGCTATACATATATAGCTGTTAATGACTATGATGTATTTCTTTGTGTATGAACCTCTGTCCTGCGTGGCAGTGAGAAGTGATACCACCTGTCAAGACCTGACTGAATTACTCAGAATAGACAAACTGTACTACAAGCTTTGCCAATAAATTTGTTAAACTAAAAATTTCAAGGTTAGGTTATTCTGTAAAAGTGAAAGAGACGGTTAGTGCTAAAAATAAATTAAAAGAAATGAACCAAAATTTCTGGAGATACAATTTTCATGATACTGAGCACGAAAATGGAAAAGAGAAATCACAGAACCTATGAGAACCTGACCTAACTTTACCTAACCTAACTCTCTCCTTTAGTTGATAATCTTTCTTCCCTTTCTCTTCACTGCAATGTTGCTTCACTCTCTTTTACAAGTACTTTAACGGGCAATGTTCGGTGGATTTGGCATCCTATGTACCGCCGGCAAGGTCGTGGGCTCATAACACTCATCTTGCCAGCGGTGACTACCGTTTCTCTGTGGATGTCGGTCACACTAGAATAACCCATTAGAGTACATCCTTCTTTCCTCACACAGCCAAACTGTGGAATACTCATACAATGTCTCGCTTCAAAAACTGGTTTTCCCGACATCTTCGTGGCGTAGATTAATATAACTTTTTCATTTTCTGTTTTAAATTATTTTTATTCTTATTTTTTCGCCCCCAGGCCTCGATATGGGTCGATGACCTGTGCCCAGGTGGGCTATTCCCCATTTAAAAAAAAAAAAAAAAAAACTTGCCTAACCTTACCTAACTTACCTAACCTAACTAACCTTACTTAACCTACCTAACCTCACCTAACTTCCTAACCTGCACATTGTTTAATTTTTTTTACTATCATCCAAACAACATCTCTAGAAATTCAATCAAATATAAATCGCAATAAACACGCCCGATGAGATCGGCATTCATTTCTTTAACACATAAACAAATACAGCGGACACTCCCATATAGCAAATGATGTGAACCAAAGCATGGTCACCATGGGAACTCTGATGATGCCATAATTATGGTACCTAAATATTTTATTTCTTTGTCTACAAAAGATAAGTGAAATTACTGCTGCATGATCAGTGTTTTTATCCCATTTTGCCTCTTCTTTCATGCCTTGCCCACTAACAAGTAATTTATGATAAAGGCTAGGCAAAAAAGAAAGAAAATACTGTACTACAATGTTGTTGTATCGGCCAAAGAACAACTGTGATTAATATAAACAAAATAAATAAATACATTTGGATGCTAACCGCCTGCTTCTCCATTACCATTCTAAGTGATAAAAATTATATGGTCAGCCTTTACCTACAACATACTACATCTTTATGCATAATCATTATTTGTATTTCAGAAATTATGCTTAATTTCTGGTATATGAAATAGACAGTTATATTTGGGGACACTGTTGCTTTAGAACCCTGGATAGAACCCCTTTATGTGAATAATGGATGACAGTTATACACATTAACCAATAACTTGACATTTTTCTCTAGAATTGAAATGTTTTCTTACATCATGAAAAGCCTTAAATATTGGAAAGGAATAAGTTTTTGTATTTTTTTTTTAAGTACTCCGTTCCGAACATACTCTATGCAGGCTACACAATACACGGAGTCATTGCTGTTTACTGTGTACGTGCAATATGTTTCTTGCCATCCACCGGAACTCGTGCACCGAAGAATGACTTGACAGTTACTGCTTCATTTTACGAATTATTGGACAAAATTACAAACTTAATCTAATCTACCCTAGGTTAGGAAGTTAGGTTAGGTTAATTTTATCCCCGATAAATCATTATAATGCAGCAATATTTGGTAAGTTTTGGGATGTGTTCCTATGGATGATACTTTTTAATACATAATTGTCAGTAAAATTTAAAAATTAAGAATATTTTTTTTGTTCCTAATTCAGAAACTGCCTGTACAGTACTTGATAAAAGACAAGTAAAATTAAAAAAAAAAAATTCTCCAGGTGCAGTGTATAGTATTTTATTATGTGTACAGTACTGTTTATGGATTTACTTAACTAAATAATTTAGGAAAACATTGAAAAGTTGTCAGAATTTCTGTAGTATTAACTAGACCCTCATTTGTGCAGGTGTGTGGAGGGTCCTTCGGCGAAGTAGGCACAGACAAGGTGGCTACAAGCAGGAGACTTCACTGCCAGTTGGGAATGAAATCAGTGGGAGGGTTCCTGCAGCACTTGTGCACCCCTTCCCACCAGGGTTTGTTCATTTATTTACTTTCATCCTCTTCACCACTAATCGGCTTGTTAGTTGTACCAAGTCTTTTTTTTTTCTTTTTTTTTTCTTTTTTTTTTATAGTTATCATTTCACCACTTATCAGTTTCCTAGTCATTCAGGTGGTTGATCTATTCAATATCAGTACAGTTGTAAGGGGGTTGTTTGGCTGTTTCATTTTTCATTTTACTCTTATTCTTATTTCTTTTATCTATAGCTGTTTAAGACAGATTTTTCTAGTTATCTCTTGTGTATATATTAATAATTTCATTTTCTAAGTCTTTCTTTCTCTATGTATATATCTTATATTTCTTTACTTATATTTTCTAAGTTAATATTCTTTTCTATGCTTTATTTCTTGTCATATATATTATTTTCTTTTCTAGATTTTATATATTTTCTTCTTTATTTCAGTGTGTTTATTTATTTTATTTCTATATTTTACCTTTCTCTCTCTCAATTTATTATCATGCCTTAGTTATATTCTATACCATGGATTAGTCTGGGAAAACCACTTATTATACTTACAATGGCAGCCTGCCACCACCCAGACTTTTATTAGAATATAACATACCTCATTAAACTGTTAGGTAGCGTGATAGCGAGCTTATAGGCACGTGAGTTACAATAGTTATTTAATGAGAACCAAATGTTAGAAGGAATAGAGCGGTGATACTCGTCATTTACTAAATCAATTTTTATTAGATTAAGAGTGGATAAGATGTCAATTTAACACACTCGGCTAAGACTAGACCCCAAAGACTTACTGTACAATTCATAAAATAGATCTTCAATTACTTGGTTATATCATTAAACAAATGTTATATTATTTCTTTGACAAATAAGATGGTTATTTTACACACTTGTCAACAACACATATTAACCCATCACTTATAATCTCATGTTATTTGGAATGAACAACATGGAACATTTACTAGAACTCAGTTGGTAGTACAGTACATAAGAATGATGTACTCACAACCCACATAACAAACGTTATTACTGGTAATATCAATATTTATGGGTCACTACTCAACATGGGACAACTATATTCTGCTGGTTATCCCCAATCAGGTACAACCAGGAGTGCAGTGCTGCCGGAGCTCACCGGAGTGCCACTCCGGCACCTATGTTTTGATCAATGAATCAATATCGCCGAGGCCTTGTTCCCTCCCAGGAACTCCTCAACAGAAGTGTCTCCAGGCCATTTTATCCTTGCACACCTCACTTGTTCTCTCAAACACTCTTCCTCCCCTTCCTGCTCTCTCTCTTTAACAAACTCTCTAACTCTTTTCTCCTAGGTGGCAATTGATCTACCCCTCCCAACATTCCCCTCTCTCTTGCTATCATAAACTTTTTTTTGTCAGTATCTTCATGCAACCTCTGCACATGTCCATACCACCTTAGTGCATTCCTCTTCATCCACTCCACCCTCATTTGAGACTCATGGTGTGATGGAAAGAGATGTAAGATTGGTGTAACCAAATAGTTTTGATTAACCTTGACCGATATTGAGAGGCCTTTATATAAGAATACATTACCAGTACTGTATAAGAATCCTTTGTAAGTTGCCTAGCTACATTATGAGAGTTACCAGACAAAGGGATTTCAGGATGAATCCTTCATTTTTTAATCCAACACCTGTTTAAAGTCTTGTTTGTCATGTGGTAGCTGGAAAGAGTGTAAAGGACTGAGACAAATTCTATCATTTCAGAGAAAAGGGTGAGAAATTGGGAAATAAGAATTTTACACCAAATTTCATCCATAGACTTGAACATAGTCCCACCAATTTCCCATCTCCGTATCTTCTCAGTGCACAGGTAGGCATTTTTTAGTACAGTACAGTGTATTGTCGTTCTTATATATTTTGGATATGAAACCCCCAAATTATATACGATAACTCTTGTATGCACGGTATCTTTCTTAGGACTTAAGGTACAACAAGGGGGAAGGGTAACTAACCTTCAGATAAATTCTTGTTACCAATGTTAAGACCTTAGGGACCATGGATTTTCTACCCTTACTTAGACTTGCCTGATTATGTATAAATACTGTAGACTTGGTTAGAACATTGGATGTCAGGGTCAAATTATCTTTTCTCAGACCACTTCGCCTTTAACTCCGGTGTGTGGACTAGTAAGAGCTCCTCCCTCCATAACTCTCAACCTGGATGGCATGGTCAATTGCTCATCAAATAGTCAGGACATGGAATTACAGAGTCTACGTTATCAGGTGATGGTTTGCCATATTAACTCTACAGAGTGGAAAGAAACTATGAGGTACCGGGTATTTTAGTATAAGTGTGTTCAAAATTTAAAGATATTTCCTGGGTATTTGGATGATGGGAAATTTTGAGTATGAATTGAAACTCAAAAGTAACCAGACTAACTAGGCAATGAAAGATCAATTGCATATGTTTTGTACTTAGTAAGGTACTCAGAGGGAAGTTGTGTCCTGGATACTCTTGAAAATTTCTTTAAATGCACCACAGGGCTTTTTTCACACCTGTTTCAAATTTATGCATCATCTCGCCCCTACTCCCTATGTAATTATATATTCTATAGTCACTTATAAAGTAATATACTTTAACTCTGGCATACTCACTCCAAAAAATATCTTTCCAGTTGGTCTGCTGAATTTCAAAATGAACACCATAACTCCAATTGTCTCAGTAGGGTTGTCAAAATCCTCCGTCCATTGTCATCTGCAAATAAAAATTGCTTGATTATCTAGGTAGGGTTACCTTTCTAATTTTCATATCAAATGTTGAAACTTAATTTGAGTTGATGTAAGAGATGTTTCCTCCTACTCTGGGTGATGTAGACCAGGAAGGATATGAAGGGTTTGGTTGAAGAGCAAACCAGTACTGTACTGTACTAAAAGAAGGCAGTCAAGCCATCTTGAAGCATAAAAAAAATGACTCGCAGAATTGAAAGAAAAAACGTGTACATCTCCTATAGCCTACTGTAAATTGTTGATTCAGTATAATATCTAATTCCCTTATGTTTTTCCTCAGGTGCAAGAAATCCACAACAAACTGAATGGTGATATCAAAGGAAATTCTGAGTACCAACAGTTACTATCTGAGAAGAGGAATTTGGAAGAAACACTGGGGTTTGTAGAATTTCATCACAGGAACCAAAACTTTTGCTTTAATCCCTTGTGCACAGGATCCTCAGTGCTGAATAAAATCGTCTGGCATTAGCCAAATAAAATATTAAGTGGCATGTACACACATGCAATTTACCCAGTAATCACATACACACACACACACACTGTAACTTAATCCACACCAAGTCGTGTTTGCTACACTTTTAAAAATACAGTATACTAAGTTCACAAATAAGCACAGACAAATACTATACATTTAAATACACACACTCTCTTAAACAATCATGGTCCTATACAGAGTCAGTCCTCGATTTACGAAGGGGTTAGGGACCGACGACCAGGTCGTAAGTCGAAAGGGAGAAAATAATACATGGCAAATCTAAAATGGGTGTCGCTTTTACTTCTCAGCACCACAAGAACTCTCAATTTTATGCTTGCCAGCCATTTTAAAGGGAATTACAAACAAAAATTTTGTCAGTACACAGTGCGATCACTAAAGTCGGGACTCGAAAATACGTAATTTGAAAAATATTTTATACGACTGCGGTGGTCGTATGTCCGGGTGGTCGTAAGTCGAGGAGGTCATTAGTCGAGGAGTACCTGTATACAATACTGTACTTACAAAAATACACATTTTCAAACTTGTACACATATTTCTATGCTGTCACACAAACTTATATTAACGGAGGCGAAAAGTGTGACCTGATCACACTTTACAGTATAGTAACTTTACTTAGGTTTAAAGTTCATCTTGAACTACCATAAGCAGCACCAAGGATCAAAATCTGTATCTGTTTTACTTCCTTATTGTTACATTGGTTTTGTCTAATACTGTACCAGCGTCAGTATGAAATTACTTTATAGTTTTATTGTCCCATTAACAGGTCCACAGAATATGCACTACAGCAACTTAAAACTACATACAATGGTCTGAGGAATAGTGCCTCTGCCTCAGAACAAGAATTTTTACAGAAGGTATATTGTAAAGTTTATCATTTTTTGTAGAATGTATTTATAAAAAAAATGGTATTTTACTAGTTTGAGTGACTCTTGAATATACATCTCAAAGGTTGCAGGTTTTTCATTGTAAATTTCAAGGTAATGTGTGACTGGAGGTAATCCAATCATTGCTCAACCTCCCCAGGACAACCATCACTCATAATGAGGTATTAAAGGTCACAGTTTACCCTTTGAGATATATCGAGAATTAGTTATGACACTCCACAGTTCAGTCTCTCCACTAATCAACCTATGTTCTCCCTGCTTGATAGTACAGAACAGTACTGTATTGTAAACCGTGTTACAGTGCTGTAAATCACGTTGACAGTAACATATCCTGTTTTGGGACTAGTAGTGTCAGGACTTGGAGACTGCATTTTTCATGGTTTGGATATTTCAAGTTGGTCGTCCTGGTCACATTCAGTGGATGATCTATTAGGCAACACACCTTTGCTGGCCATTCTGAATGGTAGTTTTATTGAGTCTGTCCTTCATAAATAGTACCTGTAGTTAAGAAAGCAGTTACTAAGTTCACATACTTAGGGTTTGTTCCTGTCTATCACTATAGAACCAGTTCCATACCAGTTTACTGTACTGGTAATGACTTCCACTGGGAGCACAACCTAAGGGTAGTACGGTAATTTGCTTCTTCGTATCTTCCTTTTCTAACTGGTTTCAATATAAAATTTTCTTGATCTTGATATGTGGTTATTATGGCAGATTTATCTTAAGTTCCCATTTTATAACCAAATAAAGATGGAACAACTTGGTATCTCTCCCCTTCTCTTTGGGATATTGAGGTGAGCTGGGTGTGATGTCATACATGCATCAGCAGCAAAAACTTTTCAGCCTTCTTTTTTCTAGGACACTATTATGCAAAGACCTGTCCATCTTCACCTATTTTTGGAGATCCTCGTGCCAAGTGTTGTCTTTATGGAATTACAGTGCTATATATATGAGGATAATTCAAATTTTAGATCTCTGTTACATTAACTGGCCTGGAGATTTAATCCCTTTGACTTGCTGGCTAAATAGAGTTACTTGATCCCACCTTGATTATAAAATAAGATCTCAGGTTATCAGGATCAACTCACCTTATTTCAGCTTGAGGACATTCAAGAAAAATATAGACTTCTTAATGAAAGACACTGTACTGCATCAGACCAGTTGACAAGACTGAAAGACTACCTCCGAGATCTTCCCACTCTCAGCGAGCACCAAAACCTTCAACAGGAAATATTACAGAAGTGTGCACAGGTCTCTCTTCTGTCAAGCAAAGTTGATTATTTATCGGGTAAGTTAAGAACAAATTTAGGCATTATTCATTATACCCTTCACCTGCTGGCTTTTGTAATAACATAAAGCAGCTGTAGAACATTAAATTGCTGCAAATTAATACAGTACATTTTTCCACACAGAAAAACATTGTTATTTTAACCATAATGTATTTCAATGTTTTAAGTCTGGTGGTGATATGGCAAAAGTCCAACCAGGAAGACATTTTGGAGCAGTAATGAGCAGGTGTATTAGGAACCAAGCGGACTGTGAAGAGCTGCAGAAGGATCTCTGTGAACTTCAAGAATGGTCAAAGAAATGACTGCCGAGATTCAATGTCACGAAGTGTAAGAGGATGCACCTGGGACGTACCAATGGTAAGGAGGTGTATCATATGTCCCAACGGGACGAAGAAACTGCATTAATTGAGACTGAATGTGAAAAGGACCTAGGTGTGTATGCTGACAATGAGCTGAAGTTTTCAGGCCATTACGAGAAGAAGGTAAGTCAGGCAAATAAATAATTAGGTCGTATAAGATGGTCGTGCATATACAGTATCTAGACAGTTCATCCCTCGTAATGATCTTCAAGAGTGAAATACGTACTTCCGCACCTGGAGTATTGTCACCTCGTCTGGTCCCCGAGATATGCTAGGGATTGTCAGTTGATTGAAAATGTCCAGAGGGCCACCAGACTGGTGCCTGCACTATGGCACCTCAGCTACCCTGAGAGATTAGAGTGCCTGAAATTGCCTAGCTTATATTACAGACAGGCAAGGGGAGACCTAATTGAGGTGTATAAGCATCTCAAAGGGCCCTACTTAGTTTAGTTGAGTGCCTTTACCTGGAGCTGGCAGACAATCGCTCCACAAGGGGTCACAGCTCAAGGTTGAAGAAGCCGCAAGCCCTGAAAACTGTGAGGGGTAACTTTATCGGAATGAGAGTTGTGAACTCTTGGAACAATCTGCCAGAGTGTTGTGTTAGCACCAAATGTGAGCTCTTTCAAGACCAGACTTGATGAGCACTGGAGCAGGTTCAGATACATTCAGGAGCCAGTACTTGCCAACAGTGCATAACAGAGACGTGACCGATCGTCCAAACGGCTAACGAGCCGATCAGTGGTGAAGAGGATAAAAGTAAATAAAAGTAAAAGTATTAGAATTTGTTGGAGTATAGTTAAAGAAAAAATGGAACTTAGTGATAAGAGATTTGTTGTTTTGGCAAAATTAGGTATAAGCCAGTTTGGCAACTCTACGTGTAGTGCTATATTGGCCACACCAGGCTACACACAGCTCATGTGAAGCTAAAGTGAAATTGTCATCATGTATGTTTAATATTGCTAGTTTATTATTCATAATCAAAATCTACCATGAAATCTATACAATAGATACAGTATATTTTTATGAGAATTAAGCCAATAATAGACATTTATTATAAAAGTTATGTAACTCAAAATGCTGTCATGATGCTCGTGACCACAATAAGCAATGGCCACTACATATGGAAATTCTACAATGCTCTGCATATATGAGGAAAGTAATGTGTTCATCTCTATCACTTTACTTTGGTCATTGTACCATTATTTTCAGGGGCAGATAATCACCCCCAAAAAAAAAATCCTGTTTATGCCCCTGGTCTCAGATAATTCTCAAATATTTCAACCTTGGTCATTTGGTCCACTATTTTCAAGCTCAAACCACTGGAATATTTGAATGATATAAACTATAATATATGTTTTCAGAACAAATGAAGAAGCTAGTGAAGAAAGAGAATGAACAAGCTGCCACCATACACACACTCACACAACAGAGGGATGACCTTTCACTAAAACTTGACCTAAGTGAAAACCTCCTGAAGGTAGGCAAGATATCTCACAATGTATTCATAAATGATGTTTGGTAGATTTAACTTTTTCATCAGCTGATAGATTGTTTCCATTTGTTATATATAATTGTGAAATTAAAAAAATAAAACATTAAAACTATCTTAGAAATTAAATATTAGACATACCTGTATTTCTTAAATTTTCATCTCTTAATGAAAAAATTTTTCTGTCTTACTATAAGCATCACTCGTTACTTTTTTGGTCACTTTGCATTCATGTTGGTTAATCAATAAACAATGGAGAACAGCCAGTCACTAGATATGCTTGTGACCCAGAGGCAGAATGAGGTGGCAGGCTGGTGTGTATCTTTGTCATATACAGTACAGTACTGTACAGTAAAATATTAAATTTTCCATGAAATATGTGTTTAAGAAGGTTTTTGCAGTTGTAACTGTACATAGCAGAGTGGACAGTGTATGCCTACTGTAGGCCAGTGTGTATAAGGTGTAGTACAGTGTATGTACAAAGAGACAATGAGAGAAATATGTGTACTGTAAGTCTTTTCCTCCACCAGGAATTAGAGAGCCAAAGAGCAACTGCAAGTGAGGAAGGTCATCCTAGCAAAGAGGATTTGCTGTGGACTTCGAACCAACTGAAGAAGGAGTTAGAAAGTGCCAAAAAGGTGAGGTTATAGGTAATGAACTATTTTTCCTTGAAAGTTTTACAATAGCTGGGGATTGCTTGCTTTGTGAAATACACCCACTTCTCGTTTTACACGCATTTGATTTAAGTGTTTTTGGAATAACGCGTTTGTTCAATTGATAAAGTTAAGAAGAAAACCCAAAAATTCAAGATGTGGGTTGGGTCAAACAATGAGCAGGACAGAAGGATGTATGCAAGAGCCAGAAACCAAGCAAAGGCAGGGTGTAGAAAGGCTGAAAAGGAGTTCCAGGAGCTGGTTGCAAACAAGGTCAAGTCAAACCGAAAGGTGTTTTACTGCTATGCAAATTCAGAATTAAAAATGCGAGTAGGAGTATCAGACCTGAGGCTTGAAGACGGTAGTTACGCAGATTTTGACCAGGATAAAGCCGAGGCATTGAACAGCTTCTTTTCCTCGGTGTTCACAAGAGAGTATGCAATTAACCTTCCTTCGTTTGAGGACAGACGGTTCGACACACCACTGACCCACATTGTGTTCACAGAAGAGGGTATTAGAAATAAACTGTCAAAGTTAAAGGTCCATAAGAGTCCCGGCCCTGACATGGTGCATCCTAGAGTGCTAAGAGAGTTGTGCAACGAGCTTGCCGAGCCCCTGAAGTGTGAGCTCTTTCAAGACCAGACTTGACCAACACTGGAGCAGGTTCAAGTACATTCAGGAGCCGGTGCATGCCCAGTACTTGCCAACAGTGCATAACAGAGACGTGACCGATCTCCCAAGCGGCTAACGAGCCGATCAGTGGTGAAGAGGATATAAATAAGTAAAGTAATACAGTTCCTAATTTACACGCAACAATTTTTGAAATAACGCTGTTAAAATTTGCCGCATATTCGCCTGGCAGCGGAGTCGTGTGTGATGGCTGGTGAGGTGCTTGTTAGTATTACTGTAAAGTCAGTCATATCAACATCAACGATTTTAATATTGAAAGTGATCTGTTTAAAACTAGAAGAAAAAAAATTGTGGGTTTGGCAAAGAAAGTAGATCTTAAAGAGGTGGAGTTAGATGACGTGCAGGAGTTATTAGACTCTCATGAAGAAGAGGAGCCTGAGGTTGTTTGGGATCTAACAGCAAAGCGGTTGACAGAGGTATTTACTTTAATTGACAGTGCTTTCGCCATTATAGATGAAGACAATATAAATAGTGATCGTAGTTCAAAAGTGAGCAGAAATGTACTTTCGGCTATGCAGTGTTACAAAGAAATCCTGCGAGAAAAGAAAATGAAACCCATCCAAAAGACATTGCTCTCATATTTCAAGAAATCTGACAAACGCACCTCAGCAATCGACATCTGACATCTCCAGACCACAGCCAACCGTTACCACAGCCTACCGTCACCTCAGCCTACCGTCACCACAGCCTACCGTTACCACAGCCTACCGTTACCACAGCCTACCTTCACCTCAACCAACGACAGCTCGCCAGTACCCTCGCCTCAGAAGCCTCCCTCCTCAACCCTCCCCTACCCGACCTTTGTCAAGCAGAAGTCACCAGTCATCAATGTAAGTGTTATTTAAGATGTATTTACTATTGTTTTTTGTTATTACAGTGAACCCTCACTTTACGCGGTTAATTCAACCCACGGCGGCCCGCTTAAAGTGAGAAACGCGTAAAGTGAACAACATAACATATGGGATTAATTGAAATAGAGACCGGGCCGACCCCCAAACTCCACTTTTTCAGACACAATACCTACGTTGTAGTAAAAATATCTTCTTAATTTTATGATGGTATGCACACACAATTAATAATTAAGAGAAATATCAATAATACAGTATTAGGTTTTTTAACACTTACATTAGTAGAAAAGATGGCTGGGCACACGGGGATGGGGGGTTGGTTCCGAGGCAGAGGGCAGATTATTGGCCCTCACCTGTATCACTTGTATCAATTGTATCACTATCCACCACAGAGGCTTGCAGGGCCTCTTTGTCAAACCTTCTAAGTCCATACAAGTCCATATCCTCACTATAATTATCACTATTACTGACTTGGGCCGGCTGTGGTGGGTGGCGGGTGAAGAACTTGGTAATGTTTTGATGACTGGGCGACCTTGTGCGCACCCTGCTCGCGCCGCTCTCCGCGTAAAGCGAGGGTTGACTGTATTTGGTTTTTCTTCGTGAATGAGTAAGGTAAAAGAATATTTATTGTGAGTTACCCTGTACGGTATATGATGATTCCACTAACCTCTTCCATTTATATGTATATTTATGGGTAAAATGTGTTTAATTTACACGTTTTTGAATTAAGCGGTGATTTTGAAGAACCTAACCCCTACGTAAAATGAGAGGTGGGTGTAATAACAGTTTTTACTATGATGCTGGTTTGGTACTTTTAATTTGTTTTTCATTCTATCCTGTTAAGAAGAATTATATACTTATTTAATTAATATACAGGTATCCCTCAACTTATCATGGAGTTATGTTCCTGAAACCCCCATCACAAATCAAAATTTTGTAAATCGAGTTCATTATAACATGGGATTCAATGGGATGTTTTCCCAGCCAGTCCTGCAACCACATGTATCACCCTCCCCCCCTCCCAAAAATCCACTAATAAAATAAATAAAAAACAAACCACACTCACCACATCATTAAGACAAGCCTGGTTATCATCACATGTCCCCTTCAGGGCTAAGGGGACTCTTGTGGGTGGAGTGGAGACATCATTCTGAGTCACTCTCACACAGCCTCTGGGGAGGTTGGAGACAGAGTGGGAGTCTGAGTCCTTGGATGGTCTTCTAAGATACACTGCTCACTTGACAGTCACCTAAACAGAACAAAAGCACTTCACAAAAACTAAATACAATCTGAATGTTAGTGATGTCCTCTGACTGTAAGAGGAAAAATAAACAACACCAATGATGAGTAACAACGATACTGCCCAATAATAATCGTTGAGTTACGTGATCACGGGAAGAAGTGATCAACAAGGAACAAAGCGCGAGACTTTCGTGCACTGGATGGCTGCGTAACAACGCACAAAAAAATTATGCTGTGGCTGACAACTGCAGCAAAAGATGCATTTCATATTTCACGTATCGGCGAGTTTGGCTGGACGATGACCATCGTTCAAGCGAAATTTTGAGATTGTAAATAGGGAGGTGTTCTTAAAACATTGACATCATTAAAGTGGAATATCGTAAATCGAGGGATACCTGTGTGAGTATTTTTCTCATTTATGCCACCCATTTATTATGGTGATGTGTTACTTTATTTTGTCGAGATAAGACATTGTCTCATTGTTCTTCATACAAAGTTTTCACTGTTTGCTTAACCCTTAAATGGCAGCCATCATCTATGGAGATCAGCTATAGGTAGTGACCATTGCCTGTTGAAGTCTGCTGTTGGAATGGCAGCCATCATCTATATAAGTTTCATATTTCTCACACTCCACTGAGTTAGAGGGTCATGAATAGCTAATAGATGTCCTTCACACTGCTCCCCTATATGCCTGTTAGGATGTCCCATACCCCAGTGCAACCACAGTTACTATAGCAAGTGAATTCTTCAACACTGTGCTGGTGAAGGCTTGTCAGTTTCCCTACAGCTAGCATCCACCAATGACGGCCTCCATTTAAGGGTTAAGCAAGAGTTGCAAGAGTCAAAGAATTATTTAGTCTACTGAGTAGGCAATAAATATCTAAGCAGTACAGGTGCAGTACAATACTGTACTTAGATATTTCCTGCAAGTCTCAACTGAAATAATATTTGTCAATAATCTCTCCATTAGAATGGATTTACATTTTCCCATCTTTGGCAGCTGCTAAACTACAGGAAGCAGAAGGTTGAGTCATTGCACAAAGACTTTCTAGCACAGGACAAGATGTATGCAGAGAAGCTAGAGGCAGAGCAAGAGCAAGGGGAGAAGCTTAAGGAAACTGTATGGCAGTTAGAAAGGGATTTGGAACAGTACAAGATAAAGGAAGAGAAGGTAAGCTTTTTTTTTCCTTACCATAACCTGCCTTAGCTCCATATTGAAATTTTATTATGAGAAAAGTGTAAAGTTCTTGAAATTAAGAACTCAATTTAATTTATCTCCATGATGAAAACTGCCACTTGAAAGATCACTTGACTTCCACCTCGTTTTATGACTCGACAACCTTTGTTTCTATACTCTGTTCACATAAGCTTTGCAACCAGGTCCTAGAGCAGATTTTATTAATGCAACTGATTAGCTGATGGAATGAGGTGCCAAATTTAAAAGAACATCCTTTAACCATCGAGCAACAGCAAACATCAATTGATGTTAGCTGTAGGGTCAGCAGCAAACATCAATGGATGTTTCATGTTCCCTGTGTTCGAGTTTTTTAACATATGGGAGCATATTAGGGAATCCTTACCCACTAGTAAAGGGTTATTTGGCCCAGCATATTACTGTCCATTTCCATTCTTCTATATTCAGCACAAATTGCTTCCTTTACATTCTGTTCCTTCAATTTGCACACTTTCCTTCTTGGACCAAACACCTTCCTTTCCCTGCACCTGTTAAGCAACATTTCACACGAGCAATCTGTGCTGCAAGAGATATTCTTTTCTTACTATCAATGTTACAACCCTAAAAAGCTTCTCGTTTGAATTCTTGACAAGTACTGTATGTAGTCAATCTTGGGTTTTATACCACCTGATTCATATGTGATCACCCGACTCGCCCTATCCTTAAATAATGTGTAGCATGTAACCATATTTAGTGCATCCCTATACTGTACTCAAATATTCTTTTGTCTTCTGTAGTGCTGTTGTTTTGGTTCTGCCAGCATTTTGATTACTAGATGAATAAGTGTATTGTATGTGACATTCTAGATACAGTATAAAGGACTGTCTTGTACAGAGAGTTATGTTATTATTCCACACTCCTCTGTTCACAGATGATAAGTAAGTTGACGAATGCAGAACAGAAACAGAAAAAGACAGAAGAGCGACTTGAGATGGCCCTCGGACAGGTAGCATCTCAGTGCCAGATGTCATCAGTCATGGATTCCATGTTATCAAACCTACACATTGCTGTTCACCAGGCCAGTTTAGATTAAAATTTATGGTGCTTTGTTTATAGTCAAGAATGTCAGATTTTCAATGTTGTTAGAAGAAAGACTTATAGAACTAAAAATTGGACAGGAAAGAATTATATTAGAGTGGGGAATAAGCTTTAGGACAAGTGTAACCTGGCCATAACAGTACAGTAATTGGCTAAAGGAGAGTTTCTAAATAAAGAAATAAAGAGTGATAGGAGATAATGACCAAGAGACAAGACAGGACTTGTGTATACTTTACAGTGTTTGGTGGGGAGGAAAGAGCATGGCCGCAAGATGGTGTCGGGAACCCATGTTATATGCAGGGATTTAGGGATGCACTGCACAGGTTTCTACATCACAGTTGGCTAAATCAGGGACACACTATTTTTACAAGTACAATTTATATCATAGGTGACAGTAGAAGACCCCAAGCTCTTAGTACAGTACCAGTATGCCATTCAGCTGTAGTTAAGTATGATTTTTGGAGAAGAAATTATGAAGGAATTATTTTATTTATTTGATAAGACATGTAGGGAATAAAATCGTGGAATAGGTTATATAAATACACCTGTCCACATTTAATTTTCTACAAGCATCACCAAATGTGTATTGTAGAGGCAGCTAGTGTTAGTCTCAGAACAAAAATTATATACCTGTACTATACTGTGGTATGTTCCTGGAGGCCAAGTTCAGGGCCAGAACAGAAGTTTACTACATATCAGGTCCCAGTTTCTCACACAGTAAGCTCAATTGGGTGAATTTGTTTTATCTTTTGAAATTCAAATTATATTACATTTTCATTAATGCATAATCTTAATAAGCAATATTATTAGTATTAATATATATATATTTTTTTAATATGATCAGCTCAAGGATTTGGTGACCATCTCCCAGCAAATCAGTGAGGGACATTCTCCAGATATCTCCTTGCTCCTCAATTTCTCAGGTGAGTCAGCACAACAAGGTGGGGTATTTTGATTGACAGATAGTGTCGTGAAGAATATTATTTATTTTTTTTATTAACTGAAGATATTTGTTTTAGCTCATAAAATTCATACAAATTACTTGGCCAGAATATAATTTACATTGCTGGAATTCTTACAATATGATGATCATTTTGAATATAAACATCATGGATTTTGCATTAGACATACAATTTTAGATCTAATGTAATAATTTGGTTTACACAAAGCAAATATTTTATCTTTTGTGCAAAATATATGAATTTTACATTCAAAATAATCCCTGACCTGCAAGGAATCCAGAAATGTCAATTATATTATCCTAACTTTAGTCTGAGGTATTATTTATTACTATATGTTAAAATCTAGTGTTTTCACCCAAACATTTCTCAGAGAGGTAGGAGCCAGTGAGCTGGGAAGAGGGGGGAGTTGAGTCCATTATTTGAATGGACATTAACCTGGCGACTGTATTTCCCTTAAATATTAATTGTGTGCATACCATCATAAAATTAAGATGTTATTTTTACTACAACATAGGTATTGTTTTGAAAAAAGTGGAGTTTGGGGGTCGGGCCAGTCTCTATTGGAATTAATCCCATATGTTCTGTTGTTCACTTTACGCGGTTTTCACTTTCCGCGGTACCCCATGGGTTCAATTGACCGTGTAAATCGGGGTACTACTGCAATATTTATGAATGTAAAACAAAAATTCTACTCACCAATGGTGGTAAAGTCTAAAACATAAGGACAGCCAATGAATATTGTGAGTTTTTACTCAGATGACGAAGTCATCAGGTTCAACTGGCTGAAGCTGTAGCTTCCATAAAGCTGTTGTTGAAACGGTTACTGAACCTGAAGTTGATGTTGAAGCTGCTTATGATGCCGAAGTTGATGGTTTAGGCCTTCGAGTAATAAAGCTGCTTTCTTTTCTCATTATACATCTTTATATAGAGGTCATTTGCATTTATTTAAATTTTAATGCTTTGTTCTGTTAATGGATCCACTTCAGAAAATATGTTCATTGCTTGCTCCATATAATATCCACAGACCTCTCGCCTTTTTCATATCGTTTTAACACATCTAGTTTCTCGGCTAAGCTTATACACTTTCTATTACCACCACTTGCTCTCTTGCTCATGCTGAATAGAGATGCAAAAATGCTGTAAGAAACCTGAGAAAGTTTTTCTCCTGTTCCTGTTCCAGATGCATGAAAACAAAAGGCCCGCCAAGCTCTGACTGTTGTTTACCACTCATTAGCCAGGCAGCCTTTGTGCAAGGCGCTCTTATATTTTTTACAGTAATTTTTTTTAATAATACATATCGGGATTTAGTTATTATTTAAATGAAAGTGTAATTTGATTTTATTTTTATTATATTTTGGTCGTAAATACGAATGAAATAAGGACGTAAATTGAATTGGGTCTTAAATTAACTAGGGTTTTAAATATGAAAAGTTGTTGGTCGGGAGGGAGTTAGGCGCGGGTCGGGTTGTGTTGCGTCTCTGTAACAAAGCGTGTTCGTCAATCAGGTCTTGGTTGTTGAGCGGCAGAAATTGGACAGTGATTACATAAGGTCATCAAGATCGTCTTAGTGATGTGAAAGTGTAAATCGATGTAGGATTTTTAATGCTAGACGCGATTGTATTTTTGAAAACTTAATCTCCACCGAGCTGGAGATATAGCCCAGGTCTAGAGAGACACAACCACAAAATCATTGCCATATGACAAAGCTTTATTTTATTTTTTTACAGAGTTGTGGTCATGGCTGTGATAAAGGCCAACCAGGGAGTGTAGTACTGTTCCTTTAGTTAAATCAGTTCATAGTGTCATCAGTGACCGCAGAAGAGGTTGTAAATAACCTAAAGTGAATACAAATTGGCAAGCAAGCTGTTAAGGCACCACTGCCAGCAGAAACCAAGTCATGTTATAGGTGCCACAGAGACTTTAAATTTTATTTTGTTTGTGTGCTTTCTCAAGGACTGAAACTGTGCCTACAATACACCATTCACAGGGAGATACAGTGTACACAGTGATAGCACAAAGAGATATAGTCGATGATGAGAACAGGGAAAAGAAAGTATAAGGAAATGATAGTTAAAATAAAAAATAAATAAAATCAACAAGCTTGGCAGTAAGTCAGATCAGCAACCTGGGACTTGGTCACAATTTTTGTAATGCCATATGGCAGCAGGGTCTACCATTAGACAATACATTATGCTTCCAATATCTTCACAGGCAGTAGTACTCCCCTGTTTGGTAGCTGCCTACTACCATGTTGAGTTGCTCCCTTGCTAAACTGTTTTTGTTCCCTTGTTTTTTTTTATACAGTAGTACCCCGATTTACGCGGTCAATTGAACCCACAGGGTACCGCAGAAAGTGAAATCCGCATAAATGGAACAACAGAACATATGGGATTAATTCCAATAGAGACTGGCCCGACCCCCAAACTCCACTTTTTGACGACACACAACTATGTTGTAGTAAAAATCTTATCTTAACTTTATGATGGTATGCACAAACAAGTAATATAGAAGAGGTTAAGTTAGGAAAAATAAAGGTTAGGTTAGGAAAACTAAAAGTTAGGTGTAACACTTACGTTAGTAGAGGAGATGGGTCGGCATACGGGGCCTGGAGGGATGAAACTGCCGCGGCTAGGTCAAGCGTCGTCTTTCCTCCCTCCCTCCCTCCCCGGGTGGACATGTCATATTACTTTAAACCAATTACAGCTAGCAGCAGAGGGGGGTAGGGATGCATGGCCAATCACAGTCCGATATGTCATATGACATCAGTGATAACGCAACAGAGACATGCACTGCGCAACCTTACCGCGCGGCTTGCCCAGGCGGAGGCGGGAGCAGGCGGGTGGGGCGAATCTAAAAATAGCGTCGAGCCGGACACTCTGCGCGTATATGGGTAGATGAACCGCGGAAAGTGAAAGTTCGGTTCTGGCGAGGCACCGCATATATGAGAAATCGTGTAAAGTGAAACCGTGTAAAGCGGGGTAATACTGTACAGTATTATATTTTTATCTTCTCACTCTTTGTCAGTCATTCAGCAGCTTGGTAGTTCATTCTTTTTCTCCCATGCAATAATTTATGTGATTCCTTCTAACATCTCAAGTGTTTTCTTTCTTTCTATTTGTCAATTTACATTCATCAACCTGTTCCACTGATTTATAACAAGAGGGCTCATAGATAATCTTCCTTACTTATAAACCTAACTACTGAAGCTAACACAGCAAGATAATTATTAATGTGAATTTTCTAGAACCTTTAGAAGATAGTGAAAGTGTGACTACTGAAGGTCTAACTACCAGACTGAAGGAAGTGCGAGGGTTAATCCAACAACTAGAAGATGTCAGAACACATTTGCAAGAAAAGTACACCCACCACCTAGCTAAAAATATAACATGTGCACAAATGTGAAGTGAAAAATTGTACATACTCTCTATTCAGTTACTTAAAGGAAGTGCAGGTAAGATAAACAATATTGGAAATACAAAACTGGTTTTTACAAGATTTGAATAAATTTAGTATACTGTGAAGCCACTAACCCTTGCAGTATCCAGTTCAACCACTTTCAGGATTGGTCATTTGAATTATATTTTCCACATACTCGTAAATTAATGTATTTGGCTCTTGGGTTCTGGAATTGACAAATACACCAAGTAAGAGTTAGTTTTCACATTTAAAACTAGTAATGGCATTAATATATTTGTACCATTTCATTCATGTTGGCAGTACATGTACAGTACAGAATTTATAACTGGCAAGTAGCCTTACAGAGGATCTCGGTTCCAACAATGAATGTAAAAGTGTCAAGAGCACATCTATGAATTTCATTGTTCAACCAGTGGGACTGGTTAAGTCATGTTTTATATACAGGATTGTCTAATAGGTGGAATCATTTGGAGTCACTGAAAAGCCTTCTTACATATATTTAAAGAGATGCATAAAGTATTCATCATGTTTGTAATTCTTATCATTGACAATAAACTATAAGGTTCTGCTGTACAGTACAGTACTTGTACCTATAGTTTGAAATCAAAGCTTTAGTAATTCAGTTTTCAAGCTTCTTAAATTATAGCAGATACCTTACAGTAGGCGATACAGATAAAGTTTTTATAATATCCGAGCAGGATAGGACTCGTAGCAATGGATTTAAGTTGGATAAGTTTAGGTTTAGGAGGGAAATAGGAGGGAACTGGTTCACAAATTGGGTGGTGGACGAGTGGAACAAGCTTAGCAACTTTGTAGTAAGTGCTGGAATGCTGGAAAGTTTTGAAAGGAGGCTAAATAGATTCATGGATGATAGTGGTAGTAACTCTCGACAGGAGCTGCCATGCACAGGCCAACCGGCCTATTGCAGACTCCTTATGTTAAGTTCAGCATCAATGGATAACCAGATCATGAAAGAGCATTGACAATAATGATGGATATATCAAATACTGTACTGTTATTTGTTATTCCCTATGGTTCCATTTAATTGGACCACCATAGATATTTCTTTGTACTGTACTGTAAAAGCACAAGTATTGTTTGAACAATGTATAATCCTCTGGAGGCAGGTCTGTTTGAGCCACATCTTGGTAATGAGCAGTTTTGGCCAAAGCCATTGCTTTGCCTCTTATGTTCTCGGCTAATCTACCATTTTCATCTTTGTTCCTAGCTGATTATCTTCGAGAACTGTCCCAGACTGGCTTTCCTTCGACCTGCTCATCTTTACTCAAGCCGAGTGTCAGGCCCCTATATCATTTCAGGGATGATTGGCAGAAATTGCCTAAATCATATATTCAACATCTTGGAACCAGTGTGCAGATTTAAGTTCCATATTTTTGAGTGGTATAAAAAATATGACTCAAAGTGCATTTGAATGTAATATGAAAATGCAAGGCTACATTAATTACAATACGTACCTGTATTTATATAATTTCTTAATACTGTAATGTTTATTTTGAGGTACAGTATTTACTTTAAAGTACAGTACTGGGGAAATTGTTTGGCTTTTTCACACAGAAGGGGGTCAGAAATGAGTACCCTTCTCACTTCACATCTTAACCCCTTTTACAGCACTGTCAAGCTTGGCTGACCTTGTTCCATGTAATAATTTACACTTGGCCATGTCCGTGTCTGTCTCGTTGTCAGCACAGAATTTGAATACCTTGACATCATTGTTTTTCCAATGCCACACTGTTCAGTAAGTTTGATACTGAAACACCCTTGTCTAGTTTGTGTTCTGCAATATTTCAGCTTCTTGCATGTTAACTGCAAGGAATTAAAAAAAAAATTAATCACAGCAAACATTATCATATAATTAGCAGCAAGTGACTGCACAGGTGGCAGATATGCACCAAAGTTAGGCTTGCTAACCTCCCAAAATCACAGTTCATTCATGGCACATTTTTTTATTTGAAACCAGAGATTCTTGGGTATTTCAGATTTTAGCTTCAACCATTTAAAAAACAAAACAAAACAAAAAGTCGTGTAACAGCACTGTAAACAACTTCATTGGGGTTTGTTTACATGATTCTTCACAGCAATGCCCAGAAATAAGAGCTTTTTAATTCCACCTATTTTAGGATTGTATATTGTTTTTATTCTGTTTGTGAGGCACATCATAGTTTCCTTGAGGATAGTGTGAAATAATTTTGTTTTTTAATTCTATTTGGAAGTTCATACTGGTTCATTAGATTTGCACATGGATTCTGCTTTAGAATCCTTGTGAAAATATGAAATCTTGCTTTACTGAACTGCCTTACTTAATGTGGGTCTGTTAGGTTGTTTCTGGCATTTTAGAATGGCTGGGTTAACCCCTATTATAGTTTACAGTATTTTGAATTTGTATGACTCAGCTCCTAACCCAATGGTACCCTAGAGGGGATTATAAGGGTAATTTCACCATTCATTTTAATTGATCACATTGTACTCTTCTGATTCAAGTCTGTGGCTACAGTGTTACTCTATTACCAATTTCACAGGACAAGGTGAGAGATGGTCAGTCTAACCAATAAGGCTCAACATGCCCCACTGATGTCAGTGTTTTTCTTGAGGACTTAAATCCCCACCTGTAAGCTGTCTGTTTGCACTTTAATAGAAAAAGGATACTGTACTAGGATCAACCTGCAATTTTTTTTTATGCACTTGAAGATATAAAATATTCTTGTTTACATCCCATTTCACAACTTCACTCAGATGTTTTAAAGTATATATAGTAGAGCTTCCCTGAATGCTGAGAAATGTAAATTTAAAAGAAAAATAGCATCTTCTGTTGTACAGAATACTGCATTGTGTATCACCATTTACTCAAGTTATCATAGCGATGCATTTTTCCTGTTTTTGTTCAACCTTATTTTGTTCACCTGAATATTTAAGACAATGTATTGATACTGTGAATTTATTATACTTTCCTTTCACTCAAAATGGACCAGAATAGCCATCTTAGAAAACTGGAAACATGGTACAATACTTCAGCTTCTAGAACCATGCTAAAGCTTGAGTGAATATAAATACTGTAATAATGTATTGTAAGTGTATGTGCATCAACACCATTTTATGGGTTTTTACTGCCCACACTTATTCCAGCAAGGAACTGATAAACAAAACATGAAGGATCACACAATTAGGCACCAGACGTGACCACGTCTGATGTATGGAAGGCTCTTAATCAGTCAGTCACTCGGTTATGCATCGATAGGCCTAGTGAGAGGATACCCACCCAGTCACTCTATACTTATTTTCACATTTTGTGTAGTGCACCACCACCAAGGCCTCGGAGGAGGGAAATTATACTCATCCTTTGCCTGCAGCACTGCTAAGCGGTAATTTTGTGTAAGTTTTCTGGTTACTGTAGGTTATTTTGGCCACAAAGTTGTGTATTGGAGTTGGACGAAAATTCTGGAGGAAAATTCCTTGATAACTCGGAATGGTTAAAGCCCCCAACCTTCTGAGTTATCAAGGGTTTATTGCAGGGGTAGGGAAGATACTGCCCGCTGGCCACATTTTGTCCGGCAGATCATTTCTGTGGCCTGGCATTGCATGTGGCAAAGGAGTTTTTTTTTTTTTTAGAAAGAATCAATATGTGGGAGTTGGCCACTCACAGCAGCAAGACCAGCTCATCACCTGCTGACCTGGCCTCATGAATACCCCCAAGTATGTACTTGTGTGTTGTTGCCCCCAACCCATAATTTTTAAGTGAAAATGAGTGAATCTAAGAATAGAAAAGCTGAAGCAGTGTCGAACATTCAACAAGGAATGGACTTCTAAATATTTTTTTTACTAACGTGGATGGAAAAGCAGTGTGTTTAATTTGCAAAGAAAGTGTGGTGGTGCTAAAAGAAAAACCTAACTGCCATTTAGAGACCAAGCATTCCAGTAAATATAAAACACATTTGATGAAGAAAGCTAATGAGATGGTTGCTCAATTACAACAAAAGTTTTTTCAAAAAACAATTTGCATCTCAGGATATTACAAGTTATGCAATTGCTCACAAAATTGCAAAAAAAAAACCGCAAGCCATTCTCTGGTTGATTCTGCCTCTTATGTCCAGACATGAAAAACTAGTTTGAGAAAGTAAGTTTGTTAAAGCAAACAATTGTAAGACATGTAGAGGACATCGCTGAGAACATGTATCTGGAGTTTAAAAGAGAGTAAGGACTTTTTCAATACTGTACTATTCACTGGCACTTGATGAAAGTTGTGATGTCGGACACAGCATAGTTGTTAATTTTCATTTGAGGCATTATCAAAATTTTTGAGATTACAGAAGAATTGGCATCAATGCAGCCACTGAAAGGAACAACTGGAGAAGACTTATTGGAGGCAGTAAATTACTGTATTTTGAAATTAAGAATAGTGGAAAAAAAAAATGGTAAATGTGACCACCGATAGATGGCCAAATCTGACAGGTAAAAATGTTAAGATTGTTGAAAAAAATTCAAGATCACATCAGAGAAAAATGCAGAAAATATTCTTTCTTCACTGCATTATTCATCAAGAAGTCCTTTGTAAGCTTGTTTTCAATTTAAGCCATGTCGTGGACAGAGTTGTAAAAGTGGCTAATTACATTCCAACAAGAGGATTTAATCAGTCAGTTTATAATCCTGCTGAAAGACTTGGAATCTGATCATAAGGATGTTCTGTATCACAAATGTGAGGTGACTTAGTTTGGGAAAAATCCTGAAAAGTTTGTGAACTGAAAGAGATTGGCTTATTTTTGGACATAAAACAAAGCTACGGGTATAGATTCCCACAGTTGAATGATGAGAAATGGCTCTCCTATTTGCTGTTATCATGGGTAGTATGAATGACCTGAATTCAAAGCTACAAGGTAAGGGGGTTTTGCTCATGATTTATACAACAGTGTCAAGGCTTTTATGAAGAAATTACTTTTGTCTCATCAGATAAACAGTATGCTCACTTTGCAACCTTACAACACATTGCAGTTTATCAAAATGTACAGAAGTACTCATTGCAGCTACTTGACTTGCATGCCAAATTTTCACTGCAATTCTAGGATTTAAAATTAATTTAAAATTACATGTCTTTGGTGTCTTAACCCTTCTAAATTGATGTTGACAGCCTCATTTGACCTACAACTCGAGCTTATTAACCTGCAATGTGATACTCTGCTTTCTGAGCAGATGAAATCAGTCTCTTCCCAATTCTACACCTCTATTAATGGCTGCATTTCCAAAACTAAAGGCTCATGCCCAAAGAATGCTTGTGCCATTTGGATCTACATACTGTATGCAGACATTTTCGGTAATTTAGCCGAATAAATCAAAATATTACCTTGAACAAGTACTTTTCATTGCAACAACGGAGGCAACACCTGACATCAGTGGTCTGGTTAGCAATCATCAGCGTTGTCATTCATCCCACTAAGTTAGTTAAATAATCTTGACATATGAACAACTTCAAATATTACACAATTACATATTGGTCTTTTGACTTGCTTTTATTTGTTTTTAACCATTAAAACTGAATTTTACTTTATTTATCAAGAAGAAACAATGTTAAATTTTATTAACTTTATTTATCAAGCAGTGCAGCAGTGAAAATGTGGATCAGGGACAGCTACAATCAGACCTGGCCGACTCCACTCAACCACCACCTCCCTAGGGAAGCCAGAAGCAGGATTAACCAGGTTCGGACCTGACCAACTCAACCCTACCACTACCTCCCAAGGGAAGAGTAAAGACAAGGTCTCAAGAGCAGAATTTCAGCCAGCAATATCGACTCTGTTCTATTACATTTATTTACTTAAAGTACCAACTCTATAGTATTCATAATAGTAGTTATTTGTATTAGCATTATTAATAAAAATAAAAGAGAAGCCAAGAAGTGATGTATTTATTTACTCAAAATACCCATGCTAAGTTAATATTTTATTTACATCCTATATATACACATACAAGGCTTTACTTTGTGCAAACATTATGCATTTGCATCTATATTAAGTCTGTGGCCCGTAGGTAGTAGACCCTGCTGCCATATGGCATCACAAAAATTGTGACAAGTCCCAGGATGCTGATCTGTCTCATTTCCACAAATGTTTCTTACTTTGACAACACATACATAGTTGCTTCTCGCTCTAGATACATTTATAATAATAATTTGTATTTATTTTAATTATATTTCGCCCTTCAGGCCCTGATGTGGGTCAGTGACCTGTGCCCAGGTGGGCTAATCCCCCCCCCCCCAAAAGCCACCCCTGGTTTATTGTACAGGCATCTCTTTAAATATTGAGATGCATTCCTGAAAACCAATTGTTGTGACTGATAGCAGTTATAGCCCTCTGCCTCAATACTGTAAATATGTTCACTTCCCACACCCATGTTCTTCATTTTTTATTATTTTATATATTTTCTTTATTACAAAGCCATATTTAGAGTAGTGTATTTTAATGTTGCACAATTAAGAGAACGGAATCCCCAGTTTTCCCCACTTTCCTCCCGAATATTACCAGCCAGGTATCCAATTTAACATCACAGGTTTCTAGTAATGAACTCTCAAGACGCATTTGAACTTTATTGATACATAAAGAAAACCCTCAACATGAGACATCAACTGTTACATAAAATTCTTGAATTATAAAAAAATGCCATATCAGCAGCAAGAATTGAACTTCAAATATGAGTGCCTGTTTCAATGCTGCAGAATGGAGTACAGTATCTACACATTTCTCAGCTTAACAACTATGCTGTTGATTTTGTACCTTCTGCTGACACTAGTTTGTTCCTATTTTATTGGTACAATACATAAGACCTTATTTATTAAAAAAATTCCTGTAAACTCAATTGTCTTACCTCAAGATCCTTTTCCACAGCACTTGCCATGAATTTTTAAATGATATAATTGTATATTACTACTGCAAAAGTGGTCAGAATAGGGGCTCTTCCATCCCCTGTCCATACACACACACACACTCCTCCACTGGGCATTAATAAGGTCGAGACCTTCCTGGTCCACGGTCACTGTAAGGGAAATTTAGAGTACGATAAAACACAAATACCATATTTGATGTATAGTGGTTCACTTATGTTGTAGAATCACAATTTATTTTTTTATTTTTTCATGACCAGGGAACACAAGGCATAAGTAAAAAGTAAAAGATGAAGTGGGATTGAAAATCTCTAATATCTTACACTAAATTGGGAGAAACATCAAATTAAACCTTAGATGCAACTGACAGTTTTGCCAAATAGGGATATCTTTTCATTGCTAGTACTTACAGGTAAATAATTCATATGCAGTAAAATTTGTACTGGTTTCAATTAAGATGTCATCTATTACTGATATATTGGTTACACTAACATTGTTTTGACATAAAATTCTTCCACAATACTAACCCCTTCATTGGGCCACCAGAATCGCGGTCTCCATCACGATCTCCATAGCCACCACGGCCTCTGAAGCCGCCTCTTCCGCCACGGTCACCACCACGGCCTCTGAATCCTCCACGATCTCCACGTCCACGGAATCCACCCCTGAAACCTCCACGGTCTCCACCTCCACCACTTCCACTATCTGAAATATTTTGTCAAATTAATTATTTCACCTTGGAACCAACAAACATAAAAACCAAGGACCACATGACAGTAAAATAAACTTGTACACTTCGCCCCCGTATTCGCAAGGGTTACGTTCTTGGAAATCACCGCATATTGTGTGTTCGCAAATACTAAATTTAATCCCTGATAGCAAAACTAGTGTATGGTATCATGGCTACTAAGATTATCATTGTTGTCATAATACTTTAGGTTAGAAATAATGTTTCTGAGATAGTGTTGATGTTTCTATGGAGTGAGTTTTTGTAATACAAATTACAAAAATAATTGTTTTCTCTTCATATAATTCAAGCAAGACTGTAAATAAACACGTAACTTCTATCACTAAGGAGATTAGTCTACATCAATAAAACCATTTTCTTTAATACAGAGCAAAAACTACAATATTCTAATGTAACTAGAATTAAAGAAAATATAAGCAAAAATGAAGTGCATAGGTTGTGTAAGGTGTAGAGGCAAGCCGACCCCCGGGATGTGATGTCACAGCATACACACTTTTCAGGGTCAGCTGGATGATTGCCTGGCTTAACTGTGTTGTGTTGCCAAGATGATGGTTTGATGTGTGGAAAGAGCCACTTTTTTAACATAAAACATGTACTATTGTATTTTACGATATATTATTTACCAATTTTTCTGTATCACAGCAGTTTTTGTTAACAAAGCAGTTACTGGTGGTTGTCATGCGAATGAATGATTTGTTGCATTCAGAACAGGACCAGAGGAGACATAGTTGGGATACCTTGAAGATACAGATTGTTGGAATTCAGATAAAAGGAATTGCACTGTAAATTAAATAAACTTATGACATTGGATTTAACATAAAAGTAGAGATATTCGTCATACAGTGGCCTGACACAAATGAGGGAGGTTATTGGGTGTTACTGGGTCACAAAAAAAATTTCCAACAGCCTCACACATGGCGGAGTTTGCAAATACGGGGAAGTAAGTGTATTTATTATCACCTGTACAAAAACTTTGACAAATATAGAACACTAATGCAGGGGGGATATTCATCATGATTACAAAGGCAACATGTACGATAAGCAATAAAAACTGACCATCATCACCACCCGCTCCAGCAGGCTTGGGCTCATTACACCTATTACAGCTGTTGCGCCAAGCAAAGTTGTTATTTCCACAACTTGGTACAGGACATCTCCAATCACCTGCACGTCCTGGTATGAAACCAATTAATGAATTCAGTGAACATTGGAATTCTAAGAAGTCAATATATACTTCATAATTAAACATTAAATTCAGTATAAAAACACCTTGTTATTAAAACACACCTCGACCACCACTTGGAGGACCATCACGATCTCCACCACCGCGATCACCACCCCCACGACCAGGAGGACCACCACGACGGTCAAAGCCTCTATCACCTCCGCCTCCACCCCCTCCTCCACCACCGCCGCTGCTACCGCCACCACCACGGCCTCGACCACCACCACCACTACTCCCACCACTGCCAGCACCACGATCTCCGGTCTCGCCACCAAAGCCACCCCGTCCGCGTTCGTAACTGCTCTTTGGTCTCTCTGCCATCTGGACCTGTTAAAAATTAAGTTTTAAATAATATACAGTAGTGATTTCACTCCTACCATATACCAATCTTCAAGCAAAATTATTTGATTACCAAGTATCTTATGAGTCCTGAGTAAAATAGACAATGAAGTTCAATACCTTGATTGTGCGTCCCATGAATGACTTTCCATCAAACCACTGTATGGCAGACTTAGCAGTGAAGGGATCGTCAAATGTGACTGTGCACTCTCCCTTCATGCGGCCTGTAGCTTTGTCCTTATACATCCAAATTTTTGGCCGCTGCGTTCTCTTGTCCATCTATGAATAAAAAAAAAAAAAAATGATTCATTTGGTTTTTGTTTAAGTTACTACTGTATTCTATCACTCAGGAAACTCATTTCTCTTGCTGTAAGTTCATTACTCAGCACAATTTCTCACCTTAATTATTCCAATAGAGCCAAAATGTTCTTTAATATTTTCTTCTGTTGCATTTGCAGGCATGCCAGACACAAATATTGTGTCCTCTTGCATCACCAAGTCTGAAGATTCTCCACGGAAGCGGTCACCATTGCCACCACGGCTGTCACCATCAAACCGGCTCCCCCCGTAGTTCCCACTGCCATCTTCTGCACGCCGATACAAATAAGAATTAGCTCATCATATTACATTTTGAATGATCAAAGAATAAGTTCATGCTGGCCAATAGCAGCTTCAGAGAATTAAGAGTAAATTTAAATCATTAAGTACTAAAAAAATTACTTGCAAACTCTGAAGCTACATTGACAAACATGCACCATCATATCTAATGGAAAAAGTATAGACTGAATGCAAGGATTATGAAAACTTAACTGTCTGCAAGTGCAAATGAGTGATTTGTCTATAACATTTAAGAATTAATGCATGAAAATATATCTGATTGATAATTGCTAAATATTGTACATTAAATTTGCACATTAAAGTCAAGTTAAGTTTGCTTCTTAACTATACTCAAAACAAATTACCACTGCCCACCTAGAAGGGTTTTCCTACTTCAAAAGTATAATTACCAAACTTAGATGGTACTCTTGATCTAGACCCATATACACAAACACTAACCACAACAGATAGTGGAGCTCACACCATGATTCTGAATGTATACCTGCAGGTGTACGAGAAGTACCACACAAGGCTGTAGTTTGAGCCAGAACCGCAGTTTGGAAATTAACTTTATCATCCCCGACCTCCCCATTTTGTCTCACATCCACATAAATTACCACTAAAAATAAGTTTTATCAAGGCTTATTGCTATAGCAATTGTATTTTCTGTACTCTCCCATTAAATTTGTTCTTACCAAAATGAGCAAGTATTCACGTGGCACAACTTACTCATACTCATACCATGCATAACACGACACCCAATATTACCAGTAATGGTTTCCATAAATGGGCACAAAGGGTATTACTGTTCAAAAGACCAAAACGAAAAAAAATGAATTACCAGTGTAAGGTGTTCACACCAAAGTTCTTTACTCTCTAGAACCAAAATGAAAATGCTTAGTATATGAAGCATCACACCAAGCCTTTGACCTTTAATTGTTAAAACACACCGTTTCATGTTTTGCTGTCTAAAAATACCCAAACAGACAGGCTAACCATTTAATAAGTGATTTATACCATTATCTTTATATATAACAAAATTGATCCTGACCATCTTGGGCACACATTGAAATGAACCATCACATTAACTTTTCTTCAACATTACATGATTAATTGCACAATTTCAAGAACCATCATTACCACTCTTTCAAAGAAAGAATCCATCATTAAAATAAGACACTTTATCTAAATTGTTATTGCTAACTTCATTAATACCAATTCCATTTAACTGCACCTCACTTTCTATTATGCATACTACCATCAGGCTCATTGTACCACATGGTCTGAGAGGGCACACAATAATTAAGACCCAAGGTAACAAACTGGCTGTGTGAATCTAATTGTACACTTGAAGAAGCCTATAAACATAAATGCTTATCCTCAATCATTAGAGCGGGTTAATAAAAGCAGAAAAGACTTACTGTACACTGGAACATTCAAAATGTCCAGAAAAAGCCCCCATACAATTGAGGATATGCAATTACGAACAGACCACACCATTGTCTCAAATGAACTAATACTTCTGTCTCTAGAAATAATCATGCAAAAGGTTTATATACGTAACAAAGCTCAGTTTGAGACCACAGTGCATTACTTAAGCAAAGATCACACTTGAACCAGCAACACAAGTGATGCTGAAAAAAGGAGGACCTTTACTTAAGATGGCCTGCATTTGCAAAACTGACGAAAAACCATAAGCACCTACAGGTGCTGTTACCTTTGTTATAACCTCTCCCTTGATCCCGCCTGTAAGAAGACACTTTGAGACCGGCAGCTCTGTTGGCACGAAGTTGTCAATTTGTCGGGCAGTCACACAGTTAGACAGTCAATGTCAAGTCAATGATTTTGGGTTGAATACCAGAGTAACAAGCATTCCAATGCATACATGGTCAATACATCATGCAACTGTATGTCTTGTTAAACTGGAAACTGAAGAGAGCATGATCATTCATGTGAGATAACCACATGAAGACCTGACTGTCACCTGGCAGTATATTATCTTGAGCTGAAAGTCTAATAAAGTCAGCTTGATTTACAGGCGAGGAGACATCAAGGGAAGGTTGTTGGGTGTCCTCAACAGGGTTACTTGGATTTCTTCCTGCTACCCTCTGCTTTGCCACACCACGTTGTTACTCTCATCACCTCTAAGATCACAATTTTTCTCTTCTTCATTGACCTCCAATACTTATACTCAATTAAAAATTTACGCCTTACACGGGAAACTTTTTAGTTTACACTTTTAAGTTAAAAAAATAATGCCCTGCCTAAAATTTCCTTGAACTCAGAAATGTTCATCTACAGCTCGAATGCCTTCACACCAATGTCAAGCATCAACTTGGTGGACTATATTTTTACACAAATGCCAAGTATCAACACTGACAATTTTTACACCAATGCTAATAATTAACTAATAAATTATGTCAGTGTAACACCAATTATTGAAGCAATTATTACCACTTGCAACTTTACAATGCACACTCCACAGTACCATTTCTGGCCACAAGTTTTCATATTATCTTATAATTATCTTCAAACGAATCATGTGCGCCACTATTATGTAATACTGTACACAGAATTTACATATACCAATTCTTCATTTCTCGTCAGTTCCCATTCTTACATTGGGATACCAATTACCTGTCAGGAAAACTAAAAATATATTAAATATTTGTAACATGTACAAATTTCTAGAAAAAAAAGAAAAAAAAAAGAAAAAAAGAAAATAGGGGGAAAATGCAGACCACATAAACTACCCATCTGAATTTTCAAAAGTTCCATTTCTTTTAATGACCTCTAGCCAAATTCATCGTGACCATTTATTTCAAACACACCATACTGTACCAATATCATGTGCAATACAAAACAGTACTCCAGGTTTCATCCCTAACAAGATTTCACAGTGCAACCATCATGATGTTAATGCCTCAGTTGAACTCTGAATTCTAAGAACAAAACTATTTAGACTATCAACACCCTCTAAGTGGCCTAGTGGTGGTTTAACTTACCTATGAGTGGGGGCCGAGAGCTGGTTCTTGGGCTGCCCGTGCATGCCACCAAAGCCTGGAGGGGCAGACTGGGGGGGAGGAGCCATGCCTAGACCACCTTGAAAAGTTCAGCAGTCTGCATTAGTACACACAGTAATGCTGGCCCACAACCTCAGGGCTCAACCTTTGAGTGTCACTAGCAACTTTCATCTCAATGGCCTCATTGAGAGAATCCAAAACCAAACAATGTAACAGCTGCATGGTGGACAGATTGTACCATTTATATTAAGCTTTATTAGTCTTAATACAATCTTCCAAACAATGAACAAATGCAAGAATTCTAATGATGTATTGCCTGATGAGAGACATGCAACATATGATTGGCTGCAAGTGCAAGGGTTGCTAGATTGATTAATCACTTCACTTAGATCTCCATGACAGTAGCACCTTTTCAGATGTTCCATGTGCCCCCATGTGTTTACTAATGATGATTTTTGTCAACTGAGAGGAATGAATATCAACCATATACTAAGGTCCATAATAAAGTCAGTCAGGTATCAGTCTAGTCAGTGCCAGATTCCTGAAAAGTAAAAAGGAAGAAAACACACAAAAATATGACTTACTGTTAAATCCACCACCTTGGCCACCATAATTTCCATTTGATGGTGGTGGTGGGGCACCATAGTTAGGACCCTGGGGCCCCCCATAATTTCCACCTGATGGCGGACCACCATAGTTTCCCTGTGGTGGTGGACCACCATAGTTTCCTTGAGGCTGAAGGGCAGAGTAGTTAGCACTGGGTTGACTACCATAGGTACTGGCTTGTTGTCCACCATAGTTGCTGGTTGGTGGTTGACCATAGTTACTGGACTGGTAGTTACTATTTTGTTCATACCCTTGTGACTGTCCACCATAACTGCTGTATCCTCCACTGCCTGCTGCAGGCTGAACTGGCGGCTGTGTCTGCTGCTGCATCCCATACCCACTGTATGAGCTCCCATGGCCACCTGGTAGTAGTAGCTTAACCTCAGTCATTCTTTCTCCTCTTCTATGCAAATCTCATCACTATCATTCACTCCTACTTGTGTTCACAGTACTGTGGCAACTGTGAGACAATAATCCCACAGCATTATTCTGATATCATGATCTGAAACGGGAAAGGAAGTGCATGGGCTCTCCTGACACGTGCACATTACTCACCTTGTGGAGGGGGAGCACCGTAGGAAGGTGGTGCTGCATAAGGAGCCTGGTTCGGTGAGTAACCCTGAGGTGGCGGTGCTGAATATCCACCATATTGCGGTTGTGTGTAGGAAGAAGCTGGAGGGGGAGCAGCTCCTGAAGCATTGCTATAGCCCCCATAGCTGCTTGCACCACCACCACCACTACTACCACCACCGCTGCCACCACTGGCATATCCTCCACTATAGTTATATTCTGGAATATCATTTATTTCAGTCAGTTTCAGAAGGATAAGAGAAAAAACACACCGAGAATCAATTTTATGATTGTTAAAACAATATCATAGCAATAAAGTTAGAGATTGAGATGATGTACTGAAAAGATATTTCAGAAAAAATTTAAAGCATCAAGTGATGTGAGGTGAACTGGACCACCTAAAGTGACAAATCATTTCCAGAAAGTAATTAATACATTTAGAATCTTTTTTAATCTAAGATATACATGTACAGGGCTTTCACCAATTATAACACCAATCCTTTCAGACTAATTAGAGTAGAGGATCTTTAGGTGGCCAAGTTTACAAAACAAAATTTTGAAGTGGACTACAGTATTTTCAATATACTGTAAAGTAAAACTATCATTTTTTCACTGCTCATCATCTTTCCCAGCCTTTCAATATTTCTTGTTCACCGATGACTTTACACAGGCCTTGTAATTATTGTCTTCACTGTCCAGGTTGCCCATCACATCACTTCTGCACTCTTTGCACCCTTCTCTCCCTCCTACCATTCATCTTTAAATTGTAGCTAAAAAATTTTCCCATCACTTGGTTTCTCATTTTCTCAGTACTGTATGCCCACAAAACCAATGCGAACCCAAGCCTGTTTAAATCTATAGCTACAAAATGCAAATATTGTATAGCAATTGTCTGTACTGAGGCTGCAACATGCAAACAGGGTGCCAAGATTTTAGTGCAAATTTTAAAAATACACAAAATGACATGTTTATAGACTGTCCCAATACAATCTAGCTCCCCCTACACCACCCCTGTACACACTGCTGCTATGGAAGAAATATTTTCATCGCCTAGTAACCTAGACCTATTCATTTCTACATGGTACAGGAGCTTTTTACCACATGTAATCACCATTAATGTTTTACAGCCATTTTCCACGCTTGCGTGGGTTTAGCCACTGTCGCCATGTCACAGTCTCTTGCAGTCTCTCTCGCCAGGTTCCTAACTAATGTCATTTATTACAACCTCTTCCCATGTCATTCTTGGCCAACCTTTGGCTCTCCTCCCTTCTACATTTACTCATGCACTTCTTGACCCAACTGGTATCCATTCTCCCCCAACGCCCAAAAGATCCCAGCCTGCCTCTATGCAGAACTTCAAACACTCTCAATATGCCAGCCACTCTCTTACCTCTGACCAGGGCCTCCTGTCTTTAATTGTCCCATCACACATCCACCTCACCATTCTCATTTCAGCTTCCTCATGCTTACTAATGTCATTCTCACTGCAATACAACTCACTTTGAACACCAGCCACATCCTTCCTTCCACCAGGTGGGAAGGCCCTCTTGCTGTCAATAAAGACACCAGCTCCCTAAACTTCCACCAGCCACTTCTGACTTGCTCATTTGAGTTGGCTTCTGCACCCCCACCGGCACTGATCATGTCACCCAAGCAACAGAACTAAATGACAGTCCAGGTATGAATCTCACAATAGTAAGTTTGTTCAGCTTTGCTGTGGGAACATGTTTCCAAAACATGCAGAGGACTTAAAGTCAGCGACATCCTGCAGTCTGCCATCTATTTCATTGCACCACCGTGTAACCATCTTCCAAACTCGATGCACATTATTGAATTGCTGCCAACACCTTTCTTACTCACAGCACTTGGCCATTTTCCAACACAAGTCCCTCACCTACACCACTTATCAATACTTTTGTTTTAGCAACAGGACCTGGACTATTCCACCTTTTAATTTCTAAAAATTCTCCACTGTCTCTTCACTATCACCAGTATACAAATACTCCCAGGTCAAGCCAGTTGTAAAGTCCCATGATAAACAGAAGAGGCTCAAGACAGAACCCTTACAGTACATTCACCCAAATTCCTCACTTTCCTGCTCATTTACTCTCAATTAAATGAAGCCTTCATAATACCATACATAGTTGACTAAGATACACCCTGAATCCCAGCTTTCTAAATGCCCACTTTACTACTACACATGGTACCCTGTTAAATGCCTTCTCTTCGACTACCATACAACCTTTTCTTCCTTAGATATTTCTCTTGTAGCTGCCTGGCTATAAATATTGCCTCTGCTGTTCCCCACCTGGCATAAATCCAACCTACATTGTTTATATTAATATTTTCTTCTCTCCCTTACCAATATCTCAATCACTTTCTAAAACTTTTATATTGGCATGTAGTTCCTGTGTTCAAGTGCATCACATTTACCCTCAAGTAATGACGATCACAACCCCCAGTAATATAAGGGTTCTATCATTCAATATATGATGTCTTGTCTGTCAAATGCTCACTTAACCCAATACTTGTACAAAAGTAAGCTATAATAATAAGCTTCAATCCTAGGTCGAGTAGGTTTTGTTAATTAGTATAAAACCAATACAGAAATGTACAGTACATAGTACAGTGGTCCCTCGGTTAACGAGTTACCTTCCATAAGATTCTTAACTTCGGTTAACGAGCAATCCCTCGATTAACGAGTTTCTTACGAGCCGACCTGAACATGTATTCGCTTGCATTTGGCGGTCCACCAGCTGTAGTATTAGTCCGCCAATACAGTAATCGGTTCTAGGGCTTAAATTCCTTACCATTTTAGTAAATATCAAGAAGTTTATACTATTCAATAATTTTAAAATTTTAATATTAAATTTTTTAGTCATTTTAACAATTATTGAACATAATTGAAGGTAATGAAACTAGTTTTATGCGCGCCATCCAGCCTCTCAACACACCATACAGGCGCCAGTCTTTGTGTCTTTTCAGTGGAGATAACATCTTGCTTGAGACTCCTCAAGTAAATGCTTTTTTCTGTGTTTGCAATCAAATTATTCGTCATTTTTAAATTTATTTTATATATTGACAATATATAGTGCAGTGTTGATTTAAAGAAAATAATCTTGAATTACACCAAGAGAACTAAAATTTTATGGGTGAAATGGTGCTGTGTGGTGACTTCTCTTCCACCCCAATGCCTTCTCTTCTCCCTTCTCCTCCACCCCCATTCTAATTCCCATCATCATCATCCAGGAGCCTTCTACATACACACCTCAAAGTAAGTGTACTTTTCTACCTTTTTTGTTGAATTTTGGCAATTTTCAGTGAGCAGGAACAAATTACCCCAAAACCCATTGAAACAATGGTTTCGGTTAACGAGCAACATTCTAGAACGGATTGTGCTCGTTAACCGAGGGACCACTGTATTATTCGGTGATATTGTATCTAATGCCTTTGTTGACAATTTGCAAGAATGAGAACTTTCTGAAACATCAGGTACAGTACTGGGTAAAGATGGAGGAGATTTAACACCAGAAGGATTTTATGGAATTGCACCAAATTTTCAGATATTTGGGTGTTACCAAGTAATAAAATCTAAGTGACGTATTTTCTTCTTTTTTATCTATCCTTCAATCATAAATTACTTGTTAGTGGGTAGGGCATGAAAGAAGGGGGAAATAATTGGAGTAAAAACGCTGATTATATGCCAGTAATTTCGTGTATGTCCTTTTTAGGACAAGAAATCAAATATTTACCATAATTCTGGCACCGTGGGTTTTGGTTCATGCCGTCTGCTATGCTGGAGCATCCACAGTCTTTACTTACGTTTACATGTCTAAAAATTAACGACAATCTCATCGGGCGTGTTTATTACGATTTATATTGTATTGACTTCGTTCATTTTCTTATTCTAGAGATGTTGTTTGGATGATAGTAAGAAAATCAAAATGACAATGCACAGGTAAGGAAGTTAGGTCAGATTCTAATACATCCTCTGCTTTTGCACTTCCATTTTAGTGTTCATTATCATGCAAATACAGTAAAAAAAAATGTACTCCCCTAAATCGAAATTACTCATAACTTGTAACGTTTTGCTGGATTGAAATGTTACAATTTAGTAATATTTGATAAAATTTCAAAATATTACAATTCAGCCCCTCTCCGACTTACGACGGGGTTAGGGGCCCAAATCCAGGTCGTAAGTCGAAATGGTCGTATGTCGAAAATGCTTAAATAATACATAGAAAATCTAAAATGGGTGTCTCTTATTCTTCCCAGCACCACATAACTCTCACTTTTAAGCTTGCCAGCCATTTTAAAGGAAATTACAAAAGAAAATGTTCTGTGTACTGACGTTGGGACTCAAAAATACGTAATTTGAAAAAAATTTTGGTACAACTGAGGCAGGTCATAAGTGCAAGTGGTCGAAAGTCGGGGAGGAGCTGTACAGTACATCGGAATAATGTATACAGTCAGTCCCCGACTTACAACGGGGTTAGAGTACATAAAAAATCTAAAATGGTTCTCTTTTTCTTCTCAGCACCACGAGAACTCCCAATTTTACGCTTGCCAGCCATTTTAAAGGGAACTACAAATGAAAATTTGTCAGTACACAGCGCGATCACTAACGTCGAGATTCGAAAATACGTAATTTGAAAAATAATTGTACGACTGCAGCAGTCTTAAGTCGAGGAGTACCTGTATTACAATTTTAGTAATATTTGGTAACATTTTGAATTACGAGACATTTACGAATATGAACAACACACGTCACCATGGGATGCGACGACCAACGTAAGTGTAAACAAGTACCCGGTAAATGCGTATCAGTCAGTTCGGCGTGTATGGATCAGACATAGAGTACACAGCTATTACAGTGCAAGCTTTTTCCACTTGTTTTTTCCATCACTGACCAGTGTTTGAGCCATTAATTTTGATAACCCTAAATCTGGTACTGTACTGGGAAATGGTTTAAATTTTAACTGGGGTAGATTACGGAAAAGTACCTTTTTTTTCCCCTCGGGAGGTGTCCGTCATAATTCACAAGGGCTAGAGCTCCTATTACTTTGAATAATGATGATATTTGGTAACTTGTCCCACTCATCCACTACTCTGTTACCAAACCAATGTTTACCTATTTCGCGCCTAAATCTAAATTTGTCTAATTTAAAACCATTGTTACGAGTTCGCTCCTGGTTGGATAGTTTGAGTACCTTTGTAATGTCCCCTTTGTTTATCCCTGACTTCCATTTATACACCTCTATCAGGTCGCCCCTCGAGGGAGTGCAAATTAAGATGCTTTAACCTGTCTCTGTACTCAAGGTTCCTAATGCCCGGGGATTAGCCTTGTCATTCTCCTCTGAATTCTTTCCAAGGATTCTATGTCCATTCTGTAATACGGTGCCCAGAATTGAACTGCGTAATCCAAGTGAGGTCTCACTAGCGCAAGATATAGTTTTAGGATGACCTCGCTTGTCTTGTAACTAACACTCCTTTGTTTCAAGCAAATACACATAGTTTATTTGGCTTAAGGTTCCTACTTATCATTACAGTACTCCTAAATCTCTCTCGCAGTCGGATTTCTCAATGGCATCGTTGTTCATCTGGTAACTGGTTTCCCTGTTTACATCTCCTATACTGAGTGCTTTACATTTGTCCACGTTGAATTTCATCTGCCATTTTTCAGACCGTTCGAAAAATTCGTTTAGATCTTCCTGTAGTTTTGCGGAGTCCTCATCAAACTTAATAACACGTCCTATTTTAGTGTCATCAGCAAATTTACTTATGTTGCGTCTATGTCGTTTAAGTATATAATAAATAATAATGGTCCAAGTACTGAGCCTTGGGGAACTCCGCTAGTGACATTCCTCCAAGGCGATTTAGTGCCGTTTATGCTCACTCGCCGTTTCCTGTCCTGTAACGACGCCCTAATCCATTTAAGGATATTACCTTTGATGCCATGTGCTTCTATCTTTCTAATTAGTCTTTCGTGGGGGACTGTCGAAGGCTTTGCTCAAGTCGAGATATACCACATGATAATTGTGCCCCTCGTCCACCGACTCGAAAACTGATGAAAAGAATGTTAATAGATTAGTTAGACATGAACGCCCACTTGTGAAGCCATGCTGGGAATCATTGATCAATTGGTGCTTCTCCAGGTGATTTCGAATAGTTTGAGATGGTTGCTTCCAGTAATTTGCCTACTATTGATGTTCGAGTGATTGGGCGGTAGTTAAGAGGATAGTGATCTATCCCCCTTCTTGAAAATCGGTATTACATTCGCTATCCTCCAGGATTCTGGTACTACACCTGTTTTTAAGGACATGTTAAACAACTTTGCTAAGGGCATACTAAGCTCTTCCTTACATTCCTTTAATACTCTGGCAAATATATTATCGGGACCAGGTGACTTATTAGGCTTAAGTTTGTCTAATTGCCTCAGGTATCATGTTTAAATTTTCAGTGGTGAAAACTGTTGAAAAATATTTATTCAGATTATTGCTCATTTCTCCGTCATTATCCGTTAGCTCGCCGGTATCTGACTGTATTGGTCCAATCTTATCTCGTGTTTTAGTTTGATACATTTGGTAGAATCCTTTGGGGGTTGTCTTCGCCTCCCTTGCTATCTTCAGTTCATTATTCTTCTTTGCTCTCCTTATCTTGGTCTTGACCCTACCAGCCAATACCTTATAATAATCCCGGAGGTAAATTTCGCCACGATTTATCCTTCTACCTATAGCTTACCTATAGCTTTCCTATGGCCAATAATGTTCTTTAAATAAATATTTATCCATTTAGGGTCATTGTTATCTGATCTGAGTTTTTTGTATGGTATGTTCTGCCTTTGTGCATTAAGTAACTCATTATTTAAATTGCCATGGAACTCGGCAATCTCGGATCTCGTTATCAGGTCGGTGTCAACCGTCAGGTTCGTGGGTGGGGTGAGGTCAGTGTGAATCACCCCCAGAAGTGATACCCCTTTCCTCAACTGCCTCTTCAAACTATCAAAGTTTGCCCTTCTGAAATCTGGGACTTTAGTGGCATTTTCCTTACGTCTGCCCTGAAAATCTAACTGGAATCTAATTTCTTTGTGATCGCTGTTTGCAAGTTCGTTCACTACCTCGACATTGCTTATGAGGTTTTCTCTGTTCAACAGAATTAAATCGAGAATATTATTACCCCGGGTGGGTTCGGTTATATGTTGACTTATGAAACAGTCCTGGATCGTTTCGAGAAAATCCTCTGATTCTGAGTTACCCGTAAGGTCAATCCAATGTATTTGGCCAAAGTTAAAGTCGCCTACTATACAGACTTTGTTGTGTATGGAAGCCCTGCGCATTTCATCCCAGATAAGTACAGTAGCTCATTAACTCTATCTAGAAAATTACCATATTTTCGGTAAATTTTTCTTGTCACACCGTTCACTTTTAGCAAGTTAAAAATATATTTTTCTAGTGTATTTGTGTGTTGAGACCGAATATGACCTTCCTTTTTGGCGGAAATTAATCGTGTTTTTTTTTTTGCGATTTTTGTTTGTTTGACGTTTTCCGAGAAAAAAAGTGGCTAAGCGACTAAAAAATACACAAGAAAACACTAGAAAAACAATAACCAAACCTAACCTAACCGACTCTCACCATATGATGGAATCACCTATTTCTTACCTTATTGGCCTGGTTCTTGTTCGTCGTTGCATTCTGGGATTCTTACACAACACCACATATGTTGGTCTTTGTGATATTTACATTCAGTCTTGCTCTTAGTACACTTTACTGAGGTTGGAAGAACACCATGCGATCGAAAAAATGCTATAGTTTCTACTTTTTTTTTTTCAAAAAAAAAAACTCGCTATCAGCTCCATATAGTACTTTAAGTGACACCTATCGCAGACTTCCATGGTCGGCACTGAACTTGAATTTCAAAATATGAGACCAAAATGAATACTCAAATTTGATTGGGCCAAAAAATACCACGAATTAAACCCAAAAACATTTTAATTGGTTTCAAAATCAATAAGGCTTTTGATTGACCGCGTGACGTGTACAACAACGCATGCGCAGGAGACACTCAGTGTTGGAGGAGAGGCAGACGATAATGGCGGGATATTAATGGAAGAAAATATTAAATATTTTGGAAAAGCTATCTCCGTTATTATACATTTCCGACGGTAATGTAATAGATGAAAATTATCTTATAATTAGACGTCTTATTCGAATATGATAATAGATTAGTGGTAGGAATGAACAGTGTAAAGAAAATACCATATTTTCATAAACCACCTAGCAGTGAGATGAATGTAGGTGTATTAAAAATGTATATATTTTTTATTTTCGTCTCGCATATTGTCTTAGTGTTTTTTTTTCTATCCCAAGCAACAGTTTTTTTGGTATTATTTTCTTGTAGCTCCTTTCATTCCTACCACTAATCTATTATCATATTCGAATAAGACGTCTAATTATAAGATAATTTTCATCTATTACATTACCGGCGGAAATGTATAATAACGGAGATAGCTTTTTCCAAATAAATTTATATTTTCTTCCATTTTTTCCCGCCATTATCGTCTGCCTCTAACCCAACACTGCGTGTCTCTCGCGTCTCCTTCATAAATCATGACGCGCATGCGTACCCGTACACTTCACGCAGCCAATCAAAAGCGTTTTTGCTAATTCAGAGTATATTTGGCCCAATCAAAATCGAGTTTTATTTTGGATCTCATATTTTGAAATTCAAGTTCAGTTCCGACTGTGAAAGTCTGCGATGAATGTCACTTAAAGTATATGGAGCCGATTGCGAGTTTTTGGGGAAAAAAACGTAGAAACTATAGCATTTTTTCGATCGCATGGTGTTCTTCCAACCTCAGTAAAGTGTACTAAGAGCAAGACTGAATGTAAATATCGCAAAGACCAACATATGTGGTGTTGTGTAAGAATCCCAGAATGCAACGACGAACAAGAACCAGGCCAATAAGGTAAGAAATAGGTGATTCCATCATATGATGAGTCAGTTAAGTTAGGTCAGGTTAGGTTAGGTTTGGTTTGGTTATTGTTTTTCTAGTGTTTTATTGTGTATTTGTTAGTCGATTAGGTACTTTTTTCCCCTCGGAAAACATCAAACAAACAAAAAATCGCAAAAAAACCCGACTAATTTCCGCCAAAAAGGAAGGTCATATTCGGTCTCAACATACACAAATGCACTAGTAAAATATATTTTTAACTTGCTACAAGTGAACGGCACTACAAGAAAAATTTCCTTTTTTTATTTTCGTCTTTCAGTTTATTATTTTCTATCCCAAGCAACGGGAAGGAACGCGGTAACGAAAACGGTAAAGCAGTGGTTACGAAACGGGTCAAAAAATAGTGATGCCGAAATGGGTTGGTGACGAAATGGGCAGTATACGGTACACAAGTCTGCAATAGGCCGGTTGGCCTGTGCATGGCATCTCCTGTCGAGTTACAGTATATGAAGCATCCAATTAAAGTAAGGAACTACAGTATTGCCAGAACTACATACATCGTGGCCCCTGTCCTCTAAACGGTGGTGGAAGTAATTAATAGGTAAGCAGCAGCAGTGCACGTGAGGCAGATATAAGGGTGACGCACTACCAACCCCGCCAGGATTAGGTAACCACCCAAAACCAAATTAATAAGAATTACTTTGCAAGGACCCTACTAAGTTATATACTAATGTTAAATGTGGTATATAATGGTAATTACTTAATATTTCAGCATGAGCATGGGAGTCGGCTACACACAAAATGGCCACCACAAACCCCCAGGAATGCGGTCAGCTTCCGGACAACAAAACGCACAATAATTAAACTTCACATCAAGATTACTTACGTGTGTCAGCCATGGCTGCAATCCCTGTGCGTTAAACTATTTAATCAGAAGTGTTTTTCGACGTCGGTTGACTTAAGCACAACAAAATTGAACAAACTTGAGATGTTCGCGGGAAATACACCACGACGATGTTGCTTCATGGGACGACGCCGATGCTGATTGGCCGAGCTGCTGCGACGCCGCCGTGCACACGACCCCCTGCCAGGGACCCTGAGTGTAATGCTCACATGTAGCAAATTATATTATATTATATCATATTGCTCTCATGAAGGAAAATTTGTCAATTATAATAAGAATTCTAGCTTATATAAACTTATTCCTTGAAAAAAGTCATAATAACTTAATCACAGGGCATTTCCAGGATTATAATACACAAAGGAATTTTGGTAGTGTGGTGGATGAAGGCATCAGATCTGTGTGTAATCTATGTCTAAAATTATAGAATTATATTTCCATAAAGTAAAAAATAATATCTTAATTATCATGCAACAAGAAATTATGCAAAGGAGCAAGAAACATATGTTCGGCAGTTTGAAGATATTCAGCATCTTATATTAGTAGTAATATAAATAAAGCAAACCATAGCAAACATTGACAACTCTTTCCCGCGTAAAGCGAATGCCTCTTAATATTGTCTCGAGTTCGATCCCCTTACCAAGGCAACGCTTGGGGGAGGCTAGTTTATAGAGCACCCCCTTGCTCCCCACACTGTAGGCCTAGGGGCTTGTTGTCCCATCAAGTTTGCCGCCATTTGTAGAAAATCTATTTACTAAATTCTCTTGTATTCTTATGATGGTGTAAGCTGCATGTCTTCAGATGAGTCAGCCGCTTTCTCATCTTAATGAATTAAAAAATAGAATAAAAAAGGTTCTCTAAAAAGGTCTTAAGATGTCAAAATGAGGGAGAGATTAACATTGTCAAATACAATATGTTATTGTTTTATAAAAATAACCAGTGTTTCCGTTCAATAAAATAAATTTGAAAATAATGTTCACAACTTCAATACCTTTTGACAAAATTGTACAAATAAATGTTTTATTTTTATTTAATTTTTTTTATGGGGAATAGCCCACCTGGGCACAGGTCGACCTACAATAGGGCCTATGGGGGCGAGAAAATAGGAATACAAAAAAATTAAAATAAAAAAGAAAAAGATTATATTAATCTACACCACAAAGATGATGGAAAACCAGCTTTTTGAAGTGAGACAGATTGCATGTGTATGGAAACACAGAAGGCAGAGCATTCCACAGTTTGGTTGTGTGAGGAAAGAAGGATGTACTATAATGGGTTATTCTAGTGTGACCGACATCCACACAGAAATGGTGGGCACCGCAGGCAAGGCGAGTGTTACGAGCCCATAGCCTTGCCGGCGGTACATAGGCTGCCAAATCCACCGACCCTTGCCTGTTAAAGTACCTGTAAAAGCGAGAGAGTGAAGCAGCATTACGGCGAAGAGAAAGTGAAGATAAATTATCAACGAAAGGAGGAGAGTTAAGACAAAATGCCTTCGATTCCACCCTATCTAACAGTTGGACAGAAGAAGAGCCACCCAAGATATGAGAGCAGTACTCCAAGTTTGGACGAATGAATCCCTTATAAACTTGCAGCAATTTATTAAATACAGTACACAGTGCTGTATATAAAATATTAAAAATATTTTCCACAATTCATGAGATTAAAGCTTATTAATTTCACTGTCATATTCAACACTAATTTCATTTTTCATATACAGTGCGTAACAGAGACGTGACCGATCGCCCAAGCGGCTAACAAGCCGATCTTTTGGTGAAGAGGATTAAAAGAACTATATTTTCCAAAAGTGTGAGATCCACTCGTTTGTAACCTCTTGTAGGGGGGAAGGTTCACACCTTCCCGTGATATATAAAATAGTATCACACACTTTAAACAGGAGTCATCTTTCTAGAGACTTAAATAATTAATCAATACAGTGCAACCTAAAGTTCCAATAATTATACCATACAAGTTGACAGGTAATATGTTCTCACTTTAACTCTTGAAATAATCTGTTTAGTTTCAGTTACTTTTGAAAACATCAGTAATTTTTCTACACATTTTAATGATTAACTCAAAATTAAGTTTCAATATTAATACAATGTGGAAGTGCTGTAGTACAGTAGAGTATTACAAAACAAAAGCATAAGCTGTGTTAATCAAGGCTTGAAACATTTTAACTACAATTCCAGTCTCCATGGGATAGGACTTTAAACTTCTAGTGTTAGTGAAGATTAAGACTTTTTTGTTAAGCTACACAAAGTATCTATCTATAGGAACAAGAAAGCAACTGTCTTTTTGTGCATTACAGGAGGAACTACAAGGGGTAAGGTGTTCATGAAATGCTTCCCCATAGAGACACCGAAGTCAAGTTTGAATACAGTATGAAGGCGACTGACTTATACAGTATGACCCATAGATACTAAGGAACTTGTACCTCTCACCTGTTTGGTCCAGACACACATGAGAAGGGTGTTATCCAGTGTGACCCTGACTACCAAATATCACAGGATTCCTCAAATCCAGTTTCCTTTTGTACTAACGTTAGATAGACCAACTACCTGAATGGCTACTTAGCTGATAAGTGGTTAAATGAGACATAATGTATATATAGAGAAAGAGGGAAATAAACAGAAGCATATACAAAAGTCGGTTTCTTTTATTACTTCTCAAAAACATCTCTGGTTTACTTAAGCTATAATCATTCTATGCTGTAGTATATACTGTACTATACATAATAATAAAAAAAACAAATACAAAGCTCAGACATTAAGCCTCTTGTTCCTTGAATGGTGTCTGTCTGCGCTTCATCTTCTTATTTCTCAACTTTCTTTTGTGATTATTCACCCTTGCTTGTGCCTTTTTCTGCTTTTTTGCATCTCTAGCCTGCTTCATCTTCATCAATTTGCTTTTCTTCATGATCTGGAATGTGCTCTTCTTGAGAGAGCGATACAGATCTTTCTTACAATGAATGCCAAGCTCAGTTAACTTCTCTTGATTTATCTCCTCTTCCTCATCCCCAGAACCTTCCTCAAGTGTGGTTCTCTTCTTTCTGGCTGATTCAATGTTTGTACTACCTATGTCCATCTAAAATGAGAGAAACATATATAACAATAAATTTATACAAATATTCAGTATGAGAATATAAAATGCTATGAAGTAATCCTAATAATACAGTAAGTTATAATGATCCCATTGTAAGCAAATTTGATGATATTTCAAGGGGTTATTATTGCAATGTTGGAATGCATATACCCCTAATTACATTCCCTCTTATGAGGAAAATTCCTCATTATAAAACATATTATTACACGTTGCTTTTCTCTGGAACACATCTCCGACATACAATGAGGACCCCTTGTACTGCCACTATCCACTGGTATGACCATAGTTGTAAATAAATCACCCCAACTTGCATAAATAGGAAACAGAAGTTAAACTCAAGTCCCCCAGTAAACTGTCTGTATAGTACAGTACAGGTACTATGAGAGCTGCCTGGCTTCAAAAACTGGCTGGAAAAAGTCAAAACTAAATAACCCTTTTATTTGATTACCTTAAATGCCAAAAGCCTTCATTCTTCAAAATCTAAAACAATTTCATCTACCTGTACTGATTTTTCATATATGGTTTGTCACTTATGATACTGTACTACTACTGCTCAGCAAAAAATAGTAAAAATGATAAGTGTGACAATATAACCCAGACACATATAAGACACATCATGACAAGACATGCAACATGAATAAACCCTTCATTACTTGCCTGATTGGTGCCAATATGGTACTGGGAAGAGATCAAATCAATCCCAGATATTTCAACAGTTGCATTGCCACAGTTTGTAACAGTTACATTCTCATCTTCACTCTCCTCCTCCTTATCATTATCACTTTCTGGCACTTCTTCATTCTGATAAACCATTTTCTTGACTAACTGAACCCGCTGAAAAGAATAAATGAAATATTAGTTATGGTATACAATACTGCAACCAGTTGGGATATCTGTTGTAAGTTTTTAAGAAAGATTAAACTGAGCTAGTGAGGTCCCATTTTATGGCTGGGAGAGTTGAAGATGTTAACCAAGAGCCTAAAGTCAAAGCCAAAAAGCCAAGATTTAGAGAATAAAGCCAAGGGGCAGCAACTCCGAGTAGAATGGTCAACTAACAGATTACTGTCGGCCCATAAGTAATGTGAGTGATAGGCTGGCAATTCAGGAGCATGATTGGCTACTTTAAATGCCTTCACTTTCTACCTCGTCTTCAGGATGGTTGCCGGGTAACGGAAAAATGGAAATTTCCCAAATAATTGGGAAAAATACCTTTACTTTACGAACTTTGGTAAAAATGTAATGTTACTGTACAATATTTTCTCTTAAAATATATTTAACCCTTTCATTGTGTCGTGAGATTTCAAAGTTGGTTCCCAATAAATGTCATTTCTCCATCAACAAATTTAAGAGTACTGCCTGGGTAGCATTAGGTGCCTGAGTGAGGCAATGTTTACATTAATTTTGCAGTTAACAAACGGCAGCACGTCCTGGATCTCCATGGGCATATTGTGGCCAAGAAGAAGTGTGGAATAGCACAGAAAGTTTAAATAATTTTGTTGGTATTACAAATATGTGTACAGGTATTACACAGACAAGGGTAATTAATGTGTGCACAGATGTGTTTACACAGGAAAAAGGTTAAGTTAGAGTAAAAGTACAGTACTGTACAATACTGTGTTTCCAAATACAGGAAATTCTAGAAACTCCAGAACCATATTCTTGTCTGAGAAATCAGAGTACTGTACAGTACACTATGCAGTATCTGGATGGAGAGACAAGGAAGCTTTGGTACAGAGTCATTTTAACTATGCACATTGACCGTAGTACAGCAGCTTGAATAAAAAAATTAAGAGTAAGGTGCAAACCTGTCAAAACAAAGTACTGTACTGTACAGGGAGTCCCTGGGTTATGAACAGATTCCGTTCCTAAAAACGTTCTTAAGTCGGATTTATAAGTAAGTCGGAACACATGCTATGTGCATACCGCACTTACAGTACAGAACAATGTTTAAAATCCCACTATATCATAGCCTAAGTCCTTATATACACCTAAAATCACTTAATTTAACACAAAATACAGTAAATGAAAGTAAAATATAAGTCATCAGGTAACTCCAATACTGTAAATTTAAAGTTTAACTCCGTTCGTATTGGCAGGCATTCATAAGTCGGACATTCATAAGTTGGGGACCCCCTGTAGTACTACAGTAATCAGAATAGTACTGGAATTACCACCAAGTCCACATTTGGAACACTCATTTTTAGCTCCCATTTATCAAAGAGATCATGGTATTTAGATATTCCTGAGAATTATATCTCTTAGTACTGTACCTTAACCATAAGAATATCTTACATCTTTTCTGATTTTCTTCATTTCCATTTTAAGGTCATCTTCAATCTTTTTATGGGCTTTTTCACGTCTCTCTCGCTTCCTCTTCTGGAACCCTGTGAGATATTCCCTGAAAAATAATTTCCGAAGCTTATTAAGAACGTAACTTCAAAAGTAAAAAGTCCTGAATATATGAGAACTGTTTTACTGGAAATGCTACTTTTACAGAGCAAAAGTAATTGATTAGTAAAATTAGAATTTGATATCTGTACAGTAATGTACAGTACAGTACTTTTAAAATTGGCCAGTACACATTAAATTCAATAAATTTGATTATTCTAAACTCAATAAGATATTAGGTTATTTTTCAAGTACAGTACTGTACTGTAAATATAATTATGCTTAAGTACTCTTATATAATATAGATTTTGGTAATGTTTGGTTTGATCCAATGACATTGCACAGATGATAAAACTTTAGGTAAATTTTGATTACGACATTCTCTCACACCTGCCAGATATGCCGTACTGCTTCCCGCACCTTGTATTTAAGAAATTTTTTGAGTAAACATGAGTCTTCTCAGGTAATCTTCAATATTTCAGGATTTGGTAATGTTTAATTTCATTTACTATCATAAAATAGTAGATAAGACATGGAGTAAATTTGGACAATAACATTCTTTCAGTCTGTAAAACCACCACTTCTTGCAACAAGCTGTACAATTGTTGTTGGATTTGGGAGAATGTGGGGGTAGGTTAGGTCGGATTAGGGTTTTAGACTCTGCGCACAATTTTCCGTGGAGAGGTTGGACATTTGTAACACTGACATCAGCTGCCAGGAACAAAATATGTTAAACAACTATGCTTTACATGTTTTAACCCAATAGCGTTCCTCTTCTTCAGAGCCCAGCCCACATTTTGGGTCACAACTAAAAAAAATGAAGCATTTACATAGGAAACTTTTATGAACAGTGGACTGAGAATTAAGAACATCTTCAGGACAACCATGTCTTATTTTCAATATACGTACAGTATTTAATAAATAGGTAAATATTTAGTACAGTCAGTTCTGCTATAACGCGATAGTTGTGTTCTTGTAAAATATCGTGTTATAGAAAATCGCGTAATAGAAATAACAGGGCTTATGGAGAACATAGGGTTAGGTGCAGATTACTACTTGAAATCGAAAAGAAATTAGTAGTTAGCCTAACACAAAGGATAGCACAGTCTAAATAAATGTTACATTCATATCTAATAATGAAATCATACAGTATATGTAACAGTTTACCTTGAAAAAATATGAATATAACTTGGTGGGGCAGAAGGGTGATTTTGAGGTTGATAACATCGAGCTTCTCTTCAAGTGTTATATCCTTTCTTTTACGATCATCACCAGGAATTCGATCACCAGAACGCTTCTTGGAGATATTCTTCTTAACATTTTCACAGTTAATACCACAAAATTGGAGAACTAGTAAGCCAAAATCGCATAACAGCAAACAAGCGTTCGCGTTATACAAATATCGTTCCTCTATTCATAAATCGCGTTAGAGCAAATTCGCGTTATAGCAGAACTCACTGTAGTTGCCAACACCTACTTATGTATTGAGTCTTATAAAGGGAGAATGAGAAAAAAATTAAAAATTAATTATTCTACAGTGTTTCCATCGTAAGTTATATTTTTCGCATATTTTAACCGATAAAATTACCAACAATATTAGTTGTTCAAAGTGGGCAGGGCTTTGGAATAGAGGAAAAATGTGGAGATAAACTACAAAAAGAAAGCCAAACAACTCTGGTTAATATTCGCCCATTGGCTGTCTGCAGGTTCCCGCCATGATTACCTTAGGTAATAATCCTCCCTTAATAGTCAGTTGTCTCCTCCTTACCTCCTCCTCCTCCTCCTCCTTGTAGGTTAGGTTAGGTTAGGTTAGGTTAGGTTAGGTTAGGTTAGGTAGGTAGGTAGGTTGGTTGGTTGGTTGGTTCCTTTGGTATGAAAATAGTTGTTTTGTGTGTATTTTTGTTATTTTACTCAAATTTGACCTAAATTTTTTTGCAAATTAGCAGTTTCTGTTAAAAATGAAAATGTTAATTTTTTTGCAAAACCACTAATTTGCAAAAGAAATAAATTTCAGATCTGAGTAAAACACCGAAAAACATAAATAAAAAAAATAATCTCGTACCAAAACCTGAGGACATCCAATGGACGAATATTTACCACAAATCTTTAAAAACCTTACATTCTGGCAGTGGTACATGTCAACTATAGGCCTCAGGATCGGTACTCTGAAAAAATGGCACAGGGAAATATGGCACAATTTTCATACTAGGAAAAAATGGCACAATATATTTCACTTCAAGCTCATGAACAACAAACGAGCTAACGAGCCTATGTTTGAAGCTTTCCAGCGTATTAGAGTTAATGATGATGTTTGGTAACTTGTTATATCACCTTTGTTTAGCCAACTTCCATTTATACACCTCGATCATATCGCCCCTCACTCTACGTCTCTCAAGGGAGTGCAGATTAAGATGCTTTAACCTGTCTCTGTTCCCAAGGTTCCTAATGCCAGGGATTAGTCTCATCATTCTCCTCTGAATTCTTTCAAGGGATTCTATATTCATTTTGTAGTACGGTGACCAGAACTGAACTGCGTCATCCAAGTGAGGTCTTACAAGCTCAAGATATAGTTTTAGGATGACCTAGCTAGTCTTGTAACTAACACCCATTCCTTTCAAAGCTTTCTTTACTTCCTCTACTACCAGGTTGGTTGGGCACAGCCACCCAACTATCTGGCATTCCATCCAGTGAATCCAAGCTGACCATGCTGTAGTATCATCGCACATTATCAATGAATCATGAGTAAATTTGCATAAACGCACCACACTCTCTTAGAAAGTCAAAAATATATTTTTCTAGTGTATTTGTGTGTGTTTAGACAGAATATGACTTTCATTTCCGTCGGAAATTGGCCGGTTTTTTTTTATCGATTTATTTTATTGGAACGTTTTCCGAAAAAAATAATGGCTAAGCGAATAAAAAATACACCAAAAACACTAGAAAAACAAAAACCAAACCTAACCTAACCAAACAGACTCTCACCATATGATGGAATCACCTATTTCTTACCTTATTGCCATCTCTTCTTTGTCTTTGGATAAGGGACGAGTTACGACAACGTCACATATGTTGGTTTTTGCGATATTTACATTCAGTCTTGCACTTATGACACTTTACTGAGGTCGGGAGAACACCATGCGATCAAAAAAATGCTACAGTTTCTTCGTTTTTTTCCCAAAAACTCACAATCAGCTCCATATAATTTAAGTGATACCCATCACAGACTTCCATGGTCGGAAATGAATATGAATTTGGAAATATGAGAGACCCAAAATAAAAATCGATTTTGATTGGGCCAAAAATACCTTAAATTAAACCAAAAATTATTTTAATTAGTTGCAAAAAATAAAACGCTTTTGATTGGCCGCGCGACGTGTACAGGAACTCATGAGCGTGATGATTCATGAAGGAAACAAGCAGTGTGGGAGGTGAGGTAGGCGATAATGGAGGAATATTAATGGAAGAAAATAGAGAAAATTTGGGATATGCTATCTCCGTTATTATACATTTGCGACGGTAATGTGCTAGATGAAAATTATCTTATAATTAGACGTCTTATTCGAATATGATAATAGATATGTGGAATGAATGTGTGGTGTGAAAACATAAGAATACCGAATCTTGTGGTGAGCCACCCAGGAACCACCAAAAACTTGTTTATAAGAACTTCCAGACAAGGCTGAAGATCCTCTGCCAGGACCGCCAAGCTGGTCGCAAGTCAGTACAAGAGTTTGTGCAAGGCGCTGGCTATAACATTAATTGGAAGTCTTAAACAATATTATGCAATATGACATTTTTAATTTTGTAATTAATTTATGTACGTGTTTTCACTAACTTACAGTAGAATGTTTTAGCTAAAGGTAATAAATGTCTTATGTTATGAGGTTGATATAACTCTAATTAAGTTTCAGTAACAAACGTTATAAAATTTTAGCGAAAACATGCAAATAAATAATAATAATGTGCCATTTTTTCCTACTCTGATGGTTATGCCTATTTTTCCAGTATCATAATTTCCTATTGCCATTTTTTCCTACATTCCTCAGAATCATGGTCCGGTTTTGTAACTGGACCATGGACTGGTACATGTAAACAATAGGCCCCAGTACTATGGCCCAAAGTATTTACTAGACTGCGGACCGGTACATTCTGGCAGCGGTACTTGACGGGTCTGACTATTTACCCAAATGTAACCGCAATGAAGTCAAATAATGGTCCTACAAGAATAAATCAGACTGCCAATCACTTCTCGACTAATATTTGGTGTCACAAAGTAAAATTGATAAACTTAATTTAATCTGAGTTAATAGATCAAGTGCATGTACCTAACCTAACCTAACTCAGATTAAATTAAGTTTACCAATTTTTTGTGACTTTATGACAGCAAATACTAGTAGAGAAGTGATTGGCAGTCTGATTTACACATGTAGGACCATTTAACACTGTCCACCACTCACCTTCTGTCATCTGGATCAAACTTTATGTGTAACTTGTTCTGTCTATTTGTTGGTCTTAATTGATTATTTTTATGGTGTTTCGGTTTCCATTTTTTGTTATGTTTGAAAGGTTTATTTTTCTGATCAGTTTTCATTGTGGTGAGGAGGATGAGGGAACACCTAAAATGATAATAATAAAATAGTTAAATAATTCTCTCCACGTTGTTCCTCCCTTGACTGTAAACATTAATACCAGGGATCATCTCTATATATCAAATAATATTGTCATTTTTTATCAATATTATCTGAAAATTTGATTATATTGAATTATTTTATGTCATATATATTTAGAAGTAATAAATATATTTACATATATATCTATATTATAATCCCTGAGCTGCCTCCTATACAATGTAAAATATATACATTAAATAATACTATTAATATTACGACAAGGTAAATGTATAATTATATAAATATTTCCTAAAAATAATATAGATGGAAAACTACTTATAGTAATTGGTAGATATGTGAGTATAAGAAATATTAATAACCGTAGAGTGGCGGTGGTAGTGGAGGAGGCGCGGGGCTGAGGACGCCGACTGCCGCTACTTCATATTAACCATTTTCCTGTTAGTTTTCTTACCAGACTCTTAGAAGGTATTGAAAAACATATGATCTGTTAAGTTGCTGTCATTAATACGTGTGGCTGTTCAGTAGTAGCCATACTATTAAAAGTGTGGATTATACTCCTGCATGTTTTGGTTTGTATAGAACGGCAGGTTGGAGGCTGTTGTGGATGGCATTAACACGATTATTATCCAGGTAGTCAGTCAACAGGTAGGGCTATTCTTAATATTAAACTGAAATAGAGACTCTTGTTAGTTGTACGTCGTTTGGGAGGCTGGAAATTATAGTAAGTGGGATGAAGCCACTACCAGAAGACCCCAGTCACTGTCCCGGAGAGTAGTGCAGCAACACCTTACACTAGAGACAACCAACTCCTAGTGAGGAACAACTCCAATAACATTTTATATTGGGGGATAAACTTCTGGAATAGGTAAAGATTTGTTTGACACCATAATGGGAAATTAATAACCAAATTAGGTGTGCTTGTGTTTTTGATGGAGATTTAAAAGAATATGACTATTATTTTCTTTGATGTCTATTTATGGATACATGACCCATTATCACTAGAAGCAACAATGGTTTGCACAAGTGGGCAGGACTTTGAAGACGAGGGAAATTGTTGGGGTAAAACCCACTTAATAAACCACCGATCTAACCTTTTACCACCTGGCCTGACTTTTCCTAGTAACTCCTAAATTTACAAAACTTTACCGTTAGTAGTGGAGATAATTTATAAGAAAATAATGAATCATCTGTAGACCTCTTGCACTGATGTGATAGACACCGATCCATGGCAGTTGTTGTCGAGGGATCGACCTCTCGCTCTTTCTCTACTCTCTTCCTTCTTTTTATCAATGATTTACTTCACACTACAACTAATTCTATCCATTCTTACACTGATGATTCTACTCTTCACTCTTCTTCACATTTTCCCCTTCCCCCTAACTCTCAAACTAGATCTGCTTCAAGAGCTGATATCATTACATCTGTCAATGCAGATCTGTGCAGCATCTCTAAATGGGGAGGTGGAAACTTGGTTAAATTCAATAGTAATAAAACTCAGTATTTACCAATTACACTTTCCAAATTAGGTGATCTCCCACCAATCCCATTTCAGGATACAATCATTCTGCCAAATTCTAAAGTAGATATGCTGGACCTCACATTTCCTCTAATATGTCATGGAAGCCACACATCCTCAACATTGCTAAAGCTGGGAATGCTGTACAGATGCCGTAGCTACTTCACTCCTGAGCAGTTGCTTCAAGTTTATAAGGGATTCATTCGTCCAAACTTGGAGTACTGCTCTCATATCTTGGGTGGCTCTTCTTCTGTCCAACTGTTAGATAGGGTGGAATCAAAGGCATTTTGTCTTATTAACTCTCCTCCTTTAGTTGATAATCTCTCTTCCCTTTCTCTTCGCCGTAATGCTGCTTCACTCTCTCGCTTTTACAAGTACTTTAACGGGCAAGGTTCAGTGGATTTGGCATCCTGTGTACAGCCGGCAGGGCCATGGGCTCGTAATACACGTCTTGCCCGCGGTGCCCATCATTTCTCTGTGGATGTCGGTCACACTAGAATAATCCGCTATAGTACATCCTTCTTTCCTCACACAGCCAAACTGTGGAATGCTCTGCCTTTTTCTGTTTCCATACACATGCAATCTGTCTCACTTCAAAAAGCTGGTTTTCTGGCATCTTCGTGGCATAGATTAATATAATCTTTATCTTTTCTATTTTTAATTTCTTTTTACTCTTATTCTTTTGCCCTTGGACCCCATTGTGGGTCAATGACCTGTGCCCTGGTGGGCTATTCCCCGTTAAAGAAAAAGAAAAAAAAACATTACTCTCTGTTATGGTGGGGTGAACCAGGAAGTATTAAAAAGGGCTTGTTAGCTGGATATTATGATTGAATATAATGTGCAGAAACTAGGAAAAGGTTTAATAAGTTGGTCATTTAGACGCCTGTGATTAGTAAAGATCCAAGAAAAAGGTAGTTTGATGAAATGGTCCATTTATAGTAAAGCACCGGCCTTCCTCTTGCTGTTATTAATATGTATTTCATAATGTTTAGACATTTCTAATACGTTTTTCTTCTGTGATATTTCCGCCGGAAATTAAGGATAACCGAAATATTAAATTTCCAATATTATTATATTGGGTCAGTCACAAGTGTTGCCATTCGTTATGTCATTTTATTATTTTTTTCGGAGGTGTGACCCCTCCTCATGCAGTGCTCCTTACTGACATCTTCGCTTCTTAAGCATCTACAGCACATGTGCGAGGGGTGGTGTGGGAGTTTCTTATTAGCTATAGTGATAGGAGACTTATTATTGGGCAAGAGTTTTTTGTCTTAGCCAATGAACAATGCGTGGGTGTGTCGGGAGTGGAGATTTCAATTTTCAGTACCAGATGTGGCTGAACACGGTGTATTACCGAACAACGTTAATTATAAAAAATGCAATAATCAATGTACACTGCGTGAAGAACATCACATTTGGCGGTGTCACCACAGTTTTCTTCAGCCAAACAGTGAGAATTGGAAGAGGTACAACCCTGGTTAGATCAGGTTTGGTTTGGTTAGTTGGTTGGTTGGTATTTATGTGATTTATAAAAAAAAGTCCAACTTTTCCTTTAAGGTTGTTCTGGGGGTATCTGAAAAACTAGTGATTTCCGGCGGAAATGAATATCAAATTCGTTCGAAATTCGTCAAATACCATAGGAAAAACCTATTTTTAATATCCAATGAAAGAACGGTGCTATTCTGTAAATTTACTGATGAAATTCACAAATGTCTGTCAAATTTGTGCACAGAACCAGTAAAGCAATCTGGCAACTCACCCAGCCTAAGTGTTCTCCTTGCTATTATTATTTACAGGAGTGGAATCTCTCAGGCCATTGTACGAATATATGTGGTCTGAGAGCTCCCCCGTTTGGGTTAGGTCAGGTCAGGTCAGGTCTGGTTAGGCTTTTTAGGAACACAAAAATTATTTACACAGATAAATATAAACGGGGTATTCCCATTTCATCTCCAACCCGTTTAGTCATCACTGTTTTCAACCCGTCTCGTCACCGCCTTCATTCCCATCAATATACAGTATACACAGAAATAACTGTTGCTTGGGATAGAAAATAAAAAAAACACCAAGACAATTTATTAAAGACGAAAATAACAAAATACCCTGTATAAATAAAACATTGTTTATACACCTGCAATCATCTAACTTAAACAATATATGAAAGACAAAAATTTACTCATGCAAGCTCGGCAGAAGACAAGGACAACTTTTTAGGAAATTAGAAGTGGTGATATTTTTTCTTTATATTCATCCCACAGCTTCCAGAGATGGACTTGTTTGTCATGATTTGCTTTTCTTGTGCATGATTTTATCGTGTGCTCAGCAACTAGTTGCAATTGCAAATCAACCATTGAGGCTTTTCTGTGAAGAAGAGGGTAGAGCGAGATTGTTCTTTGCTGCTCGGTGGTTTTACACTGGTGCCAAATCATCTCCATTTATTCTGTATTTTGTTTATTTACCAATGTTTTAATCGTTTTCTTTATTAAATAATTAATATTCTTGTATAATAATAACACAATACTTCTCGAGTTGTCTGTATACATGTGTAATTTCTATTCGTGTAAAATAATAACTTACAATTTGTCACTAATACCAGTGACATAGTGGTGATGAAATGGGGTGTATCCATACAAACAATACAATGATATTAAAAAAAAATAACCTATCGTAACCTAATTGGGGAAGGTTCATACTGCATATACTACAGTACAAAGGTCAATGTGCTTAACCACATGCAGAGGAGTGAGCAGACTGGGGAGTAGATAAACTGTGACACGGGCAACTGAGTGCATCATTGGTGGAAGTTGGAGAGTTGTCATAAGTGCAGGGGGTGTAGCCTTACTGTCTACGGAAAATATGTGTACTGTATTAATGGCTGTGAAACTGATACTGTATTTCAAATTTAACAGAGACATTTTGAAGACCACTTATCAGTATGGTATACAATATCCTTGCTATAGAGCTCCACTTTCTAGTGCTTAATAACATGGAGAATACTGTAGATTGATACCCAATAAATGGTTGTCAAAATCAGTGGAAGCTAGCTGTAGGGATGGCGGCCATCAACAAGCATTCACAATAGTATACTTACAGTATTTTGCTGCTGAGGTCACAAGGTGCTGTACAAAGATGGAACCCAGACCTTCATCCTGATTAGGGTGGCTACTGAAACAATTTCCATGTGATGTAAACATTCTATGAAATGAACTATGGCGTCTTAAAATATTATATCGAGTTACAGTAGAATATAATGAAAATATGATTATTTGCATAGTGTATGATATTCAGTTTACTTGGTATTACAGCTGAACTTCCTGTGGTCTGAAGTATAACCTGACTTATACCAGTACATACCGTGTATAGTATATATTTATTTTATTTTTACAGTAAGGAGGCAATATGTCTATGTCAGGTGCAGAATACCTGGCCTCCATCTATGGCACAGAGAAGGATAAGGTCAACTGCTCCTTCTACATCAAAACTGGGGCTTGCCGCCACAGTGAAAGATGTTCCAGAAAGCATAACAAGCCACAGTACAGGTACAGTATTTGTTTTATTTTTGGGGAATAGTTATACAGTACTGAACTATTCTAAAGGAAAGGTATGTTTCTCCGGGACTATACATAAAGTGACAATTCCAGTAATGGGAATATTGTACATATCCAATGAAAGGGAAATATTAGCCCCTTGTGGCTCCCTGCTGAATAAAACAATTTGGCATTAGCCAAATAAAATATTAAAAGTGGCATCTCTGTAGTGAAGGGGCTAAAGGAGCCATCACACATGTACATTTTTCCCTCCAACCTCCGGTCAGATTTGCTCCGTCTCCGAAAACAGACTATCACGCACTCACTTTGTGTATGATTGTCTCCAACCATATCAAACATGGCAGAACTATTATGGCTGACAAGCTACTCAGAAGAGAAAGCTGCAGTATTCCCTATTTTTCTAAATAAGAGAAGCTTCTGTTTCTTTGTTCCATAAGGTACGCTGTTGCACATTGGTTGCCATTCTGGTGAAGTGATGTGTCAGGTGGTAGGGGAGATTTGTTTTGGTATGTAAGTAGCCAAGATCTTCAGGTAAAAAATAATTAAACCATTAATATTGCCCATAATCCCTATTACTTACCAATTTCCTCCAGCTTAGCTTGAGGAAATCCAAATGTATGGGAGTTCTCCAACTCTCAGAAAATGAGCTGTAGGTTGGAGGAAAATGCACACACGTGGTAGCCCCTTAAGACCTGCTGACTCACAAGAGGAACTGTTGCACTTGATCTAATCTTGTTGCAGTGGTTGTGAAGGGTAGGTATTGGAATACCTAAAATGGGTTAACATACAGTACTACCATGGCTATCAGTACTGGGTATGGTAGGGAGACCTCATTCCCCTAGTAAGCACCCTGTTTTATGAGAGACATTGGGCACAAGCTCTATGAGAAAATAAGGTTTCAGGATTAATGTTCCACTTCCAATGATTTATGTTGTCTTAGTAAACAGTATTAGGGATTGTCTAATTCTGTCACTTGCCTCACAGCTCGTATTTACACTATCACTTCCAATGCTTTCCTTTTCAGTTTTCTGTCTTTTACAACTGCTTGATCTTCATCCAGCATCTTGGTGAGAGTGTTACAACGTGCGTGATCACGTGCAATCTCTCCATATTATCTTAGTTCTTACTTTGTGTTCTGATTATGTAGTCATATACAGGTAGACCTTGATTAACTCTCAGGATGCATTTATGAAAACTGACTATTAATCAAAACAATTAAATAAGGACAAGGTACTGTACATTAATTATAACAAGGTAATAAAGGAGATTTGGAGCCAGACAGCACCATTGCTATTTATAAGCAATATATGAGCGTTCATAGGACTTTATTAATAGCACAAAGAATGTTTGTATACCGTACACATGGTAAGTGTTTGAAATAAAAACAACAACAGTGGTAATGATAAAAATGCAATAAATTATTGAACTGTACTTAACATTGCATTCAGTTGAAGCAATGTACTGTAAGACAACGGTGGGTAATCAGGGTGTCTACTGGTCTGGAAAAGGCTGGGAGTTTTATTTGGGACTGGAAAAGCTATGGAATTTTACAGATAAACCTGGAATTTTATGTGAATTCAGTTAAACTTCAAAATATTGTTATTTTGACAGCAATTTTACCATAAATTAATACTGTACTATATACGTACAGTAATAGGTAAATAATTAAACTTTAGGAACAAATTCCAGTAAATAGTCCACTCCAGTAACTGAATTGTTTGTGTACCTATCACATTTCATGTTAGTGATCAAATATTACAGGTTTTGCCTACTAATTCTGCAATGAGTATTGTCAGAGATGAAATGTTTTTATAAATAAGTGACTTTATTTAAGTTTTTGATACTTGGAGTAAAACAAAATGATTTTGTTTAAATTCATACAAAGGTACTACTGTACGTACTTACATGCTGATTAAGGATCTGGGTTCACAATTTAAACATTTGAGTAATTAGTGTTAATTAATGATCTTTGGAATAATTAAAGATACAATGTATATTAAAAAGTCAATTATGCTGTACCTGTAAGTTTTAAATCACCTATATAATGAGGTGGGAGAAGTTACTGCTGTGAAGATGACTCAGACACTGACTCACTCTCCTCTCCTTGATGAGGGCATTATGGATTAATTTTGCTCACTAAATTAAGCTCAAATAAGGAGAGGGAAAGAGTTACCATAGTGATGTAAACACAAGTGATCAAAGCCGATGGAGTGAGTTGTTGATTGGCTGAACATTAATTGCCACACACATTCTTCTCAGTGGCTGAGTATGTATTTTAGAGGAAATGGGAGGCTGATGTGTGTAGCCTACTCCTGTATTGGAATTTTGGTAATATTGAAAGACAGTTCAATAGTGCATGTTAACCAGAAAATTTATTACTCTTTTTATAGAAGGTAAGTGCTTTTTTACCTCATGAAAAGCCCAAAAAGTTAGTTTGGGAGGAACAAGTTTTTGCTAATCTAATTTTTCAAGAATTTTTTGCCTTACACATAATGCACTGTAGCTCCATTGTTTATATCCAATTTGCTTTTTTATCCACAGGAACACTTCTGGGATTTTTTTTTTCAGTTCTTTTCATACACAGGATTGAATTATCAGTTACTGCTACTTATATGATATACATTATTGGAGATAAAATGAAGAAAACTAACATAGGGTTAGATAGGTTAGGTTCATTGTATCACTGGTAAATTATGTAATGTATCAATATTTGGTAAGTTTTTGAAAGAATTCCTGTAGATAAAATGAAATAACCTGTACAGTATATGGCAAGCATTGTAGTGTGTGGGCATAGAATAATTTGGGGGATGGGGGAAAAATAATATTTAACCAAAGCCAAAAAAGTTTTGAAGATACCTTTTTTGGCTTTTCATAGATGCAAAAACCTTTTACAAAAAGGATTCCTCAAGTTCCTGGTTATCATGTGCTTCTACTCTAATATTACTGGAATTTTGAACTGCTTTTATTATTATTTATTTATTCTATTTATATTTTTTCAGAAACAAAAGAAACTAACAGTAGAGTGCATTTTAACAAACCTGCAGTAATCAAGGTTGCCTTTCCTGAGTCACCTTGCTTTGATATTCAGTTTCATTTTCTTTCATTCCCAAAATACTTGACTATTGCTATATCAGGTTGTTATTTCATTGTTTCTGCTACTGTTTTATCATCTACATACAACAGCATCTACAACTTAGGTAAATTTTTATTTCAGTCAAACAGTGGTGATGCAGAACATGTATGTGAGTCAACAGAACTCTGCAAAGTCAGCTGATGGTTCCCACCTTGCCAATATGAGTGACCATGAGATTCAAGAGCAGTTTGAGTATTTCTTTGAAGATGTATTTTTTGAATGTGAAGAAAAATATGGTGAAATCGAAGAGATGTGCGTCTGCGATAACCAGTGTGACCACCTACGAGGTAATGTTTATATTAAATTCAGGCGAGAAGAGGATGCTGTAAAGGCTGCAGAAGATTTGAACAACCGGTGGTACATGTTCCGTCCAATCTACTGTGACCTGTGCCCTGTCGCTGACTTCCGTGAGGCATGTTGTAGGCAATTTGAAATGGGTCAGTGTGGCAAAGGAGGCTTCTGTAACTTTTGGCATGTTAAGCCAATCTCACATCACCTTAAGAATCTACTTGCCCGTTCATCCCGCTCTCGCTATAAGTACCGATCTCGCTCGCGCTCTAGGTCACGGGATAAGCACTCGGATAAACACACAGACGGCAAGCACAGGCGAAGGTCTCGTTCACGTTCTCGTGATCGTGACCGCCGGGACCGCAGAGGACGGTACTGAGATGAGAGCAGGGTTGCTTTACTTTTTTACTTGTCTTTTACACAAGTGTAGGGGTTTGAAAATGTACAACAAATGCATAAAACTGATCATGTAACTAAAATAACTTTTAAAATGTTTAGAATATAGAGACTGAAAGTTGTAACTATGAACTGGAGAATCTTTGTAGACCTTCCAACGTTTTTACAGGTTACCTGACATTGGATTTAATTTTTATCTCAAATCCCAAATGTGTATCACTGTATCTGAATGGTCTAAAGACTTAAATATTGTTGCAAACTGTATTTTCTTAATATTTTTATAAATGTTTAAACTGACAAAAAGAAGTTTGCCTATCATTAGAAATGCACAGACTTAGGGATGACTGTACTAAGAAAAGTTGGAACATGTCATACATTTTATACACACTTCAGGTATACATCTTTATTGTTTCCTATTAATGTGTGTGATCTTTTTAATAACATAACTGGTAGCTCTCACTTGTTTATTATAGTACAAGTCAACACATATTCTCCACATTGCTTTATGATAAAATTGATAGTAATCCCTGGTGGACCATTCAGATACTTACGTAGGGTTAGTGAATGTGACATGAGTAGTCATTGTGTTTTGTAAAGAAATCAGTCTGACTCAAGATTATCTTCAAAGTACTGTCGGTCTATTTTCCTTTTCATATATTCTTCATAATGTGATTCATCTCAACTTTTAGAATTAGAGAATTAGAAGTAGAGAATAGGAAGTAGATTTGGCAAGTTTCTCCATACTGTAGTCTAAAAAAATTTATGAATGTTTCAGAAATGGCATTCAGTACTTTAGTTTTGTAAATTAGTGTTTCGTGTAGTGGATAAAAACAATTCACACTAACTAATTGTGTCACATGATTTCATTGAAATGGCCATGCAAAGTGGTGGTATGTTACTTGGGAAATGTGCTGTATTTTTGTTTTCCATAAAGTATTATGTAAGATTATCCTGTATCATTTTAATTGAGATATCAAAGAATACAGCTCTCAGCTAAAAACTGTATTTTATTAACCACCTTGACATTTGGTATGCTGTATCTAAATATGCTTTTTTGCTTTTATCTGTCATGATAAGTGGATTTGGTAAGTGATAGGCAGAGTTGTAAAGTAATGAATAAATTTACTTGAGAACTATACTCAAGTACCTTTTTTGGGTACAGCATTCCCTTAAAATTTATGGGGGTTTGGGTCTCAAAGTGGCCGCGAATATCATTTGCTGACCAGAGGTGGTACATTTTTACTCGTGTGCGAAGAAATATACATTGCCTTTGTGATCGTTCTAATGACAATTATTTCTTTTACCTGTATTGTATATGTGTGTGTGTGTGTGTATGTAGACATACAAATACAGTAAATAGTAATGAGAAAATCCTCTCAACTAATCAGAAACACGACAACAAAATGTATCGAAATGTACCCTCAAGTCAACTCCGTGCTTTGTTATTAAATTTGAGTTGGTTGGGTTTGCCATAAGGTAATTTTTCCTCTTAAATATTATATTTCTAGAATGAATGGCACCTGAGCGCCAGCTGGGTTGATATGTAGATCAAACTTACAGAATTTCTTTCTCAGTCATCTAACTAACCCAACATGAAGGATGTCTGTAATTGCAGTGTAATACTGTATACTTCTTTCACAATATGTATGTAGGATGGTGTGTGTGCATGTAACTAAGTAAAAATAAATGAAGAGGGTTGGGATATATCGCGAGATAGGGTCCAACGATGTTTGCTGTCTACTAAATTGAGATATATAATTACAGGTAATCAATAGGGAAAATAGGGAGGTTTTGGAGGCCAAAAAAGTGACTCAACTTGACTTAACGAGTTCATTTTCTTACAACTAAAGCACCAATGAACACTAAACTCGGGAACAACAGGCCATTTCAATATCAATATCAAGGAACAGCTGACGCACCATCCTGGGAACACCAGACTCGGCAGCAGACGCCACACTGCTACCCTCGCTTGACAATCCCTCACCTGCATAAACGAAGACCAAAAATAATACAGAAGTAGTCCAAAAATCCGGACTGCTTGGGGATTGGGTCGGTCCGGATTTTCGGATTTTTCTGGATTCTCAGGCAGTACTTTTAAAAATCAAATTTCAGGAGAAATAAAGAAGAGATAAAGGTACATTTTGATAGTTTATTCATTAGCAAATATAGCATGCTTCATTTATCAAAACGAGCAGTTTCAAAGATAAGGCTGTGAATTCTAAAATTTTATTCTTTGCCTTTTTTATATCATAAATTGTAGACTTTCCAGTGTCGTATGTTTCCATTAGAACAGTATTGCTCACACCACGTTCTAGTTTCTTAACTATTTCATGTTTGTCACTCAATTTCAACGTGTTCTTCTTTCTCTTCACACAACGAAGTTTATCTACTTTAGGAGCCATTATTATGGGCTTGTACAGTACTCTGTAAATGGAAAGAGTAGGACTCAAAATTACATACGTTGTCACAGTTGATTGCTCGTTTTAAAGTGGCGACCGCGTGGTCGCTGTGCAGCTGTGGCGCTCATGCATGCACACACACACACAAAACCCAGCTAAATTAAAAAAAAAAGAAGTTAAGTTCGAGTTTTCGAAAAGTCCGGATTCTCGGGTGGTCCGAATTTCTGGCATCCGGATTTTTGGACTTTTACTCTAGTTACATTATTAAATCTTTTCCATTAAGCTTTCCATTATCTTTACTTCACACGTTACTAGCAACCCATTTACACTCACCTTAGAAGTCGTAATCTGCAGCAGAGTCGGCTGCTTTCTTGTCACTCACTCAGAAAGACTGAGCGGGCGAGCGTGAATGAGCTGTCACGGTGGCACCTCTGGTGATCAAATAACGCATTTGTTTGCTATGGAGGTACATTTTAAATATTTCCTGCCCGATTTCCTTCGTGAAATAGAAAAAATTATCGCTATACACCCTGTATATAGGAAAATTTTGATAATTTTGATAGCCGCGAATAAAAGAATCGTTACATAAAGTTGCGATATATCCCGACCTTACTGTATCAACCCGTAAATACGAGTTGAAAAAACCATAACACATCGCAGCTTGGCCCAATAGCCTGGTGGTTACATTGATGAGCTAACCTAGCTACAGTACCATAATTAATCACTTTTAGGCACTATTCTATCAGTAAACACTACTAACAGTAAATCCAGTGAAGTATGGCTGCGAAAATGCTAGCAACTTTAAAATTACCCGCAGACATTCTTGGGTGCATCCAGGGTGTCATCTGCAAATAATCGAGGAGTGTGATTAAAAATTTGCTTAAGTATGGTATTCTTATATTTTTACTCCAATACTGTTCAATTGAAAAACAAAAATCGTTACTTCTTACATGTCCCAAACAATAGAGTTTTAAATATCCAGTCACAAGACAAACTTGGAAGCTAACGAGTCGCCACAAGCATTTCTTCACGTCTGCTTGTGATCGTCTGTTTAGTCATGCTGGGCTTTTATTTAGGCCTAAAAGATTCCAATTGGACAGCCATAATTTTTTAGAATCGGTTACTGATTAATCTCGATCGAAAGATTTGCAAATATACATCTGTAATACTGTCTTTTATTTTCATCATAGTTAACAAGTTTTTTATATTTTACTGAGGATTTATTTTAATATTTGAGACAATAACTTTGTTACTTTTTACTTTCTGTACTTATGAATGATATACCTGTACAGTATTTTTATTTCCACTTTAGTACATTGAACTTTGGATACATTTACGTCTACAGTTCTTTCATAACATTTTACCAGTGTAAAAATACTGTACTTTTACATAAGTAACAGAGTCTGGTACTTTTTACAACTGCTTAATAGTACCTGAGATTATGAAGTCTTGATAATTATGGTAATTGATATGGACACTTAATAATCAGGATTTAAATTTTTTCACCACACAGCCTAAATCTGCACGCTGAAACCACCCTATATTGAGATTTAGAGCAATATTTTTTGCAGATCAAAAAATTCATTTTGCTCAAGATTTTGGTATAGGTTGGCCTTGACATGCTGGTTAAGGATCTGTGGTCGAAATTTTGAAAATTAATTTTAATAGCACCCTAGTTCCTGAAATTTTGATAATTATGCTAAATGATATGAAACTTAATAATCATAATTTCATTTTTTTTATTACAGATCCTTAATCTGTATGCCAAAAACATCCTATCTGTACAGAGATTTTAAGCAATTTTTTTTTACCCCAAAAGTTACAAGGTGTATATAACTTTAACGCTTGAGGGGTTAAAAAATTATTTTGATAATTGTCTTGATAGTAACCTAGATTATTAAGTTTTGAAAATGAATTATGCTAATTTATATATATTTTAGTAATGGAGGGGCCTCTGATGGTGTACAGTATGTGACTGGAGACAGCACAAGGATGAGAGCCATTCCAGGGATGGCTAAGTTTATAAAAAGGGTGAACATAATTCATGCAAATTTACATATTATGGTGAAATTCTGCTTCATAATGTATTAAGAATAAAATGCTATAATAAAAAATAAATAAATAAAAATAATAATAATGATATTAGTAATAATAATAATAAAGACATACAAAAGAAAAAAAAGAGATCAAGAGTGAGAAACAATACAACTGTATATGTATGTTGTGTTGTCAGAGTAAGAGAAACAATTGAGACCCTGCAATTGTGTGTAAATGAGGCAGAAAGTCAGATCAGCAACCTGGGACTTGGTCACAATTTTTGTGGTGCTATATGACAGCAGGGTCTACCATTAGACAACACATTATGCTTCCAATATCTTCCCAGGCCGGTGCCTCCCTGTTTGGTAAGCAGCCTGTAGTGGACGTCTCCCCTACAAACTGCATAGCGGCGTCACCACCTGCTACCGTCTTCCCTAGCAACCAAGCGTATCCGCATTCCAATGCCGCCGTATCCTAGCAACCGAGCCAAAAGACCGGCGACTTCTCTGGTTTTCCCAACATGACTCATAGCGGCTGCTGGGTATATAAGCTCTGTCTCTCCATTGAGATTCATTCTGACCATTCTTCTTGAACAAGCAACACCTCCTCCTCCGGCGCTGCCTGGCTGCCCTAGCCTCTCCTCGCCTGCCTGGCGGTCCTCGCTCCCGCCAGCGAGCATGGCGATCCACCAGCTGTCCTCTGAGCTTCCTCACCAACCAACTCTCATTCTGCCCATTTTCCTGAACAAGCAACATCTCCTCCAGCAAGCTCCTAGCTGTCCAGCATTCATTCAACCAGGAGGCCAGCAACAGGCAACATCTTCTCTAACGAAGCTCCTGCACATCTACCTCCTTCAACATGCTACTCACCGAACGTCTTCTACTGAGCAGCTCCCCACCACACGGCATCTCCAGCACCAGACTGTCTATCATATAACTTATATATTATACAAGAAAACCACATTAGAGTTTCTTTCCATCCTGAGTGCTAGACAACATTAATATCCCGATACCCCTACAGGCCTACTACCTGAGGATAGTGAGGATAATTAAAGTTACTGTTTCGTGATATATTTTATTATTTATGTATTGTGTAAAAAATTTTTAACTACAATCTATGATAATAGTCTGTAGTAAAACTGAGCTAGTTCTAAGTACAGGAGGAAATGTTAACAAGAAGAATTAACATTATCACATTCAACAAGCCAGCTCATAGAATGTACAGGAGTCCTGAAAGAACATTTCATTAAAAAACATCTATGGTGTCTGAATCAGAGCTTAGTTACTATCTACAAGTACAGTATATAGTCATTCTTCTGTAAGAACACAGAAGCACAGGTCACTGACCCACATCGGGGCCTGGGGGCGAAAATGTAATAATAATAATAATAATAATAATAATAATAATAATAATAATAATAATTCAGATAAGTTAAATTAAAAAAAATAATAATATTAATGATAATAAAATAACAATAATAAAGAAATGCAAAAATGAAAAAAATAATCAAAAGTGAGAAACGATATAGGCTATGTACAGTACAGAACAGGTATGTTGTGTTGTCAATAGTAAGAGAAAAAAAATTAAACCTGCAATTGTGTGTAAATGAGGCAGTAAGTCAGATCAGCAACCTGGGACTTGGTCACAATTTTTGTGATGCCATATGGCATCAGGGTCTACCATTAGACAATACATTATGCTTCCAATATCTTCCCAGGCAGTAGTACCTCCCTGTTTGGTAGCCCCTGTCATACAGGCCATCGGCCTCCTAACCCCAGTCAATGGCCAAATCTAATTGTGGTGGCTGTTAGATAAATTGGGTAGGTAAATTATGAGCGTGGATAGCAGCCGAGGGGAGGGGGGGGGGGGTTGTTCATCGTGGGTTAGCATGTGAGTGGACAACACGAGGCAGCTTTGATGGGCCAAGCTGGTTCAGCGCCCAAGACACGTCACGCTTACCCACAGCTACGGGACCTCTGGAAAATTAAAAAAAATTAAAATTATTTAGATCGGTAGAACAACGAAGCCCCGATACCACACTTGTTGATGTTATTAGTAAGTGATTCACTTTTAGCACTTAATTCATATTCATTGTATTTTTTCATCACGGCGTGACCCAGTGACTTCATAACATAGTTGCCTCTTGTAGGAGCACTGACCCGGGACACCCAGGGTCGGATTTACCTACTTGTGGGCCCCAGGCCAAACTCATCAGTGGACCCCCAAATTTATAGAAATGTTTGCATGTTTCAATAATCAATATATATATATATATATATATATATATATATATATATATATATATATATATATATATATATATATATATATATATATATATATGCAAAGCCCTCACAGAGTACAGACTCTGTACTCACCCCTGAAGATGTGAATTACACGAAAGCGCTTGGGAACTTCGTGTTTTCTTCTTTCCTTGTGGTTATCAGCATATACCTAGATCACGCACCTACAGTGATTTATTTATATATATATATATATATATATATATATATATATATATATATATATATATATATATATATATATATATATATATTAAGGAAGCTCAACTAACACACAATCCCACTATTTTCAGAAAGGTCCCCAAATTTTACTACAGCGCCACCTGTTTCTGAGTAAGTGTACGACCTCAGAGAGAAAGAACATCTAGAGAAAGAATTGCGTACACTAAAAGTGTTACTCTTGGGTAACTCTTTGTCATAGCTCGAGCTTATATATATATATATATATATATATATATATATATATATATATATATATATATATATATATATATATATATATATATATATATATATATATATATATGTATATATATATGGCTGTATTACTTCTTACATTGCTAGGATAGTTTTTATTCTGCTCATGTCAGTCTGAAACACTTGAAAAACTATTTTGGAAGGAATGAGAAAGGAATAAGGGTTGATGCTCAGCAGAAATAATTTTTACCAATGCAGACTGTAAACTTGCAAATTCTAGGATGGAATAGTGACTTCCATATTCAAATAGAACCTATCATATTTATATAAAAAAAATCGTGCTATAAACACTATACATGAAATACATAACCCTTCCGACGACGCCTCTCAAGAAATAACAGTATGCTACTCACAGGACACAGCAGCGGCCCTCGAACAGGCAGCAGAACAAAGAAACTTTCAGTCGCTCATTGCAGAAGCCACAGGTGGCATCCGTCCCAGCAACCAGTAGCGATACGACCATCATTAACACCAGCTCACGCATCTTGCACGGCAAATACACGGACAATCCGAAGGGAGTGAAAGTACTATGGTTGAGATGGTACCCTTGTTTGAGAAGATACCGCCGTACCGATGTGAGAAATAATAATCAACTTGGGATATAATCTTCGACACCTTCGGTGGTACTATTATGTGAATCAAGAGTTCTCTTCATAATCTATGAAGCGTGTACATGTGGTGGGTTGTCATATCAATAATACATGTTAAGTATACAGCTGTATTGCTTTCCTCAGGGATCACTTTCGGTCCGTGGCACGTCAACACACCAATTTGTTTCGCGTGTGAAAGCGTGGGCGGTGTACTTCGAGACCAGGAAGTGGTATAAGAAAGCCTGAGCTGAACGGGATGTGCAAGACTTTCACCCTGTCAGATGACGGTGAAGTAATTTCCTGTTTGGGGAATTGTAAGCAGTAGTGGGTAGTTGAGGGTGGTATTTGATGTTTTGGTTGGTTGTGGGCGGCGGATGATGGTTGCGGAGTAGACAGATTGGGAGGCGAGACGGGAATGAATGCGATGAATGTGTCGGGAGCGACACGTAGTGAAGTTAAACCACGAAGGTTCTGGTGCCGCGACACAAATTGAGGCCTCGTGTTCATGTGGAGGACACTTCATTGACTGTAAGGAAATTTCACCATGGACATTGAAAAGTGGCGGTTTCGGGATTGTTTCCGACTTGGTCGCTGGAAGTTGTGATGGATTTCGGAGGCCACAAGAAGTCAGAAGACGAGGGGAGAGTTGGGGCTTGGGCCAGTGAGCTTTCAGGATGCGTGACACCGTCTGGGGAAAAGTCAGAAAGAGTTCTTATCAGGGAGGAGCACGAGAAAAATCATGAGAGCCGCCAGAGCCGATGAAGGTGTCTGTGAGGGAATTACTCCTTACAGAACCCAGGTTAGAACGACAACAATTTTCAGTTTACCTGATACAGAAGAGAAATATAATATAAAAATAGAAACAAATTATGCACGAGTACGTGCAAAAAATAAAATGCAACATGCTCACGGAGTCACCACTTTATAAATCATTGTAATCACCTGCCGGACTTTCTCTATTGCTGCGTTCATAGATATCTCACAGCAGAGCGACTGAATGAACAATAGAAAATCAAATTTTTGCCTTTCCAAATAAAAACATCGACAGCATTCGGTGAAGATACTTAGTGTACCTTCCTTGTATTATAATTATGTCACCTTCAGAATAGTGCAAAGGTTTGTACACTGGGAAACATACGCATAAAGTATTCAACTGAAACATGTAGCTTCCTTAGGATAAAACAAAACAAAACACGCAGATACGCAGATAGATACTGCATTTAATTCCATACGAACATTGAAACTGTGTAGTTGAATAAATCGACGATGTTTACCATCCATGGTCTGTGGAACACAAGTGTTGCGCCTCGTTTTCTTCCCCACCATGATACATCACATCACGAAGGAGGAAACTTATGGTCTCACGTGACGAGAATAACGAGGAACAAAGGTGGCGTTCCACACTTTCATATTCTGGGTATCCATTAGTGCTCCACGAGCAGCCACCCGTTGTGTGTTCTTGTTCCCTGCTGGGAAAAAATGACAGGAAAGAGCGTGGCGGCGGTCACAGGAGGAAAGTGTCTACTGTACTGGCATTGCTTTGTTGTTGATTTTTTTTGCAAAGTTAGTTGCTTGGATACAGACAATTGTACCAGACACCACACTTAGAGGAGTAATCGCGCGCGCGCAAACACACACACACACACACATATACATATATATGTGCTCCGAATTTGTATAACCAGACACGGGAACTTGTTAACAAGTTCTTGTTCTCCTCTGAACGCCATCCTTCGAACGTAATCTACTTTCGTTTGTCTCAACGAATAACGGAGAGTAATGTGTCCGCTGTTTACGATGTGTGTAAACACATGGCGCTGTAAGCGGGGTAAGTCATTTGTTTTGTGAAAAAACAAAACAATAAAACATCTTATTATGTTCATTTAAGAAAGTTCCCAAAGAGTATTGCATTTGAGCAGCCAGTGACCTTATGTGACTTTCACCCTGAGCACAGTGATCTTTGCCATTATTGTTTGATGTGTTTACTTGAAATACGTCAAACGTTGTTTTTTAATCCTGCAGCTGGCCTCTGTGTGAGCTAACAGTGGTCTGGAAAGGAGACTCTCCTAACTCCCACTCCCTATTAACACTAATATAAACTTCTTTGCCCAGTTCGCTGGATCCTTAAAGCCCCCCTAACATCTGGTTTTATGTCAAAATTCAAAAATGAAGTTTTCGTTCCACCAAGCTGAAAATTAAACTGGAAGGGTACGGGATTCGGAGAAATGTCCTAGCGTGGATCGAAGACTTTCTACATGACCGCAAGCAGTGTGTGGTGATTAATGGCACGAAATTGTCACGTGTACCCGTCACACGCAGGGTAACACAGGGCAGTGTATTGGGCCCGCTGTTGTTTGTTTGCTTCATAAATGACGTGCCTGACGCTGTACATTCCTTCGTACAAATGTTTGCGGATGACGCCGAATAATTTCGGGAAATTAGAAGCAAGCAGACTGTGAAGAGCTGCAGAACAGTCTCTGTGAGCTCCAAGAATGGTCGATGAAATGGCTGCTAAGATTCAATGTATTGAAGTGTAAGAGGATGCACCTGGGACGTACCAATGGTAAGGAGGTGTATCATGTCCCAACGGGACGAAGAAACTGCATAAATTGAGACAATGTGAAAAGGACCTTGGTGTGTATGTTGACAATGAGCCGAAGTTCTTGGGCCATTGCGAGAAGGTAAATCAGGCAACTAAATTATTAGGTCTTATAAAAAGGTCGGTTAGATATCTAGAATTCTAGACGGTCCGTCCCTCGTAACGATCTTCAAGAGTGAAGTGCTTCCCCATCTGGAGTACTGTCACCCTGTATGGTCCCCGAGATACGCTTGGGACTGTCAGTAGATTGGAAATGTCCAAAGGAGGGCCACCAGACTGGTGCCTGCACTACAACACCTCAACTATCCTGGGAGATTGGAGCGCCTGAACTTGCCTAGCTTATACTACAGACGGGCAAGGGGAGACCTACTTGAGGTGTATAAGCATCTCAAGGGGCACTACTCAGTCGATTGTCCTTACCTGGAGCTGGCGGATGCTCGCCCCACAAGGGGTCACAGCTCAAGATTGAAGAAGCAGCAAGTCCAGAAAACTGTTAAGGGTAACTTTTTCGGAGTGAGAGTTGTGAACTCTTGGAACAATCTACCAGAGTGTTGAGACGGCACCGAGTGTGAGCTCTTTCAAGACCAGACTTGACCAACACTGGAGCAGGTTCAGGTACATTCAGGAGCCGATGCAAGCCCAGTACTTGCCAACGGTGCGTAACAGAGACGTGACCGATCACCCAAGTGGCTAACGAGCCGATCATTGGTGGAGAGGATAAAAGTGACCGATCGCCCAAGCGGCTAACGAGCCGATCAGTGGTGAAGAGGACAAAAGAAAAGAAAAAATTACACGCACACACACAGTCACGTGTCCTCAACAGCTGAATTACACGCACACACAGTCACGTGTCCTCAACAGCTGGGCGCCCTTAGTCATGTTACTTTCGCTCTGTTATGAATTATTACGTCACTGACTCGTCCACTTTTCCCCTTCTGCTGTGTCACTGTTTTGTTTGATCTCCAGCTTCCCACGCAGAAGTTCCCCGAGCGTTGTAGAAGGCATCGGCAATAACAAAGCATGATGATTACTACAACAAACAGCTATAAGCCTTCTAGTGCTGTGGTTCACCCAAGGGATGTTGCGACAGTGTATACAGTATACATCTTAATGCTGAGTGAGGATGGGCTATCATGCAAGGAGAGAAGGAATGAATTCTTCATTTCGTACAGGGAAACGAAACCGAAACCATTGACTTAACAAGTGAACGCCCCACTGTCGGTTGGCTGGAGTTTGTTTGTCCGCTAATTAATAATTAAATTATCTTGGGCGAATTATTATAGTAATAATATATTTTTCATTAATAGTCATCATACAAGCTTACAATTGGTTTGACATGTATATTTTTATATATAAAATGCAGGTACTTGGGTTCATAGGTTGGATGGTTATGTGAGCAATGGGGGTTGGGTGTAAATGGGACTGCCCAGTATGGGCCAATTGGCCCGCTGCAGTTTCCTCCATTCTTATGTACAGTATACAGTTGAGCTTGTGTAGACAAAGCAGGTATATTGTGTACAAAGACCGTGCTGGTATACAATTTCCAATGTACAGTACCTAGACAGTACAGATATACAACAGCCGACAAAGCCAACAGATGGTTATTTTTGGAAGGCCGAAAAGATTAATCTCATCGATTTGACCCCAGTAATCTGAAGTACAGCTATAATATTCATCATTAACAATATGTGACTTGAATCTTGCTTTACTCTGTAAGTGAGGCACTTAGTTTGACAGTGCCTCATTATTCACGTTAGTTTTGTATTACTATAATACTTGTATGAACATATGAAAATGTCATTAAAAAAATAAATAGAGAGTTAAGAAGTACATAACAGACGGGCTCTATGATTTTTCATCATGTAATATACAGTACAGTACAGTAGTCGGGTAGCGGTTCAGTGTAACCGCAAAGTTGTGTACTGTGTAGTTTGTAGGGGAGATATCTACTACTACAATATCTCCCCTACACCTGTACTAATACTTATTGCCTGTACAAGTTAGTGTGATTGCTGAAGCTGTTTTATACATTATTAGCTTAATTTCTTTTGTTTTTTCATACAAACAATATGTGTTTCATGATAAACAGGACCTGGGTGATGGGTGTGCATGTTGAGAAGAACTCTCGAACCATTGTGAGAAGTTAAACGAACTACTAAGCTGGTAGGTTACACCAAGGTCGTTCAGATACAAACAATACTGTAGATGGTCCGTACCTTATAACGCTCTTCAAATGTGTTATCTTTTCTCGTTTGGAGCAGTCTCACTCCATATGCTCGAGATTGTTATTTGAGTGAAAATGTTCAAAAGAGGGCCACCACTGGTGCCTGTACCCCGGGACCTCAGGAACCCGGGGAGATTAGAACGCCTGCGGGTTCTTAAGTTATACTATAGATAGGCATGGGGTGACTGGCCTGATGTCTATAAGCACCTCAGAGGACATTACTAAATCGAGTTAGAAGCCACAAGTTCAAAAAATTGGGCAAACCTTTTTTGGAATGAGAGTTGTGTAACAATCTGCCAGTGTTGTGACGGCAGCGAGTGCTGAGCTCATTCAAGACTTGACACACTGGCGCAGGTACAGATACATTCTGGAGCCAGTACATGCCCAATACTTGCTAACAATGCGTAATACAAGTGACCGACTACCCAAGCGGCTTACAGGCCGATCAAGGTGAAAAGGATATATTACCTTAAGTAAAATAAACATTACAATGGTACTAAATAACATGCAAAAGATATTTTCAGGTTTTTATATAAAAAATATTAAGAGAAAATACGATGGGGGTGCCATACCTGTATATAAAAAGCGTATCCACTCGCCTTCACACTGCGATAGTTGAGCCACAACTGAGGCTACAATGGCACCGACCTAACAGGCGGTGGTCTAGAGGGCGGGGACCACATTTCCCTGTCGCTGTTGCTAGCTAGTCACTTTATGCCAGTTATTAATCGAAATGTAGCATAATTGTCAGAGATGTATGATTGTGCCGTACTATGACTGCATTGAGCCTCTGGTTATGACTAAAATTGCGACCCCTACTGTCATGGAGCTTTCTATTTGAAAGTGAAACCATATCCACAGCTCTCCACTTAGAACCCTCACTTGTTTGGTTGTTTCTAAACCATTAAAATTAATGTTAAGTGTATATGTGAGAAATTTTCTTGCGAGTCTTAAGCTTTTGTTTGCCAGCTTAAGCTGTGGAATCGAGAACTTAGGCTTCAAAATAGCCCTTGACCAAGACTATCAAGCACAGGATAGGGATCCTACACTATCTTTCTACACTCGGTATGGCAGCCTCTAGTTTAGTTGGCCAGAAGGTAAATAACACAAGATTTAAGCAAACACAGACCAGGGAGGATGATATCAGCATGTATAGGTCAAGAACTAGGCTAAAGTACAGTACAGTACTGTACAAAACACTCTTCGACCTGTGGGTCCTTGGGACAATCTTCCCACCAGGGTTATTAATTCACAAATTAACAAGTTGAGAGAAACATTACGATTCTCATGTAAGGATTGCAGAACAGGTGGCAGGAAATAATATATGTATAGATAATTAATGCAAACCCTGGTGTTTTATTGTTGTCTAATTTCTAATACAATATCACTCATACGCACACATGCTGGGTTACTGCTTGAAGATGAATCACTGGGCTTATTAGGAAAGTTGCTTATTATCAGATGCAGGGGTAAAGTGAAAGGCTTCAGTGGGACCCCTACATTACAAGGCCAAAGTAACGTATGTTGTGTCAGAGCAATATGGGGGACTCCCTCTCGGCTACCTCCCACTGCTGACCAAGCTTGCACCTGTCCGTTTGAATGTTTATGTTCCCAATACAGTACTTGGTAACAAAGGGACGGATGACATACTCGTCTATGAAACATTGTCAAGAATATTGTAGAGTCAATTTATAGAGGACATAATTTAATAATGGTTTTGTTTAATGATAACTTGAGACAAAAATAGGACGAATTTCTTCTGACACTCTTCTTGCATTTTATCCATAACCGAGATATTGTGAATTGCAAATATGAAAACTACTAGAAAAGGTACGATTGTATTTGTTTCCACCAACCAAATCTTGGGAATTTTATACAGTATTTGCAGTCCATAGTTTAGATGATTCTAAGGCACTTTTCTTCTATGATGTACTGTAATTAAACTACCAATAGACGTACGGCAAGTATTACTTTTTACTTTTATCCTCCACCACTGATCGGCTCGTTAGCTGCTTGGGCGATCGGTCACGTCTCTGTTACGCACCGTTGGCAAGTACTGGGCATGCACTGGCTCCTGAATGTACCTGAACCCGCTCCAGTGTTGGTCAAATTTGGTCTTGAAAGAGCTCACACTCGGTGCCGTCACAATACTTTCTGGTAGATTGTTCCAAGAGTTCACAATTCTCACTCTGAAAAAAATTGCCCTCACAGTTTTCTGGACTTGCTGCTTCTTCAATCTTGAGCTGTGACCCCTTGTGGGGCGAGCGCCCGTCAGCTCCGAGTAAGGACACTCGACTGAGTAGTGCCCCTCGAGATGTTTATATACCTCAATTAGGTCTCCCCTTGCCTGTCTGTAGTACAAGCTCGGCAAGTTCAGGCGCTCCAATCTCTCAGGGTAGCTGAGGTGCCGAAGTGCAGGCACCAGTTTGGTGGCCCTCCTTTGAACATTTTCAGCCAACTGACAGTCCCTAGCATATCTCGGGGACCAGACGGGGTGACAGTACTCCAGATGGGGAAGCACTTCACTCTTGAAGATCGTTACGAGGGACAGACCGTCTATATATCTGAACGACCTTCTTATAAGAACCAATAATTTATTTGCCTGTTTTACTTACTTATTGTAACATGACCCTCCAAATGTAAACAATGATATGCATAAATATTCAGGTTTAGAGCAGTGAAAAACAAAATATTTCCATGCAAATCTTGATATTTTTTGTAATCAGGTGACTGTTAAAAGTTTATAAAGTTCTGTACAGTACTCTCAAGGATGTGTAAATGGATGTTACACATGTAATATCAATGGAAAAAACTTTTAAAAGTTGGTCATTTTCTTGGATTATAACCACCAATAATTGCCAACTGTTACTTCACTGTAACATGCTTAATAAAATAAAAATTGTATAAAAGGATTTATAACTCATAGGGTTGTATTGAAGTGAATTTTATGCTTATATGTAGTAACTTCATCCACACTGAACCACAAGCAAACAACGGGCCCAATAAATGACATGCTTGACATTGTACACTCCTCTATACAAATGTTTGTGGATGACGCAAAATTATTTCGGGAAATCGAGAACCAGACTGTGAAGAGCTGCAAAAGGATCTCTGTGAGCTCCAAGAATGGTCGAAGAAATGGCTGCTGAGAAGCAATGTCACAAAGTGTAAGAGGATGCACCTGGGGCGCACCAATGGTAAGGACCCGTATCGTATGTCCCAACGTGATGAAGAAACTGCACTATTTGAAACAATGTGAGTAGGACCTAAGTGTGTATGTTGACAAGGGTCTGAAGTTCGCGGGTCATTGTGAGAATGTAAATCAGGCAAATAAATTATTAGGTCTTATAAGAAGGTTGTAACGATCTTCAAGAGTGAAGTGCTTCCCCATCAGGAGTACTGTCACCCCATCTGGTCCCTGAGATATGCTAGGGGCTGTCAGTTGGTTGAAAATGTTCAAAGGAGGACCACCAGACTGGTGCCTGCACTTCGGCACCTCAACTACCCTGAGAGACTGGAGTGCCTGAACTTGCCTAGCTTATACTACAGACGGGCAAGGGGCGACCTAATTGAGGAGTATAAGCATCTCAAGGGGCGACCTAATTGAGGAGTATAAGCATCTCAAGGGGCAACCTAATTGAGGAGTCACTTCCCTGAATCCAGTACCCTTCCAATTTAATTTTCAGCCTTTCATGTGGTACGCTGTCAAAAGCCATGGCAAAATCTAGGTACTATATATTGTCGATATTGCCACCGTTCCAGAATTTGGGTCCAAACATCCAGTAACACAATTAATCAAGGTATAAAGAATGTTACTACAAAACCAGTCTTTATCACTTGTACTTTACACATTTTTACTATTAATTGTTGAACAGAAAATTTAAGGAAAATAAAATAAATCCAATGCAGACTATACATGATAATGATGAAAATAATTTTGGTATAATGACAAACATATTATAAAACATATATAATAATATACTGTACTGTACTGTATTACAATCCAAGAATTCTTATAACCAATTTGAGTACATTACAAAATGTCATTCTGTATAAAAAAATACATGGCAACACCATACTGTACTTGTTTATGGTACAGTTCATGAGTTAACATAACTTTTGAAGTTGATGTTGATTATTCTTGTTTGAAACACTACCCATGACCCCCTGACCAGATCCAGTTGAGAAATTATGTACTGGGTAGTTGTCCATAATCCATGACCAGAATTACAAGACATATCAGTACTTGTACAATACAATTATGTAAATTCTTTCCCCATGACCAAAACTAGATGCTCCAGTACATAGCCTGATGAGTCTCTGCACCTGAACGGTGAAGGTGACAACATGATAATGGTGATAACTTGAAGATCAAAGTTTCAGAGATTTATTTACAATAGGAAATGAGACATTATCTAAGGGTGTGTTGCAGATCATATCGAGATATACAGTACAAGCATACCTCTTGGGTTACCATTTCATTATAATTATATAAAGACTGAAAAGTGGTTCAAAAGCTCCACAAGACCATGTGACACTCAATTTTCTCCAAACCGTGCATGCAACGAATGAGTGGCACACACTGATTAATGTACTATTTAGCTGATCAGCTCCCACCTTTGCCAATTTTGAAAGCTTCCTCCTGTAGGATTACAGTAGCTTGTTTTAATTAATTTTACTTTTGACCCAGAATATTAAAAAAAGACCTGCAGATGATATTGCTGGGTATATGACCACCCAGTCAAGGAAATGCACCAGTGTAAAGTTAAAAATGCTGGTCATAAGATGTGTGGGGGCAAGTGAGCATCAGATTAATGGTGATGCTGTAGTTGCTTGGGTTTGGCTACCTCAACCCTTCTCAAGAATGCAAACAAGATAAGGGCTTTTGCCCAATCCACCACTTCGTTAACAGCAACTAAGACAAGTTGCTCAAGGAGTATTTTGTAAGAGTAGATGGAGAGCCAGTTGGGCTCCATGTAGGAAATTAGTCATATTAGGGATGACAGCCAATGGTAGTCAAGTCTAATGCAAACTCTGACTGAATACCTTGTACTGTATACTGGTAACTTCTTCAGTACTGTATTATTTATTGATTCCCATTATTATTATAAATTAATCTTTTTAATTATGGTATAAAATATGTTAATGTACAGTATTCATAATGTGCACAGCATCATTTTAGTGTTATAACCAGTACAGTATTCAATAAAGCTCTCATGTATCACTTGTAGGTAAGCTGTAGTGGTATCACAAATGCATCTCTACAGTGCAGTACATGTATTTGGCACAGTACTGTCATGCCTGTACACAGGTTCTATGGTTAAAATCCAGTTGTCAGGAAACCAGGAATGTGGGAAAACCATACATTTTCACCACCATGCTAATTCACGTGATACCTTGATAGGCCCGAGTCAAACCTGCAAGAACTGTTCCTGTATTATTGGAAGATGTTAAAGAGCTGACACAAGCATCTGGGAGTGTCCCACTTTCCAATTCCCCCCCCTACCCCCACCCTAAGAATGGTCAAAATTATCCTCCACAATATACAGTATATAAATTGATGTATAGAGAAGTTACCTGCAAGTAGTCAAAACCATGAAGGATAAAATCACAATATTTAAGGGTCTCCTGTACATATCTGGATATAAATGGAGGAAAAGGCTGTTTTGTATCTCATAGTACAGTACTGTATGTTTAACCAATTGTCAAAGGCAGTGGTTGAGTAGTGAAAGAAAACCGGAAATTGACAAATTCTGAAAACCATTGTTAATATTTTTTATAACAAATGTCCTTAAAGAGGCCTTTAGTGTAATTTTAGCAATTTTTTGGGAAATAATTTTTTCATAGGAATGTATGTTGAGTACAGTACTATTATATAATGGAAGTCAGTTAGAAAATTTGTTTTACTTATGAATTTTTTATTTAAAAAAAAAGATGGGGTCTGCTTGTAGTTATTAAAAAATAATTAATATTTATATACATTAAATACAAATTATTAATGCTTTAAATAAGCCTAAGATAATAATTTATCTTATTGTGCAGAATCCCCCGCTCCCACACAAAAAAAGCCCAGTTTGGTGTTGGTCCCGAGGCTGCTGGATTTTATACATTGAACTTGTATGACAGTTAACTCTGGTATGGATGAGATGCCATGAAGTGAGAGAAAGAGTCGGTCCAAATATATGAGAAATGGAAATACAATATATTGTTTGCTCACGTTGGAAAATTTCACGCAGTCCAGGAAAATGTGAGTGACTTGCTCCATAACATAAGAAGGTTGATATTGTAATGCCACTCATTAAAACTGGCATTAACTTGGCCTTCAATCAGGTAAGAGAACATGGGTGTTGGAAGGTAATAAACATTATAAAATAAAATCCAAAGGAGGTCTAGTATTATACACTTTGTACATGATGTTATATGTATGAAACCTTTAATACTTCTTTAAGAAAAACCTCCCGATGTACCATATACAGTATTCATACTAAAGTATACATATAATAAATAATCGTGTATATCTTCTGATTTTAAAATATTGGCTAGCACTGCACTGTCAAAATATACTTGGACTTAAATATGCACATAAAAATATTTTTACATTTTCAATAAAAAAGAATTAATTCCAGTGGTTCACTAATAGGGTAAATTATAAATTATTTGTATAAAGAAGTACTGGAAGAAATATAACATGATTTTACAAAAGGACTTATAATATTTACAATATGGAAATAAGAGTTATCATTATTACTAAAATAGACTTTTACTTGTGATGCTGCACTCCATGTTATAAAACACAACACTTTAAATATTGTAAGGTACACTAATACTTCACTATCACTTCTCTTTATAGAGCCACTGGAAGGTCCTTCTAAATACCACCAAGTGTTGTAGTGCAATAGAGCATTTAATAAAATTGAAAACCTTTTGTTCATATTCTTACAAGTGTATTGTGCCGGTATTCTCTTAACACACGACACCAGAAACTTCTCTGACCTTTGATGCTTCATAACATACTTCATCAAGGGTAATGTAGAGAACCAATGATGGTACAAGAAGGTGTTACTATTTTATTTGTGCTTCTTACTAGAATAATACTGATGGTCACTGTGGTACTTGTGGTCTACCTGGTACTTTCGTTCACGGTTAGAGTGGTACTGGTGGTCACTGTGGTGTTTACGTTCACTATTGTGGTACTGGTGATCACTGTGGTGGTGTTTACGTTCACTGTTGTGGTACTGATGGTCGCTGTGGTGGTGTTTACGATTGCTGTTGTGGTACTGATGGTCGCTCTGGTGGTGCTGCAGTTCACTGTGGTAGTGGTGATCGTTAGTGTACCGGTGTGATGAGTGCTGGCGTTGCTGCTGGGTCTTGGGTTGGCTTGTGCTGTTACTGCTTTTTTCTGGAATATTGCTACTGGTTGTTCGTTGATATTTATGACCTGAATGGTACTGGTGGTCATTCTGGTGATACTGCTGTGACTGCTGCAGTTTTTCTGCTAATGCATGGTCATATGTGGAGTGAAGCATGAGACCCAAAACACCAGCACGGTTGGTCATGGCTTGGCGCACGAGGCGCTCCTGCTCCAATAGTTCATCAAGCTTCAACCACTATAAAGAAAATAATTCCATATATTGTATAATGTTCATCATTTTTATTCCATATTCTACAATACAGTATTAGAACAAGGAAGAGAAAAACATAAATAAGGTACAAATAAAATAAAATACAGCCATCCCATACATTACTGATATCTACATTGCACATATGCAATTTGTAAATTACAGTACAACTGATAAGTCCACCATAAGCCATGAAAATTCAATCATATAGAAATGGGGATAAATTTGAAACACAATATTTTGCTCAAACAATATTTTTTTTAACTCTTTGTTTTAGCATGGATTTGATACTCTGTTTATCAGTGATTTCATACTGGTACTTGTCCAGTATGTTTGTTGTAAACACACAGTTGACTTGGCTTATTTGAATTGAGTACACTCACTTGGTCTTCATATATATTTTACTGAAGACTGAGCAGTTTCACTCTTGTTCAACAGGTCTGGAAAGTACAAGTGGCAGCAGTAGTCTTAAAGGAGCCAGTCAAGCCAACACCTGCACCTTTAATGTAAAACTGGAAGTGTTAAGGTGGTTTGATGCAGGTGAGGTGAGGCAGACTGTCAGCCCGGCTCCCTCCTAAAACAATACAGTAACTCCCTTTCCACTACCTAACTTGTGTTACCATCTCACACACTGATCAACATAGTTTCTGGTAAGTTGACTTCAGGTATTCTGTGCTTTATTAATAAAATATTTTCAAATAATTAATTTTAATTAAATATGTGATTAAAAAGGTTTATTACATTCTTAAATGTGGTTTTATTATGTCTTACGGTGATAATAGAAGTACGTTAAATATGAAAATTAAGTTTGAGTTCATGAATTTCACTTAACGGGCAACTTTACAAGAATGTATCCTTTCTATAATGCTAGGATGACTGTATAGGATATACACATACAAAGCTTCACCACCCATGGGTTTATGCTCCTGGACATCACAGATGGTGAAACGGACCTTTGGAAAAAGAGGGGTTAGGATTGTGGCTATGAATGTTACCTGTCTAACTCTTTCCATGTCTATTTCAGCCCGCCGTAGCTTTTCCCAGCAGTAGTGACGAAGACATTTCTTTTTTGGTGCAAGGCAAATTTCCCCAGTCTCGTCAAACACATTGGAGGTCAGAGGAGCTCCACACACCTGAAACAAGTATGATTATTTGTAGTCAAATCCTTATCTCTATTGTTAATCTATTTAGAAGTGAATAATAAACCTTAGCATATCTGGGTTTCTTTAGCTTTATATTCCAACAGCTTGCTAGTGAAACTGTGCAAAACTGCCATATATTTAACAAGAATTATAGTTTCAGGACCTTATTCACATAGGCATTAATATTATATATCAATGAAGATAGAAAATAACACTTGATTTTGAGAAGGCACTCAGTAAATCATGTGTCATTTTACATTCTATGTAATAATCAAGATATAACTCCAGCAACAGGCTTTATGTTACCTCTGAGTCAGATACAGTTGGGGCTTTGGTGTGCTCCGGGCACATAACACGTAACCTCTTACAATAGGTGAGGCTGCTGGGGTTGTAGAAGTCACAGAACATATTGTTGCCCTCTATTCGTGTCTTGTACATAGAACCAAAGGTTGTTTGACTCTCCAACTATAATTGATAGAAAAGAAAAATATTAAAACCTTATACTCTATTTATAATTAGTCATGTAGTGATGTGGAAAAGGAAGGCAAAAGGTGTTTACAAGTTAATATATAGAAGAGGTTAATTACCTGGATATAAAGTGACAATTGACAACACTCAAATGGTTGATAATTAATCCCTTCTTTACCAAAATATTGTTATGTGGTACACGGGCACTGCATGCACAAGCGTTCAAATCACATTGTGACAGATGACCATGAGAGCATGTATCACGCTAAGAAGCGAATGTTTTCAGATGGAACGTAAAATCAAGGTCTGGGCCTTATTTTTACACCATGTAGTGGCAACACTCTTCCATGATGTCAACAAAGTCTAGGGAAATACTGACGAAATAAAATGTCCCGAAAATCATCCTGCACCCATTTTTCATGCTACCTCCTTGACAAATTATAAGTGTTTATGAAAAGTGTAGTTGATCCCATGCAGGTGGCTAGTAGTCTCTTGTGTTTTCTGTGGATTGGATATGCTTTATTCTTTGTAGTCATGGCATCATTCGACACTTCTGATAGTGAATATCAGTTTAAAAATTACTCAGAAAGTGATGATAATCTTTCAGATGACTCATTAGAGAAATATGACAGTGCTTATGATCCTGAAAAAAGAGACAAATATGAGTGAAGACCGTAGTACTGTAGTGGCAGCACCTCTGCTTAGCTATCAGCCAGCAATGGTCCCCCCCACACACCTGTCATTTCTCACTCATATCAGACCCATTTACAGACAAATAAAAGACAAGACTTTTTTTTGCAAGAACTCGACATCACTCACAAGATAAATAAACATAACATTATGCTGTATATGCTATAATTTTCACACATATAAATTTATCCATTTCGCAGTTAAGAACAATTTAGTATAACACAATACTGTACAGCATATATAGTACAAGGGGTGATCAAAAAATTAGGTGAATGGTATACCACTACCAAGGAATGAGTCTGTGGTCCTGAGATTAATACTGAGTACCATGTGGATAAGCCTAAAAAAATCCTAGAACAAGGAAGTAGACTCAAGAACTTAGTACTTTCAAAATAAGAAGTTGGAACAATAAAAAAAGGGATTATAATATGGACAAACCTGGTGCATGCCATGTTACTTTGGCCGTTTTATTAACTGTTACAATGGGAAAATAAACCCGCCAATGGTGTAGTTCCAATCACTATGGTTGAAGGTTGAGGGTAAATTATAATAATCATACATACTACAGAAATACAAAGAGGTAAAGCTCATTATCAGCAAGAGCATTAATACACTACAGGTTAAGGGAATAAATCATATGAAAAAAACCTGTATCGTATCTCAAATGGACTAAAACAGTAACACTTATTGTCCCTCACTGAAAGTATGATGCTGATATTAAGCATCTGTTTCCTACATTTAAAGCTGACTTGGGCATGGAGGATCAACAATAATATATTAAAGCATTAACTAACCTTATTGAAGCAGTTTGCCATATGCCGTATTGCTCGTCTGGCTTGCACTTCATGACCACAAGTAACGCAATAGATATACACACCATCTCCGCCTTCCTCTTCACCCCCGTCATCTGCATGGGGGTCAATCTCTGCTTTTTTCCCACGCTCAAGTAACCTGTCTAACTCCTGGAAAAATAAGAACAAACACACCCATTACCATATTTATCAGTCTATGGCAAACTATACAATATAAAAAATATATTCCCAGGTCTCTAATGTCATTCTATACTGCATTCACTCCCTTCATATGATACCTTCCTCTCCAAACTCAAAATTAATGTAATCAGCTTGTTCTCTACAGTAAACCATCATCTTTAAGTGGGTTGCAAGGGGTCATACAATTATGAAACCAAACAACTTCAAATCCATTAAGTGAAGGGAAAATGTGGGCTTGGATCCAGAAACTGCCGAGATATTATCTAATATTGTCATTTTTACCCTACTGTACCGGTATGTACAATTGCAGGCAAAAGTTTGCTCCCTGTGGTGGAGCCGAGTCACAAGAATGAGTCTCCGAACTTACTCACCCTGACTCTCATCTGGTGTGAGTGTGCTGTTTTATCTTGTTTGTGGTTAATACTGCTTTTATTTTGGAGGGAGTGAACTTCTGACCCAGGGTATACAGTATTACAGCCTTATTTATTATATGTTGTACACTAAAGTGCCTAATTAAACAAATTCAAAGTGTCAACAACAGTGCCTGGGTATGGTAGTGCATGAGACTCCACTTTTTCCTAAGAACTGGAAAAACTGTTTAAAATAATTATGATAATTTTATGGATATATATTGTACAATGTACTGTGATAATTCGTTAAAATATTGGTAAGTCATAAGCAATTATTGAATATAGTAGTTTCTTTATATGTAATTTTGAGAGGCACAGTGTGGGTAGTTTTAGATTACACCAGGGAGTTGAGATTCTGCCTTGCCAGCTGTTCCCATCCTGTGCTTTGGCATGAGGAAGGGCATCCCTGTGTAAAACTTAGTTTCAACATGCCTGATGGCAGCTACCAAACAGGGAGGTACTACCGCCTGGGAAGAAATTGGAAGCATAATGTATTGCCTAATGGTAGACCCTGATGCCATATGGCATCACCAAAATTGTGATCAAGTCCCAGGTTGCTGATCTGACTTTCTGCCTCATTTACACACAATTGCAGGGTCTCAATTGTTTCTCTTACTATTGACAACACAACATACATACAGTACAGGGTATATAATTTCTCACTCTTGATCTTTTTTTTTTCATTTTTGTATTTCTTAATGTTCTTTATTATTATTTTTATTGTTGTTATTACAGTGTTGTTTATATTATTATCATTATTATTTTATTATTTATTTTTAAATTTTGTATTATTTATTAAATTTATTATTTATTGTGAATTATTATTATTATTATTATTACATTATTATTATTATTATTATTATTATTATTATTATTATTATTATTATTATTATTACATTTTTGCCCCCCAGGCCCCAATGTGGGTCAGTGACCTGTGCCCGGGTGGGCTGATCCCTGTAAAAAAAAAAAATAATAATAAAAATAGTAAAAAATAAAAATAAATAAAAAGAATTTGAATGTACCAAATGGCGTTGATCCAGCTGCTGAAGCACCTCTCTTGCCTCCAACTGCTGTCGTCTTATCTTTTCCAACTGTCGAATATCACGATTTTCAGCCACACATTCACTCATCTTCCATTCCTGTATACGTTGTGGCAGTACCTGGTAAAACATCAAACAATTCAAATTTAAATAAGGGACAGTCATGCCTATAGAACCCACTTTCACTTTAAAATTGATATAAAATTTACACAAAAAAGAAAAATCAATGGTTTAAATAAAAATAGTATAGGTATACAATTTGCATTAAAAGGAACAAATTGAAAACAAGAACAATATGACTACTGATATTTTTGCACTGCAAATAAAGAAGAAATAAAGTGGAGGATTCAGATGATGGCATTTGAATTTAATAAGAATGCTGCAATGAGGGGACAATAAAGATGAAGTAAAAAAGAAAATTAGTAAACAGATGAACATCATTATAAATTAATTAGGGTATATAAGAGGTAACAAACATAACAATGTGCTCAATAAAGGTAAAATACAACATAAACTTCTTACCGAGTATATTCTTGCTTCTGCCAGCTTTAGTCCGCACTCATCACTGCAATACTTGCTACTGGGCAGAGCTGCCTTTATGCACTGAGGTCCGAAGCACTGAGTTTGGGTGGCAGATTCACCCTTGAGGAAGCCTCCATCAGAATCTGTGTCTGAGGAATCTGATTCATGACGACCTTTTCTTTTTCTGGCTCCGCTGTTCTGATCTTTCCTCTGTAGATGTTGAAATTATCTCAATCAAGTAATTGAAAAACAAGAATGACCAACAACTGGTCACTGGCTGTGTTAAGCTAAGCTTGAAAATTCTCCAACATGTGTGATATACATTTATTATCAGGTCAGAAAAGGTCGGCCATCAGCTAACTCAGCCATTAAGTAAAGATAAATTACAGTGCCGAAAGTGTTAAGACAATACTGTACAAATAAATATTCTCTAATCATATTTTGATCAATACTTATAGGCTTTATAAAATTTGGGGGCTGGCCACCTTCTGCTTGATGGGAAAAGGCTTAAAAAAGAACAAAAGAAAATACTGCTTCTGTAACACAAAACTAATAACTGTTTCCAACTAGTTTCCTAACGGACTATTAATCACACTCAGTGCTAGCGGCTGTGAGTATTAGCTACCTTATATGATGAACTGATGAAATTATGAGAAAAACTTACTTTTCGGCTATGTGACTTTGGCTCTTTCTCCTTGGGTTTGATGCACTCCATAATGACAGGATCTTTGATAAGTTTCTTACTCAGCTCCAACATGTCCTCATCACTGCATTCATTCTTATCTTTGAGGACAGTCACGTACTCGTCTCCAGAGTCACTCTTCTTCTGTGGAGGTTTCAGTGGCTTCTCTGGTTCATATTCTCTATGTTTCTTATTGGCACTGGTGTTATTTTTGTTGGACTTCTGAGCAAGATGTACCTTCAAAAATAAATACAAATATCTTTAAATTTAAACTTGTCCACAAACTCTACATACACTCACTTAATAGTATGTAAAAAAGAGAAAAATAAAAAAATAAATCAATGACGATATATGACAGGTACTGTACACACTTTTAATTTACTTATTCAATAATCTCAGGGTGAGGTGGTGCCTGCAGAACCTTCCCAAATAATGCATCTAGCTATTTGATAGTACAATAGTACAAATATCTGCCAGAGAACTCCACCAGTTGTTATGACAAATGGATATGTAATGCCCGTGTGACTGACTAAAACACAGGAGTTTGTTGAAAGAAGTTCTGTAGAATATACAGTAAATGCTAGTGAAAAGAAATACAGTACTATATGCGAGTAAAAAAATGGTGGTCTCATCCTGAAAATCTCATTTTATACCGTGTCAGGAAAAGGAAACTTGTCAACCACACTCAAGGTTAAGGATTGTAACCTAGGCTAGCCCCAAACACTGATAGCTGACACTAATTAAACAAATAGTATAACTCTCCCTTCACAACTCATAACCCATAATGAGGAGTCTTGGAGATGAATATAAACATTGAAGGTTGGGCGCTAACCAAGCAAAATCAATGGAGTTTTTTGTTTTCTTACTGAGTGAAGATTATATTCAAAGAAAGTGGCTTTATCAGTTTTTACTACAGTATCTTATCTCCCTAGTCCAGTGAGATTATCCATGGATCTAGCACAACAAGCAAACAGAAACCAGTGTACCTCGAGAGAACCTGTGATGTTCAGTAAGGTCACACTGGACAGCACCCATCTTACACATCTAATTCAAGTGGAGATTAAGCCCAAGACACAGTTGTGAGAAGTAAACATGCTACTGCTGTACTACCGACAACTTGGTCCATCATTGGCCATCTTGGATTTTCCAGTAAATAAGACTCGGTCCTGCTGAACTCCACGATAAATCCATAAGGGGAAGTGAGAGTTCTAGTTCACCTTGTTCCAACTTTGTTATTAATAGGGGATTTATACTGAAATCTCATTCTATAGCTGAGCCAGGAATGAGCACTCTGTAACTGGCAAGTCTGGGAGGTTTAAATTCTAAAGCTCCAGGGTCCCATACTGTATGACTGGAACATAATAATCAATAATGGAAGACTTTTCTTAAAAATTTCTACAAGGGAAGGGATTTAGACGAACCCTGTTTCCTGTTATTAACAACACAAGATATTAACCTCGAGTTATTTTCTTATGTCATGGAGAAACTAGAACAGATTAATCACTCCTTATTGACTTAATATGCATCCCATCAAAGCAGGAGACCAAGATCCCCTTTACTATATGAGATAGCAGACAGCATCACTAACAGGATGAGCGGAGATTATGCTTATCCTACTAAAAAAAACATAAACTGGAAAAACTAAACTGGTTAAACCCACTATAACTAATATGAAGAAGTAGGCAAGACCCTATATGAAGAGAGGCAGTCTGCCATCTTTTTACATAGATGAGACTTATGTTATATTACTTATCAAAGTGGAAAAAACTCACAAAGTTGTGGCACTGCCTTTTCTTGCATTTTTGTCGAAGTTTGTGTGGGCCACCAAATTTGGGCATGTCTTTACAATTCTCACAACGGCCACAATCTTCTTGCTGGTAACAAGCCTCACATTCACCACATCGATGACTGCTGCTGCTTCTACTGTTCTTGCTTTTTGAGGCTGCACACAAGATTAATGTACAGTAATTTGGTTACAATGATAACACGAAAAGAAACAAATTATATTTGACAAAGCATTTGCAAATACTGTACAATCATGATTTGGATGTAAAGAGGAATATTCAGGCTAACAATACAGTGGTCCCTCAGTTAACGAGCACAATCCGTTCCAGCAGGTTGCTCGTTAACCGAAACCATTGTTTCAATGGGTTTTTGGGTAATTGGTTCCAGCTCACCGAAAATTGCCTAAATTCAACAAAAAAGGTAGAAAAGTACACTTACTTTGAGGTGTGTATGTAGAAGGCTCCTGGATGATGATGATGATGGGAATTAGAATGGGGGTGGAGGAGAAGGAGAAGAGAAGGCATTGGGGTGGAAGAGAAGTCACCCCATGGCACCATTTCACCCATAAAATTTTAGTTCTCTTGGTGTAATTCAAGATTATTTTCTTTAAATCAACACTGCACTGCATTATATATTATCAATATGTAAAATAAATTTCAAAATGACCAATAATTTGCTTGGAAACACAGAAAAAAAGCGCTTAGTTGAAGAGAGTCTCAAGCAAGATGTTACCTCCCCTGAAAACAGAGAGAGACTAACGCCTGTCTGGTGTGTTAACAGGCTGGATGGCATGCCAGAAACTAGTTTCTTTACCTTCAATTATGTTCAATAATTGTTAAAATGACTAAAAAAGTTAATATTAAACTTTTAAATTTATTGAATAGTATAAACTTCTTGATATTTACTAAAATAGTAAGGAATTTAAGCCCTAAAACCGATTACTGTATTGGCGGACTAATACTACAGCTGGTGGACCGCCAAATGCAAGCGAATACATGTTGAAGTCAGCTCGTAAAAAACTCGTTAATCGAGGGATTGCTCGTTAACCGAAGTTAAGAATCTTATGGAAGGTAAATCGTTAACCGAAATCTCGTTAACCGAGGCGCTCGTTAACCGAGGGATCACTGTATAAGACATATATGAAAGTACTGTACTTGTGTATCTTGAACTGCTGATTTACAACATTCTCCAAGTTAACCTCAAAGCAGGCAATTTACATTATACTGTACAGTATCAGCTGGTCTATACAGAGTAGCAAGTCTAGTTTTCCCATTAATTTTCTATTTCTAAGAGTCAACTTTGTAAACACAAAACACAAAGTTTCTAAAGTAAGTGCTAAAACATCCTCCATCTTGGTCTATCTCAGCCTACTCATGTAACTATGTGATTTTCAACAAAATCTAATTTTTGGGCCAAAACTGTCGAATAGGTAAGCCTTAACCCTTGGTAATTTTTCGCCCAAAATATCCTTTTTTCACAGAATTGAAATTTAAGGGGTTTAACTAATTAAGTACTTACAGAATAACACATTAACACCAAAATTGTACTTTGGAAACCCATAGTTGGCAAGTAATTAGCATTGAAAAATGTAATTAAAATTTCCAAGGGTCATTACGGCCACTAATTACCACGCAATCGAATTGTGGACCATATATTCGAAATCAGCAGCTCCGGAGTACTTATACAGGTATTACCAATTTACAAGAGGGTTATGCTCCTGAAAAAACTTGTAAATTACATAAATCGATGTACATTTTCTCATTGACTCCCATTATATAATTTGAGACTTTTGATAGGGTGCCAAGGTCAGAATTTAGGAGACCCTTGAGAGTTTAGAATTTGACATGGAAACTTATAAGAACCAATAAAAGTACTGTGCAGTACTTATGAAGACAGTGACTGTAGAATTAAAGGATAGGATTGGTCCAGTGGTCCACTACTGTTTACAGTTTCTTCTTCTTGGGTAAATATATGAAGGAAATCTACCAAAATATAGAAGATGAACTAACACTTGTCTATGCAGATGATACAGTTATTGCAATAGATGAAATTAGAGCAAGGAAAGAAATATTAAAATTTTATCCAGAAACACAACTGAATGTAACATCGTCCTTGAGAATAAGATATTGAAGAAGTCTAGAAGATTTTAATACCTGGGAATTCCCTTCAATGAAGAGAACACAAAACAAACTGAAAAGTGTCACAAAATTAACCTTGACGTCCATTAGTGAAATGTAGAAATATACAACTATCCTGAGACTAGAATTAACTTGTGGATATAAAACATGAGCCTTGAACTCACGCTAACAAGGAAACTATGGTCAATGTCAGCTTAACATACACTACACCCAGTTTTCAGAAACGCATGATGTACATTAAGAAAGACACTCCCTGTACGTGCAACAGGAATGAATTAAGAAGAGAAGATACAAGAAGTGAAATGCATGCTGAAGCCACACTAGGTTACTTTTGCAGACAGGACAATTAAAAATAATTTGGTTAAATGAAAAGAATAGGGGCTGCAGGACATCCAAGGAAACTTATTATTGTATGCCTCCATGAGAAGACAAGACGGAGACAATGTTATAATTAAGGTAGCAAATAGGAGCTCATCAGTCAGCCAGGTGGAAGCAGAAGAAGTGTTTTGGAGAATGGGTTGTTTTGAGGGATGTGAGGCAAGACAAGTGATAAGTGCCAACCTAACTAGCATAAGTTGAGCTGGGTTAAGTTTTCTTGCAGAAATTCTATCACTTAAATTCTGTTGAAAACCATTATAACCATACAGAGTGGGAAAAATAGAAATTATTACTTGAATGCTTGTCATGTTTGTGCTTCTCTTTATCTCTTCTCTCCTTTTCTCTTCTTTCTTTGTCTTTTTTCTCCTTCTCCTTCTTCTCTCCATCTTTCTTGTCTTTGTCCTTGTGGTGTTTGCTATCATTGTGGTTGTGGTGGTGTGGCTTCTTTTGTTTATATTGGATTTCAAGTGAAGGTTCCTTTAGTCTGCATTTCTGTAAGTGAAGAACAATTAAGGAGCAATCCTCAAATCCTATTTCAAGGTCGAACCAAGATACAGACAACCAGTGGATTATGGCCAAGTCCTGGGCTATAAACACACATTAAGCATTAAATACCAGAGACTGGGATTAATTTGTGAATTAATTACACTTCCCTGTTGCATGTAACTCACAAAAAAGGAATCTTAGAAACAAGTCATCATCATCAGAAGGCAGCATTGAGTTGTGAGTGTCACATCAACTGACACACAATTCTACCTTCATCCAGGTCAGACATTAAAATTGTAAGGCATCAACCCTTTCATTCCAGATGACATCCATGATACCTAATACGAGGGAGGGAATCCAAAATTCCTAGCTCTGGGTTAAGCCTCAAGTGAGGGACCTATCCAGGAAAACATTTTAATAAATAAACATGAACTTATAAGTTTCCTCACTAAAGCTTGGAACCAATGGAAACTAAACCAAAGATTTTTTCAGCTTCATTGTATTTATGGAATGGTGTCCAGATACACAAGTGGAGGGCTCCTGTAAACTCAAGGGGTCATTCCATTAACTTGTTAACACAGAACATACATCACCCAATCCACTGTCCTGTCAACTGTATGATGACTCAAATATAAAAGAGGACAGTAAGCATATCTCAATTGATCTGGTTACTAGAAGAATCTTTGTATAAATCTACAGAAAAAGGTTACTCACCTGACAGAAGAATTTTTTAATCTTGTTGGCTTCAGTCTCGGTGACGTTGATGCAGTCTCCATGGTACCATTCCTCACACTTGTCACATCCACTGTAAATAAGAGTTGGTATCACATTATTTTCCAAGATTTTTTTACCCCCACTTATTGTTACACTTTATAATATAAAAAAATCAATAAAAGAATTTATTTGAATATTCTACTTCACACAATATGGTGTTTGCAATGAAATTTAAGAACACCATGAAGGCAGAAATCTTTCCTCTATCTAACCCTTTAACATAGAATGAAAAATTTTGATACCAAGTACAGTACAGGTAACTCGTGTTTTACACATGTTTGATTTAAGCCCTTAGGACACTTATATCATTTACCAGTATTGTACAGCTCCTCCCCGACTTACGATGGGGTTAGGGACCCAAATCCAGGTCGTAAGTCGAAATGGTCGTAAGTCGAAAATGCTTAAATAATACAAAGAAAATCTAAAATGGGTCTCTCTTTTTCTTCTCAGCACCACAAAACACTCACTTTTAAGCTTGCCAGCCATTTTAAAGTGAATTACAAAAATTTTTTTGGCAGTACACAGCGCAATCACTGACGTTGAGACTTGAAAATACATAATTTGACAAAATTTTGGTACGACTGTGGAGGTCGGATGTCCAGGTGGTCGTAAGTCGAGTAGGTTGTAAGTCGGGGAGTAACTGTACGTATAGCCAATACGGTGGAACGTCGATTTAAAGCGATTCAATTTACGATTACTGATATAAAGCGAAACCCACAATTTAGGACAATGTTTTAATTTAAAGCGAATCTTTCCTATTTTGCGCGAGTCAATCTGGTGCATCATATTTATAATTTTGTGCCTAATGTTTCTCTGGGCACGCTACACTGTCCTAAGGGCAAAGCTGTACTGTACATGTACTCAAAATAATGTACTAAATGATTACTAAAAATTTTGTCTAGTGCAAACTATAGCATGTTCATATTCAAATTAATCACTATCTTATAAGAATTCCAGCACTGTAAACTATATTCTCCCCGGTCATTTCTGTGACATTTTATAAGTAAAAAACATAAACTTAAGCTAAAGGACATAAATAAACAAATAAATACTTCACTAGACCTTCAGCTCCAACTGTCAAGCATGTCACTGTCACTTCCCAGCCAGGGTTTGGTGTTTTAGGCTTAAAGTTTTTATCTTATATAATATCACAGATTAAAGTTAGGAGAATATAATTTGTATTGCTGGAATCCTTGCAAGACAGCGAATAATTTGAATATAAACGTCATATACAGGTATTTTGCACAAGAGATAAAATTTTTTGCTCTTTGTAGTAAAATTCTTAAATTAGAACTAAAATTTGTATGTCTAATGCGAGCTATAGCATGCTTATATTCAAATTATTCTCTATTTTACAAGAATTCCAGCAATGTTAATTATATTCTCCCATGTCAGTTCAGTGACATTTTATAAAGAGAAAAACTTAAAAGACACTCTTAAGTAAAGATAAATAAATAAGCACTAGACCTTGGCATCAGCTGTCAAACATATCACCTCACCTCCACCCCATCTTCCCAGCCAGTAAACAGACCATTTCGAATCCCTTAATTTTAGCTGTGTTGATTTATGAGTGTTTGTTTTAACATAATACTGCAAAAAACAATGTTTTGTTTATTCTAGGAGATGGGCTGAGGTGCATCTGGGTAGACTCTCAGTCTTTTAAGTGTTTTGTGTTTCTCTCAAGTACCAAACTAAATTATTCCATTGAAGCAACACTTCAATTTAGTGCGAATTTGGTTTATGGTTTATAGCGACCTCTCTTGGAACTATCGCATTATATCAACGTTCTACTATACTAGTATATATAAATCATTAAGGAACATCACCAAATAAGTACTCACCCAAAATAAATTGAAACAGAAAACAAAAGGTATCTCCTCATAGATGGAAGGACAATGACACAGAAGCCAAGTGTACTGTATCTCCTCTCTGTGAGAAGGAGGGTTGGACATGGGTGCAACTTCCACATCTATCTCCTTTATAAACTATACACAACTCAGACCATTGACCAATTGACATAAGGATGCTCCCAAATGCCCGAGTCAGGATTTAAGTAAAATAAAAACATACAGTTAACATCACCATTTACACTTACATCATAAACCTGGAAACATCAGCTGTGCGACACACACAATAAACCTGTTCATCCTTTAGTCCTTCTTCACGCAGCATAGTGTTCAGTTTGCTCTGACGCTCAGGAAGGTCGAACTGACGGGCAATCTCCGACTGTTGACAAGAGAGATACTGTAGATTTATGAACAAAAGGATAGGATCTACCTTAATCAATAAATTATTGAAGAAAATTTATTCCTGATGCAACTGAATATGGATGAATAATCAATATTTCTTAACATTTAATTTTTTTCCAACTACTGTACAATATACAGTACTGTACAGTATACTGTATACAGTACAGGTACCTAATTTTATATATGTTCTAATTTGGGTGCAGTGACTGGATACCTTGTGTTTCCTGTTGATTAATGTTGACATGGAATCGGGTCCACACTGTTACATGTAGGAAGCATAACTATTTTGTCTGTTTATACTTGAGTGTGTAGTAGTTGAACTGCTTTGTGTGTGTTGGATGGTTACCATGGGCCAATACAGTATATGCAGGTTGCCAGTGGTTATCATGAGGCAACACGTGCTGACAGATAAAATAATATAACAATAGTACAGTAAACTTTTGTGCCATTGTTGGGTTTGGTAACCTAAGTCAATAGAACAAAGATGTTTCTGTCTTTTGTCTGCCAGTCATAATGACCACCTAAGGGTAGAAAACTGACACACATGTTTACCTTTCACATAAAGTACTTTGTTGATTTAGGATAAAACACTTTTGTCAACATCCATGTGTGTTCTGCCAACTTCAACAAATGTATGAAGCAGCATGACAAATTAATGTCATTATGACCTATTTGAACTTTTAAATGATCTTTAACAAATTCTGATAGTGGACCCCTTGTCGGTTTTCCAAATTCCATAATTTCCAGCAATTCTCTGTAATTATGGAGATATAAGGGAATGATCCTATTATACCATTTTCTTACCAAACAGGGAACAGGTGACTCATGTGTAAGCAACAAGTCTATTCTTGTAACTCGAATCTAAAATTCAACTATAATTTTTAAAATAAATTAACTCCCCTAACCTCAAAAGGAGAAGCAGAACTTGGTATGGCAGTATCCCCTCTAATGAGAAGGCTGAAAGTCTAGGCCATCATATAAATATGCATCTCATGTTTCGCTCAGTCACAAAACAAAAAACCAGGATCATCTGCCTTAGTTCCAGCCCGCTCAGCCATCACAATATACTTTAATATACAGTTGCCCCCTTGTGTTTTAGAATGGCCAGCCCTAGGCCAGCACTAGGTGTGAATTTGTTTAAGGTGTAGAATCTGTTGGCAACACCACAACCACAACCTAAATTAATAAGGTGCATGACCCATTGTCAAAGAATAATCAAAGAAGACCAGACAACTTGCAAACTGCACTGGCTAACCACTATCACAGACTATGATCCATAAATCAACCAACATTCAGGTTTCCTAATACTGCTGGGTAAACAGGGGCAAATGACATAAAGAAATTTGCCCAAAGTTTCACCCTGCTCAGGTATCAAACCCAGAACCACTCACGTGTGAGAAGAGCATGCTGACCACTACACCACAGGCCGCCATCACAATGGGAGAAGGAAGGAGATCCGAGTCACCTGGTCCTGGCTCAGTTAGGAATTACAATTTCAAAATCAATCCCTGATTTCTAACTTAATGCTATTCTTGAGGAACCTATGTATAGGGGTCACAGTAAGCTAGAATAGGGAAGCATGAGGCACCAATAAGACCTTGTTTAGCATTATACCTCACACAGAAAATAAGACTACAATACTCACTTGCCTGATCAAGGTACATTATAAATACAGAAATTCAACCTTAAAGACTCCCTAGTGCCACAGAGTTCATGCCAATACAATAGTATATTCATTGAGGGATCAGTCAATAAAGACCGATACACTGCCTCTTCAGTTCTGAACACACTGATTAATGCATATATAAAACATATCATTTGTCTGAGGAACATTATCATTAGATTCCACGCTCTTGTAACCTCCATCCTAGAGTAACATAGAATTACAAGGATTACCAAATAAGGTGTGCGAGTATCTCCAGGAATTTGTGAACTGCCTTCACCTGACAAAGTGAAAGATGAACCACAGTCGGGCTCCCATGCTTGTAAACTAATAGCTACATACCTAAGACAAAAAGTCTGAATCTGTGATAAGAACTTCAGAAACAGCCTGGCGCTGACCCAGTGAAGTGATGTGCTTAAGAAGACAAAACAATTCAACTTCAGAACATATAGTTCAAAGACTCACCTCCCTACGTTGAGTGTGAGGAGGGAAGGGACCATTGTGAAGTCCATCTCCACTATTTCTACAGGAAAGTTTCCCCTGAAATAAGAAATTGTTATTAGAGATCATGACACTCAAAAGATCAGAATGGTCTCTTCTGTAAGAAATATCTCTAGATCTCTAAAAACTCATTCAAAGAGGAATAAAGCAACAATTTCACCCAGAGGGCTAGCAAGAATACAGTCATTAAGCTGCTAACTGGTTGCAAACAAACCTTGAACCATAAAGTTTCAAATATTCAAGACTAAAAAAACTGTAACTGCGCCATTTTTTATATTCCCTCGTGTGGTGCGGCAAACAGAAGCCACCCTGTCCCGCCTCAGACACCCGCTGCTCCGAGAAGCCTCAGTCCACATGTGCCTACCGTACTGTGAACGCTACTGTGATTACCTCTTCTTTTTGTCCTCCCAAGTGCATTTCATGTGGCTCCGGGACATAAGCCAACCTCATCAAAGGCAAATATTACTAGCAAAGACTCTAAAGTGACCAAGAGATCAAGAATAGTGATGACCTTAACGGAAAAAGCAGTTTTATTGGACAAGCTCAGAGGTGGTGTGAGCTATGGCTCGAGATGTGGTGAAGACTGGCAAATCATTTGTGTCTTTTGTCAGAATACAAGTCTTCAAGTGGAGGAATGTGGGTGGAAGAGGACTGACTGGCTGGTGTGACTGCGTGAGGGCGGGCAGACGCCGGGACAGCAGGGAGAGGCTGGCAATGCGGGTGTTGCCAACCTCAGTGAAATATAAAAAATTTTATTTACTTGTAAATAAAAATTTTTGGTATATAACTGTGTTTACACTTTTCCATTATTATACTACAATATGATTAGTTTCAAATAATGATGTTAGTAAATGCCAGTACAGTGCATCAGTGATCAGTGTGACCACTGGGCCGTGAGTGGAGAGCATGGCGTGGTTAAGTGCATGACCTACCTGAGCTGTTTGGTGGCCACAGGTACAGTGATTCCTAAAAGAGTATTCGCGGTTTTGGCTATTCGCGAGGGTTTCAGGAACGTAATTCCCGCGAAAAACACTAGATGGATTACTGTACAATATTAACAGTTCATATTAGTTTTACCTGCTCTGCCACCATTTCTAGTCTAACATTTTTATATAAATCCCAAAGAAAGCAAATAATTAATCAAAGTGACAACTCTAAATATACCTTAACCTAATTTCAAAATAAATACATATTGTGGTTAATATACTATAGGACTAACCCCCCAAGGGTGCATAGCGCCGATGCGACCATTTCATCTCACGTCCAGAAAATGCCATAAATATCACCATATAAGAACATGAGAATGGAGGAAACTGCGGCGGGCCTATTGGCCCATACTGGGCAGTCCCATTTACACCCAACCCCTATTGCTCATATATCCACCCAACCTATGTTTGAAGCTATCCAGCATATTCGAGTTAATGATATTTGGTAACTTGTTCCACTCATCCACTACTCTATTTCCAAACCAGTGTTTACCTATTTCGCGCCTAAATCTAAATTTTTCCAATTTAAAACCATTCTTACGAGTTCGTTCCTGATTGGATAGTTTGAGTACCTTTGTAATGTCCCCTTTGTTCAGCTCTGACTTCCATTTATACACTTCTATCATATCGCCCCTCACTCTACGTCTCTCGAGGGAGTGCAAATTAAGATGCTTTAACCTGTCTCTGTACTCAAGGTTCCTAATGCTCGGGATTAGTCTTGTCATTCACCTCTGAATTCTTTCCAAGGATTCTATATCCATTCTGTAATACGATGACCAGAATTGAACTGCGTAATCCAAGTGAGGTCTCACAAGTGCAAGATATAGTTTTAGGATGACCTCTCTAGTCTTGTAACCAACACTCCTTTGTATGAACCCAAGTACTCTATTAACCTTGTTTCGAGCAAATACACATTGTTTACTTGGTTTAAGATTCCTACTTATCATTACTCCTAAATCTTTCTGTTTAAAATACCGGAGAAGTTAAGTAAGGTTAGGTAGGTTTGTTTGGTTTGGTTGGTTAGGTCTGTTCTTCATACCCACAAATGTTAAGTAGCGTTTATTTTAAAAATATCCATTTTTTTAACATATTTCCAAAAACTACAACAGTGTCCACTATAATATAACAATGAAAATCCGGCGGTTTTTAGTAATTGTTTTCAATCAATTTCACTCGCAGGTTAGTCCTACATGATTACCCTAATTGTCAACTCCCAGTGTGAGAGAAGAGAATACATACTACATGTAACATCGACTGTTTTATGCAATTTAACGTAACTTAACCTAACCTGATTATTTAAAAGATGGTAAAAATCGCATAAAACAGACTAACGTTACACCGAGGGAAGCAGGGGATGATGGTATATTATAGTATTGATATTACAAATTAATAGCCACTTGGAAATAAGAATCACCATGTTAGGGATAATATCTTAACTCTCGACTTAAGTTGTGTGAAACCTGTAGATTACGTGGTGTTAATAGAGTCATCCTAACCTTCTATTAGGAAAGTCTTCAAGGCATCAGTTTACAGCATTAAGTTACTACCACTAATATTACTGGACACGTATACAACATGACCTTTAATGTGCACACCCACCTTAGACATGTTTTAAAGCTTTATGTAGAGGCCCAAGGAAACACAACCTCCAGTTACGGTTGATTGTTTGTTTACAATAAAGAACCTCGTTATCTTCACAACAAATTAGTTCCAAGAGAAGAATCAATATTACATACAAAATATACAACAATTTACTGTCTGTAATTCGTTTGTTTATATTATGTATACAACTAAATAATTTACTCAATTAAAAAGACTGTAAAGCTTTCATGTGCAACCTTTGCTTTAGTTATTTTCAATATGAAACATGTACTCGTGGTGGTTAGGATTTTCAATAAATTATATTTACCTTAGGATTTTATTGAAAATTCAGAGCATATATTCAGAAATTTATGAACCTATTTGTATAATTTATATAAACCTTGATTTCTTAGTGGATCGTATATTGTTAAACCCATACGAGGCAGGCTCGTTTACACCCTATCCAACCTATATTTGAAGCTACCCAGCAAGTTTGAGTTAATGATGGTATTTGATAATTTTTTCCACTCATCCACAACTCTTTTTCCAAACCAATGTTAGATTTATATCACCAGCCTTAATTTAGGCTGGAAATAGGTAATCCACCTGGGGGGCAGGAGATCTCTAGGGATTACTTTTACTTTTATCCTCTTCGCCACTGATCGGCTCGCTAGCCGCCCGGGCGATCGGTCACGTCTCTGTCACGCACTGTTGGCAAATACTGGGCATGCAACAGCTCCTGAATGTACCTGAACCCGCTCCAGTGTTGGTCAAGTCTTCTCTTGAAAGAGCTCACACTCGGTGCCGTCACAACATTCTCTGGTAGATTGTTCCAAGAGTTTACAACCCTCACTCCGAAAATGTTTGCCCTCACGGTTTTCTGGACTTGCGGCTTCTTCAATCTTGAGCTGTGACCCCTTGTGGGGCGAGCGTCCGCCAGCTCCAAGTAAGGACACTCAACTGAGTAGTGCCCCCTGAGATGCTTATAAACCTCAACTAGGTCCCCCCTTGCCCGTCTGTAGTATAAGCTAGGCAAGTTCAGGCGCTCCAATCTCTCAGGGTAGCTGAGGTGCCGGAGTGCAGGCACCAGTTTGGTGGCCCTCCTTTGAACATTTTCAGCCAACTGACAGTCCCTAGCATATCTCGGGGACCAGATGGGGTGACAGTACTCCAGATGGGGAAGAACTTCACTCCTGAAGATCGTCACGAGGGACGGACCGTCTAGATATCTGAACGACCTTCTTATAAGACCCAATAATTTATTTGCCTGATTTACCTTCTTCTCACAATGGCCCGAGAACTTCAGCTCATTGTCAACATACACACCTAGGTCCTTCTCACACACAGTCTCAACTAGTACATTTTCTTCATCCCGTTGGGACATATGGTACGCCTCCTTACCGTTGGTACGCCCCAGGTGCATCCTCTTACACTTCGTGACATTGAATCTCAGCAGCCATTCCTTCGACCATTCCTGGAGCCCACAGAGGTCCTTCTGCAGCTCTTCACAGTCCGCTTGGTTCTTAATTTCCCGAAATAACTTGCCATCATCGGCAAACATTTGTATGGAGGAGTGTACAACGTCAGGCATATCATTTATGAAACAAACAAACAACAGCGGGCCCAATACACTACCCTGCGGTACCCCACTTGTTACAGGTACAGATGACGATTTCGTGCCATTAATCACCACACATTGCTTGCGGTCATGTAGAAAGTCTTCTATCCACGCTAGGACATTTCCCCGAATTCCGTACCCTTCCAGTTTGATTTTCAGCCTTTCGTGGGGTACACTGTCGAAAGCCTTGGCAAAATCTAGGTAAATATTGTCGATATTACCACCCCGTTCTAGAATATGGGTCCAAATATCCAATACCTTGAGCAATTGTGTCAAGCAAGAGCGCCCCGGCATAAAACCGTGTTGGCAATCTTTTACAAGGTTGTTTCGTAGTAGATGTTCCATCGCTGCATCTCTGATAATACTCTCAAGTACTTTACATATTATGCTGGTCAGGCTCACCGGTCTATAGTTGTTCGTGTAGTGACTATCGCCCTTCTTGAAGATAGGACTCACATAAGCCACTTTCCATTCACTGGGGACCATTTGTTCATCCAGGCATTTACAAAACAGAATCTTCAGGGGCTCTGCAAGCTCGTTGCACAGCTCCCTTAGCACTCTAGGATGCACCATGTCAGGTCCAGGACTCTTATGGACCTTTAGCCTGGACAGTTTATTTCTAATACCCTCTTCTGTGAACACAATGTGGGTCAGTGCTGTGTCGAACCGTCTGTCCTCAAACGCAGGAAGGTTAGTTGCATCCTCTCTTGTGAACACGGAGGAAAAGAAGCTGTTCATTGCCTCAGCTTTATCCTGGTCAGAATCTGCGTAACTACCATCTTCAAGCCTCAGGTCTGATACTCCTACTCGCGTTTTCAATTTCGACTTTGCATAGCGGTAAAACGCCTTTGGGTTTGACTTGACCTCGCTTGCAACCAGCCTCTGGAACTCCTATTCAGCCCTCCTACACTCTATCTTTGCTTGGTTTCTGGCTCTTGCATACATCCTCCTGTCTTGCTCATCGTTTGACCCAACCCACGTCTTGAATTTCTGGGTTTTCTTCTTAATTTTGTCGACCGCCGCATGGTTCATGTGTAGGGATCCCCTCGTATTCCTAGAAGCACTGGGTTTGGTCTTGGGTATATATTTATCGATCAAATGGGTCATTTTACTAGTTATGATATTCAGCGTAGTGTCTGCGTTCTTGTACCTTAATAAGTCAGGCCAGTTGATACCCCTCATCTCTTCCCTCATCCCATTGTAATTTCCCTTGTAATATTTGCACCTTGGCCTGGCCTTATCTTGAACTAGGTAACAGTTAAATCTGAATGACAACACTGTATGGTGACTGGTGCCAACTGGGGCAAGGTGTTCCAGTTTGGCCACCATACCCTCCTCGTTTGTTATGATGAGGTCAAGTGGCTTAGGTGTTTGCTCCCCTCTGTAATGTGTCGGGTCTCTCACATGTTGGAACAGAAAATTATCTCTCAGAGTTTCTACAAAAAGAGTAGCAGGATTATTCAAGTCATTCGGGGTGGACTCGTTTCTCCAGTCGATGTCGCCATAGTTAAAGTCCCCCATGATAAGGAGGTGGCTGGGGTTGAGCATCGCCGCATTGTTATTTATCTCGCAGTCTATCAATCTAGCTGCTGGACGTCATATTAACATCATATAAGCTGAAGGTGAGAGGAGGGGTTGCAACTTCAGTAATTCCTCGATCAGCCCTTGATATTGTCATACTTTTACTTGTATCCTCTTCACCACTGATCGGCTCGTTAGCCGCTTGGGCGATCAGTCACGTCTCTGATTACTTTTCCTTTTCTTTTATCCTCTTCACCTTCAGTGGTGAAGAGGATAAAAATAAAAAGTAAAAGAATATTCTTTTAATCTAAATATTTTCTTGCCATGGCTATAGCAGTTGTAGTGGATTCCTCCCCTACAAACGCTGTTTGTCGCTGAGTAGCCGACCCCGCGAATTCCCCAGCGTATGCCTCGTGGTCTAGGTCAACCAGCGCCGCCTTACAAGACGGAGGTCAACTATTAAGCCACGCCTACCTCCGCTATATAACAACTGACCTCGTGGTGACCGCTCTCCTTCTCGCTACAGCCGCAGCAAGCAACACCACCTCCTCCACCGCTGCCTGGCGGCCCTCGCTCCCACCGGCGAGCATGGCGACCCACAAGCTGTCCTCCTCTGAGCACCCTCACCAACCAGCTCTCTCTACTCAACGCTTGTAACCATGCTGCCCTCCCAGCACCAAGCTACATTGTACATCCAATACAACATGTATACAGAGAGCACATTGTGAGTTTCCTTTCTCCATCCCATCCTGAGTGTGAACCAAACATCTCGTACCCCACACAATAAAGGAATGGAAAAGCGTGATTTTATAATTTTATTTTGCGTTTATTAATTATATTTACGTTATGTCGAATGTAAGAAATAGCTAGCTTTTTGGGGATCCAATGCAGCGTGTTTTCGAGGCCTGCCTAGCGGGATTGAAATTACATCGATGGCAACACTGTTTGGCAACTTTGGCGTCTGGGCCCTCAGGGGTGGGGCCTCTGAGCTAGCCTTCAGTTGGCAACACTTTGGTCACGTATCATATAGTGCGTCGTTTGCTAAAGGTACGGTGTTTAAAAACCTAATCACATATTTCTGCTACATTTCCGTCTAATTTGTGAAACATATATTATGTTCTATATTGAGTGGCAAACATTTGTATCTGTTGATTAATTTTGGGAGTGATTAATGAAATTGGCTGAGCAGTTGCCGGTGGTGGAATCTTTTTGCGGGAAGAATATTTCTAAAATGTATGTTGTGTAGCAGTGTTTATTTCGTGTGTATTTAATATTTTAATGTAAATTATATGCAGTTTAAGATAAATTATTATTTTAATGGCTTCTGGCATAAGGTAAGTAAATAATAACACTTGTGTTTGTTTTTCGGAGGAGCAATTGTAGGGTACTGTAGGTGGCCATTGTCTCTACGTCTGGGCACACAAACGTCCGTACATGTAGAAATCCCAAACTCAGGAATGAGGTAGAATAGAAACTCACAATGCGTTTTCTGTATATATATTGTTGTACAGTGCAGTGCTAAGGCGTTACTAGGCGAGGGAACGAGCGCCGTGTAAACAATGACATTTTTAACCACACCCTGCAAAATACAGTGTACTTAGCAAATGCTGCAGCTTCTGAGAATGTGGGGGGAGCGGGTTTATTACTAAGAGCAGAGACGTTACCGAGAACAAATTCTGGCTTGAATGTCATGTACACTAATACTGACACGTTCCTTGATAAGAGGGAGGAGTTTGAAACACTACTAAGAGTACACCAACCAGATATTGTAGGAGTTGTAGAACTGTTGTACAAGAACAGGAGAATCGACCCAGAGGAATGTGAGTTCAGTATTGCTGGATATGACTCATTTACGAACCTAACTCAAGAATCCTGCAGGAGGGGTGTGGTTATCTACGCTAGGCAAGACCTTAGAGCCAGCCAGGCGAGGGTACAGGGAGAGGATGTTTTTGAAGAGTCCAAGTGGTGTAAAATTAAATTAAAGGGAGGGGACTTACTTATCGTCGGGTGTATCTACAGATCCCCGAACTGTGGCCCACTAAATCAAAGGAACTTAAGAACCTTAATAAACAATGCGGCGATGCTCAACCCCAGCCACCTCCTTATCATGGGGGACTTTAACTATGGCGACATCGACTGGAGAAACGAGTCAACCCCGAATGACTTGAATAATCCTGCTACTCTTTTTGTAGAAACTCTGAGAGATAATTTTCTGTTCCAACATGTGAGAGACCCGACACATTACAGAGGGGAGCAAACACCCAAGCCACTTGACCTCATCATAACAAACGAGGAGGGTATGGTGGCCAAACTGGAACACCTTGCCCCAGTTGGCACCAGTCACCATACAGTGTTGTCATTCAGATTTAACTGTTACCTAGTTCAAGATAAGGCCAGGCCAAGGTGCAAATATTACAAGGGAAATTACAATGGGATGAGGGAAGAGATGAGGGGTATCAACTGGCCTGACTTATTAAGGTACAAGAACGCAGACACTACGCTGAATATCATAACTAGTAAAATGACCCATTTGATCGATAAATATATACCCAAGACCAAACCCAGTGCTTCTAGGAATACGAGGGGATCCCTACACATGAACCATGCGGCGGTCGACAAAATTAAGAAGAAAACCCAGAAATTCAAGACGTGGGTTGGGTCAAACGATGAGCAAGACAGGAGGATGTATGCAAGAGCCAGAAACCAAGCAAAGATAGAGTGTAGGAGGGCTGAAAAGGAGTTCCAGAGGCTGGTTGCACGCGAGGTCAAGTCAAACCCAAAGGCGTTTTACCGCTATGCAAAGTCGAAATTGAAAACGCGAGTAGGAGTATCAGACCTGAGGCTGGCGGATGGTAGTTACGCAGATTCTGACCAGGATAAAGCTGAGGCATTGAACAGTTTCTTTTCCTCCGTGTTCACAAGAGAGGATGCAACTAACCTTCCTGCGTTTGAGGACAGACCGTTCGACACAGCACTGACCCACATTGTGTTCACAGAAGAGGGTATTAGAAATAAACTGTCCAGGCTAAAGGTCCATAAGAGTCCCAGACCTGACATGGTGCATCCTAGAGTGCTAAGAGAGTTGTGCAACGAGCTTGCAGAGCCCCTGAAGATCCTGTTTTGTAAATGCCTGGATGAACAAATGGTCCCCAGTGAATGGAAAGTGGCTTATGTGAGTCCTATCTTCAAGAAGGGCGATCATCACTCCACGAACAACTATAGACCGGTGAGCCTGACCAGCATAATATGTAAAGTACTTGAGAGTTTTATCAGAGATGCAGCGATGGAACATCTACTACGAAACAACCTTGTAAAAGATTGCCAACACGGTTTTATGCCGGGGCGCTCTTGCTTAACACAATTGCTCAAGGTATTGGATATTTGGACCCATATTCTGGAACGGGGTGGTAATATCGACAATATTTACCTAGATTTTGCCAAGGCTTTCGACAGTGTACCCCACGAAAGGCTGAAAATCAAACTGGAGGGGTACGGAATTCGGGGAAATGTCCTAGCGTGGATAGAAGACTTTCTACATGACCGCAAGCAGTGTGTGGTGATTAATGGCACGAAATTGTCATCTGTACCTGTCACAAGTGGGGTACCACTGGGCAGTGTATTGGGCCCGCTGTTGTTTGTTTGTTTCATAAATGACATGCCTGACGTTGTACACTCCTCCATACAAATGTTTGCCAATGACGCCAAGTTATTTCGGGAAATTAAGAACCAAACGGACTGTGAAGAGCTGCAGAAGGACCTCTGTGGGCTCCAGCAATGGTCGAAGAAATGGGTGCTGAGATTCAATGTCACGAAGTGTAAGAGGAGGCACCTGGGGAGTACCAATTGTAAGGAGGCGTATCATATGTCCCAACGGGATGAAGAAACTGCACTAGTTGAGACTGTGTGTGAGAAGGACCTAGGAAAATAAATTATTGGGTCTTATAAGAAGGTCGTTCAGATATCTAGACGGTCCGTCCCTCGTAACGATCTTCAGGAGTGAAGTGCTTCCCCATCTGGAGAACTGTCACCCCATCTGGTCCCTGAGATATGCTAGGGACTGTCAGTTGGTTGAAAATGTTCAAAGGAGGGCCACCAGACTGGTGCCTGCACTTCGGCACCTCAGCTACCCTGAGAGATTGGAGCGCCTGAACTTGCCTAGCTTATACTACAGACGGGCAAGGGGGGACCTAGTTGAGGTTTATAAGCATCTCAGGGGGCACTACTCAGTTGAGTGTCCTTACTTGGAGCTGGCGGACGCTCGCCCCACAAGGGGTCACAGCTCAAGATTGAAGAAGCCGCAAGTCCGGAAAACCGTGAGGGCAAACTTTTTCGGAGTGAGGGTTGTAAACTCTTGGAACAATCTACCAGAGAGTGTTGTGACGGCACCGAGTGTGAGCTCTTTCAAGAGAAGACTTGACCAACACTGGAGCGGGTTCAGGTACATTCAGGAGCCGGTGCATGCCCAGTATTTGCCAACAGTGCGTGACAGAGACGTGACCGATCGCCCGGGCGGCTAGCGAGCCGACCTTTTGGTGAAGAATATAAAGGAAAAGAGACGTGACCGATCGCCCAAGCGGCTAACAAGCCGATCAGTGGCGAAGAGGATAAAAGTAAAAAGTAAAAGTGTAAAGCAAGACACTCGTAAATGAAATAACAGAACATATGGGATTAATTGAAATAGAGAATGGGCCAACCCCCAAACTACACTTTTTCCGAGACAATAGTACATTGTAATAAAAATAACATCTTAATTTTATGATGGTATGCACACAATTAATATTTAAGAGAAATATCAATAATTTTAGGTTTTTTAACACTTACGTTAGTAGAAGAGATGGCTGGGCACACGGGGATGGGGGGTTGGTTCCGAGGCAGAAGGCAGATTATTGGCCCTCACCTGTAGCACTTGTATCAATTGTATCACTATCCACCACAGAGACTTGCAGGGCCTCTTTGTCAAACCCCTCAAAGTCCATATAATTCCATATCCTCACTATAATTATCACTATCACTGACTTGGGCCAGCTGTGGTGGGTGGCGGGTGAAGAACTCGGTAATGTTTTGATGACTGGCCGACCTTGTGCGCACCCTGCTCGCGCCGCTTACACAACATGGCGGATGGCGGGAGGTTTGGATCCAAAAATGGCGCGGCTCGCCAGCCGCTCTCCGCGTAAAGGGGTGCACGCACCCCGGAATGTGAGCATTCCGGTTTCGGCAGGGTACCGTGTGAACGTGGACACGTGGAATGTGGGACCGCGAAAAGCGAGGGTTGACTGTATTCCAATATCTTCCCAGGCAGTAGTACCTCCCTGTTTGGTAGCTGCCAGGCATGTTTTATGAAAAAAACAAAAAAACAACAGTGGGCCCTATACACTGCCCTGTGGTACCCCGCTTGTGACAGGTACAGATGTTGATTTCTTGCCATTAATCACCACATACTGCTTGCGGTCATGTAGAAAGTCTTCTATCCACGCTAGGACATTTCCCCTAATTCTGTACCCTTCTACAGTAATTTGATTTTCAGCCTTTCGTGGGGTACGCTATCGAAAGCCTTGGCAAAATCTAGGTATATGTTATCGATGTTACCACCCCGTTCCAGAATATGGGTCCAAATATCCAACACCTTGAGCAATTGTGTTAAGCAGAAGCGCCTGGCATAACACCGTGTTAGCAATCCTTTACAAGGTTGTTTCGTAGTAGATGTTCCATCGAGGCATCTCTGATAATACTCTCGAGTACTTTACATATTATGCTGGTCAGGCTCACTGGTCAATTTTTGTTTGTGAAGTGACGATCGCCCTTCTTGAAGATAGGACTCACACAAGCCACTTTCCATTCACTGGGGACACTTTTGTTCATCCAGGCATTTACAAAACAGGATCTTCAGGGGCTCGGCAAGCTCGTTGCACAATTCTCTTAGCACTCTAGGATGCACCATGTCAGGGCCGGGACTCTTATGGACCTTTAGCTTTGATAGTTTATTTCTAATACCCTCTTCTGTGAACACAATGTGGGTCAGTGCTGTGTCAAACCGTCTGTCCTCAAACGCAGGCAGGTTAATCGCTTCCTCTCTTGTGAACACCGAGGAAAAGAAGCTGTTTAATGCCTCAGCTTTATCCTGGTCAGAATCTGCGTAACTACCATCTTCAGGCCTCAGGTCTTATTCTCCTACTTGCGTTTTTAATTTTGACTTTGCATAGCTGTAAAACGCCTTTAGGTTTGACTTGACTTCGCTTGCAACCAGCCTCTGGAACTCCTCAACCCTTCTACACTCTATCTTTGCTTGATTTCTGGCTTTTGCATACATCTTCCTGTCCTGCTCATCGTTAGACCCAACCCACACTAGAAAGTTAACTATTAACAGACACATAGAGAGTATTAAATCAAGTGAATGTTATGCTTTTACTGATGGTTCTGTGCAGACAAACACAGGTAGAACAGGCTGTGCAATTGTAATATATAAAGAAAAAGAGATGATAATATCAAACAAGCAAACCCTGAACAACTGGGCCAGCACAACACAAACTGAACTAACTGGAATCTATTTAGGTACAGACTGCCTTAAAGAAAATGGAGGTAGGGTGATATTCTGTGACTCTGAAAGTGCTTTGAAATCAATGAACAGTCCGTCAGGTTCTATGTCTAAAGTTGTATGTGATATTAAAAGGAATGTGATAACTGCCAATGAGAACAACTCTCGTATCGAATTTGTGTGGATTCCGTCCCATGTTGGAATTAGGTATCATGACTGTGCTGATAGATTCGCTTGTCCAATGCTGTTGTAGTGGATACTCTCCCCTACAACTGCCACTGCCATTAGTCGCTGATCAGCCGATCCCGCATCAAGTTTCTCTGACAAGCCAAGGTGTCTAGACTCGCGGGGAGGGTGGGGGTGGGGGGGTCGGCCACCAGCGACGCTTACTTCCGGTCTTACTTCCAGTGGACATGTATATAAGCTCACAGCCTCGCCGTGAAATCCATTCTACCAAGAGCTCTGCAACACAACACCTCCTCTAAAGAAGCTCCTGCACAGCAACTCCTCTACCATGCAGCAACTTCCCAGCACCAGACTGTTTTGTATATAATATATTTATTTAGAGAAAATGCCATAGCTGATTTTCCCTCCTCACCTCCATCCTATGTGCGATTCAACATCACGATACCCAACACTGCACTTAAAAGCATTCAAGTCAGAATCATGAACTCTGATCTAGAAGAACTGAGAAATGCAGAGAGACCTGGCAGTTGTAGCATTAGTAAATATGACAAATTTTGTGACAAGAGGTACCAGTATGGCCAGCATAAGGACAGAACCACACAATGTGATATAGTTGTGGCCAGAATTAGACTAGGATACAGACACATCTGGCAAGTTAGTAACGCTGTACCCATACCGGAACACTCAGCATGTAAACTTTGTGATAAACCTTTAAAGCACACACTTGAACACTATAGAGTATTATTGAATGTGACACTGTCAAAGACTTCAGGCCACCTGGCTTATTGTATCATGAACTTTGTAATTACTACATTGAATCAGGGATGCTTGAGGACATTCTTGCTGTTTATCCAAAATTTACTAGCCCACACTGATTATTCTTCAATTAGAATATGACTCCAATGTATATGAACTTCTGTCCTGCATGGCAGTGAACAGTGACATCACCCACATGACTCTGACCTATATATATATACTGTTAATGAATATGATCTATTTCTTTGTGTATGAACCTCTGTCCTGCATGACAGTGAGAAGTGATACCATCCTCAGTGTCAAGACCTGACTGAATTACTCAGAATAGGCAAACTGCACTCCAAGCTTTGTCAATAAATTTGTTAAACTAAAGTAACTGTACAATCAGCTGGTGGCAGCAAGAATTCGTCCTATCTTGGCCGTGCTGGCTAGGTTGGGATAGGTTAGGTTATTATTTGTTTGTATCTAATATACTATAGGAATAGACATGTGTCTGTGTGTCTGTTCTAGGCAGCTGAAAAAGGCACAATCGTTTTTCATCAAACTTGGTGGAAAAATCGCAAAAAATTCGTAGAGTGGAACAAACCTGGTCCCATGTCGATGGTTTCTTTAGGAAGGCATTAATTAACCATTTCATTTATGCTAGAAAATGATGTCGCTGTATGCTGTCAACTGGACGGCGAACCGGGCACGAAGGGCCCACGATCACTTGTTAGTATCTATTACGTTAGGGTATACAATATAAAGCCAAGCACTGCGACGGTGCTGCTTGTTGAAAATGACAGAAGCCCTCAGGAAAAAAAATCACGCTGCCCGCTCACCGCCACTATCAAAGACATTCGTGACTCGTCAGACTGCACCCAACTCCGTAACAAAAAAGTAGTACTATTAAAATCATTCGGCAATTTAGTTTAAAGTAACATTGTGTAAGTTCATTCCATAAGTTTGGAGGTTTAACATGGTTAATATGATATCCCATTATTATTTACATTTATAGCTGAAGTGTTTTCAAGGAAATTGCCAATGTATTGTTTATACCAGCGCCCCTTGACAATTTTTCTGAACTTGTGGCTTCTTCAACAATGAGCTGTAACCTCTAGTGGGGCCGGCATCCGCCAGCTCCAGGTATGAACACTACTGAGTGATGTCCTCTGAGGTGTTAATAGACTTTTATTGTCAGCCCTTACCCGCCTATAGTATAAACTAGGGAACTGCTGGTGTTGAAAATGTTCTAATCCCACTGGGTAACTGAAGCACTAATCTCATCATGCTATAGTTCTGTTGGGTCTTTTGGGGTTTCGCTCTTTGATGTGCTACTGTGTCGTCCATGAAGATTTGGCTGGTAAAGTTAATGGAAAGTCAATGACGAGGAAAAATACTACTCTGGATTTTACCTCGAGACTACTGATGGCTAGTACTTGAGAGTTCATGAAATCCATTGATCTGACAGTTCTCAACAGATCAACCCAAGTGTGTGTGGTGTAGTGGTTTAGGGAAGTACAATGTTTGTGTGGATAATTAATGTGCATTTGCCAAAATCCTTTTTTTTATGATTGAAGGGGAAATTAAAGCCCTATGTTTTCTAATGAACCACTGCTAGTGGGGTGGATATGTAAAAAAACTCATTCTTTTTTCCAGTCGGAGTCATGGGACTTGGTTGCGGATACACAACCCCATTTGAGGAGAATGAAGACCCTGATCCTGCAGAAGAGAGTGAAAACCCTGATCCTGTAGAAGAGAATGACTCAAATGACAATGATGACTTGAGCTTGGGTGCGGACACCTCAGCTCAAGGAACCGGTGTCAGGTAGCTAACAACTTTTACTTTTTTTCTTTTATCCTCTACACCAATGATCGGCTCATTAGCCGCTTGGGCGATCAGTCATGACTCTGTTACGCACTGTTGGCAAGTATTGGCTACTGTATGTATCTGAACCTGTTCCAGTGCTTGTCAAGTCTGGTCTTGAAAGAGCTCACACTCTGTGCCACCACAACACTCTGGTAGTTTGTTCCAAGATTTCACAACTCTCGCTCCGAAAAAGTTACTCCTCACAGTTTTCTGGATTTGCGGATTCTTCAACCTTGAGCTGTGACCCCTTGTGGGGCGAGTGTCCGCCAGCTCCAAGTAAGGACACTCGACTGAGTAGTGCCCCTTGAGATGCTTATATACCTCAATTAGGTCCCCTCTTGCGTATCTGTAGTACTGTATAAGCTAGGCAATTTCAGGTACTCTTAATCTCTCAGGGTAGCTGAGGTGACGAAGTGCAGGCACCAGTATGGTGGCCCTCCTTTGAACATTTTCAATCAACTGACAGTCTTTGGCATATCTCGGGGACCAGATGGGGTGACAGTACTCCAGATGGGGAAGCACCTCACTCATGAAGATTGTAACGAGGGACTGACCGTTTAGATATCTGAGCGACCTTCTTATAAGACCTAATAATTTATTTGCCTGATTCATCTTCTTCTTGCAATGGCCCGAGAATTTCAACTCGTTGTTAACATACACACCTAGAATCTTTTCATATTCAGTCTCAATTAATGCAGTTTCTTCGTCCTGTTAGGACATATGATACACCTCCTTACCGTTGGTACGCCCCAGGTGCATCCTCTTACATTTCGTGACATTGAATCTCAGCAGCCATTTCTTCGACCATTCTTGAAGCTCATAGAGATCCTTCTGCAGCTCTTCACAGTCTGCTTGGTTTTTTTATTTCCCAAAATAAATTGGCGTCATCCGCAAACATTTGTATGGAGGAATGTACAGCGTCAGGCCTGTCATTTATGAAGCAAACAAACAACAGCGGGCCCAATACACTGCCCTATGGTACCCCACATGTGATGGGTACACATGATGATTTCGTGCCATTAATCAGCACACACTGCTTGCGGTCATGGGGAACGTCTCCGATCCACGCTAGGACATTTCCCCGAATCCGGTACCCTTCCAGTTTAATTTTCAGCCTTTCATCGGGTACACTGTCGAAAGCCTTCGCAAAATCTAGGTATATGTTGTCGATGTTACCACCCTGTTCCAGAATATGGGTCCAAACATCCAGTACCTTGAGTAATTGTGTTAAGCAGGAGCACCCCGGCATAAAACCGTGTTGGCAATCCTCTACAGGGTTGTTTCGTAGTAGATGTTCCATCATGGCATCTCTTATAATGCTCTCAGATACTTTACATACTATGCTGGTCAGGCACACCGGTCTATAGTTATTCGTGGAGTGATGATTTCCCTTCTTGCAGATAGGACTCCTCATAAACCATTTTCCAATCACTGGGGACCTTTTGCTCATCCAGGCATTTACAAAACAGGATCTTCAGGGGCTCGGCAAGCTCGCTGCACAACTCTCTTAGCACTCAAGGATGCACCAAGTCAGGGCCGGGACTCTTATGAACCAATAGCTTTGACAGTGTATTTCTTATAACCTATTTTGTGAATACAATGTGGGTCAGTGCTATATTGAACTGTCTGTCCTCAAACACAGGAAGATTGATTGCATCCTCTCTTGTGAACACAGAGGAAAAGAGACTTTTCAATGACTCAGCTTTGTACTGGTCAGAATCTGCATAACTATCATCTTCAAGCCTCAGGTCTGATACTCCTACTCGCATTTTTTTTTAGAGTTTGTATAGCAGTAAAACGCCTTTGGGTTTGACTTGACCTCGCTTGCAACCAGCCTTTGGAACTCCTTTTCGGCCCTTCTACACTCTGACTTTGCTTGGTTCCCGGCTCTATGTCAACTTTTGCATTTGTTCATGGAGCCAATGTGTCTGATCATTTGTATATATTTAATGATCAAATTGTTTACTTTATTGGTTATGATATTCAGTGTAACATCTGCGTTCATAGTGAGTCAGGCCAGTGAATACTCCTTATCTTGTTCCTCATCCCATCATAATTTACCTTGTAATATTTTAACCTTGGCCGGCTTTTGTCATGAACAATTTCAGAAAATGAAGATGTAAGTATCTGTAAAATAGTTGAACATTTTATTTTTTAATAACTAAGCTTATGATAAATTTATTTGTTGGTGACACACTGTGCCACTGCATCTTGGACTTGATCCTAAGTTGGATGTGAAAAGGATGTTGTCCTATGTGACCCTATCTAGCATCACATGTTTTCTCTGGGTAATTTGGTTTCCTCCTGTACCATACTAACACTGAACCCTTGACTAATGAAGGAGACACTCATTAGGAAAAATGGAGAGATTAATCAAGCCACTGGATTTCTTTTTTCTGTTAGAGAATTAGATTAAAAATACTGTAGTTAAAGGTTGGCTGGTAGTCTTTGATTACTTCAGGGAGATGTGACCCTGCCTTGCCAGATGTTCCCACCCTGTGGGATGGTGTTTGGAAGGGGATCCAGCTTTAAAACTTTGCTTCAACACGCCTGATGACAACTGGGTCACCAGAGCTGTATCCGTCCCTTGGTTTTTTATGCATATACTGGGCAGTTGCCCTTAGATTATAGAGGTAAGCAGGGGGAGAGGATATCCCATTCTGGCTTCACCCAACAGCTTGCTGTATGGTAATCACAAGTAACCCTTGCAGATGTGGACATTGGCATTTAATTCATGATGATTTAACTTTAGCTACTCTAGCTGCTGAAATTAGTAGACAAGTGATGACAAAATCCCTGTCAAGAAAAATCTCGCCCTACAGTAGATCCTCACCTTAATGCGACAGTTGGATAATTATCCTTAAGTTGTGCTCTTATAGTAAATTAAATAGCAAAGCAGGTTTATATGCACATTGACTATTATGCATGAAGGGTAGTTAGCTGGTATTACCCATAAATGTCTGTTGATAATTGTAAAACATGAGTGAGCAATATAACTCATTGACTGTTTGGCATATTTTCTGGATTGTAAAAAAACCCAAGTAGTAAAGGTTTGGTGTTTGATAAAGAAAAAATCTTTTAAGTAGCTGTGAAGTGCAAGTTCGTATAATACACTCTTCATTGTTTTTCTCAACCTATCACAGTGACGGTGTCCTTATGCTTATGAAAATACTTCTCTTGCAGTGGGGAGTCACCAGAGGAAGCCTATGAATCTGATGACCCGGAAATCCACTGTGAATATGACAATGTCAGGACAAGGTTAGTCTTATCTTTGCCTCTCTCCATAACAACTTGGGTAGATCTCACTCATTCTTCTCATGTTTGGGTTACAGTACTGTGAAAGTTTTTGTTTTTCAATTAATATTGATACCTTTTGAATTTTCATTGAATTAATGAGATAAAAGGCATTGGAGAGGTAGCCAATAGAATATATTTTTCATGGGTCTCTATGATGCAGAGGAGAATACAGTATACGGCCTTCATTGCTGCCACATTAGCATCCTTATCCTCATATTTTGCCCTATCATGTTGTATAGATGGCTGTTGTACAGTACTGTAGTGTACATGCATTGACTATGATCATTTACATATTAATGGATTGTTTTTGTTTTTTCTGTAAATTGTTGCTGATAATTTTTTTTTTTGGGTAGGATATCAGTAATAGGTTGTGTTTATATATACTGTATTTTGTTATCTTTACTGGACTTATCGAAGAAAGTTGATATGTGATAAAACTCAAGAAAATGTTGTATCTGATGTCTGATAAAGAAAAAAAAATCTTTATTTTAGTGACTAAGATGGAAGATGGTAGGGTACACTCAGAGCTGGATTAAGGCATAGGCCAGGTAGGTTATGGCCTAGGGCCCCGCAAACTCTTAATCTGGCCCTGGGTACACTATGATGTCCTGTGTTAATTTGTGTTTGAATTACTTATAAGAAGTACTGTACTGTTATGTATACTTCTTTTGCAGAGAGGATCATGAAATGGAGGTTGAGGAGATCCTTAATCTGCCAAGGATTCCTGTGGTGAGGTGAGTTTTCCCCTTTACCAATTTCACGTGACTAATCATTCTGGATATACTGTACTGTATTTGGCTACTACTGTATATAATTTTTCTAGTTGATAAGTTATGTAATTTCTTCATGTACATTGGGCCTCCCCAAGTTCGCAGATTTTTATTTTGCGGTCCTCTATTTTTTACGGATGACACCCTGGATGTATCCAAGAATGTCTGTGGGTAGTTTTAAAGTTGCCGGCATTTTCACGGCTGGGACAGGGAGCCATTCCTTCTAGAGACAGTAATTTACTTTACCAGTATTGTAAATGTGTGTGTGTGTGTGTGTGTGTGTGTGTGTGTGTGTGACACACACACACACAACACATACAAATAAATTATAATGGGAAAATCTTCTCAAATAACCAGAAACAAATTTATTAAAAATGTGACAGTCTACCCTCAAGTCCGTGCTTTATTAATAAAGTAATAAAGCACGGACTTGAGGGTAGACTGTCACATTTGAATACATTTGTTTCTGATGATTTGTGAGGATTTTCCAATTAATATTTAATTGTATGTATTTTGTGTGTGTGTGTCTAGACACACACACACACACACACACACATATACATATATACAATCGAGGTAAAAAAAATAATTGTCTTCGGGGCAAACACATAAAGGGAATATATATTTATAGTATTTGTACATAAGTAAAATTGTAACAACCCCCCCCCCCCGGTCAGAAAATGTTATTCGCGGATTCGTGCCCATTTTAAGTACCTAACCCCTGCGAATTTGGGCCCCCTCCCCCTGTATCTATTAGTTGAAAAAGAAAAGATCATGGTGTTAGACCTAATAGAATATTCTCCACAGCTCACCAAACACTGGAGAGTAATTCAATTTTTTTTAATGCTTATGGGCAGGTGCACATACATTCAGGAGCTAGGGCATGCCCAGTACAGGGGTGTACTTGCCAATAGTGCGTTTCAGAGATGTACTGACCATCCAAGCGGCTAAAAAGCCGATCAGTGAAGAGGAGGATAAAAAATAAATAAAAAAATAAACAGTCACTCCAGAACTCTCCAATAGCAGGAATAATTCTGGGGAAACTCACTCTATTCCGGATATAGGAATGAGTTTCGGAGGATAAAAATTGGGTGCATATTCCAGGAAATTCTGAGAAAATCTCTCCAAACTTCTCCATTCTCGACCAGGGAACAAATTTTATGGGGAGTTCCGAGAGATTGCATCATGCTACCACGCTTCTCCACATGCCAGGCATGTTGGTGGCCTAGTTGCTTGGCTAACTTGTGAGCTTAATTCTTATTCTGCTGCCATTGTACAAGATTTTTCCCCTTATTTGCTGCTGTGCAGTACTGTACATTACTATGTGACCCTATCGAGCATCACATGTTTTCTCTGGGTAATTTGCTTTCCTCCTGTACCATACTAACACTGAACCCTTGACTAATGAAGGAGACACTCATTAGGAAAAATGGAGAGATTAATCAAGCCACTGGATTTCTTTTTTTCTGTTAGAGAATTAGATTAAAAATACTGTAGTTAAAAGTTGGCTGGTAGTCTTTGATTACTTCAGGGAGATGTGACCCTGCCTTGCCAGATGTTCCCACCCTGCGGGATGGTGTTTGGAAGGGGATCCAGCTTTAAAACTTTGCTTCAACACGCCTGATGACAACTGGGTCACCAGAGCTGTATCCGTCCCTTGGTTTTTTATGCATATACTGGGCAGTTGCCCTTAGATTATAGAGGTAAGCAGGGGGAGAGGATATCCCATTCTGGCTTTACCCAACAGCTTGCTGTATGGTAATCACAAGTAACCCTTGCAGATGTGGACATTGGCATTTAATTCATGATGATTTAACTTTAGCTACTCTAGCTGCTGAAATTAGTAGACAAGTGATGACAAAATCCCTGTCAAGAAAAATCTCGCCCTACAGTAGATCCTCACCTTAATGCGACAGTTGGATAATTATCCTTAAGTTGTGCTCTTATAGTAAATTAAATAGCAAAGCAGGTTTATATGCACATTGACTATTATGCATAAAGGGTAGTTAGCTGGTATTACCCATAAATGTCTGTTGATAATTGTAAAACATGAGTGAGCAATATAACTCATTGACTGTTTGGCATATTTTCTGGATTGTAAAAAAAACCCAAGTAGTAAAGGTTTGGTGTTTGATAAGAAAAAATCTTTTAAGTAGCTGTGAAGTGCAAGTTCGTATAATACACTCTTCATTGTTTTTCTCAACCTATCACAGTGACGGTGTCCTTATGCTTATGAAAATACTTCTCTTGCAGTGGGGAGTCACCAAAGGAAGCCTATGAATCTGATGACCCGGAAATCCACTGTGAATATGACAATGTCAGGACAAGGTTAGTCTTATCTTTGCCTCTCTCCATAACAACTTGGGTAGATCTCACTCATTCTTCTCATGTTTGGGTTACAGTACTGTGAAAGTTTTTGTTTTTCAATTAATATTGATACCTTTTGAATTTTCATTGAATTAATGAGATAAAAGGCATTGGAGAGGTAGCCAATAGAATATATTTTTCATGGGTCTCTATGATGCAGAGGAGAATACAGTATACGGCCTTCATTACTGCCACATTAGCATCCTTATCCTCATATTTTGCCCTATCATGTTGTATAGATGGCTGTTGTACAGTACTGTAGTGTACATGCATTGACTATGATCATTTACATATTAATGGATTGTTTTTGTTTTTTCTGTAAATTGTTGCTGATAATTTTTTTTTTTGGGTAGGATATCAGTAATAGGTTGTGTTTATATATACTGTATTTTGTTATCTTTACTGGACTTATCGAAGAAAGTTGATATGTGATAAAACTCAAGAAAATGTTGTATCTGATGTCTGATAAAGAAAAAAAAATCTTTATTTTAGTGACTAAGATGGAAGATGGTAGGGTACACTCAGAGCTGGATTAAGGCATAGGCCAGGTAGGTTATGGCCTAGGGCCCCGCAAACTCTTAATCTGGCCCTGGGTACACTATGATGTCCTGTGTTAATTTGTGTTTGAATTACTTATAAGAAGTACTGTACTGTTATGTATACTTCTTTTGCAGAGAGGATCATGAAATGGAGGTTGAGGAGATCCTTAATCTGCCAAGGATTCCTGTGGTGAGGTGAGTTTTCCCCTTTACCAATTTCACGTGACTAATCATTCTGGATATACTGTACTGTATTTGGCTACTACTGTATATAATTTTTCTAGTTGATAAGTTATGTAATTTCTTCATGTACATTGGGCCTCCCCAAGTTCGCAGATTTTTATTTTGCGGTCCTCTATTTTTTACGGATGACACCCTGGATGTATCCAAGAATGTCTGTGGGTAGTTTTAAAGTTGCCGGCATTTTCACGGCTGGGACAGGGAGCCATTCCTTCTAGAGACAGTAATTTACTTTACCAGTATTGTAAATGTGTGTGTGTGTGTGTGTGTGTGTGTGTGTGTGTGTGACACACACACACACAACACATACAAATAAATTATAATGGGAAAATCTTCTCAAATAACCAGAAACAAATTTATTAAAAATGTGACAGTCTACCCTCAAGTCCGTGCTTTATTAATAAAGTAATAAAGCACGGACTTGAGGGTAGACTGTCACATTTGAATACATTTGTTTCTGATGATTTGTGAGGATTTTCCAATTAATATTTAATTGTATGTATTTTGTGTGTGTGTGTCTAGACACACACACACACACACACACACATATACATATATACAATCGAGGTAAAAAAAATAATTGTCTTCGGGGCAAACACATAAAGGGAATATATATTTATAGTATTTGTACATAAGTAAAATTGTAACAACCCCCCCCCCCCGGTCAGAAAATGTTATTCGCGGATTCGTGCCCATTTTAAGTACCTAACCCCTGCGAATTTGGGCCCCCTCCCCCTGTATCTATTAGTTGAAAAAGAAAAGATCATGGTGTTAGACCTAATAGAATATTCTCCACAGCTCACCAAACACTGGAGAGTAATTCAATTTTTTTTAATGCTTATGGGCAGGTGCACATACATTCAGGAGCTAGGGCATGCCCAGTACAGGGGTGTACTTGCCAATAGTGCGTTTCAGAGATGTACTGACCATCCAAGCGGCTAAAAAGCCGATCAGTGAAGAGGAGGATAAAAAATAAATAAAAAAATAAACAGTCACTCCAGAACTCTCCAATAGCAGGAATAATTCTGGGGAAACTCACTCTATTCCGGATATAGGAATGAGTTTCGGAGGATAAAAATTGGGTGCATATTCCAGGAAATTCTGAGAAAATCTCTCCAAACTTCTCCATTCTCGACCAGGGAACAAATTTTATGGGGAGTTCCGAGAGATTGCATCATGCTACCACGCTTCTCCACATGCCAGGCATGTTGGTGGCCTAGTTGCTTGGCTAACTTGTGAGCTTAATTCTTATTCTGCTGCCATTGTACAAGATTTTTCCCCTTATTTGCTGCTGTGCAGTACTGTACATTACTATGTGACCCTATCGAGCATCACATGTTTTCTCTGGGTAATTTGCTTTCCTCCTGTACCATACTAACACTGAACCCTTGACTAATGAAGGAGACACTCATTAGGAAAAATGGAGAGATTAATCAAGCCACTGGATTTCTTTTTTTCTGTTAGAGAATTAGATTAAAAATACTGTAGTTAAAAGTTGGCTGGTAGTCTTTGATTACTTCAGGGAGATGTGACCCTGCCTTGCCAGATGTTCCCACCCTGCGGGATGGTGTTTGGAAGGGGATCCAGCTTTAAAACTTTGCTTCAACACGCCTGATGACAACTGGGTCACCAGAGCTGTATCCGTCCCTTGGTTTTTTATGCATATACTGGGCAGTTGCCCTTAGATTATAGAGGTAAGCAGGGGGAGAGGATATCCCATTCTGGCTTTACCCAACAGCTTGCTGTATGGTAATCACAAGTAACCCTTGCAGATGTGGACATTGGCATTTAATTCATGATGATTTAACTTTAGCTACTCTAGCTGCTGAAATTAGTAGACAAGTGATGACAAAATCCCTGTCAAGAAAAATCTCGCCCTACAGTAGATCCTCACCTTAATGCGACAGTTGGATAATTATCCTTAAGTTGTGCTCTTATAGTAAATTAAATAGCAAAGCAGGTTTATATGCACATTGACTATTATGCATAAAGGGTAGTTAGCTGGTATTACCCATAAATGTCTGTTGATAATTGTAAAACATGAGTGAGCAATATAACTCATTGACTGTTTGGCATATTTTCTGGATTGTAAAAAAAACCCAAGTAGTAAAGGTTTGGTGTTTGATAAGAAAAAATCTTTTAAGTAGCTGTGAAGTGCAAGTTCGTATAATACACTCTTCATTGTTTTTCTCAACCTATCACAGTGACGGTGTCCTTATGCTTATGAAAATACTTCTCTTGCAGTGGGGAGTCACCAAAGGAAGCCTATGAATCTGATGACCCGGAAATCCACTGTGAATATGACAATGTCAGGACAAGGTTAGTCTTATCTTTGCCTCTCTCCATAACAACTTGGGTAGATCTCACTCATTCTTCTCATGTTTGGGTTACAGTACTGTGAAAGTTTTTGTTTTTCAATTAATATTGATACCTTTTGAATTTTCATTGAATTAATGAGATAAAAGGCATTGGAGAGGTAGCCAATAGAATATATTTTTCATGGGTCTCTATGATGCAGAGGAGAATACAGTATACGGCCTTCATTACTGCCACATTAGCATCCTTATCCTCATATTTTGCCCTATCATGTTGTATAGATGGCTGTTGTACAGTACTGTAGTGTACATGCATTGACTATGATCATTTACATATTAATGGATTGTTTTTGTTTTTTCTGTAAATTGTTGCTGATAATTTTTTTTTTTGGGTAGGATATCAGTAATAGGTTGTGTTTATATATACTGTATTTTGTTATCTTTACTGGACTTATCGAAGAAAGTTGATATGTGATAAAACTCAAGAAAATGTTGTATCTGATGTCTGATAAAGAAAAAAAAATCTTTATTTTAGTGACTAAGATGGAAGATGGTAGGGTACACTCAGAGCTGGATTAAGGCATAGGCCAGGTAGGTTATGGCCTAGGGCCCCGCAAACTCTTAATCTGGCCCTGGGTACACTATGATGTCCTGTGTTAATTTGTGTTTGAATTACTTATAAGAAGTACTGTACTGTTATGTATACTTCTTTTGCAGAGAGGATCATGAAATGGAGGTTGAGGAGATCCTTAATCTGCTAAGGATTCCTGTGGTGAGGTGAGTTTTCCCCTTTACCAATTTCACGTGACTAATCATTCTGGATACAAGGTCTGTCCAATAAGAAACAGAACTTTTTAAATATTGCGCCAACGAGCCGGCGCAGCGTGCTCGCGATGGGAGCTCTGTGTAGCGGTGACCTTGACCTTTAGTCTAACACTAGCCGCATCATGGCACGTCAATTAGTCATCGAGCTACATGTGCTAGAGTGAACGTGTCTTTAGTGCACTTGGCGATTTCTTGCAAGTTGAACAATGAAGGATCTTGAAGAGCAACGCGTTTGAGTGATATTTTTAAGGAGACTTTTAAGGAGACTTTTCAAATGTTGCAACAGGCTGAAGGGGAGGATTGTTTGAGCTGTACACAATATCACGTGTGGTACCAGTGTTTCAAAAGGGGAAGAACATTCACCGAAGACGATCTCAAATCTGGATGTCAGAGTCGCTCAAATGTGGAGGTGATGTTGATCGTCTTTTTTGATTGGAAGGGCGTCGTTCATCATGAGTTTGTTCCACGTGGTCAGACAGTCTATAAAGAGTTTTATGTGGAGGTCCTGAAGTGTTTGAGGGAGGCAGTGTGAAGGAAGAGGCCTGAGGTGTGGACAAACAAGACCTGGATTCTGCACCATGACAATGCACCTGCTCACGCGTCGCTCTTTATCCGTGACTTTTTGGTGAAGTACGAGACGACTATCGTCCTCCAGCCGCCCTACTCTCCAGATTTGGCCACTGCGGACTTTTTTTTGTTCCCAAAGTTGAAATCCACCCTGAGACGTCGCCGATTTCAAATGATAGAAGAAACTTCGCTACGAGACCTGCACACCATCCCTCAAAACGCGTTCCAGGACACGTTCCAGAACCGGAAAAAAACGTTGGGAGCAGTGTATCAACAGTGGAGGGGGGTACTTTGAAGGAGACAAGTCTGATTAAGTTGTAAGTAAAGTAATAATATTTTTTTTAAAAGGTTCGGTTTCCTTTTGGACAGACCTCGTATATTTGGCTACTACTGTACAGTATATGCTTTTTCTAGTTGATAAGTTATGTAATTTCTGCACTGGAAATTAATTAAACCTTTTTTTAATGCTTAGATGCTGGTGCAGATACATTCCAGTATGGTAATGCATTTCCGATGATGAAAATGAGGTGCTTTTCCAGAACAATTCCTAAAAAATCTCTCCAAACCTCTCCGTTCTGGGCTTTGGAACAAATTTTGTGGCGAATTTTGAGAGTTTGCAGATTGCATCATGCTCCCATGTGTCAGGCATGTGGGTGGGCTAGCTGCTCTTGCTAGCTGCTGTTTTTGCTTACTATTTGTGTTGTGCAGTACAGTACTGTACATTACTGTACCACAGGGCTATTCAATTACTTTAGGATGGGGGACAGATTATGAAATTGAAATTGACAGGGGGGGCCTTACATTTTCAACTTTAAATTTCTGATCTAAGCACTTACACATGAACATAAAAAGCAACAATAAACAGGTAAAATTTTCTTATAAGTACTTTTATTTAACTGTATTGCACCGAATTTATGCATTTAAACATAAATAGTGATGCAATTGGCTACATTAAGTGCAAAATGGACACATTGTGGTTAGGCAAAACTCAGTGAGTCACTGATATACAGTACATATTTCTTTGTTTTTATTTCTGTATGTGTGACAAGTACCAGTTTATCAGAGTACTTCAACTTGCCTAGCTTATACTACACATGGGTAAGCAGGCGACCAAATTGATGTGTATACGGTAAGCATCTCAAGGGGCACTACTCAGTCGAGTGTCCTTACCTGGAGCTAGCAGATGCTCGCCCCACAAGGGGTCACAGGTCAAGGCTGAAGAAGCCGCAATTCCAGCAAACTGTGAGGGCAAACCTTTTCGGAGTGAGAGTTGTGAACTCTTGGAATAATCTGTCAGAGAGTGTTGTGATGGTACCGGGTGTGAGCTCTTTCAAGGCCAGACTTGACCAACACTAGAGCAGGTTCAAGTACATTCAAGAGCTGGTGCATGCCCACTACTTGCCAACAGTGCATAACAGAGACGTGACCGATTGTCCAAGTGGCTATTGAGCTGATTAGTGGTGAAGAGGATAAGTAAAAGTAAAAGGGCAATTAGAAATGACTCAATGGCCAGTTAATTTGCCTGTTGTACCAGGACACAATCAGTCGAGAATATAGTGTCAAAGACGTGTTAATATGTTAAAAGTGATTACAGTTATGTATACTGTACTGTAACCCGCTATTCACAGGTACACGTGATGATTTTCTCCCATTAATCACCACACACTGGTTTTGGTTATGAAGAAAATCTCTGATCCACGCAAGGACACTTCCCTGAATACCGTACCCTTCCAGTTTAATTCTAAGTCTTTCATGGGGTGTGCTGTCGAAATCCTTGGAAAAATCCAGATACTTGTACTCTATATACAAGGTATTGATATTGCTGCCCTGTTCCAGAATTTTAGTTCAAACATCCAGCGCCGAAGGAGTAATTGTGTCAAGCAGGAGCTTCCCAGCATAAAACCATGCTGGCAGTCCTTTATAAGGTTGTTTCTTAGCATATGCTCCATCATGGCATGTCTTATAATGCCCACTAGTACTTGACATATTATGGTCAGGGTCACTTGTCTATAATTATTTGTGGAGTGGTGATTGCCTTGCTTGAATATAGGACTCACAAACCATCTTCCAGTCACTGGAAACATTTTACTCATCCAGGCATCTACTGAACAAGATCTTAAGGGGCTCAGCAGGGCCATTGCACAACTCTCTTAGCACTCTGGGATGCATCATGTCGGGGCCGGGGCTCTTATGAACTTTTAACTTTGACAATTTATTTATTTTACCCCCTTTTGAGAACACAATGTTGGTAAGCGCTGTGTGAGGAAGTGTGTTTACATCATCTCTCATGAACACTGAGGAAAAGAATTTGTTTAACACCTCCTTGTATTCCTGGAGCCATTGGGTTTGGTCTTGGGTATATATTTGTCAATCAAATAGTTAACTTTACTGGCTGTGATGTTCAACATAGTGTATGCATTCTTGTATCTATGAAAGTCAGGCCGGTGAATACCCTTCACCCCATCGTAATCACCTTTTTAATATTTGACCCTTAGCCTGCTTTTATTGTGTACCAAGTAATAGATAAATCTGGAGGACAACGTTATGTGGTGACAAGTTAAATGAGATAAAAATAATTAAATAAATTCCTGTCGCTGTGGTCGGATGAAGAAAAATATTTTAGTGGCTGTAAAATACACAGAGGCGTGGTACTCTGTCTGATTTTAACCATCTGAGTGTCCTTGTGGAGGGATTACTTGTAAATATATTTCTCTTTCAGGGAGCATCGCTTTTCACAGGAAAGCCTGGGTGAAGAAATTGTGCCCGTAGTTGTCCTTCCTGGTTCTCCACAGGAAAACCTGGGTGAAGAAAGGATGGTTCAATGGATTGAGGAAAATCCCATGCAAAAGTGAGTTTTTCATTCTCTTTTTCAAATAACCAACCACTCAAGCATATCCCTCCCACTTTTGATATGTTTGAGTTACCATGAAATTAATTAATCAGTTGATATCATAATTAACACAGTAAGTTGACCCCCCCCCCCAAAATCTTAAAGATTAACCTTATAGAATATATTCACCATAACCAATAGCTAAGTAATACTACAGAAAAAAAATTGCTGTCACTTGCATACATATCTTCATATTGTGCTTCATATCATTGAGTAGCTAAACTGACACATTGCATATTGACCCTTTTATGTAGTACATGTTGTAATTGGTTTGTTTTCATGTTTTTCCTGTAAATGGGTGCTGGTAACACCATAATGCTGAATGTTTATTGTAAGACATGCCAGTACTTGCCAACAGTGTATAATAGAGTGGCTACCAGGCTGATCAGTGGTTAAGAGAATAATGTAAGACACCAGTCAATGTTTGTTCACATTGAATTTTGGGTTTCTTTCCTGGGCTTGAAAAAGAAAATTCAGGGTTAATAAAACTCAAAAGGTTATTGGACCTAGCTAGGGTTTAATGAAGTCAGTTTTTTCACTGGGTGTAATATCAAGACTGTTATGGTATACATAGCACTATCTGTCTCCTATGTAGATTACAGTTGTTTTTTACTTTTCTATTACAGTTCTGTGCCTTAAGTCACTTCAGGAAATTTTTCTATAGAAGATACTGTACTGTATATGCTTTCTTACCTTTGGAAAGACAAAACAAAAAATTTCCTCCCAAACATGTGCATGCCTGTGTACTACAAGTGATTCCCAAATTTTCAATTTCACAGACCAGCAGTGTGTGTGAATTAGATTCTGTGTACTGGTAATTGCAAATATTTTATACAGAATTTACATAATCCATATACAGTAGCATGAGATTAGGACTGATAATTATAGGTAAATATAACTTTGGTGATACAGCATATCGTTTTAGAAATTATAGTGGGGAAAATGGGGTATAGGACCGAAGACTCAAAAAATACCCCCAAAAATGTTTTTAAGAGTTTTATTTTACTAAACATTGATAACAGCTCACTAGTGAGCCTTTACTGTAATATGTACAGGTGCATTCTATATATTCCTGTCTTCTGATAATATTAGCACATTACTGTTGGTTATTATGGTAAAAAAAAAGATAACTTGAGAAAAAGCAGAGTGGAATGCAAAATAGTCTACCCTGCTGACTGAATGATTGACTGACTGAGGACTAACTAATTATCCACCTGGCCACCCAGGAGTCAGCTGACAGTTGCCTTGCCACAGATTATATGAAAGTTATTTTTTACCACTTAGCTGAGCATAATGTTATTGTTAATAATGACAGCTAAGGTTGAAGAAGCCACAAGTCCAGAAAACTGTGAGGGCAAACTTTTTTGGAGTGAGAATTGTGAACTCTTGGAACAACCTGCCAGAGTGTGTTGTGACGGCATCAAGTGTGAGCTCTTTCAAGACCAGACTTGACCAACACTGGAGCAGATTCAGATACATTCAGGAGCCGGTGCATGCCCAGTACTTGCCAACAGTGTGTATCAGAGACGTGACTAACTGCTCAAGTTGCTGGTTTTGAAAGAGCTCGCACCCAGTACCGACACAACACTCAGACAGATTGTCCCAAGAGTTTACAATTCTCACTTTTGATAGGTTGCCCTCAAAATTTTATGGACTTGTGGCTTCTTCAACCTTGAGCTGTGACCCCTTGTGGGGCAGGCGTCTGCCAGCTCTAAGTAGAGACACTCGACCGAGTAGTGCCCTCTGAGATGCTTATAAACTTCAGTTAGGTCATCCCTTGTTATGACCACGGTCATACATGTTAGTTCACGTAAAATCATACTATTTATATTACGCTCAATAGCCCACAAAACATGTAGCTATGCCTTCTTTGTTGAGTCCTCCGTCTGAGGAATCCGTTTTCTCATTGCTTCAGGACGCCTGAGTCCTCAGTTTTCTCTCAATCTTGGAGTGCACCCGAGACTCCGTTATTCCTTAGTATCTTGGGGCACGACACAAAAGTTGAAATTGCCACTGTAGTTGTCTACGTTAAGTCAAATTAGATATGTCTTATTACATATGAAACATTCAAGATCCCTTGCGAGTGATGTTGAAAGCTTCAACTGTCTTATATGTTAGTAAAACTTGTTAAATAAGCAAGTGTCAAGTCTGCCAGTAAGAATGGCATCTCCTAATATCATCCGTGGGGGATAGCCATGAGTTTCCAAGTTCTACTGAAATTAGAACATTTTAGTGCCCAAACCTCAGAGAATCTGATGTTTGTATTATAATTATTGTCATTTGTCTATTTAAGACAGTCATTAATCTCCTGAAAATAATCTGTCAAACTATATCTCCAAGATCTCAACGTATAACCATAGAGGGCCCTTGTGTGTAGTTTTGCTGAGCCTGTAAAAGTAGCATTGTTAGTGTGTGTATTTGGCATCCATTTCACTTCTTCCTGGCAAGCTCAATCTCTCATTAGATTATAAAAATAGACACAAGAAATTCACCTGACCCATGACACTGATTTTCATAGTTAAATGTACAACAGCCGATTTAAATGTAATTTCTGTCATTGTTTAATTAGCCTTTCTGGCATGTCTGGCGCATGGCTGAGTGCCAGATGCCCATATATAAACAAATGCACGAGGAAGACTCACACGCTCGTTACTCTTCCTCATTGCATCTCCAGGTATGTGAACGTTTGTTTCCCGCCGTCATGTTAAGTCAGTTTAACTCGGTTGAATTTTGTGAATATCAGTGTTCATGTTTTAACATAATGAAATGATCATGTACCAAGTATAATTAAAGTAAAGTAAGTATCGTCTGTATCGTTGCCAGACTTATGTTATGTGTAGTTGAGGTTAGACCTTTTAACACGCTCGTTACTCTTCCTCATTGCATCTCCAGGCATAGATTGGGTGTATGCTGAATCCACAGTAGCTGCATACCAACTGGCTGGCTGTCTTTCAGGATGTCGTTAATTCGGCACAATTAAATTGTGCGAGTCCCGCACCTAGGGAACTAAGCCAGCGGGAGGAACTCCCTCGCAGTGTGTCGGACTGCAACCGACCCTAACAGCGTGCTCCATTTGTTGGTGTAGCACCAGTGACTGGCCCTGGTGTGCTACTCACCAAACAGTATTGGTGTACATGATTGGGGATAATTAGCAGAAATATAGTTGTCCCATGTTGAGTAGTGAACCCATAAATATTGATATTACCAGTAATAACGTTTGTTATGTGGGTTGTGATGTACTGTACATCATTCTTATATACTACCAACTGAGTTCTAGTAAATGTTCCATGTTGTTCATTCCAAATAACATGATGTTATAAATATGTTAATTTGGGAAATTGTCAAGTGTGTCAAATAACCATCTGTATTGACAACGAAATAGCATAATGATTGTTTAATGTTGTAACCAAGAATTGAAGATCTATTTTGCTACTTGTAAAAGTAAGACCTAAGGGTCCAGTCCTATCTGAGCGTGTAAAATAACCATCTTATTTGTCAAAGAAAAAGTATAAAAGTTGTTTAATGATGTAACAAGTAATTGAAGATCTATTTTATGAATTGTAAAGTAAGACCTTAGGGTCTAGTCTTAGCCGAGTGTGTTAAATTGACATCTTATCCACTCTTAATCTAATAAATATTGATTTAGTAAACGACGAGTATCACCGCTCTATTTCTTATAACATTTCGTTCTCAGAAAATAACTATTGTAACTCACGTGCCTATAAGCTCGCTATCACGCTACCTAACAGTTTAATGAGGTATGTTATATTCTAATAAAAGTCTGGGTGGTGGCAGGCTGCCATTGTAAGTATAATAAGTGGTTTTCCCAGACTAATCCATGGTATAGAATATAACTAAGGCATGATAATAAATTGAGAGAGAGAAAGGTAAAATATAGAAATAAAATAAATAAACACAGTGAAATAAAGAAGAAAATATATAAAATCTAGAAAAGAAAATAATATATATGACAAGAAATAAAGCATAGAAAAGAATATTAACTTAGAAAATATAAGTAAAGAAATACCGTATAAGATATGTACATAGAGAAAGAAAGACTTAGAAAATGAAATTATTAATATATACACAACAAGAGATAACTAGAAAAATCTGTCTTAAACAGCTATAGATAAAAGAAATAAGAATAAGAGTAAAATGAAAAATGAAACAGCCAGCAAAACTCCCCCCCTTACAACCTTGCCTGTCTATAGTTCGTATAAGCTAGGTAGTTGCAGGCATTCTAATTTTACTGGGTAACTGACGTTTCGTAGTGCAGGCTTCAGTCTGGTGGCCCTCCTTTGGACATTTTCAATCAACTGACAGTCTAGCATATGTTGGGTTCCAGACAGGGTGACAATGCTCCAGATGGGGAAGCACTTCACTATTGAAGAGCAAACTTCTTATAAGACTTACTAGCTTAGTTGCTTGATTCACCTTTTCACACTGGCCCAAGAACTTCAGTTCATTGTCAACATACACACCCGGGTCCTTTTCACATTCTGTCTCTATTAGTGCTGTTTCTTCATCCTGTTGAGACATATGATACGCCTCATTACTGTTGGTACAACCCAGGTGCATCCTCTTACACTTTATGACATTGAATCTTAACAGCCATTTCTTCGACCACCCTTGAAGCTCTTCACAGTCTGGTTGGTAATATAAAAACTAATCCTTAAAATTTTTGTGTGCTTTTTGTGATTTATGAAAATATTTACAGTATTTTTCATAGAAAAATTCCCTCAGGTTGGTGGTTAAGGTGTGCAGCCACCATCTTTTTACTTTTCTTTATCCTCTTCACTACTGATCAGCTCGTTAGCCGCTTGGGCGATCGGTCACGTCTGTTACGCACTGTTGGCAAGTACTGGGCATGTACCAGCTCCTGAATGTACCTGAACCTGCTCCAGTGTTGGTCAAGTACAGTATCACCATAGGTTACTCATGAATATACTGTACTGTACTTCTCTTATAGTGAGGCTCAGTCACCAGAAGACATCACTGAAGCTGACATGGTGGACCTCCTTGCCTTGATATTGTGAGTTTTTTCGCATAACCTCTTACTCATGACATATCTAGTTACCATGTAAAATGTTTTCTACTTGTATTGTTGGTAACTTCAGCATATTTCTGTATGGTAATAGTCCCAGGAGGCTACATTAACTTTACTGTACTCCAGATAATAGTGTTATATAAGGGAATTAATCCCTTCTTTACTACATACCTCATCTCTCATATCACTATCCTGTACTTATCCTCAAATGGTGCTCAGTTACATAAGTTGCTTTACCAGGAACAGTAGCACACATAATGATGTACTTATGGTTTTTAGTAATGTTATTAGAATTTAATTACAATCACTTTGTTGTAATGGAATATAGATTTTATAAGTAAGGAAAGCCAGTTATCTAGTGTTTAAATGACTTTGCAATAATTTGTGACCATCTCTTAATTTTTGCTGAATTCTTGTACAGTATTTCATTTGTATATACTGTGTATGTTCATGCATGATAAGTGCAGTTTGGTAAGAAACATGCATCTGTTCTCTATGATTACTGTTATGATTAAATAATTTTGGAAGGTTTAATCAGTAGGTATAACCAGACAGGTGCCAGTGTTTTACTGTAAGTAACCATACAACACTTGTGTCAACAAGGGTCCACAACTATGTATGGTCACCACTGTTCAGTATGCTTCAGCAATTAAATCTTTGTTTACAGGGACCCAGAACTCTGAAAAATATACATGAACACCCACACTGTTCCCAGGAAGAGATGAAGACCAAGAGAAGAAACAGCATTAATAGAGACTGAATGTGAAAAGGACCTGGGTGATTATGTTGACAACGAATTGAAGTTCTTGGGCCTTTATGAGAAAAAGTGAATCAAGCAACTAAGTCTTATAAGAAAGTCGTTCAGATATCTATATGGTCCATCCCTCGGAACAATTTTCGAGAGTGAGGGGTTCCTCTGTCAGTTGATTGAAAATGTCCAAAGGAGGGCCACCAGATTAGTGCCTGATCTATGACACCTCAGTTACCCAGAGATTTTAGAATGCCTGCAGTTGCCTATCTTATAATGTGTAGGCATGGCAAGGGGTGACTTAAATGAAGTTTATAAACATCTCAGAAGGTACCACATGTACTGTATAGCTTGGTTTTCTTCATATTCAGTAAATAATTTTTATTGCTAATTTTTTGGGTGTGAGAGAACATTGAGGTTGAATTTGATGTTAATTAGTCTTCATGTTTGTCATGCTGTTTGGTGAACATATTGTACAGTGCTGAGAGATGTGGTAGGTGAGTGACCAGCCATGGGGGTTGGGTAACTATGGGGGAGGCACCCTAGCAACCACGGCTTGCCTGCCTCGTCAACCTCTCCTATCCACCCCTCCCCACGCCCCATCCTGCACTGCTGTGCCCCGCCCTGCTGCACCCCGCTCTGCCCCAATCTCAAGTGCCCGCCTCACACCCACCCTCCTCCCGGGCAGAGTCACACCCTGCTTACCCTCCACCATCCCCACCCGCTCTTCTCTGCCCCCTGCCAAATGCCTCTTTACCTTGCCACCCACACCCTGCCTCCTCACCCTGTCCTCCCCCGCCCGTCTTTCTGTTCGTATTTAGTTATTAGAACTTAGTGTAGTTGACATATAGAGATGGATTTCTGTAAAGACCTTCCCTAGTGACCTGTCCACTGCTATTACACCATAGCATGTACTGTATTTGAAAGTAATGACATGTCCCATGACATAACCACCTATAGCTTTCTCCCTCGCTATCCTGCACGGGTTACTTTTGGATTAACGAGATAGACACTATACTGTACTGCATAATATGAAGGCATTTAGAGAAGTAATAATGTTAAAGTAAATGATATTCACTTCTAGACATTCAGATAAGTAAATAAAAATAAAGAATTAAAAGGACAATAAATGAGTAATTTGTTACGTAAAATGTTATATTAAATTTGGTGTACATAAAATGTTACATCCTCTTAGATATATGAAAATTTGCTTATACGAATTCCTCCGTAATTCCCATATTATTTAGGATCACATTGTGCTGGGTTAATAAAACATTATTGTAAAATAATAAATTTTCCCAAAAGAAAATCCCACTCTTAACCCTACTGTAGAGGAGTTATTGTATCCTATTAAATTCCCGCGGCTTTGTTTACATAGTGCAAACGGCTGATTGCCTACACTGTCCATCACCACTTTACCACAAAGTCTGTTTTCATCGCTTATTAAAAATATCCGAGTAATTATTAAATAATATTGTAGTGTATGCATCTGCACATAATAAATAATATTGTAGTGTATGCATCAGCTCATAATCAATAATATTGTAGTGTATGCATCAGCTCATAATCAATAATATTGTAGTGTATGCATCAGCACATAATCAATAACATTGTAGTGTATGCATCAGCACATAATAATATTGTAGTGTATGCATCAGCACATAATCAATAATATTGTAGTGTATTATGCACCTGCATTTGCCCTGGTTTATTTCTTAATTAGTTGTCGAACTGTAGATGTAGCCAAATTGAGCCGTCAACTACTGTATTATACTTAGCTTATACAATTGACAGGCTGCAGGTGACCTAATTGAAGTTTATAAACAACTCGGAGGGCACGACTCAGTCGGGTGTCCATACCTGGAGCTGTTGGATGCCCACCCCACAAGGGGTCACAGCTCAGGTTGAAGAAGCTACAAGTCCAGAAAACTGTGAGGGCAAACTTTTTCGGAGCAAAAATTTTAAACTGAACAATCTGCCAGACAGTGTTGTGACAGCACCAAGTGTGAGCTCTTTCAAGACCAGACTTGACCAACACTGGTGCAGGTACAGATAGATTCAGGAGCCAGTACATGCCCAGTACAGTATAGTACTGTACTTGCCAACAGTGTGTAACAGACGTGACTAACTGCCCAAGCGGCTAAAGAGCCAATCAGTGGTGAAGAGGTTAAAAGTATAAAAAAAAGTAAAGTGTATTACTCAAAGGTAACAAATATGGTTTTTAGGAATGTATCTCCATATTAAATACTTTACTATACAATACATAAAGTATAGTACAGTACAGTATGTTATAATGACCCCATTGTAAGCTGATTTGCCGAATGTCCTCTCTTGGAACAAATCCTGAGCTTTGAAGGGGGTGTTACTGTAAATGTTGGAACATTTATACATACATACCCCTAATTAGATTACAGTACTAGTTTTTAGGGGGAAAAGTCCTTTTTAAGGAACATTTTACTATAAGTTGCATTTCTCTGGAACCCAACCCTGATGTATAATGAAGACCCCATGTACAGTATATTGTTGTTCCTTTTTGTTTACAAGTCTCTCAACAGTCACAATGATGATGAATTATTGGAAAAAGTAGAAGATACCACACACATTATGGAAAACTAACTCTGGAAACTCCACTTATCATTTCAAATCATCCCTCAGTAAAATATGAGGGTGTGATAACACTGTATATGGTGACACGTTATCACCTGACATACTCCTTGTAGAGACTTGCTAAATGCTGTACTGTACTAGTGTTGCAGATAAGAGAATATAATCTTGCGAGCCTGCACTGTGGCACCTTAGCTACCCTGAGAGATTGGAGCGCCCGAACTTGCCTAGCTTATACTACAGATGGGCAAGGGGCGACCTAGTTGAGGTGTACAGTATAAGCATCTTAGGGGGCACTACTCGGTAGTGTGTCCTTACTTGGAGCTGGCGGACGCTCGCCCCACAAGGGGTCACAGGTCAAGGTTAAATAAGTGGCAAGTCCAGTAAACTGTGAGGGGTAAGTTTTTCAGAGTGAGAGGAAACTGGTGGAGGTCCGTAGCGATTCTGACGTGCAAATCGATCGTCGGAGCTGGGTATAGGGTGAGCTCTTTCAAGACCAGACTGGATAAGCACTGGAGCAGGTTCAGTTACATTCAAGAGTCAACAGTGCACAACAGAGACGTGACCGATTGCCCATGCGGCTAACGAGCTGATCAGTGGTGAAGAGGATAAAAGTAAAAGTAAGTAAAGAGCTCGAATACAAAGGATGTTGAAATACTTTACTCTTGCATTCTTACTTAATAAAATCCCTAATCACAGGCGTCTTTGCTCTTACATAGATTTTGTAAATGCTATATCTCAATCGTCCCTTGAGAAGTGTAGACTGTGTGGCAGATAATTACTGGTACTGTATACTGTTTATTTTGTCAGGTTTCATTCTCACAATCATTATTTCCTCACAATAGCAACGAGTAACATTAATTGTATACTGTACTGCTTTGAAATTCTACACATGATTTAAAATTTTGCCTTTTTTCACACTACAGTTACCAGAAAAAATACTAGACAATACTTAACTCATAAAATTCTTTGTGTCGTACTGGGATCGTCATGTTTCTTGTAACACTTTTTCTGAGCTTCTGTTTATGTAGTGCTCTTTTATACAGTGTATTATCTTATCAAAGTTTAAACTATTAAGAAAATATATACAGTAACACTGTTAAGAATTTGTAGTACAGTACGGTACTGTATTCCATTAACGGTGCCGTGTCACGGTCAGATTTCACAACAATGGACGGGGAAATAATTTTCAGTGGTTTGTGGAAGTCAACACTATTATTTTTTTTCTAACTATGTAGAAATTACTTCATTCATTTAAAGAAATTTTGGGTGAAATAATCTTTCAGTAACATCTTTCTTGGTGGACAATTTTTCAAAATTTTCACTCTTGTCTGCCTTAAATAAATTTTACCATCTGACCTCATAACCGAAGGCTACCTCGTGTCTTCACATGCACATTCCAGGAGAGTAAATAACACTTAAGTTCTACAAAAATGAATACTTTAATAAACAGTTGAAACATAAATGTGCCAAAAATTGCTTAACAAATGCAATATGGCAAGGACTAGATTTGGTATGTTGGTGTGCAACAGACAGTGGTGACCTCCTGACTTAACTCAACCTCACCTGAATTCCCTCTTCTTGATCCCTACCATGAGGACAGTGCCAGCAGAAGCAAACAACAGTACTTGGCTTTCTCCTCCACTCACTGCTAATAGAAACTGCTGCCTAAAGTACACACACTTTTATGATGCGACCCATTGTTTACTGAATGTGTTTGAGATGGCGGAGCAGAAGTGTGTGTAATGAGAGCAGAAAAGCAAACGGGATGACAAATTGTGAGGGTGGAGGGCAGAGAGGTTTGGGCAAGACATTTGAAGTATCTTAACACTGGCTAAGGACAAAGCTGGGCTTTTTTTTTTTTTAGCAAGGGATCCTCTTTAATGATGTGGTAGATCCTGTGTTAGTGTGAGAGTGGCAAATCCTATGAAAATGTTGGGGAATGATATGGGTCAGGTAAGGGAGTGTAGCTTCATTGTCTGCTGAAGGATTGAGGTTTGCATCAGCACCTCATGAGGTTACAAAATTACCACATGCCTGTAGGTGTTAGGAGTGACATCTACTTGTGGATAACATCATCACCTGGAAGTAAGGGATGGGCAATATGGGGCACAACGTGGGAAGGGGACTCAGGACACGCTAGTGGTAGCCGTAGCCACAGTTTATACAAACTGGGTGGTCAGTGTACCAGCCAAAGGCACCATAGCCACCAGTGTAGGCACCATAGTCCACGTGGTCGTTGCCTCCATGAGCCTGACGCTCATAGCGGTCAGAGCCGTCAGCCACTAACATTTCATGGCCTCCATCAAAGCGCTGTTCTATCACGGGCATGGGGTGAGCAGCAGAGCTGGCCTGCGGGTATACCGGCACTGACCGTATTTGCCGCACCAGTCGCAGATCTTCTACAGGTATGGCGATATAGCGGGGGTGAGCCTCAGTCTTCATAATGCCAGCAGCCGCCACCAGCAACAGTAGGACCTGGAGACCACAACAGCACCATTTACTGGACTTGTAGAGACTTAGACAACACAACTCCCTCTCAGTAACTGGATACACACAACATATGAACACGGCAAACAACATTTAAAGTAATGCATATATGACATTCAACAGCCAAGGTTAATGTTTCCTTTCACTTTCTCCCCACCTCTCACTCCCTCTCCACCTCTCACTTTCTCCCCACCTCTCACTTTCTCTCCACCGCTCACTTTCTCCCCACCTCTCACTCCCTCCACCTCACTTTCTCCCCACCTCTCACTTTCTCTCCACCTCTTACTTTCTCTCTACCTCTCACTTTCTCACTCTTGACCAACTTGTAGGTAATTCTTCTTAAAACCTTGATTGTCTTTAGTAAGTGTTGGATCAAGTAGAGAATAAAGAAATAGTTGATAAATGAGTTTTGAATCGGTTTTAGTATACAATTGTTGGTTCTTACTCTGAATAGTTAACCGGTTTGTGTGTGGGTGTGTGTGTGTGTGTCCCTTGGTCAACGTCAGGTTTGTTTAATGATAATTTGTAAGTCTGTGTTGGTTTGTGAATCTATAGTTTGTCCTTTTTAATTTTTTTGTGCGTCTGGTTGTCAATTTAAAGATTGTGTGAGGGGCGTGGCTTAGTTTGTGTTGATTACTACGTTATATGTTCAGCTCTTTAGTTGGTTTTGAGCTGAGTGGATCATGTTTGTTGTGTGTGTGTGATTGGGAGAGATTTCTTCGTATTGCTTTTAGTGTGAGAGAAGAGAGAGACTTAAATAATAGTTCTATATTAAAAGCTTGCGATAAGTTTACTTTGTCCCAAAAGGGCAGAAGGTTTCCACAACATAGCAATAGATCCGGGAACCTGCCAGAACTACACGTAAAATACTCACAAGTTTAAGAGCCATGGTTGTGATGGTGTTACTCTAGTTGATGTTTCACAAGGTGTGTGCCCCTGACTGCTGGTCCCCACCTTTTTATACTCCCAGGTGAAATCAACAGTGACGTCATGAGTTTCCCCTATCACTTGCGGTGGTGCCAGGGTGATCACATTCGATTTTAATTAGTCCGTTCAAGATAGGTATTTTTTAGTCGGTTCAAGATATATTTTTTTACACTGGAGGAGCAGAATTACTGTAGTATTGTCTTCATATGAATAACGGGTATAATTTATATATAAATAAATATGAACTAATCTAGCGTTAATCTAATGCTTACAAGGCTGTTCGAAGAAATAAAATCTCACTATCCTGATTTGCCTTTGGGATTTCATACCTACTCAGGACTGCATTATAATAGATAAACCAAAGAAACGATACCAGATATACTTAAAAAAAAACCCCACTATATAAGGAAATAACCGCATGTCACTTATAATAATAGAGGGGATCTTGCATAGGAGGGATAAAGGTTCCGCGGGGATTTGGCATAATTGTCACGATTGACGACACACATCGATTAAGTATGATCTTTACTTACGAACAGCTGACCACATCTGAGAAATTGTTGCTCTCTTGCATCATAGGGTCGAATAAACGGATCAATTTATGATGGTAGCCAGGTTTCGATTTTTCTATGAACACGTTTTTCACATAGTTCAGACTAAGACACTTCCTCTGGGGCCTTTCCGTCGGAAATTCATATTTTTCGAGTATATATGAAATTACCAACACTTACTTTAAAATGGACAGGGCTTTGAAGTTGAGTGGAAATGTGGGGTAAAATGCTAAAAATAACACCAAACAAACCTTTGAAAACCTGACCTAACGTTTCCTAACATTTAAAAATCCTGAAAATATAAAAAGTAATGGTGTTGTTTTCGGTTTTTAGTATGTGATGGTGTCGTTTCCGGTGTTTTAGATTAGGAGGGATCCATAAACTCTAAAGTGACTTTTAACTTTTTTACAAGTATTTTACCCCACATTTTTCCTCGACGTCGAAGCTCCTGTCCACTTTAAAAAAAATAGTATTGTTGGTAATTTTAAAATATTAAAATACTCTTAAAATATAAATTTCCGACGGAAATGCCTTAGAAGAAAAAGTCTAAGAATAATCTGAACTATGTGAGAAACATTTTTTTTATAGAAAAAATCGAAATCTGGATACTATTATAAATTGACCCAAACTAGTAAACATTAACACTGAAAAACAATAACCACCATCTTCATCTGTTTTCCTCTCTCCCGCTCTCTCTTTATCTTTCTCTCCCTTCCTCTTTCTCTCTCTCCTTCCCTTCCTTTCATCTCTCTCACTCCTTCAGCCCTTCTCTCTTCAATGACCCAAAAAACAATCCTTTAGCTACGCAGAGATCCACCAAGTCACTGTCAGGAACACAACACTACGCTGAACTAATTGTGGTAATGAATTCTTTCCACCTCTTGTGGTTTTTATATGTGGCCTGTTACTTTTTATAGCTTTTTGCGCTACTTTTATAACCCAAATGTTTACACCACCTTTCCACGCTACTTTTAAAACACGTATATTTCCAGTTTACACCCGCTTTCTGCGCTACTTTTACTTTGCTTTTATCCTTTTCGCCACTGATCAGCTCGTTAGCCACTTGGGCGATCAGTCACGTCTCTGTTACGCACTGTTCGCAAGTACTGGGCATGTACCTGTATTGGCTCCTGAATGTTTACACCCTCACCGTTACTCTTATTAAATATTGACGATATTTAACGAACTATTTATCTACACAATTATTTATTGCGTGAGTCCCTTAGTTATTCATCTTATGGTGGATGTTTGTGTTTCGTCTCCAGTTAAGTCTTTACAATTTTCGTCCTTATATCTATTTATCTATTTGCGTATCTTATTTAATTTCTTCATTCATTTAGAAATTAATTTAAATATTTATAAGTGTATTGAGGAGCAATCATACACTGAATAATTTCTTAAAATAATGAAATTAGGGAACGTAGCTTATACACAGGGACAAGTAAAAGAAAAATTAAATGCAAACAATCACGGCTTAAATTAACCTAAACCCTAACTTCAGCCTTACCATACAATTGAACAGTACAAAGGTAAAAACCACTTATCTCCAAATCAATATATCGAGTCCAGACAAACTGTACCACACTGGGACCACACTCTCACACAGCCAGGCTCGTCTGCCTCCCCGACTCCAAGGACCAAATCCTTGCGCCTCTCCCTCCACTCACCGGCTGAGCTGGTTAGTGACCCAGTGCTGATACCATGTTACCAATTATCATGCTGTTTTTCCTAACAAATACACAACATTAGGCTGATTTAATTAATACATGTATATTATAAATTAATATATATATATATATATATATATATACAGGAATAAAGTAATATAGAATATAGCCCTACCTACTAAACAAACAGGGTAATTACCCTGAACAAGTAGGCTATTTATTCCGTGCCACATAATATATATATATATATATATATATATATATATATATATATATATATATATATATATATATATTTATTATATATAATTTTCAACGTTATAGTGCTATTATTTTATCATCGCTATTCATTGTTAAACAGTGCACTGAAGTTGGCTCATCCTTCTAGATCAGTGTTTAATGACTGAATTTCATCAGCATATTTCATTGTTCAAAACGGAAGTGTAGTGAATCACCTCAATTAAATTAATGTTTAGAAACATTGAAACGGCTTTTACCATAGCTTTAATGTTCAGTAGTGTTATGTTTTCCGTCATCCAGCAAGATGTTGACAATTTTCATTTGTTCACTTTTCAAAAACTAATGTGTTCAGCGTTAAAAAAAATGCATTCCTTTTTTAATGTATGCCTTCATTGTTAAAATCTAATGTATTTACTCTTCATAAATAACTTGGTATTAATTTAATAACCAATTAAGTTCATATTTAAAAAGGGATGTTTTCCGTGTTCAAAACTAATTCTCATTGGTCAAAGTAATTATTTATCATTTCACCGTCATCAGTTTACTAGCCGTTCGGGCGGTTGGTCTATCCAGTGTTAGTACAGGAGGAAACCGGAGTAGCTAGAAGAAACCTGTGGTGTTTGGTGGTGAGGGTCACACAGGATAACAGCCTTCTCACGTGTGTCTGGGCCAAGCAGGACTCGAACCCTTGACATATTAGTGAGAGAAACCAATAAAGTATTCACTGTTAAATGCTAATATTGAATGTTCAAGAGTAATGTGATTTTTTAAACATATTCAGTGTTCAAAACAACTATGCTCATTTCTAAATAGTTATGTTCAGTATTCAAGATACATGGATTTATTGTTCAAAATTAATGTGTTTAATGTTCAAAACTTTAAAATGATCAAAAGTGTAATGTGTTTAGTGTTCAAGAGTGTTATAGTTCATCCTTCAGGGTAATCAGCTGACACAACCATAACTAAAACAAAACAAACATTTACTAACTTCATCTCAGCTGATCGTGTTAATGTTATGGTGCAAATCTTTACATGAACATTTTTACCTTAAGGGAGTATTATTCACACACACACACACACACCTACCTGTCGGGGAGCACGTACTGAAGCAGAGTTAATGCTGTCAGTTCTCTCAGCCGGAACGTGACCACAACAAACACAGCAAGACGAGTGTAATGGCCAGTTTCTCTGTCATTAGTGTTGATAGCAAAGGGTTTCGGAGAGTTACTTGAAGACTAAACACCACGAAGAAAACTTAAATCCCTTCTGTGGAATAATTGACGATATATAAGAATAATGTTTTGTATATAGAAATTAAAATATAGGGTACGATGCTGGCACATTTTGACATGATAACTAGTCTGTCTGTGGGGCTATATAGAAGCTACAGTGCCATGACTACAGCTCCATGTATACGATAGCTTAGAATCATTAATATAACAGCTAATTACTTTTGTATATCTAAATACTTTGATGACATCTTGAATCATTTAGGTAGAGTTTACAGCAACATACATGACGAACTTGCTTTGAGTACAAAGAAACAGTAATACAATGACGTAACCAAGGATTCTGTACACCCTATTAACTTAACACAGTGCAGATGTAATGAAGATGGTTGGGGAAAATATATATCATAATTTCTCTTTGAATCATTTTTCGTATCGTTTAGGAGGTAATGTTGATAATTAAACAAAAGTCTTGAGCGCTTGGAAGTATTGTTATCTAAAACGTGCGCCCAGAATAAAGCGCATAGCGATACCTTAAGTACGATTTATCAAACAAAATTAATAAGCACTCAACCTGCTGAGATGAGAATGGAGTGGTGGTTACAGAATTTTATTGTGCAGAAAGTTGTCGCTTGTGAAACTTGTCATTGGTGAATTCGCTTGCTTTTGTTGTATGACATACAGTATTCTGCTTTTTGTTAAAGCACTTGATCGCCCAAGCAGCTAACGAGCCGATCAGTGGTGAAGAGGATAAAAGAAAAAAAAACTATATCGTAAAACAGTATAATACACTATCAACAAACTCACTGAATTGTTTGAGGTACAAATCAAAACACGTACTGTTCTCTCTTGATAATATACCAATACAAACAGAAAGTCTTACGAGTGTGTAAACAAGTTTGATCTCTCCTCGTGAGCCATGGGGAACCTTAGGTTCCACGCGGCTGCCTCCCCCGCCGGGCTACTCAAACTCGTAGAGAGAAAGTTGGACTTGCTGGTTAAACGCCGCTTTCTCTACGTCCTATACTGCGCGACGCTCAAGTTAGCACGAAGGTGGAAGAAAGCACCAGGTATTGTACAGTCATGTTGCGACACTGTTATCATAAATATGATGAACGGCGGATGAAATATACTGTAAATGTAATTTTAACGGGATGAGATACATTACAGTGTCTGGGTGTAGTTTGTGACGAATTGTTAATTTTTTACACTATACTTGACAAAAAACATTCTGATTACAGTTGTATCACATTTTAAAGCTTAAAAAGTTAATATTGAACGCAGTGGAGACTGTACTATAATGTTACACTCAAGTCATCGTAGTTCAGTTGAGGCGTCGTCACCAATACTATAGTTCTTCCGCAATAAACGCGGTCCACCTGCAATAGAGAAAACGTGTCTTGCCGGGGGACCATATCCGGATTCTCAAAGGTTATCGATTATAATTTTTCCCTGTAACTACTCAATAGAATACTTATTTACCCATTGAAAAAATCATTTGCTCAGTCATCATAGTGGTGCATCTGAAGTCATAGAGTCAGTCAGATGTGCATCCTTGACCACCGAAGGGTCGAGACGTGCCTGGCGCTCCTCTCGGAGCAGCCAGGTCAACTGTTGTGTTGGCCCATACCAGCCCCCTCCCCTGAACCCTCCTCCCCACCGGAATATCAACATGTTCTCGCCAGAAGTTGCTGTTTCATTTAGGAAAGGAATGGAACCAGTGTTAAACAGAGGTGAACAGTGGTGAACAACTCAACAGTAACAGTCGTGCCCGGGTTGACCTTCACACAGTGAGGTCCCAGGTACCCAGTGATAGCGGCCAGTGAGACCCAACAACCAGCGATGTGTTAATCCGTCTACGATAGGAAGGCCTGGGACCACACCTCACTCATATAACACCATCTGTGAGGGAATTACTACACCACGTCAGGCCCCTCATAACACCATATGTGAAGGAGTTACTACACCACGTGAGGCCCCTCATAACACCATCTGTGAGGGAATTACTACACCACGTGAGGCCCTCATAACACCATCTGTGAGGGAATTACTACACCACGTGAGGCCCTCAAAACACCATCTGTGAAATTACTACACCGTGAGGCCCTCATAACACCATCTGTGAGGAACTACACCACGTGAGTCCCTCTAACACCATCTGGGAGGAGTTACTACACTACGTTTTGCTGTTCAACTTACAATAATCTGTATGTTCACTGTATGTTCCTTTACCTTTCTCTAATGAAGGCTTTTGTTAAACCACCAATGTATGTAATAAGTCATTTATGTCCAATGTATATTTTCAGCCTTCGGGCTGCAGAACTTTTTCAATTAACCGTCAATTATTATTATTATTATTATGTGTTGTTCAATCCCGAGTTATGCTGAGGTCTTTAGTGTAACTAAGGTGTTTAGGTGTTAAATCAGTGCCTCTCGGTGAGTGGATAATATATACTGTGTGTGTGTACAGTCTTACCCAAAAGTTGGTTAACTCTCCCAGCCAGCTATTGCAGCACTACCTGCCTTAGATGTTTGAAACCAGAACATGAACCCGATACGAATGAATCTATAGGTTCGAAGTAACAGAATCAAGTTCATACATCTGAAGCAGGCAGTGCAGCAATAGCTGGCTGGGAGAGTTAACCAACTTTTGGGTGAGACTGTACTATATACTCCGTACAGTGGTGTAGGTGTGGATGTTTAATAGCAGCTGGTGAAAGTATCCGACTATTTACACCTTCTGGGCAAAGGAAAATAGAAAGAGAGAGAGAGAGAGAGAAGGAAGTGGACGTATTGGAGAATGGGCTAGACGACAAAATAATTAGAAAGAAAAATTACAGGAGAAAGCAAACACGACAGGAGAAAGCAAACACGACAGAAGAAAGGAAACACGACAGAAGAAAGGACACACGACAGGAGAAAAGAAACACGACAGGAGAAAGCAAACACGACAGGAGAAAGCAAACACGACAGGAGAAAGCAAACACGACAGGAGAAAGCAAACACGACAGAAGAAAGGAAACACGACAGGAGAAAGGACACACGACAGGAGAAAGCAAACACGACAGAAGAAAGCAAAATACGACAGGGGGAAACCTAAATGACAGGAGAAAGTTATATCTAAAGAGAACGAGAGAGTGACAAAAACAGACACAGTGAGAGTCAGCTACAGACCCTTCAACAACATACCCGGGGGTGACCATGTATAGAGCTGAGTCACTTCAGACGACAGCTGCTGCTACCGCTACACCGCTGAGCCTAGCAATCACTCACTATTGCCTCACATCACAATACCTGCTATGTAGAACTAATCTTCACAAATTACTTGCCCTCCATTTTATTTTATTTATTTATTTATTTTTGTTTTATTTAGCTGTTTCATTATTTATTGTATATTGTTTGTTCAGTAATATAATTGCCATATTTTTTTCATCGCAAATTGATTGATAGAGGTGTTTCCAAGTACAGTGCTTGTTGTTGCCAGTATTTGTATACAGGTATTAATCTTCGAAAAAACAACCTTCAACGGAAATAATGCACATTTTGATTATGTGATATGATCAGTGGTGTAGTCAAGCTAAAATAGAACTTTCTTCTCTTCTACTAAATTCTTTAGATGATTCACCCCGCCACACATACACTTGTTAACTGTATCATATTAAGGTGTTTCATTGTCCAGTTATCAGCCTCCAAGTGTCTTACTATTTCTCATAACAATAAAGGATAATAAAAGTGATATTTAAGCGTGAAAATTTATAAAGAAGCTCCAGAACACTCGTCCTTAACAACTAACTTCCGGTGCCATCACAACAAGCACATGACACAGGATTTCCCTTCATTCAAACTTTGTTTTGATGTGAACTTGAAAAGAAAAAAAAGTATATTCTTTAAAAATAAAGATTAAAAACTCTTTAAGAAATATAACCTTTATGTACAAGGGCAATAAATTTTTTTTGCGTGATAGCATCGGCGCCCGAGAGTCATGGTGACGTCAGGGGGTGTCCGAATCGCTGCAATAAGGTTCGGCATGATGTTAGTTTTGTGGGGAAGGTCATCTTTTGTGCCATTCGGACGCAGCCCAAGGAAACAATGTCTCTCGTATCTTTGGCTTTTGGTCTTAATTATTAAAATAAGAAGAAAACTTAAGCTTACTACAGGATGTTTGTGGCATTTGGAACTTGGGTTAAGGGGTTAGAATTCAGAGAGGGGGGGGTTCAGGGTTCACGCGGGTGTTTCACCAAGGCTCAGTTTCGAATCCATGGCGATAATGAGCCCCAGTAAAGCTTGAGGCATGAGACTTACAGGTGCTGGTGTTGTTGCCCTTGAGATAATTGTTTTTATTTTGGTGAAATTCTCGTTTCATCTCTTTATTATTGTTTTTCCTGTATTTTTTTCTTATATATGAATCGCACTTGTACAGTATTTTGTTATTTCTGAATCGTACTTTTATTTTTTCATCTCCTTCCTCTATAACCTCCACCATTTTAAGTATTCATTGCTATTTTTTCTTAATTTTAATTATTCTTCGTGTTATTCCATTATTTTTAATTTTTATTCTCATATATTTTTATTACTTGATCTTTTATCTTATTTTTATCTGTTTTATCTTTTCTATCTTTTATCTCCTCTTCCTTCTTGTGCTTCTTCTCACTCTTTTTTCTACTTTATCTATTTATTTATTCACCTCTTCTACTGCTTCGTATGTTACTTTATTATTTTCTTCTTTTATTTCCTACTTGTTCATTTCTTTTCATTCAATCACTTACCTACTTATCACTCTATACTAAAGTGTTTTTCTTTGTTTCGTCTCTCTACTTTGATCCCTTCTTTGTCTCTTTCCCTTCGCCTCCTTCCTACTTTCCTTCATCTCCTCTTCTCCTTTTTCGTCTTCATCGTCTTCTCCATTTCTTTCGTCTCTTCATCGTCTTGATATCGTTTTCACCTCCATCTTCATCGTTTCCTTGTCTCCTCCTTCTCCTTCGTTCCTTCACTCCTCTCCGTCAGCGTAGCGTCGTTGCCCAGACAACCTCGTCCTCGACCTGTGAATGATATGAGCTCGTCAAAAGGTGGTGAGGGAAGTTCCTAGGTGGTGAGGGAAGTTCCTAGGTGGTGAGGGAAGTTCCTAGGTGGTGAGGGAAGTTCCTAGGTGGTGAGGGAAGTTCCTAGGTGGTGAGGGAAGTTCCTAGGTGGTGAGGAAAGTTCCTAAGTGACTCTTAAAGTTTCTAAATATTACTTGAAATAATGGGATTTAATCACGAAAATAATAACATAAACCTGGGTGTTGTAATCTTCAAGTGACCCGTTGACCCGTTTCTAAAGTAGCCGTATAATTCTCTCAAGTGGTCATGGGAATTTCTAAAACATTAAAAAAGAAACGACACCAGAACATCTTAGTTTTCACACCGACCTTTCGAAGAGGGCAGGGTCGGTGTATATGGGCTCAGAAGGGTCAGGAAAGCGAGATGAGGTAGCCGCTCCGTCCTCAGCCTGGGGAGCACTGGCTGGGGGGTCGCTGCTGGGGAAGTAGCTGTAGGAAAATGGATAGATAGATAGATATTTATCCATTACAATCATCATACCAATTTACGTACACAGTGCAGGTATATAAACAACAGTAAATAGGAGAAACAGATGTCACATTATCAATATCAACAAGACAACAGGAACACGTAAATACATCTATGACTTTATGACACATCTACACTTTCCAGGGCACGGAGGACTTTATTCTATTGTTTCATCGGATTAAAAAACAAAACAGTTATCTTATTTTCCTAAGAGGTGATTGAAGAGACTATTAAACTTGGTGCAGTGTGGAGGGTAAGGATGGTGTGTGTGTGTATATGTGTGTGTGTGTGTATATATGTGTGTGTGTGTGTGTGTATATGTGTGTGTGTGTGTATATATGTGTGTGTGTGTGTGTGTATATGTGTGTGTGTGTGTGTGTGTGTGTGTGTGTGTGGAGGACGAGGTAGGAGAACTATGTATGTGGTAGTGACTGATGAGTGGGAAGCTTCTGACTCACTGACTGAGCCTACAAGTAAAGAACTGATGGAGACGATGTTAACTCCCACCAGGGAAAGAAAATCAAACTCCTACAAGCAAGCTGACTCGGTGGTGCTTCGAGGGGCAGCAATGACAATAAACGTCTGTAAGCAAGGTGAGGGCGGTGGTCAGAACGAAGCGACCATAAACGGGTGATGGGGGAGGGTCAATGGACGTGTGACAGCTTACACCTGCCTGGCGGGCTGTGTGAGGGTCCTGGGATGGGCGCCAGGGAAGGAGAACTTGCTCTTGTGTTGCTGCTGGGGATGCTGCTGGTGGTACGGGTTCCCGGCATCTGCGGCTGCGTTTTTATCATCCAGCTGCCGGTGTTTCCTGCAGGGTGGAAAGTGATGTTAGTATGATCTATTTTCTAAAAGCTAATTGCAATATAGTTGAAGCAAAAAGTGGGGGAGGTAGCTGATGAAGAGAGTGGAGTAGGTACCTGAAGCAGAAGGCGACGCAGAGGAGGGAGACGAGGAGGCAGACGATGGTAATGACTAGACCGGCCACCATGCTGTAGTACTCAGTAGGGGCCAGACATACCTCAGTCATCAGGGACTGGGATATAGCCGGGTCCTCTATCTCGTCCCTGGAGAGGTATACCTGTAGGGGGTAATGAGGGGGTCAGTACACACCAGTATTACCTGCATCTGTCATGACTAGTGAAGGGATCAATACACTTGCAGAGTCTTATGAATTTAGACAGACAGACAGACAAAAAAGAGGGATAGTGGTCATCGTACCTCATATAAGCCGATGACCTGCTCCTCCTCCTCCTCCTCCTTGTTCTCGTCCTCGTCCTGTGCGTTGGTCTGAGTCTCGAGGTCGTCTCCAGCGTCTCGTCGTTTGCGGCCATACGACTCTATCTGTTCTCGTCCTTTACCCAGAGTGCACCGCGCCTGTGGAAAGGAGGGGGGTGGACGATACACAACAGATGGAAGAGAGGAATTTGTACCTGTAACTTGTACCTGTATTTTATATTTTATAGGTACCTGTAACCTGTATTTGCACCTTTAACTTGTATTTGTACCTGTAACTTGTATTTGCACCTGTAACTTGTATTTGCACCTGTAACTTGTATTTGCACCTTTAACTTGTATTTGTACCTGTAACTGTATTTGTACCTGTAACTTGTATTTGTACCTGTAACTTGTATTCGCATCTGTAACATGTATTTGCACCTGTAACTTGTATTTGCACCTTTAACTTGTATTTGTACCTGTAACTTGTATTCGCATCTGTAACATGTATTTGCACCTTTAACTTGTAGCTGTACCTGTAACTAACACTTATATAATTATGTACCTGTTTGTTTTTCATCCCTAACATCAATTGGTATAAACCTGTGGCTGCAATGTTGTTTTGTACCAATGAACTAAATGGATCTCAACACTGTGAGAGATTTTTTCGAATCACTTATCGTTGTGTCTGAACAGTGTTATAAAAATGTAATATACTATTTGTTTTCTGTATTAACAACACTAAATATACTGTTTTCCTCAGAATTAATAGCTAGAGAAATAAATACCATACATTTGTTTCTGTATTGCTAATGAAACAAGGAAATATGGTATTATTATTTCTATATTTACAAAGACGAAACTTAGACTCACTGCTTGACATCCTCCGCGACAAGTCCTCACGTTGGCCTCGAAGATCAAGAAATTGGCTTCGGGAATCTTGAAGGCGTTGAAACGAGCCTCCAGCCCGTCACCATCTCGACCTTTGCCAAGTGCCGGGAACACGTAGTTGTCTAAGGGGCATCTGCGGAGGGCATCAGAGGTTAGTGCGGGTCAGAAGAGGTCAGGAAAACAAATAAACACGATGGGTCAAGAAAAAATATAAACACAACGACCCCTCCCCCCCATGCACACACACTCCCAAACACAGACTCAGACATACAGACAGACTACTCACCCTCTACTATCGATCAGCTCAACGGTCCTGCCAGAGTAAGGATCCTTGGCGACGACGTTGGTGGCGAAGATATCGGATACCAGGTTGTATCCCCTCTGGGAGTCCAGCTTGAAGGTGAGCGGATCACCCACGGCGATGGTGGTAGTGGGCCGCCCGCCGTAGAGGATCTGCAGTCGCACCTTCGACTGCAATTGGCTCTCCGCCGGCAGGTACTCAATGGGTGTTGGTGCCCCTGAGCTGAGGAGAGAGACAGGGAGACGGGTGTTAGGGACGGGTTGGAGGGAGGTATTAGATAGAGGAGGGAAGGGAGAGTCCTGAGGGTGGAGACTATTTAGGAGAGAGGGAGTATAAGGGGGGAGTATTGGGAAGGAGGGAGTATAAGGGGTTGAGAAGGAATTAGGAAGACATTGGAGATATATATTAAAGTGGGGGCAATAAACATGCTTAAAAAAACTGGACCCAAGGTGATCCAACATTACCCACTATGACCTCACCTGAATCCGGATGACAGGTTATGTCCCCAGGTGCTCAAATGTTATCCTTGGTGACCTTGGATAACCCAGCATGCTTCCAGGTGATAGTAGTGTATGGACATAGTAGGTGCAATGACCCAGAATGACCCAAGATAGCAAGAATATGGTCTCCTAAGACCAAGCATTACCCTAGTTGACTCAAATGATCGAGGTTGACCAACCCAGCACCGATGTAGCCAGAAGTGACGACGGCCTCGCCAGGTCCCACGACGGTGCAGGTAAGGTTGTAGCGCTTGTCGAGGGACGTCTGGACGTTGTCGGCGAACTGAACCACCACGATGTTGGTGGTGGTCTCCCCATACTGTGGCGGGAGGCGAGGTATTAGTGATGCTCCTGTCTGATTCACTTGACAATGGTGTGTTATGCATGTAATGGACAAGACTGAACAATGTAAACCCTTAAGTTAGTGTACACAGTATTGAACATTGAAGGTACAAAGTGAGGGCCAGAGGAGCTCTGGTCAGGTTTCTACCGATATTGTCCTGATGTCTGGTTGCCACTTGGCTACACCTCACTTGAATGACCAAGAGTGTTTCCCCCATTCGATATTCAGTAACATTTAATTAGTTACGATATTTGTAAACTCTCCATAGAGGAGCCCGCCGTAATATTAAAGAGGATTTAAATATGACATCCCAGCCACTACTGCAAAGACTTCTATCAACAAAAACACATCAACAACTGCTCCTGAGTCCCGGGCTGGAGTGCTTCGCCATCTGGTGAGTACAGCAGAGTGCCTCAGTGCCTCACCTTAGTAGTACCACAGTCGGGGACGCCCCTGGCACCAGATATCTTCAGAACGGTCGCGGTGGAACCTGATCCCCGTGTGTAGCAGCGGTCGTAGTAGCCGTAAGTATAGATGCGACCGCGGAAGCCTTCTTCTGTCTGTAGCATAAACTCCATCCCGTCCTCAGTACACTGCTGGGTCACTGTGGGGCGGGGCGAGGTGGTGGACGGTGGGAGAGGAATAGTGAAGTGATAGGGGTGGGGTTGGCGGAGAGAGAGAGAGAGAGAGAGAGAGAGATAATAGGCGATAAGTAGTGTCAATGGTACGTTGGGTGGAATAATAATACAAATAATACGTGAGGGCGTAGATGGGGAGACGGAGGGGTAGAGAGAGTGAAGACGGGGTGTGGGAGAAGGGGGAGAAGGTAAATTGATATTATATTATACAGTACGTAATGTTAATTGTCGTTATTATTACAAACAGTATATCTATTTGAATTGATAATAGCTAAAATAATTATTCGTGATTTTACTGTTTTACTACATTTGTGAGATTGAACTTTAAAATTGTAATACATCAAGGCACATGTAAAAAAAATAGCTTAGAAACTAACTGCAAGAAAAACTTATGAAATATTTAACAATATTGACAAGTGGGGAAACACAGTTATATTAGTCATAAATCTTTATAATCTTCTGCATCAAGTAATAAAGTAAATGCACTCAAACGCTTAACATGCTTCCTCATGCAATTACAGCTTACAGAAACCGTTTCGAGTCATGCACAGTGCCTGACATCAATTGTGTTAGTACACCCGAGCACAACATGCTGCCGTTCTCATCAATCCTTCATCCATAGAAAATGTATATATTGAGAGGAGTAACTAAGATAAATGACGATATAACTTAGACAATGGAAAAGCAGAATGAAAAGACAAGATAAAAGAAATTACAAAACAATAATTAGGAACACTGAAAAATAGAGATAGACGATATGAATACAGATCAGATATGCAATATTAACGACAGTGACAGAGTCAAGGCAAGTGACGATGGTGAGCATTTCATCAGTTTGTCTGCTAACTAACCCATCACTGATGTTCTCAGCTGAGTACACACAAATACTCTTGAGAACAATGTCTATTATAGATAATACTATGTCTCAGAATTTTTTAATACTTTTGGACTAGTGGATTACTAACCTTGTTTTGCGCTTTCTGGATAAACACAATAAACATATAATGAATGAATTAATGGACAGTTACCTGGCCAGCGCAGTGTTAGATAGTATTGGGAATATTGTTGCTGTCATGCTGTCATCTTAAGTTTCTCAGAATTAAATTTATCAAATACCTCGTACTGTAGCACTGCATTTGTTTGTCTCTTTACCCGAGCACTTGCCATCAATAAAAATGTTCACGAATACTGTTCAATGATAATGATTGCAGAGGTTCTTAATTTGTTATCTGTTATCAGTGTCCACAATGTATTTTTCTTTATGCATAACTGACCCTTAAAAAAAGTAATGTTTTGACTACACTGACAGTAAAATATGTCAGCCATTATTATAAAATTTATAGTCATGAAGTTTGCGACATGACCAAGAGGTATAAAGTGTCTAGTGTGTGCGGTGAGACACTGACGTCTTTCCCCGAGGTCTACTGTACGAGGGAGGCAGGTGCAGTACCAAGTAGTGAGTGTATGAGTGTATTGCTGCCAGTCCTACTTCAGTGCCCAGAACACCAAAGGAATTACACTTTCTACCGTTCCCTTTCACTACTTTTGCCAAAACAAAGATAAATAATGCAGCAAAAGAAAAGGGGCTGCTATAATGCTGTGAACACTGTTGTTTAGGGGCATTCCAGTAAACATATAGAGATTGGTCAAAACAAATGAACAACTAAAGGTAAAAAACGGAGGTGGGTTTTTTTCCAAGCACCCATTCGTCACGCATGCGCAGTCCAACACCCACTAACCATCGAGGCAGTTGTCGTCTACCCGTCTCTCATAATATTGGTAAAGGGTGTTGGCTTCGTAATGGACGGGGTTATCCATGGAGAGAGTACTGCTATCCTGGTCTGACAGCTCGCAGTTCTCGGGGAAAAAGGATCTAAGATAATTCAGATAAGAATTTGGTTAGTGGTTAGTATCCTCACACCTGTGGCTGGGATTATATTGTTAGTTAGCATGCAATCGACGACTCCTGCCCCCGTCTGCATCTCTGTGGGTATGACAGCCAGATGATAAACTGCATTGGTTTAGTGGCTGAGTTAAGCTTTTTCCCGTGAAAATATTGACTGACACTTAACCAGAAAATCAAAGCAGATTATTTGTTTAAAGAGAGAAAGAGAGAAAAAAAACCAACTCATATATAAAGAAACAAGTGAGAAGATAATAGGAAAAAAATGTACTTTATTAAGAGTGAAGACAGGTGAGCAAACTACCTGTCCAATCGTCACTGAGGGGATGAGAGGAGCCCTTACCCTCGTGGCAATCGGAGTCTCTGCCTCCTGACCCTCGCTCGTAGTAGTCAGTGGAGCCGTCTGTCTCGAAGTGGCTTGGGTTGTTGAGACGGAGGATGGTGTGGGTGTTCTCGTCCGATAGTTCACAGTTATCCCGAGTGTTGGAATACCTACAGAGCCGTGTCAGGGTGCATAAAAGTAGGTTAAGTGAGGCAAGGAACGAGTCGCTGAGAAATGGAACCATACATGCGGGAGTTTCAGAGGACAGAGACGATTTATTCATTGGGGTGAGGAACTGAGGGAGTTAAACATGCTTCTTTGCTGGGATAAATCATGCTATATAAGGGAGTATGAACCAATAGGAGATTACTGTTGACAGGGAGGAGTTATTATCTGAGTTGTGTTGGAGGTGAGGGAAACAGGAGCTGTGACTAAGGTTCATGCTAGTATTTATTTTTATTTTTATAAAGAACATGCTTGTTGGTTGTGGTCTGGGGGCGTATACAGTGTATGGTTTAGAATTTGTATGGATAAATCAACATATGGTTATATGTAAATAAATAAATATATAATCTAACATATAGGTTCAGTTTTTATGAATATATCTCGTATAAGTTAAAGCCACACACACACACACACACACACACACGTTACCAATACAAACTCTTACATAACTCAGACAGTATTACCACTATAAGCGCTTACACCACATCCACAGTGTTGCCAACACAAGCTCTTACACGACATATAACAGTGTTTCCAACATACTCTTACATCACACTGTGTTACCAACATAAAATCTTACATCACACAGTGTTATCAACACAGTTCTGGGCTCTGGGATAAATATGATGATCATGTGCGCTGCTGCGGCCTTACCTTAACACTGAGATGTGACGCTCAGGTGACCACTGGGGGCAATAACGCTTCTGGTAGCACAGCAATAATATAGGGAGAACGAAACGCCGTGAGTGATTCACAAGAGCCACAACTCACCTGTAATTGAAGCTCCTGCAGGTGTAGGAACGCTCACCCAGACAAGCTCTCTTGCATTCGCCGAGGGAGTTGACGCTCTCGTAGTCGCGGATGTAGGATGCTCGGAGTCTCAGCCTCGTCCCTACAGGCTCGAAGTTGTCTGAGTTGGAGCAGCGGGAGGAGGCCAGCCCGCCGCCGCCTGACCCACCACTAGGAGGCCAGGGACGGCCGCCTCCGCCTCCCACTCCGCCTCCTCCTCCAAAGTACGGTCTGCCTCCAACGCCGCTGCTGCTGCCCCCAAAACCGACGTCACCTCCTGAAATATCAACGTCACGGTTCGCTCCTGAAAGGCGGGGACCGGGCCAAGAGGGGATCGTCAGTTAAGTTCTACTTGTGAAGGTGCTGCCGCTGACGCTGCTGTTACTACTGGTGTGTGTGTGTGTGTGTGTGTGTGTGTGTGTGTGTGTGTGTGTAGTACTGGGGTCACTGCTACTAAGTACAGTACTGTGAGGCAAAAAGTTACTAAAACTGTTGACATATTGAGAGCATCGTTGGCATCACGTCATACACGGTAACTCAACACAACAAACAGCCACACCGCGACGTAACGTGACGACCGATAACGGGTAACATAGTCGTAACAAGTGACTCACATAACAGAACGCCGTGTAACAAGTATTAGATAAACCAAAGACGACATAAGGTTTCATTTCCACTTGTCTGTAAATTCAAGTTTTCGCTGTAAATTCCTTATTTATACTTGAGTCGTCTGTAAAACAATATACCGTATAGTGTCTCTTATTATGATGAGTCACTACAAGACGTAATATGTTGTTTACACTTGTGTCGTCAACAGGTGTGTGAGGTACAGTGGTCCGCACCGTTGTGGTACTGGGAAAGACGCTTCATAGAGAGAGAGAGAGAGAGAGAGAGAGAGAGAGAGAGAGAGAGAGAGAGAGTTATATAATATATCCAAAGGAGTCAAGTGAGTCTGATATGAAGGCGTCAGGCGGTAGCTCAGGTTAAGTCATGTTAAATGATGTTCACACGTGTTCAGTAAGTCCGTAAGAGGCTGGATGCTAAAATGCAGAAGTGATGAGACTGTTATAGGACAACTGGTTAACAAAACGGCTATGCACACTGCACATGCGAGTGTCATGCAAGCTGATATATAACATCTGTAGCAGTGAGTAAAAAAATAATTTTTATTCAAGCTGAATGAAACAATATATTGTTTTTTTTGGTGTGCTCGTAAATAAACTTAGATACAATCTAGTCATGCAGAACAGGCGGAAAAAGCGATTTTTACCACTGAAAAGCTGATTTATAATGACAATGGCTCGTCCATGCACAGTTGTTATATTTTCATGTTCAGTTTGTAAAAGTTCCATGCACATCTCTTGTTAGAGTCGAGCGTCACATCATGCACAGTTAGTGACACAGTTTATAGGACATCCATGCACCTTTACTGTCGTCCAGGTGATGACGAGCGCCACATCATGCACAAGAGCTTAGTCACCCGAGGTAAATTTGTAAGAGGCCAAGACAGAAGCTTGAGGACCATTGGATCATGCGAGTACCTCCCATGTTGGACTTGGGGTCACTCCCTCCCAGGCCTCCAGCGAACCCAGTTCTCACGCCAGTCTGCCGACCGGTGGAGAAGCCTCTGTTTAGCGTCCCACGACCACCAGCGAGGCCGTTGGTGACGTCTGTGCTGATGGGGTGGAAGATTCCTGGACGGTCCTGCAGAGGCGTGGTGACGGGCCATGAAGGGTTACGAGGGCGGAACCTTTCATTGTCGCTGCTGCCTCGGCTGCTGGCGCTCCCTCCTCCACTATTTGCAAATCTGTCACTGTTGATGTTGCCTCTGCTGTTTCCAAATCTGCTACTGTCGCTTTCTCCTCTATTGCTTTCAAACCTGTCATTTCCTCCTCTACTGTTTCCAAACCTGTCACTTTCTCCTCTACTGCTTCCAAACCTGTCGCTTCCGCCTCTGCTGCTTTCAGATCTGTCGGTGCCGATACTGCCTCTACTTCCCTCAAAACCACTGCCTCCGAAACTGGGGCCGACACGGTTGAAGCCGCTATCAGTATTACCACTTCCTCGACCTCCAGGGAAACGGATGCCTATGCCGGGTCTGTTGTCTCCAGTCTGGCCGGCGCTTCCAGGACCAGCGCCGTCGACTCCTCCTGCTACTGCTACTCCTGCTGGTTGGTCGTTAGAGGTGACGCCCGTCCTGCTCCCCACCACGGCCACGCTGGAGTCTGATGATCCCGACGTGCGCTGATTCACCAGCAGGTTCTCTATCAACACCAACGGCCAGAGGTGTCAGTCTGAGGCAACACACACACACACATACACACACAGACACACACACACACACACACACGGTTACTTAAATATTGTCAACAGAAGCTGCTGCAGGTAACAAGCCTAAATATGTGACAATTAGAAGCCTTGAGGTGACGTACCATGACCTCACTACACACTACTAGTTGTGAGGCGACACAGCACAGTACAGGCATCGTATAAGCTGCGACAACAATATAAGATAATGGCCTCTACCCTTCTATATACTAACTAAATCGTTAATATTCACTGTTTTTCTTATGTTACATTAAACTATCTTTTTCAAGCACTACACAACATACTCTTAAACTTCAAATCATTTTACATACCTGGAAAAATGCAGCGTCTGATTGGAATGAAATATTAATGTTATATACTGTACCGTATACGTAGCTTATCAAGTCACAAGGAATATATCTGTTATTAAAAAAGAACTGATGAATTGGTAGCAGACCCATGAGACGTTTATATTCAGGGTTAATTCCGACTTTAAACGACCAGCTTTTATTGTGTACTTATTACTATGCATAATTCCACAAAATAATTACTTGTGGTTGTAGGTGTTCTTCACGTCTAACACTGACAGCTGATCCGCCTTGTCCTCTCCACCATCTTTATCTCCCTTCCCTTATGTCCCTTTCTATTTTCCTTTCTCTCCTTGCTTCTTCCCCGCTTTACTCATTCTTTCCCAATTAATCTAATTTTTTTTCCTTTCTTCTATTTTCCCCACTCCTTTAGTACTCTTTCTCCTCCTTCCCCATCACTCCTCCTTCTTCCCGGTCAAAACCAGGTCCCAACTCACCCATCAGGTTCTCAAAGTAGTTGAATTCGCGGTCCGGGACGAGTCTGCCGTTGAGCTTGTCGTATTCCGAAAGTCTGCATATCTGCGAGTACTCAGAATGCATGACGGAGCGGCAGGTGAAGGACCTCTCCTCCAGGCACTCGTCCAGACACTCGGCCAAAGTTAGTCGTTGAGGCATCTCTCGATAACCACGGAACCTGAAGGATGTGGAGATAACAGAGATGAGTGTGGGAGTTGTACGCAGATGTTATAATGTATGCGAATTTTCCTGTAGTTTGTTCTGTCTATCTGCCTGTCTGTCTGTCTCTCTTTATCTATGCATATAGCCTCCTTTACCTCTCAATTTCGCTTATCGTTCCCCATTTCTGTATAAATCAAACGATCTTAGCATTAAACTGTTCGTTCATGTAACTCTGAGTCTGGCAGCAACTGAGTACTGTACTGGATCCACTTACCCGGAATCCAGGTCGAGGCGGCTGTCCCTGTAGAGCTGAAAAGCGGTACGGACATCGTTCTCATACCTCTGGTTGAGTGGCTGTGTGGCCGAGTTCTCGAACATGTAATCTCCCTTCACTTTCTCTGCGGACAGGAATTTTTCTCTCAGTTCTCCAGACATATTCAGGTGTTAGATTCTCTTATTGTTTTGGGCAATTTACCAAATCATAATTTTTCTTTTTTATAAATGCCCAAGAGTGTTTCAAAATGAAAAATGTGGGTCCGAAGTTATCAAAAATGTTACACTTACTTTCTTGGAAACAGTGTCTTCAAGAAATGGCGACCCACCTCAGTTTTATGTGATTCTTGACTCTCACAGTCAATAGGTATAAAGTGTAACACCTTGGAAGTATTTTAAGCGGACTACAAACTCACCCCCGTCGATACAGAAGACCTGATAGTACTCGTTATGGTCGGAGGTGGAGGCCCTGAGCTCGTGAGGTTTACTGATGCTGTCCTCGTCGGAAATAACACAGGTCTTGCTGGCGGTGTTATACTCGATGCTCCTGCAGAAGATGGACACACTGTCGATGCACTTTTTCTTGCACTCATCCAAGTCGACGCCCTTGTGCACCTCAGTATCGTGGGCACCTCCTAGCTCCGTGTTCAAAGACTTCAAGAACGTCAGCTTGTTCTTAGGGCATCGACGGTCCTCTGCAAGGAAGACCGAAAAGTTTGGTTTAGTTTTGAGTGTTGGAGAGATCGCTGGCTCACAGTTCTCCCCAAACACAGAGGCTGTTGAGGGGAATGGTCTAACTTTTGTATACATAAGTGAGAGCCTCAAGTAAAATAAAAATCAGACTAATTGGTGAATTTTCTTATCGGAAAATTAAACTCGAGTCTGACAGAGAACATAAATAAAATTTGTTAAGTTTAATATGTATTTACCAACACCAAGCAACACCAGGAAACAGCAAGTAACACCAGGTAGCAGCAAGTAACACCAGGTAACAGCAAGTAATACCAGGTAAAAGCAAATAATAGCAGATGATACTAAATATTCTACAGCGAGTTCCTTGAGAAAATGTATAGTATTGATGAGGTGCGGCGCTCATTGGGTACAACCATGTTAGCGTGACTGTTTACTTTATATCTGGGTTTTGCTACATAAATTTTTTTTTCGATTTAATTTTCAAGTCTTACTTGTGAGGCAGGTGTAAGTCTTACTTGTGAGGCAGGTGTAAGTCTTACTTGTGAGGCAGGTGTAAGCCTTACTTGTGAGGCAGGTGTAAGCCTTACTTGTGAGGCAGGTGTAAGTCTTACTTGTGAGGCAGGTGTAAGTCTTACTTGTGAGGCAGGTGTAAGTCTTACTGTAAGTCTTACTTGTGAGGCAGGTGTAAGTCTTACTTGTGCTTACTTGTGAGGCAGGTGTAAGTCTTACTTGTGAGGCAGGTGTAAGTCTTACTTGTGAGGCAAGTGTAAGTCTTAATTGTGAGGCAGGTGTAAGTCTTACTTGTGAGGCAGGTGTAAGTCTTACTTGTGAGGCAGGTGTAAGTCTTACTTGTGGGTAAGTAAGTCTTAATTGTGGTGTAAGGCAAAGTCTTTGCTGTGAGGCAGGTGTAAGTCTTACTTAGAGGCAGGTGTAAGTCTTCTTGTGAGACAGGTGTAAGTCTTGAATTGTGAGGCAGGTGTAAGTCTTACTTGTGAGGCAGGTGTAAGTCTTACTTGTGAGGCAGGTGTAAGTCTTACTTGTGAAGCAGGTGTAAGTCTTACTTGTGAGGCAGGTGTAAGTCTTACTTGTGAGGCAGGTGTAAGTCTTACTTGTGAAGCAGGTGTAAGTCTTACTTGTGAGGCAGGTGTAAGTCTTACTTGTGAGGCAGGTGTAAGTCTTACTTGTGAGGCAGGTGTAAGTCTTACTTGTGAGGCAGGTGTAAGTCTTACTTGTGAGGCAGGTGTTTTCAAAATAGTCGAAGTTGAGGTTGTCCTCCAGCAGGTGGGGATGGGTCCTGATGGTGTAGGAGGAGTGGAAACACTGCTTCTTCTCCTTGTCGAAGGCGCCGCTCCGACACGTCCTCTTCGTGTTCTTGTCTGCGTACTGGTTCAAGCACCTGAGAAGCCATGATAAGGTGAGGCTGTCTCACCTGTCCTGACACTGAGACACAACAATACCTGACACTAAGACACACAATACCAAACACTAAGACACACAATACCTGGCACTGAGACACACAATACCAAACACTAAGAGACACAATACCTGGCACTGAGACACACAATACCTAACACTGAGACACACAATACCAAACACTAAGACACACAATACCTGGCACTGAGACACACAATACCAAACACTAAGACACACAATACCTGGCACTGAGACACACAATACCTGGCACTGAGACACACAATACCTGGCACTGAGACACACAATACCTGTGCACTGAGATACACAATACCTGGCACTGAGACACACACTATCTAACACTGAGACACTAACAATACCTAACACCGAGAAATAAACAAGAATGCCTCACTTGTCTTGACACTCCATGATGTCTGCGGCGTGCACTAACTCAGCGTCTTTGGGCAAAAACCTCTTGTTAATAAGTCGCTCCATAACGTAGAGTCTGGTGGGACACTCCGCTCTCACTACCGAGCCTGTGGGAGAGGAAAGTGGTGGTGTGAGAGGCGGAAAACACACACACACACACACACACACACACACACACACACACACACACACACACCCCGCAGACTCACCTGTATAACAAACCTCGCGGAAGTGGACACTCTCTTTCCTAGCACGGTAGCGGAAGCCCAGATGGTCATTCTCTGGTCGGGTGAGGAGGCACTTGGTCTCCGTGTACACCATCTCGTTGCTGTTGTAATAATTGATCCGTTTACCGGGAAGATAATCGAAGGCGGTGCATCTACTCTTTAATTTCTGTACGTTCTCATCCTGCAAACAGCGCCCCACACACAGGGTTAACACCTCTACTGGAGTGTCATTCCTGCGTATCTGAAAGAAGGGTTTGCGATAAGTGAGGGTGGTGGTTAGGTTAGGTTAGGTTAGGTGATAGGAAAGGTTGGTGGGGGTAGCGAGTAAGGATAGGTGGTGGTTGGGATAGGAAGGTGGCGGTGAGGGTAGTGAGTGAGGATAGGAAGGTGGCGGTGAGGGTAGTGAGTGAGGATAGGAAGGTGGCGGTGAGGGTAGTGAGTGAGGATAGGAAGGTGGCGGTGAGGGTAGTGAGTGAGGATAGGAAGGTGGCGGTGAGGGTAGTGAGTGAGGATAGAAGGGTGGAGGTTAGGATAGTGAATGGGAATAGGTTGTAGTGGGGGTAGTGAATGAGAATAGAAAGGTGGCGATGAAGATAGTGTGTTTGGATGATTTATGAAGCGTATTGGCCAAGGCGCAATGGTGGAAAGTAGTGAAACAAACAGACAGACAAACATCATCATCACTTACCACATCTTCGTTTATCGAGGTCCGCTCTACCCCCGTCTCCGGCATCCTCTCGTAGCGGACCAACCCGGCGCCATTGTTACAGGCCGGGAGCGTCGCTGAGGAAGGTACCAATGGATTATTTTCCTCCCACGATACAGTTCATGTTACTTGTTCCTCAATAAGTGAAGGGCAACACATATCTGTTTTTATTAGCTCGTTCAGAAAGGTTGTGGACAATAAACGATAGAGTTCAGTCCACGCGCGAATGTTATACTTTATACAATATATAAAATTTCATGGCCAGTTTACGTGTTGATAGGTTATAATACATAATATATGCAGGGTTTGGGATACATGCATGTAGGAAATATTATTTTATCATGCACAGGACAGTATAAGTAAGTTCCATGATGAAGAGCTGAAGATAATTGTTATGCTAACAGCCAGCCGCACGAGGAGACAAGACAAGACAAGCCACACAAGGAGTCCCTGACAGCCACACTAATCTACACTACACACTCAACACACTCAACATACTGACATACAAAGGACAGATCCTAACTTGCTGTGTCTCATTCAATGTATTTTCAAGGTGTCATAACCGTTGATGTTTCTACCTAACACAACTCTGGCCCGGGGAGGAGTGTTGTGCTGTGACGCTGACGGGGAGTGTACTGGTAGTGGTGTGGACGTGTGGCAGTTGGCTGAGTATATATATATATATATATATATATATACATATAAATATATATATATATATAAATATATATATATATATATATATATATATATATATATATATATATATATATATATATATATATATATATATATATATATATATATATATATATATATATATATATATATATATATATATATATATATATATATATGTGTGTGTTTATTTTTATTTATTTATATATATAGGGAGAAATGTTAGATAAAAATAATAAGAAAGAAGGCATGGAGCCACCAAGGTGTCCTCTTGTTCATCAGTAAGTTATTGTGTTTACTGTGGGAGAAGAAGGTCCAGGTAGTGTCCCTAACTGTCCTAATCAATATCATCGACCGAGAAGCACAAGGCCACACAGGTGTGTCCGGTAATTAGTTAGCCAACGCCCGCCAACCGTGACTGTCACGTGATCATGCAGTTTGACTCCCATGCAAATTACGCAGATAAAATGAAGTATATCCGTAGTGTTGATGCAGGAAATGGAAGTAGCCTTCAACTTAATTCGTTAGACACGAAAAAAGTAAAAGCAGATTCGGCGGTCTCATGCAAATAGTTCATGCTTTGTTGAATAAAATTCATGCAGGCCGAAGCTCTGGGTGTCCATGCCAGGAAGCCAGCCGGGCCAGAGGTGGCCAGCCGGGCCAGAGAGAGGTGGTGGGTGGTGGCGAGGCAATCTGGTGAGACAGGTGAGGCGGCATCGACCTGCCAGGTGTGTCATGCACCAACAGAGCGCCATAAGCCGGGCTGCTGAGCTGATCACCCCAGGTCAGGAGAGGTGGCGCACATGCCTCACTTACCCTCGTCCCCCGGTGCCCTGAGGTCCTCAGAACCCCCCCTCTCCCCCACGGGGGCGCCCTGCCCCCGGTCTTCCACAGTGATGTTGATCTCCGCCGTGATTTCCTTGTCGACCACCTCTCCTGGCTGAGGGTTATCGCCCGTCACCACCTGGTTGAGAGCAGGCGCAGGTATTGCGTCCAACTGACGTGGTGCTGGCGTAGGGCCGCCCATGGCCGTGCCCGCCCGTGCTGCGCCCTCCACCACCTGTCGATTGATGCCGTAGGGCTCCCCCGTGCCCTCTGCCGCCGGGAACACGCCTGTGTGACACAACAATGTACTACCATACGCCCAAACGGCCGTACGCCTACTCTCCACCTCGACCTGAGTATCTGTGTGCATTTGAGGCAGTGCAGATTATACTATATAGCTGCTGTTGAGTAGTCACTGTGCAGCTGTACTGTGCGTCACTACTGCGGTGTGCTGCTGCTGCCATTCGCACATGTTATGTACTGTACATGCGTTGGGGTACCTCGACATAACCGTACACATCTACAGGTGTGTTGTACCTGTATCCTGTAAACCAGGGGTACACATCTGCCAGTGTTGTTATGCGCATGTGTAGTGTATTTACCCGAAGGCTACAGACCCACCAGTGTTGCGTACATGCGTGGGGCGTACATGAGAGCAGTACAGCTAAGCACAACTAGAGCGGGCCGGGTAGTGCCCCTACAGTAATTGTGCTTGGTGGTGGAAATTGATATTAAATGTTAGTAGATGATCAGCCTCTCGTCTCTGTCTGGTTAATGTTAATATATGTACATAAGTCTTTGTATGTCTGTGATCCCGAGTCTGTGTCTGAGGCGCAAGTGTCTGTTGGCTCAGAGTAACACAATGATGGAACTGTGGGCTGGAGTTGTTAGTAATGAGGAAGACTATAACGTAAAGACACAATTATTTCACAGCTTAGAGGATATAAGTCCTTTGGATAGTCTATGATTCTTTAAACTTCACAAAGCAAAAACTCTGCAGTCAAACACAAGACTAGAAATTCTATTATATATCTGTAACACTAAAAGGCTAATATAAGCTGCTATGTTTAATAACAACAAAGGTAAGATGTTGTGCTCAGGTAACAAAGATAAATTAATTCACCAGTTAAACACAAGGCAACGATAACGTCTCTTAACCACTTGAAGAGTCATACCAGAATCATGTATACAGCACAACAAACACACCATAAAGTACTGCAGAAAACACTCAGTAAATTAACCTAAAAAATCAAATATACATTAAAATATAAAAATCTATAACAAAACATTAAATTGTCCATGTTCTGTGATAACCACTTTAGCTGTGAGTACAATAGAGGGTGGTGCTGTACTGGTTATCCAAAATGTGTACTGTTTTAGGTTTCTGCCTTTGACGTGTATTTCTAGAGTAACACATCATATTCACTGAGGGAAGGCCATAAAGGAAATGTCACTAAGAATGGTTCACATAGGCATGACAACCAGTTAGGGGCGGTGTGGGTACAGTACACTGAATACTAAGCCTTTTATCAGTACATAAGGAGGCAGCGTGACCAGAATTTTACTTCCCCCAACTGCAACGTCAAGAACCAATCCACAGCTGGGAGGAATTGGGCTCGAACCAAGGACCTTTAAGACAAGAGGTGAGTATTGTTTATATTTGACCAACCTAAAATACAGCGGTAACGTGCGTATCTCAAACTATTATGTCAAGGGTTCGAGTCCTGCTTGGCCCAGGCACACGTGAAAAGGGTGTTATCCAGTGTGACCCTCACCACCAAACACCACAGGTTTCTTCTAGCTACTCCGGTTTCCTCCTGTACTAACACTGGATAGACCAACCGCCCGAACGGCTAGTAAACTGATGACGGTGAATAATAAAAAAAAAGTACCACCAACAGAATTAAATAAAAGTAATTAAAAAGAGCAAAACGTGATCAGTTCTCATGACATAAGTAACAACAAAATACACCAATATCACAACTCAGTATCAACATAATGTGTTAACTCTTATTCACGGAAATCACAAATCAATGACTTATAAAGCTCAAGATTTTTTTTTTTTTTTTTTTAAGAAAGTCGCTAACCGAGGAGGGCAATTATAACATGACATACACACAGCCTCTGTCCCCTACGACAAGTGGAAGGAGAAACCAGATATATGATAAAGTCACCCAAGAGTGAATTACACTACCCTGCGACAGATGATAGGAGGTGAAAATATTTAGTAGAGTTATCCATTCAGATCTTCTACATACTGATGAGAAAGAAAACTATATAAGATTCTATGACTAACTCACATAAAACTAAATACTGCAGTCTGTTGTATTTCGCAACGGATGAGGTTAGGTGAGATTTGTTTAGATTAGGTGAGGTTTGTTTTGGTTAGGTTAGGTTTGGTCAGTAGCGTTAGGGGTGTCACCCACTTTGTAGTGAACATACACGTGGAAATGTGGACACTCCTTTATGTTGTATTGTGAAGGTAATGTGTCACATCCCTGGTATTGTGTGTACTGTGGGGGTGTGGTGGGTGAGGGAGGGGTGGTGTGAGGAAGAGAGGGATGGGGTGGAGGGTGTGGACTGTGGAGGCAAGGTTGCAGAGTGAGGTTAGAGGTAAAAATTCTACTCTTCCCCTTTCACACACTCAACTCTTTCCCCTCTCACACACTCAACTCTTTCCCCTCTCACACACTCAACTCTTTCCCCTCTCACACACTCAACTCTTTCCCCTCACACACACTCAACTCTTACACTGACAAACTATCATACAAGTCTTCTACGTGTTTATGGTGCAGCAGCTACTAGTCTGTTGCACTTTTGGCTCAGTTGTCCTATCATTAAGACACTTACCGCAGAGAGACACATACTTACCACTGTATACTAACTTATTCACACAGTACACGACTATTTTTTGACGTAATTCTGGCGTTCTTAAGTTGCGTTTTATGACAGGCATATACAGGAACATATTTTTTAATACGAGAACCTTAAATAATGACTGTATTTTAGGACGTGCAATAAAGAGGAACCTAAAAATAATGAGGAATAAATTAACCCTAAAATATAGTAATTATTTAGAGATCCCGAATAAAATAAAATACCTTGTATTAGGTCACCTGCCTCACCGAGTAGTGTATTTAGTCGTGAGGAAAATAGTGTTTTTGGGGACCGATGATTCTTGTTTAATTTAGATTTAGATTTATTTCTAAAACACTCTCTCTTCTAGTGGACAAAGAAATATGACGTCAGAACTTTTCATGAGTATTTTATGAGCTGCGTTGACAACTGTAAACAACCATGACGCAAACCGGAATAACGGGAGGACATAATGGAACACACCGCGACTGTTTCCGTATCGCACAAAAGAGAAATTTCCCGTTTGTGACGAAAACTTTGTGGTAGAAAGTTTGTGTCATAATATTACGATAATTTTCTTTTGCTATCTAGTTAGAAATTAAACATTTGCAAGAGTAGTTTTATCTTATTTATGAAAGTTACAATGAATTATATGAATTGAGTAAACATTATAAATACTACTACTACTACTACTATTACTATTGCTACTTCTACTACTACTAATAATAATACAAATAATAATAATCTATGCCATAAAATATCATTGAATGGAATATAAATATTTACTAAATATAGAAATAAGACAAATCTAAACCACAATTGTCATAGAGGAAACAAATGGCTATACTATATATTGTTCCATTGTCGTCAGTCATCCAAAAGTGACAGAGAAAATGGGTGAAGGACAGAGAGAGAGAGAGAGAGAGAGGGGGGTAACTAAGGTATTCGAAGCACAAGAGGAGGAGGGGGTTGTGTGCCCTACTTGTTTCAACTTCCTCTCTACCTCACCACACCCACATCAACATTCCTCTCTCCCTCCCTGACACTCTCCCCTCACATGCTCTCTCATCAATCCTGTGTTTATCTCTCTCTCTCTCTCTCTCTCTCAATTATTGCACCTTCTCCTACGCCACATACCTCCTCACCTGCCTCACTCCCATCCAAGGTAGGTAATTTCTGGTTCCTCTTTACTTCCTCTCACTAACGTCATGTACTGTACTATCCTTCCTCCCTCTGTCTCTCCCTCACTTTCTCTTAGCGTACATCAACCTCCCTCCCTCTCTCGTCATATGTGTGTGTGTGTTCGTTTATGTCTTTGTGTGTATGTATGTGTATGCGTGTGTGTGTGTGTTCGTTTATGTCTTTCTGTGTATGTATGTGTATGTGTGTGTGTGTGTGTGTGTGTACGTGTGTGTGTGTGTGTGTGTGTGTGTGTGTGTGTGTGTGTGTGTACGTAAGTGTGTGTGTGTGTGTGTGTGTGTGTGTGTGTGTGTGTGTGTGTGTGTGTGTACGTGTAGACCACCACTGGAACATAATAATAGAGCATCACGCTGGTCGCCCTCCCTCCCCCCACCTCCTTCATCACCATTATCTCCGGTACCCCTTCCTTCCTTCCCTCCCTCCTCCTTCCTTCCTTGCTCCCTCTCCTCTCCTCTCCTCTCACCGTCTAGTGTCTTAAGGCGGACCCCAATACATAGATAATGATTAAGCCACCTCTCAGCGTAACATGTACGTGAACAAAGGTAAGTTTAGGTTAGGTTAGGTTAGGTTAGGTTAGGTTAGGTTTGTTTGGTTAGGTTAGGTTAGGAATGAATAACCAAATATGAGAGGTAAACTAATATGACTGTGGTTAGAACGGTTACAACACGATCTGAGAACCTGACAACAAACCTAACCCAAGGGCCCGTGAAATTGTGCGTGTTTATAGACGACCAGAGGTTACTACACAGTAATGGTACAGATGACGACTTTCAACACCGACGAAATAGTCATGGTCGCTAGTTTGGTTCAGCGAGTACTGGCTCACTCTCCCTTGTGTTGAGAGTTTGTGATGAAAGTGACCGTCAAAATTATTCTTGATCACCGGAACCACCCACCACCTGGCCCACTTTCCCTTATGACCAGTATTTTTAATGGTGAGTCTGTCTAAAGAAATGAATCCCACTGACTGTACACTAAACCTTAGGTAATTAATCTTGTTGATATTTCCACGTAAAGTTTACTAAATAACTTAATATTATCCAGTGGTTGACAATTATAATAAACTTTTTAGCAAAGAATTTAGTTTTTTTTGTTTTTACAAGATATTTACTGGTGATTGATGACACTAATATACAGAAGAACCTTCACGTAACATAACACATAAATTATCTTAACCTGATAAACACCATAATCCTCTCGAGGTATAATTATGTTATTCTCGTTTTCCATCGACCAGCAGAAAACCAAAGACACACGACACTATTCAGAGCTTTATCCCCGTATGTCTGCCTGTCTTTTCACTCTAATTCAAGCGAAGCAAAGGATGAAAATATTATTCACGATAATTTCATGCACGACTGAAGCTTCTGTTTGTATTAGTCGGCGGAGAAGAAGTAAACACGATGTGGCGATTATTAATGTTGATCTACACGGCTGCCAGCGTTCACCAGGAGTACCGTGTTTGACCCTGACCTACACCGCAAGAGAGAGAGAGAGAGAGAGAGAGAGAGAGAGAGAGAGAGAGAGAGAGAGAGAGAGACTCTATTAACCTGGCTAAACAACTCGCTACACTCGGTCGACTAACAAGAATATTACCTCTGTCTTGAAACCACAATTACTGGTGTTCGGATCACAGCTTCACTCACTGAGTCGAAGCGTTTCGAAACTCCTTCGTCAGGTGCTTCGAAGTGTAAATATGTGTCAATATATATGCGGGGAAATAAATGACTTTCTTTCCTGTGGATGGTGAGACCTAATGATGGAGGGAAGGGAGGAGGGTCTGAGATGGAGGAGGAAGGAAGGAGGAAGGGAGGGGAGGGAGAGGGAGAAAGGAGAGGGGAGGGAGGAAGGGAGAGGGAGGAGGAGGGAGAAGGAGAAGAGAGAGATGGAGAAAGAGAGAGGGAGGAAGGGAGAGGGAGAGATGAAGGGAGAGAGAGGGAGAGGAGAGAGAGGCTGGTGGATCATAGGCGTACTGACTAGTGTTCCAGTTAACCTATTGTGATATACTTGTATGAGAGGTGAGGGGTGAGGGGGTGGGGAGAGGAGGGTGGGGGTGGGAGGAGGGGAGGGGGAGGGGGGTGGAGGGAGGGGTGGGGTGGAGGGGAGGGTGAGGGAGGGTGAGGGGTGGAGGGGAGGGTGAGGGGAGGGGGGGAGGGGAGGGATGGAGGGTGAGGGAGGGTGAGGGGGGGTGACACAGATACTGACAGTGTGTGTGTGTGTTTTATTAATCATATGTCAACAAAAAAGTTTATATCAAGGTTACGTAAATAATACAATAAAGACAGACGTTCACACTCATCAAAAGACGATGTAAAGTTACTACTGAATGGTCGCTAAGAATAACTAAATAGGTTAATAGATTATTTTCTCCATCTTCATTAACATACAGATACTAATAACTATTTAAACAAAACACTTAACCTCTTGTGGTAAGGTACAAAGTAAAACCTTCCTTAGTTGTAGTATTGAAACTTATAAGTAAATAAAGTAAATCAACTAAATAATAATTAAAGATCAACTAAACACTTACAATAGGCCTAAATCATCTCAGCTTCGACGCATTCTGAACTAATTGTACTCGACCTAGAATCACCATTAGGACGGGTGAAATTGTCGACAACTTTGAAGAAATAATTTTTAAGGTAAACAGATAAAAAAAAAAACCCATATTAATATCTTGAGAAACAGAAGAGTGAATTAGACAAGTATGAAGCTGTTTTCTTACTATTAACCAGCTGAAGATGTTATTATAATCGATGCGTCTGAGGGTAGGCGACAACAGCCCTCCAGTGTACAGTAATTACAAAATTCGACCGACAAAAACCAAAACAAAGAGAGAATATTATATAAACGGATAAATGTGTAATATATTAGAGTGAATGTTGAAGGTGGTACTATATGATAATGTGAGGCAGGAGAGAGAGAGAGAGATGATGGGCATACAGGAAATAAAAGATTTGGAGGTGCGGGATAAGGTGGAGGAGGAGGAGGAGGAGGAGGAGGGGAGAGAAAAGATAGGAGGATGTGTGAAGAAAAACAAGTATGAGGAGGAAGATAAGAGGGAAGAGTAGAAGGAGGAGGAGGCGGAAAGGGAAGAGGTGAAGGAGGGATAAGAGGAGGGAAGAAAACGAAGGGGCAGAACGAGTAGGGGAAGGAGGAGGAGGAGGTGAAATATTGGGGGCGGCAGGCGTGACGTCACACACAGCTTTCTGACGGATGGTCGTTCACCGGGGTGTGACAGGAGAGAGAGAGAGAGAGAGAGAGAGAGAGAGAGAGAGAGAGAGAGAGAGAGTCGACGTGTGGCTGAGGATCTGTGTTGACATACGGGAGGGAAGGAAAAACATGAAATAATATAATAAATACGAGTTACATTAAATCGGATTTCTTCTTGGTGCGGGTTACGTTATAATCATATATACTAAATACAGATTAAGTCATATCAAGACTAATATAACAGATTCACATTACATTATATTACTCAGTTACGCGACACGGATTTTAGTTACGGGACACTGTTGGTCGAAGGTGTGTGTGTGTGTGTGTGTGTGTGTGTGTGTGTGTATAATAAGACAAATGGTAATACAACATGAACAAAATACAACAATTAGGTGTATTAAACAAGATGTATACAATATATATTAATACATAACTTACAGTATAATACAAAACATAGGTTACATATTACAGTAGTTGTTGCTTGTGGTGGATAAACTAGACTGTATTTAGTAATGAAATTTGTTGACGTGTGACTGGTACTGATAGTGACTGTTACTGATAGTGACTGTTAACAATGACTGTAACACACACGAACTACCACAACAGAGAGGAGAGTCACCCACAGGCTCTCTCTCTCTGTGTCTCTCTCTGCCTCTCTCTGCCTCTCTCTCTCTCTCTCTCCACATAAAACTCAAGGAGTATAACTTTACTGCTGTATACTCAAGGCGAGGAACAACTCAATCCAATCCTTCCCCTTTATCTCCTATATTAGTTATGTGATATATTAGGAGACAAGATAAATCAGGGTATATAACTCGCCTCTAGATGACGTGACGCTGAGGTTCACTATTGTCTTCACAGTTATACTTTGAGCTGCTAAATTTCACGATAATAATAAATTTAATTAGATGTCTATCACCTTTACATAATTCCTGTTTTTAATGTATCATGTAATCCTGTGTGAGTCAGTTATCAGTCACAGTTAACAGCAGGTGGGGTGACATCATCTAACGGCACACTAACATCGTCGCCAATAATAAACCCACATAGAAGTTAGTTAGTCTTACCTTCCGAGAACAGGTGGAGAGCGGAGATGATAGCCATGGCATTAATCATGCTGGTCGCTTGTATCCTACAGGGCATCTTTAGCTCTGCCGAGAAAAGAGGAACATGTTAGCAGGTGCTGTTTACGTCGACTCCCGCAGCCAGCACCAGCAGGAGGGGGCCAGTCTGAGGGCCTCTCCTACAGGTCAAATCTCTGTTATCTCTCTGGCACCAAACACTTCAGAAGCAAAATTCTTCCTTCACCAGTTATATTGTTTCTTAACACTTGAAGCTCTGACAGTCCGCTCCAACCTTGTACTTGTGAGTGTTGTTGTGGACGCGTGTGGCGCCGTGTTGGTAGCGAGGTAAATACTACTAGGATGAGTGTTACGATGTCCCTTCCCCACTAGACCGTGTTACCGTTGAGGGACTACCATGACAACTGTACACCCGCCTAGCCGCTCCTACCATGTGACCGCCAGTAGCCCCTCTATAACAGGGCTGTGAAGTGAACAACCTGAACTTCCACTTCCATTAGAGGTTAAAATTGGGATATTTCAAGTCTCAAAATCGCACGTAGCGGAGGTCGACAATGAGCAGCATGACAATCACGGTGCACTGAACACCCTCGCCACCAGCCAGCCAATCAAGACCGCGCTGTCAAATGCCACCCAGGAAGGCTTCAGGGGATTGGCCCGCCAGAGCGTCACGGGGCGGGCTGACCAGGATACACTAGCCCGTGATTCATTGTACACTCCATCCCGTTTGTTTTTTTTGTACAGTGCCACGCGGGGAGAGGAAGATAGTTTATTTCCCCTCCTTCCTGTAGGCACCACCCTCACCACCCTGCGCCATTATAGGAGTCTTTGTGGCGCGGGCCTCCACCACTCATGTAACGGGGTAACCAGATAAGCCCAAACACTTCACATATCCTTAACGAACGTCAGTCAGTCTTGGCAGATTACTTGAGAACTTTCGCCGGACGTAGACTTTAAAACCCTGCGAGGTGCGTGTGTGTGTGTGGAGAGGGAGGGGAGGGAGGGGGTAGGAGCGAAAGGTGAGCGAACTTACCTGTGATGTAGCCAGAACAAGAATATTTATTATCGGGACAATAAGAGCATCAGGCACTGTTTGTTTGTTTGTTCTAGTAAGCTTTACAAGACTCTGACGACACACACGGCACAATGACGTCACAACAGGCTGCGTGTGTCGTCACCCATCATGGCGCCTCGCTTGGGGGTTTTTTAATGTTAAACCAAAGCGTTTAATTAACTGGGCCAGGGTTGTAACAGGTCTACCGTGAAGAGACAGAGAGAGAGAGAGAGAGAGAGAGAGAGAGAGAGAGAGAGAGAGAGAGAGAGAGAGAGAGAGAGGTCTGAAAATATGATCGTCCATTCCCACCATCACCACTATGGAGAGGTCAGACCAGGTGGTGTTAGGGGGGGTGTGGAGGTGATGATGAGGGAGTAAGGTTTGAGGGTGAGGGAGTAAGGTTTGAGGGTGAGGGAGTAAGGTTTGAGGGTGAGGGAGTAAGGTTTGAGGGTGAGGGAGTAAGGTTTGAGGGTGAGGGAGTAAGGTTAAACACAGCTTCTGGTTTTGTTCTGAGTAAAAGTGCTAAAAAAACCCCCCCAAAAAACAACTCCAATCAGATAAGAGACAGGGAACAAGACTTACGTTAGAGATAAGACGCCGGACAACGGAAGGTAGAAGCAACAGATAACGGAAGGATAAATAAGGAAGAGATAAGAGAGAAAAAGATAAGGAAACAAGATAAAACAAGGGAACATATTTCTACATCATCTACAACTTGAGTATTATTATGATCGTCTATGATAAATTATAATACTCTTATTATTCTCTACATCCGCACCAGAGTCCTATTATATCTTGAGCTTAAACCACACACACACACACACACACACACACACACACACATTCGGGGGATCCCCAGCCCGTGGATACATAACACGTAAACAAAGGGTACAGACAATTAACACCGGGTCATATACAGTAGTTCTATCTTTACATCTGTTATTACTAAATTATTTTCGGTAAGGATTCGGTAGAGGACATATGACAAGCGGTAAAATAAATAGATCCTTCTTATATTATTTTATATTGGTGTGTATGTGTGTGTGTGTGTGTGTGTATGTGTGTGTGTGTGTGTGTGTGTGTGTGTGTGTGTGTGTGTGTGTGTGTGTGTGTCTTCGTGTGTGCTTTCTTTGATGAATATTACGTACATACGCCCCTATTATTTCTTTCTATCTTATTCTGTCTGTCTGTCTGTCTGTCTGTCTGTCTGTCTGTCTATTAGTCTGCCACATTCTATCCGTTTATCTGTCTTTCTCATTTATCTGAATGTTTGTCTTATTCTCTCTCTTTTCCCTCTCTCTCATCATCCAATTCTCTCTAAACAACCGTGTAAGTTATTTTTTGTGTATTTATTTCTAACGGGATAAATTATACCAACTATAACACCAGAGATTAAATAAAATTCTGGTCAACACTAAACACACTGGTCAACACTAAACACACTGGTCAACACTAAACACACTGGTCAACACTAAACACACTGGTCAACACTAAACACACTGGTCAACACTAAACACACTGGTCAACACTCAAACATACTGGTTAACACTCAAACACACTGGTCAACACTAAACACACTGGTCAACACTAAATCACACTTGGTCAACACTCAAACACACTGGGTTAACACTAAACACACTGGCTGCAAGTACTCAAAACACACTGGTCAACACTAAACACACTGGTCAACACTTAAACACACTGGTCAGCACTAAAACACACTGGTCAAGAACACTAAACAGCACTGGTCAGACACTCAAAACACACTGGTCAACACTAAAACACACTAAGAACACTAAACACACTGGTCAACACTAAACATTAATTGGCCAACACTAAAACACATTGGTCAACACTAAACACACTGGTTAAACACTAAACACACTGGTCAACACTAAAAACACACACTGGTTAACACTAAACACACTGGTCAACACTAAAAACACATTGTCACACAGCTCATTACCTGGTCAACATCAAACACACTGGGTCAACAACACTCTAAACACACTGGTCAACACTACAAACATTGGTTAAATATCTGAAACACACACTGGTCAACACCAAACACACTGGTCAACACTAAACACTGGTTAACACTAAACAAAATTGGTTAACACTAAACACACTGGTCAACACTAAAACACACTCCGGTCAACACTAAACACACTGGTCAACACTAAACACACTGGTCAACACTAAACACACTGGTCAACACTAAACACACTGGTTAACACTAAACACACTGGTCAACACTAAACACACTGGTCAACACTAAACATACTGGTTAACACTAAACACACTGGTCAACACTAAACACACTGGTCAACACTAAACACACTGGTCAACACTAAACACACTGGTTAACACTAAACACACTGGTCAACACTAAACACACTGGTCAACACTAAACACACTGGTTAACACTAAACACACTGGCAATACTCCAAACACACTGGTCAACACTCAAATACACTGTTAACACTAAACACACCGGTCAACACTAAACACACTGGTCAACACTAAACACACACCGGTCAACACTAAACACACCATAACACTGCTAAAACACACTGGTCAACACTCCAAATATCACTGGTCAACACTAAACACACTGGTCAATCACCAAACACACTGGTTAAATAAACACTGGTCAACACTTCAAACACACTCACAACACTCAAACACACTACTAACACTAAATTACAATGGTTAACACTCTAAACACACTGGTCAACACTAAAACACAATTGGGTCAACACTAAACACACTGGTTAACACCAACACACTGGTCAACACTAAACACACTGGTCATCACACACTAAACACACTGGTCAATACTAAACACACTGGTTAACACTAAACACACTGGTCAACACTAAACACACTGGTCAACACTAAACACACTGGTCAACACTAAACACACTGGTCAACACTAAACACACTGGTCAACACTAAACACACTGGTCAACACTAAACACACTGGTCAACACTAAACACACTGGTCAACACTAAACACACTGGTCAACACTAAACACACTGGTCAACACTAAACACACTGGTCAACACTAAACACACTGGTCAACACTAAACACACTGGTCAACACTAAACACACTGGTCAACACTAAACACACTGGTCAACACTAAACACACTGGTCAACACTCAAACACACTGGTCAACACTAAACACACTGGTCAACACTAAACACACTGGGTCAACACTAAACACACTCTGGTCAACACTCTAAACACACTGGTCAACACTAAAACACACTGGTCAACACTAAACACACTGGTCAACACTAAACACACTATCAACACTAAACACACTTATCAACACTAAACACACTGGTCAACACTAAACACACTGACAAATAAAACACACTGGTCAACACTAAACACACACTGGTCAAAACACACTGGTCAACACACTGGGTCAACACTAAACACACTGGTCAACACTAAACACATTGGTCAACACTAAACACACTGGTCAACAATAAACACACTGGTTAACACTAAACACACTGGTTAACACTAAACACACTGGTCAACACTAAACACACTGGTCAACACTAAACACACTGGTTAACACTAAACACACTGGTCAACACTCAAACACATTATCAACACTAAACACACTGGTCAACACTGTCAACAAACACACACTGGTCAACACTAAACACACTGGTCAACACTAAACACACTGGTCAACACTAAACACACTGGTCAACACTAAACACACTGGTCAACACTAAACACACTGGTCAACACTAAACACACTGGTCAACACTAAACACACTGGTCAACACTATACACACTGGTTTATAGAAAATAGCGACGAAAACACGATACAATTTAAGAACCTGGATATCTGATATTAAATGAAGGTTATGGAGGAGGAATAGGACTGAGTGTCTAGGAGAATACTTATTTTAGATTATAATTAACTATTATTGTGATAGGTACAGGCAGTAGTGCATACAGGTGTTGACAAGGTAAGGTGTCGTGTGAAGATTAAGGTACATGGGTCAACCAGGATGAGGAAGGAAGGGGAACTTTTTTTTTTTAAGATACTTTGTAATATTGTAAGGCTAAGGGTATTGACTTAGTGGTTGGTAGAGTATAATGTAGATGTTAGTAAAGGTAAATAGAAGCTGGTAATGGATTGGGAGGCCTTCATGTCCACAAGGCTGTTGATATCTGGAATGGTTTCTAAAAGGGGCGCTCCTCAAGTCTGCCTCCACCTCTTGCTTGTTCCTAACCTAACCTAACTTAACCTAACCCAACATGACCTAACCTAACTTAACTTAACCCAACCTGACCTTGAAACTTAACACACACACACACACACACACACCCAGGGTTAAAGATTCCTGAAAGAGTGAGTGAGTGTGTGTGTGTGTGTGTGTA